GTTGTCTCGCATCGCATCGTAAGGCGCTAGTTTGCATCATTTCTGCATGGCCGCATGGCACAGCACATCGAAGTCGCGAGGTTGGGAAATTGGACTTTAGAATTTCGAGGATTTAGAGTTGAGCACCCGCGCACGCACACACGGATTCCAAGCGATGAGGCATAAGTGATCAGCATCCGTATGGATGTGGTCACCCGCGTCCCTCTTGGCTGGGAGGGCAATGGGGTCCTTTGCTTCGAGCACGAGTACGCTGTTGAGTAAGTGAACGCGTCACTGTGTGCTGTGCTGTGGGGTACCCTGTAGTGCAATGTTCACTCACGGTGTGCTAAGGCAGGCAACTCGGTGACTGTGTGCTGTTTGCTGTGAACTCGTCCTGTGTCCTCCGTCCGAAACGCGCAAATGGGAAACGCAACGCATGTGGCGATAAAAATGTTTCGAAACAGGGGCCCGGCCTGTTGAAACGGCGCTAAGGCAGGGGAGGGGCGTGGAGGAGCCCAGTGTGAGTGGGTATGATACGAGAAGACGCGCCGTGCAGGTTACTGTGGTATGCAGCACGGTTTTACGAGTCCCCACCCCGCTAACGCGGGGTTAATGCAGGCACGGACAATGCGCGCGACGCCCCGGAGGCCACCACACGCAGACGTGGGAGGAAAGAAAAAGAGAAACACGAAGAAGAGAAAACAAAAAGGGCGGGGCGAGTGCCGTGGAGTTGATGCGTCCGTCATGGCATGGGGCCACTGTGTACTGTGTAGGTACATAGTACCTGCGGACTTACTGTGGTACGTCCTCTTGTTAGGTTGGAGGGGAGACGCGCGCGCGCGAACGCAGGAAACTTCGTGCCCAGCGCGCTTTCTGTGGACTTCGGCCAGCCAGGCAACTACGTGGGTAGTTGCAGTGCTCGGTCCTCAGTGCTCTCTTACTCTCTCTATCCGCTCGTGCTGTGTGTGATAATGTACTCCGCTCGCCGAGACATCGCGTACCTGCTTACATAGTTACGTCGTGGATGGAACTTCCCCAAGGAATAGCATGGCATGCACGGCATGGAGCGTGCGTCTCTTCTTGATGTTCGGTTTCTTTGTCCACCTTGCCCCCCATCCCTCGCTGCTTGGAGGTTCGCGGTTCGCGGTTTTCGACGGGTCAAGGTCTCGTCGCGTCGCTGACTGAGCACAAGGCGAACGGGCGGTAAGGCGGCCAGGCGGGCGTCCAAGCGAAGATCTCCGTCCGACAGAGTTTCCGCAGAACTTGAGACGCGCATGTCCACGAAGGGTGGCCCGGTGAAATTGTGACCAAGGGTCGATGCAGCCAGCTCGGACGACCCCGTGAGAAGACACACCATAGTATGATTAGCCACAGCGTGCACTGCCACACGGAAAGAGAGCGAAGCAAAGAAAGCAGAAGAGGGCAGAGCAAAGCAAAGCAAATTAAGCCAAGCGAAGCAGCACAATGCAAAGCTGAATACAGTAGCGCGGGTACGGAGCAGGACGAGTATAGCAGATGAATGGCCCCTAATGGTGAATGTAAGTCGTCCGGTGCAGTAGGTCTAGGTATGTACTCCGTACTTGCGCCGGTGTCCCTCTGATGGGTGTCTGGTACATGGGATTGCGCTTACGTACACCACATCCAGTACAATGAATAGGATATGAGATGTCGTTCCAAATACGGCACGAGGTACGTGATAGGATATAATTACCATACGATGTAAGTCCTACCCGCAAAGCTGGATAAAGGTACTCGTAGAGTAAGGCAAACAGACGTCCTGACACATAGGCCAAAAGACACATCCAGCTCCAGTACTGTGTGTTAAAAGACCAAGCATGAACGAAGACCCTTGGAGTAGCTCGTACTCCTTCCATTCAAGACCTACAGCCTCGAGAGACCAAGCTACGCAGTTCACAGGACGTGATCGCGGTTTTCTGTGTGCACCTATTACCGTCTACCTTCCACTCTCCGCTGTGTCCTGTCCGAGAATCGAACGAGTACGGTCCAGGAGACATTCCTCTCGACAGACAGCCAACCAGTCCTGCGCACAACAACAACAAACATGAACACAGCCTACACGCAGAACTGCGTACTCCGCAAATCAATCATCTTTCCAGTCCTACAAACCTTGTACCCGTACTTCAACGCCGTCTGGCATGCACGCGTGTCAACAAAGTTTGCCTGACACCTGCCTGTATGCCAGCCTGTATGCCAGCCTGTCCTTCTGTGTCTCGCATCGCGGTTTTGACAGCTCCGTCCTTTTGCTTTGCCTTCGCGGTCTCTCCGACCTCCCTCTCGCTCGTTCCGGGCCTAGGGATCCATGAAAAGCTTCCATTAACCAGCAGGTGGCGAGAAAGAAAGTCATACGTCAAGCGGCATGTGAACGCCTGTCACATACCGTGTACACCCAAGATGAGGGATAGGCGTGATCGGACTTGCCCATCGGATCGACTGTTCCCAACTCAACATCGTGACCGACTACGGCAAATGCCGTTACTACGAGTACCTTTCAATCACTGACTATCAAGCAAGCTGCCGGACGCACACTACTCAAACTCGAGAATCCCAGGACGGTCTAATTATATTCTCCAAGGAGACATTCCGTTGTAGTCAGAACAGTCACAACACGCGTTCTGGGGATGTACGCCACTTTCAACTAATCGGTCCGCATGCGAACTCTACGCTCGTGCTGTACATACACTGCACCCGCCACTGACATCCACAGTACTTCGGATCAGTACGTCGCCTCTGGTGGCAACAACATGGACCAAGACCCTGCAGAGATCATACACACGGTACACACAACAGGAGGAATGTACGTCGTCTCAACTACTGGAGATTCCGCTCGGCTGTCCCGGCGTCCGCTGTCGAAGCTCTTTGACGGGGCACCCTGCAGAGAGCACACGCACTACTGTGGTACACTCGACCAGAGGACTGTGCTCGTATCATCCGCTAGGGACCCCGCTGTCCCGCCGTCCCGCTGTCCGCTGTCGAAGCTGCTAGGGAGCCACGAAAGGTGAGTTGCATGCGCGTGACGTTGTTTCGAAGGATACAGTCCTCGTACCTTCCTCTTCGATCCAATCTACGCTACGGCGTGGCGATCGCATGGAAAACTCTGAATTTTTGAGCCCGATCGGTTGTAGATACAAGCACAAAAGTTACAACTTACAAGACGCCACCGCCGCCAAACAGCCAGCCCAACCCACCTAGCCGCATTGCACATCTGCTGGGGTTGCTTGGCTGCTGTAGCCTGTGTTGCTGGGCTGCTGGGTCGCTGGGTCGCTGGTTTGCTGGGCTGCTGTCAAACCTTGCTTGCGGCTCAATACATTGGCAAATGGCGCAAGGTTGGCAGCGTTGGTGTGAGATGGTTTGAAGTGCCCATGTCTGTCAATGCTTTGCAATGTCCATGTCCACCTTTCTTGATGGCATTCAGACGAGATGATCGATGCCGGTACAGCATGCTGAAAACGATGCTTCGCAAGCGATGACTACTTGCAGCTGCTGGACACAGGGCATTACAAGTACGGACCTGCCGAGCCGCTGTCCCAGTCCCCTTCGCACCTTCTACAGTATGCAGGTGTTCGTCCACAGAAGACCTTAGGACGCTAGTTGTTTATTCGCTCTGGTTGAGTCTCACATGGGGATGGTTCTTCAGAGTATAGCAGCTACTTCGGCAGATGATTCTTCAGGACCACCAGCCACTTCGGTCTCCAGCCGATCCTACATACTGCTGTCAGGGCGCATGGCTACGTACATGGCATGGGGCTGGGACGTCTGGTGCTGTCCGACTCTTGGCGCGTGGTAGCCCATGTCATGTCAGCCAGAGCCACCATCGATTGTTCCGCAGGCCTTTTTTGCTGGGAAATCCTTGAGCGCTTCAGTCCCACGCATGAGACAGATGCAGATTGTCTACAACTGCTTCCAACGTGCACGCCCTTTCTGGGCTCGGTGTAATCTCAATGGCCAGCGGTCCCCTGGCTGTCTCTCTCACCCCCCCGACGACGAGAGAGCTACAGATTGTCCATGACTGCTTCCAACGACACCCTTTCTCGGACGGTGTAATCTCCAAGACTGTAGCACGGCCAGCAGTCACCCGGCTGTCTCTTGACCCCCAACCATGAGAGAGAAGTTGTGTACGACTTGCTGCCACACCCTTCCTCGTCAGGTGTAATCTCTCGGATGGCCAGCGGTCCCCTGACCATCTCTTCCCTGACTACCTACGAGAGAGACGCGGGTTGTCCACGACTGCTTCCAGCACCCTTCCTTGTCCGGCGTAATCTCCAAGATGGCCACCGGTCCCCTGGCTGTCTCTTGACCCCAGCTATCAGAGAAGTGCAGATTGTCCACGACTGCTCCCAACAACAGCCCATTCTCGTTCTATCTAATCGCTAGCATGGTCAGCGTTCCACTGGCTGTCTCTTACCTGAACCGATAAATGCCCTCACGCCTCTCCGGAACGGACTGCACCCTAGTATGGAGCCTTCGCCACCATGAACTCTCTCCGTGGATGGGTCCAAGGGGCACCTCCCAGAAGCCGATTCGGTACGGACATGGGTCTATGAATCTCTTGAAGAGCGTCCCCAGTATGGAATATGGAGATCTTCGTGGTCGCCAATGCAGGCGCAACCCCACGATACAGTAATCTCCACATTAGGTGAAGGCATGAGGCTGGTCGGTACATGCTCGACAATGGGTGCGCGCACCACGATACAGTAAGCTCGAGGTTGGCTGGACGTATGAAGCTGGTCGTGTCGTCTTACCACAGACAGACAATACAAGACAAGCTGAAGAGAGTCCCAGCCCATCATTCCGTTTCACTCGACGTCGTCCCGGCCCGCAGTTTAGCCACACTTGCTTCATCGCTGAATGCCATTCCTGCAGAATTCCAATGCTGCTGGCGCAGTCGTTGAGGAGAATACGTTACCGTATGCTCCAAGTTTGGATGAGTTTAGAACCACCCTTCAATCCCTTCAAGTCCATCACAAGCCAAGCCGATTGTGTGGGATTGCCATGTGGGTACGTCATCCATTGATCCGCAACGTGATAGCCACGGCGAGACGGCGAGTTGGAGAGACTCTGTCCTCACCATCGTCCGCATCATTGAGCCCCGTAGCACGAGCAGATGGATTCTCGCGCGCAGCATCTGAAGGTCCAGCGTCGTTGACAGCGGCGTTCGACCATGTGCGCCCATACACGGATTCGCACGGGATGACCACCAAGGTCTCGAAGAGCCGATGTCTGCGCAGTTGAGACCAACGGTCCCAGCCATGCGTCGAGATGAAGGCAGTACCGTGGACAAGGTCCGCAGATGGTACTTCCTCCTTGGATGGGCTTCGGTCCAATGAAAGAAATGCGTGGAGATCGTCTCCAGTACGTGATCCACCGTCGATGCTGCCTGTAGAGTGCACAAACATAGTGACCAGGTGTACGTATCCATCAGTTGTTGCCTCCATGGAAGGGGAGAGTGTCATCTTGTGGAGAGATCCCCATTGGTAATCCTTCTGAGCCACAGACACACGTGGCCTCGAGGGAGGTCCCTTGGGCAAGCTCGCGATCCCCATGCTCCACCATTCGACGGGCGCACTTCGAGGCAGGGAGACAACTTCTGCCGCGATGAAGGGAGGAGACGCACTTGCTGAAGTGAGGACGGCTGAATTTGGAAGGGAATGAAGATGCCGGTTCAGGGTTGCCGGCGCTTCGAATGTCATTGCGCGATTATACTGCAAATCCCACGCGTCCGGCTCTTCGTCGTCTTTCTCGCCACCACGCGCATCTTGTGGCTTCACATCTGCCGCATGAGCGTGTTGCCATACTCGGGAGCATAACTCGGCGTTCACAGAAGCCGTTTCGGCCCTCTCCAGAAAAGCAACGCCCCAGGCCCACATGTCGACCCCTCGCTCCTGTCCCACGCGCCATAGATGCTGCAGGCTCAATACGGCCTGCTCCAGAAAACCCGCAGCCGAGAGCTGCATGCTCTGCGGCACTAGTGGTATCTGGCCAGCCATGTGGACCATCTCGACCAGATCCGAGACCGCCTGATCCTGCTTTGTGTCAAGCGGCACACAAATGGCCTGACTGTATGGTCCGATATTTGCTGGAGCCCAATAACTTCGACTCTGGACGTGGAGTCCGCGCCTTGCATCTCGAGGCCCAAGGTCGAGTATCACGCTGAGACTGACTTCGACGTCGTCCGGCAGTGAGCATGCCACGGTCACCCGGGCCGGCGGATTCGGCTCGCCTGGTCGAAATAGCGAGGCATAGACGGAATTCACAGCGCCGAAATTCGACATGTCTTTGAGCAGAAGCGTCGTGAAGACGATATTAGACGACGTTAGCGGAGGTGATAATCCGAGAGAGCTCGAAGTTGTATTCAAGGAAGACGTGAGATCGTGGCATATCTGTTCCATCTGCACGGCAGCGGTGCTGGAGCTCGTGGCCAGGGAAGACGTGATGTTAGATATTGCCAAAACTTCGGAACGCAAGCACTGCGTTTGCCTTAGATCGACTGTCATCTCGTGGCGATGGCGTATAGCATCGGTATTCACCCCGCCTAGCTCATCGAACCCCAAAACACCATTCGGAGTTTGCTGGCTCTGCAACTCCGCCAGAACAGCTTGAAATTGCAGATCAAAAGTGCCCGGTACTCTCAAAGAGGTGTCGCTCTGAGGCGTGTCCGCGTCCGGTCCATTTTCCACTGTTTTAGGACCTGCTAATCGAAGATAGCTGACACCGCCTTGTCCGGTGAACGCAGACATCTGCTCTTCCGGGATCTCGATTCGTCTCTTCCACAACCACCTCGGTCCATTGATAGCCAGAGTCTCATATTCGCCGCCCTCACCCACCACGGCTCCTCGCAGCCAGAACTCATGCCCCACAAAGAAGGGCTGAAGACCACTGACAAGTCTCAGTTGGGTCCTCGGGTCAGCGACATTCGCCCACAAGAGGCTCTCCTTGATGCCACCGCTGGCGATCTTGATGATCCGTGCATCACAGCCCGCTGTAGCCATGTCATCCAGCAAGCCTGTCACGGACTCACCACGTCCCAAGGGCGGAGGCAGCGCAGGATACTGCCACAGGCATGCAAGCGGTGTGAGACCCAGACGGACGGCCACCGACTCGAGTCTAGTGCGCTGATACGTTGATAGAATGGCGCCCGAGGATATCGCGTTGGCGTCGGGATGCATACGGTTGACTTCGCGGAGCAGTGGGAGCAGGTCTTCCGTTTCGTCGGCCGAAGTAGAAGTACCAAGCTTGCTCGCACTGGCATCATAATACCGCCCCGTCTGGACTGCGTGGCCGACAATCTCCCGCCTGTAAAGCGGTATTCCCAAACATTCCGCGTACAGCGGAACAACGGAGTGTCCCACGGTCTGGTACATGAAACTGTTCAGATCTTCCCCCTCTCCTTCCGAGGGGCTTCGTGCCTCTGTGCCGCCGTCTGAGGTCCTTCCATCCGAGGGGTTTCGTTCCTCTGTTTCGCCATCTGAGGGCCTCCCTTCCCCCGGTACACATGGCTTGGGCTTGGCGGGGTACAGATTAGCAAGCGCGACGACCTTGTGCCCCTGTTCAAGACAGTGCAGGATGCTGAAGAGGGAGTCCTTGCCGCCTGAGATCAGGGCGATGACGTGGAGCGAGGCGGATTCGGACATGGTCGCCCCGTAAAGACATTTGGAGAATGAGGATACGACTGTGCTGGGGGACTTGAATCTTCTTCAGCTGGATCCAGGCAGTAGATCCTAGACTTATGGTCCAGCTAAGTGCCTACGTACCTCGTACCTCGACCACGACGAAGGTCGAAGTTGAGGTCGAAGTACAGATTCGCCGAGCCAGGAGTTGCTGCACTACGTTGGAGTACCTGAACGGGTGATGGGTTCTCGTATTACGGGGATTCATTTAGCGCTTCAATGCGGTACGAGACATCTCAGGGAAAAAAGCAGGCCCGATTGAACCGTACGATCAAGGCGCATGTCTCAAGATAATCATATTGTAAAGCCTCCCCATAGAGGCTCATCTCATTGACACGTATATTCATGCCTGTTCAAAAGAAGATGCATATCCAGCCATATTATCGCGCCAACCCTTTTGTGCCTGTCGAGATATCGCTTCCATGCCTCGGACCAGAAAACTGGCGCGACCTGCTGACTCCCTGATGCCCGCAGTGTTTACTTGTGATTGCCCACATCTGGCCTCCCTCCGCCTTCTGCTTGAAGAGAGCAATCCTGTGTACAGCTTCAGACTTCCGTCTCTACCCCTCCACCACCCTTGTCTCCGTCTTTATCCCGACTCACCACTCGGTCACCCAGCCCTTCGATACTCTTAACTTTCTTGGCCATCCAATCCACCGTCCTGGCACCCCGCCATTGCATCACGCCCCTATGCTTGCGGTGCAGTTGTTTGTGATGATCTTTATAGTCCCTCACCTGTGCTCGAAGTCCACGATCTCCGTCGTCAGGATCATTATGCCCGTTGACATCCAGCACCTTTCCAGCGAGATGGGACGCTGTAGAGAGGGGCTTGGAGATCATTTGCGCAGGGGCGCGGATCGGGTTCTTCGAGTTCGTGGACCCGCCGTCGCTATCCGAGGCGGACGAGTCGTCGTTGGTGTGGGTGCGAAGTTTGCGGCGCGAGCGGTTATTCTTCTTCGAGGACTCGGAGCCGTTTCCGTCTTGCGTACTATCGCTGTCCTCGTCCCCGGACGCCTGGCTATCGCCGCCGAACTCCCCTTCAAATTCCTCGACTTGTCCTTCATCGTTGGCTGTGTCTAGGATTTCCATCACGTGCCGCATATCTGCATTGCGAGACTTGTCGGCAAAGCTTTTGTGGTATCCAGATAGACCGCGCCAGAACTTAATTGTCAGCTCGATCTCTCCGAGTGGTTGCTCATTCTCCTCCTTCCCCGAATACCCATAACTTGTCGTGGCACGGTGAGCCGCTTCTTTGCCGCCTTTCCATACTTTGACGGTAATGTTCTTCTCCTCCTCATCCGGGATATCCTTGAGCCAGAATACCCCGAATGCAGGCGTCGAGTCTGGGCCAAGGCTCGACTTGCGGAATTCGATAATCAAAGGACTGGAGTAGCGTTTGCGCACGGCCAGAAAAACGGATTTCTTGTCGCCCTTGGGCTTCCATTCAACATCGTCCCCGGAGCTTGGCCACATCTTGGCTCTCATCATGTTCGTCCTCAGCTTGATGCGATGTTGGCTATACGACTTCTCTTCGTTGGTGTGAGCCTTTGCCTCTTTCGACCTGACGGGACACCTGACCTCCAAGGTGCCATAACTCCAACCCAGAAGTTCTTTCGGCAGCTTTAATTCAACACTGCGCCACACCATGCTGATTCGTGCTCTACCATACCCAATACCACCAACAAGCGGATAAGTCTGGGTAACTTGACTCTTTTCCTGGAAGACCCGGCGAAGTGGGAGGTATATCATTCCGAGCTGCGCGTCGTCCTCTCTTTCACGGTCATCAAGGACTGCAACCATGACCTCTGCCGTCTTCCAGTCGACGACGAATCTTTCCGTGCCAGCATTGAAGAAAGGTTTCGCATTCTTCGGCTTTGTCCGCGTGCGGTAGATCTTCTGATGGTTGAGGATGATGGTGGCGTAACTGCTCGGCATGTCGTCACTCTGCTCGGCTTCATCCTCTCGATTATCATTGGCATCTTTCTTGTCTTTCTTCTGCAAGGACTGTACCTCGAGGCCAGTAATGTTGTGGATCTGAATGCTGAAGATGCCACTGGGGTACTCATCTGGTGGAGGACTGGAGATGATCAATGCGTCTTCTTGCTCCTTGTAATCTTCTTGCTTTTGCTGCTTGATCTCTCTGCTCTCGTCGTGGGCTGTCGCTTCTCGCAGCTTGTTCTCTGCAGTCTCGCTGACCTGTTTTCTCAGATCTTCTTCTGTCCGGATATTCGGATCTGCATTCTGCTTCGCTAGTTGCTGTTCCGTGATTTCCGTCTTCTCGAAATAGCCAACTTGCCATTGCAACGTGCCTGGCATGTCTTCGTCGGAATCTTCACCTTTGAATCGATCTTCACGATCACACATCCTGTTCTTCGTCTTGGAGCCAAACATCAGCTCCTTCAGGTCCACCTCCACCCGACCGAGGTCATCGTCAGCCGTCCACTTGTCCGAGTCCCAGAGCTGGAGTCGAAGCTTTTCATCCGCATTGAGTTCTTCTGGCGTGACCAATATATGTGACCATTCTGACCAGTTCGGCTCCTGATCATCAACTATGATTCTGGTCGAAGAGACAGGCTTTCCAAACTTGCCCCACGAGACTGACACATACGCGTCGCTGGAGCCCTGGAACGGACCGACGCCTCCGTCGCCCTGCTTGAAGCCTTTGGCGGATTTGATGAAGATCATAACCACGCCTCGCGTGACCGTGTCCTTCTTGAAGTCGTCGCCCACAAGCATGTCCTTTAGATCCAGCGTCAGGCTCTTCGGCGCAACATACTCGGCCAAGGCGGCGTCGATTGAAGATTGCACAAACGACGAGATCAGGGGCACATCCATGAGGTTCAGTGCGTGCTTGGACAGCGGTACACAGGACATATCCGCCTGCGGCTGGCCCATGAATGTTAGAGTGCACAGAGAGAAGAAAGGCGGATCCGGCGTGAGTTGCAGCCGAAGACGCATTGTGCCAATAATACCACGTAGCTCGACCCAGACGGGCACTGCGATGCCTCCTGGGAGATAGAATTTGAGGTAGAGATGGGCGTTTTTGGCCTTCGCCGTCAATGATTTCCCCGAGGATCGTGCTCTATAGGCGAAGGCCAGTTCCATATTGACGAAGTCGCCCTGTTCCGCCTCCATGCCCTCGCGGATTGCCTGATCTTCCTGCTCCTGTTGTTGCTTGTCTTGGGTATTGTCACCAGATTTAGCTTCTCCTTCGCCTTGGTTATCAGTACCGTCATCGACCTGGCCCTGTCCGTCTGCTGCTCGGTCGTTTTCCTCATCCTTTCCAGGTCTTTTGAGATCACCATCCGAGCCTACAGACTGACTTGCGGCACCAGTAGGTAGCCAATTGATCCCCAGGATACGGAATGCCTCGCTTCCTTGGCCCAGATCATCAACACTCACCATCCGCACGACTTTTGGTAAGGAAGCCTGCATGACATCCTCCAACATGTCGGAAATCGATGTAAAAAGGTCCGGATTGATCAGTGGCCACACAGCCGAGAGAAGGTTGTTCAACCACGCCACGGACTCTGGAATAACGTCTTCGGCTTGTGTTGTGCTGAGCTCCTCCTGGCGAGCGGCGTCCCAGACCTCGTCGTCCCAAATTGTTTGCACTTTCTTGCCTAGCCAGCCTTTGACCACTACCACCACAGTCCCTGCAGCAACGGCCGGGATGAGGACGAGTGCAAGAGCAAAGGCCTTGGAGACCCAGCCGGCGTCTTTCTTGTACAAGCCCACGTCGAACACCAAAGCCAGAAGCTGGCCCAGTAGGATCACTACCACAATGCAGCTCAGGCCTATCATGGCGGCTCGTTCGTACGTCCTCGCCAATTCATCCCTCACGTCCTCGAATTTCGGGGGTGGGAACAGCTTCTGCATGCCATCAAGCTTGCTCTGGAGCTCCTTGCGCTCGGTGTCGTGCTCCTCCGTCGACTTGGTCGCTCCATCAACGCCTGTCCTCGTCCGGTAATCCACTCCCGGACCCGGAATATTCTCGCCAGTGGACTTGAGGTCCTTGTGCGTCGAGTCGCGGATCACAATGGGCAGATGAGTAACAGGATCTGTGACTTCCCTGCCGCCATCGCTGCGCTTCTTGTGTTTCATGTCCTTCCTCTTCTGACGTGGGTCATGTTGTCCTGCGACGGCCTCAGTGGCGGACTGGCCTGGCTCATCTCTTTTCCGCTCTTCTTTCGTCTGTGGCTCTTCTCGGTTTTGTCCTTCGTGGGTGCCATCATGCTGAGTTTCTCGTCCCCCAGCGTCTCCTTGTTCCCCCTCGGTGTGCACATTTCGATTCTGGGTTCTGTAGGGGTCATGACCGGACTGTGGAGGATCTTCGCCTTTCAGTACGCCCTTGGCGGCATGATAGGCTCTCTTGTATGTCGAATCATCCGTCTCATCACGCTGAGCTTGTTCAGCGTCGTGTTGGTTATTGTTCAGTTCTTGTCTCTCGGCTTTGTATTTCTGAATCGTAGGAATTGGGTGACGAGCGGAGTGAGGCCCTTGATAGGTTCTTCGTTGTGAGTCCGGGTCGAGTTCGTCTGCCGAAGACATCGTTCCAAGCGAAGATCAAGAAGGCACTGTGGACATTCGACGAAAGAAGGAAGCAGAGGCAGCCTACCTGGAAAGCAACGACTAAGGTCACCGGAGAACCAGCCCCAGCATGGAAAACAAATGCGTAGGAACCACAAAACGGCGAAGCACGAGGCCTGTAATACTCTCGCATCACCCCATCTCCGCACATGGACGACGAACCTTGAAACAAGGCATCAGGCGTGGAGCGCCAGAGGAAGAGTGACGATGACGTCGAAAGTTGACGCGGCAAAACAGCAGCACACCGACTTGGGCAAGCGATTCCAAACACAGTACACGAGCACACTCCACAGACCAAGAAGAGTAAACAGTCCGGACGATCTACAGACAGATCTGGGCCTGATGCATGCTGCCAATTCTGCCTCGCTGCACGTCAGCAAACCGTGAAGCAGACCGAGAAACAAGTAGGAAAGCGCATGGTGTGAAAATGCAGAAACTTGGACGCGCAGAACATTCTGGTGGCGTTTGCGGGGATTTCCTGCCTCATACTCCATACGGAGTACCTGATTCTGCATTTTACATGGTACCTGCATCGCGACCTCGTGCCGGTCATCTCAGTCTTTGGTGGTCATCAATGTCCAGCGAGACACAACCACATTCCTATTACGAGGTCCTTCACCTGTCTCGCCATGACTTCGGAGACCTGTCCAAAGACGACATCAGAGCCGCATACCGCCAGGCTCTACTCACACACCATCCAGACAGGGTTCCTGGTGCCGACAGAAAAGCCGTCTTGAAGGCCAAATCAGATAGAGCGCCGGCATCCCGGTATACTATTGATGAGATTTTGCTCGCATACGAGATTCTTTCTGATCCGACCAAACGTGCTGAATATGATCGATTGCTCCAGAACGATGGTAAGGTCGGCTGGAAACAGGTGAATGGCCAGAAAGGAACGCATATCGGTGTAGAAGCGTTCGATCTCGAAGATCTAGCGTACGACGAAGTTGCAAACTCCTGGTTCAAGAGTTGTCGGTGCGGCGACGAGCAAGGATACATCTTGACGGAGTCCGACCTGGAGAGAGAGAGCCAGCACGGAGAGCTTTACGTTGGTTGTCGAGGATGCAGTTTGTTCATCAAGGTCCAATTCGCCGTCGAGGAGACATGAGACTTCAGTACTGGTCTTCGGAACCCGCATTGCCAGTCCTTTGCAGTTCATCCAGCGCATTGATGGCATCCTGCACATCCTTCGACCGACCCTGCACAACAGCTTGGAACTCTTCCTTGACCACTTCGTACGCTCCGGCAAGCTCTTGGACATGTTGGACGATCTGCTTTTCAAGATCTGCCTTCTTCCGGACAAGGGCGAGCAGCCTGGTTACAAAGACGTCCTGAACGCGCTTTCTGTGGGTGTGAAGTCGTCAGCCATACCTGGTACATAACGGATGCAGACGAGGAGCTGGGAACCTTGGTTGACGCACATATCCTGTTGATGTTCTTCAGCTCTCTCATCAATCTGGTCCTCGAGCTCCCGCACTTGATTGTCAAAAGCATGCTCAAGCCGTTGCTGGTTTTCACCAGTACGAAGTCTCGTCTTTGATCGATGAGTTAGCCTTGACATCGTCGATAATGGGATCCGTCAGAACGAGGACCAACCACCATCTCAGGTTTCTCAACTTACATCAACAGCCATAACCATCTTCATTCTCTGTCCTCCCTCCCTCTCCTCCCGCCCGAAAACACCACCATACTGGTCGTTTTCGATAGTGAAGTCATCGTCGGGTGCCTTCATCCGTGCGGACGCGGCCACGGGTGCTGATCTACGAGATCCACGTCCACGCTTGGGCGGCATTGTAATAGGGTGTAAGTGAGGCAGGTGAATGAGTGAAGTAAGGGTGAATTGAGAGGATATGATTTGTGTTCAATGAGGTACGAGTGTGGGGGTAAGTGAACGGGTTTGGAGGTCGTATGATAGAAGATGATCAACAGGCCAAGAGAGGGTGAAAATCAGATGAGTTTCTGCTCCGGCACCTTTGCTGACTTGGCCAACTCTACTGGACTAGCATCAGTATTTCGGAATATAATGATATATCTGCTACTCTAGTGTAGGGTACGGTAGGCACGACAAATGCGTGTCGCAACCATTTACTGCAACAGCAGGAGCTGGCCCCTTGGTGTCGTTCAGGTCTTGCGCCTCGAGCATGGCTCCTTGGGTTTTGACTTCCTTGTTTTCAAAGGGTCTTCTTGTGTACATGTTATACAATCTAGAGGGCATAATCGTGGTTTGCACTGGCTTCTAGCGCATCAATAGCACTGCGGTGCCTGTCCAGAATCGTTCCCGCCGGTGCCGGACTTGGGCCCAATCCATTCCGTTGGTCGTCCGTAGCGCTACTCTACGATCTCCAACTCACCTTCCCGGTCCTTTGCAAAAGTGTCTTTGTAGCCGTCCCACAACCTAACCAGCTCGTCCACATACTCCTGATGTACTTGATCCAAGTACTTCTCATCAACCTTGCCATCCTTTCCACCCTGCTGCACGACCTTGATCGGCCGGCCGACCACAATGTTGATCGCTCGTCGGTACGGCAATAGCCCGACGTCGTAGTTGAATATGCCTCTGGCGTGGAAGAGTGGGATTGTAAAACCCATTGCCTTCTTTACGAGCATCTGGAACTTGTGGATCCAAGGATGTTCGACACTGTCAACTTGGTCGTACAGTTCGTTCTCACCGAACGCAAGGACGGGAACCAAATCGGCGCCTGTGCGGATGGCTAACTTGACAAACCCCTTCCTGCTCTTCAGCACAAGCCGGAGAGAGTGCGGCTGTGCGTCAAGGGATTCTCGTGCCCCGCCAATGACAATTGTCACTGCCCGGCCCATCCCCTCGCCGTTGCGACCGCCTTTAGACAGGATGTTTTCAATCGACTCGCGCGATACAGATGCCAGACCCAGAGCCAACGCGTAGTCCCGGTACAGAGGCACCCGGAAATTTGCATCCAGCGTCAACAGAGTATTCGTGATTCCCGGATACAACTCAGAGAAGCCTAGGGCCTCGGTCGCAAACGCGGCGAATGCTCCGTGTGAAATAATCCCGTGGGGATGATATCCGAAGATGTATTTCCTGGTCGGTTCTAGTTCGACAGTGCGGTGGAGTCGAGCAGGGAAATAGGAAGCGAACGCAGACCAGAATTTCGAACCACGCAGCCATTGTGATCTCCGTTTGAGCGTGCCATCAGTGGCTGCCTCGCTGATGAGGAGGATGTAGATGAGGTATGGGATGAGAAGAGGCCAAGTAAGAGGGATGCTGCATAAGAGGAAAAAGAAGGACAGCAGGAGCGGGATGCTCGTGGTATGCCATAAGACAGCTAGAGTCTGTATTCTGCGTTGCAAAGGCACGTTGAGGGGTGCCCACCGGATCCTACCAGAACATTAGTTATCTGTCGCCGCACACGGTGAGTCGGTGGAGGATACGCATACGCTGATTTCTCCCAGCCCGCTCCAGCTTGTCTGCCGCTCGCGAGCTCGTCCCGTGTCCGGTCCTGCCGTTTGGCTGGCCTGGTGGCTTTCTTCTCTCGAGGTGCGGTTTCTCCATTGTGTTTCAAACTCTCCTCATAATTTTCACTCGGCTTGATACTCGTCAAAATCTCCCCATTTTGGTTGACGTGCTTCTCATAGATTGTTCTGTCCTCGTCCAGTGGTTGTCTATCCTTGTGACCATTAAGCAGTGGCCGAGGGGCAAAGCCGTTGACCGCGCTCTTGTGCTTCGGATTAGGCTCTCGTTCGACAGCGTCCCCGTTTAGGCCGTCCGTCTCGGGTTTTGCTGCTTCAGCGTAGGACTTCGGTGGTAGATCATGCTCAGCACGTTCCTCTGGCTGCGAAGGCTCCGAGTTCAATTGTCCCTGGCCCTCGATTGCGGTCGACGCCATCTCAGTGTAGTGGGAGAGCGAGTCGCTGTGAAGTGACTCGGCGCGCTCACGGAACCAGGCAAAGTCAGAGTCGCCTCGTTGGAGCATCAATCAAAAGCATGCGCACTGCCGGCAGTTCACGCGTGAAGCTGGAGAATAAAAAGAAAAGCTGAGACGGGCCAGGAAATAGTGGAATACGAGCAAGTGCTGCGCGGCCATGACATGATTGGCGTGTTCACAAGCTGGAATTACACTGAGTAAAATATCCGACAGTGACGTCAATCGCATTCACCACCTGTTGGCGCCCCATTTGTACGTGCTCCGTATCCCCTGCCCAGATGCCCTTTGGCGTGTACATTATTCATAAACCCAACTCCGTCCACATAAGAATGGCCTTCGTATATGCAACATATCACAACTCAACGCTGCAATCTAGAAGAATGTGACTGCTGTCCAAGCATTTTGTCAAGGGAAAATTGCTCAAAATCATCCACACAAGGCCTCCCTAAAGTTCCTTTGTCGCGACACCAAACTGCATGTTCTCACTGTCGAAAACGGCGAAAACGGCCTTGAGGAAGATATCGCCGTAGATCGACAGGCCAATGCCCTGGTTGCTCTGAAGACCACCATAGCAGCCTATTCATGGACCCATTAGTCATCACATCCCGGGAAGGTGGTGAGTGGTTTGACTTACTTGACGAGCCTGAAGAGAGGGGAGCGAAGTTCATGAATGACCCAGGAATCACGGCGGTGGTATCACCAATGCCGACACCGAAATCTGGGAGATCCGTAGAACATGGGAAAGTATAGCCACCTTGAGTGTTGTCATAGCGGGCACCATCAACAGCGTCGTAATATGCAGAAACAATGTCATCATCCATAAGGAGAAGAGTGGTGCCAGTGTCGGCGATGGCATCAATGCTGGCTGACTGAAACTGTCCATCGCCAACCTGGTAACCGGTACCAGTAAACTCCCAAAATCCTCGGGAGTTGTCGATCGGGGTATAGGTGATCTCACCCGTGTGCTTGGAGTCGTCGATGAAGCCGAAATCGTAGCTACCAGGGACGCCTTTCTTCAAGTCCACAGTGAACACATTCTGAGCAAGAACACCTTGGTTGATTGCAGTGTCGAAGAACGTGGTCTGTTGCTGGGGTTTGACTGGAACACATGTCAGCGTCGACCATCCCCTGTCTTACACAAAAGACTTACCGGTGTTGATGGAGCTGAATCCGAGCCCAAGCAGGCCGTCGTTGTTCTCATCCTGCTGGAATTGGGCACTGACTGTCTTCGCAAGCTCGATAGCTTGTCCAGTCACAGTCGTGCCACCGATGTCGACGGTGTCAGTGTAGACGTCACCGCTGGCACTGGACCCATCCCCGTATGAGATGCTCCAGGTGGCCCCGTTCAATTTCTTGGCAGTGCTCGATTTGGAGGGGTCGTAGATACTGTGACCCGCTTGCACCGAGCTAGACAGCTCGGACGAGAACACCCACCTGCTTCAGTTAGTCATCCGTGCCTAAAATCCGCAAGATGGTAGGACGTACAAGTCGGAAGAACCGGTGTCGAAATCCAGGTTCAAAGTCTGCCCTCCGATGGTGACTGGGCAAAGGTATAGAGCATCAAATTGCTCCGGTGTGGCGACAACTGAGCCGTCGGCGGCCGCGGCCTTCACCTCTTCGGGAACAGCCGCATTGAACTTGAGATAGGTCTTTTCCAAAGCCACAGGACCAGCCTGGTACGGCTTTGGGACACTTTGGGGGAGAGTGAACCCTCTCCTTGGCGCAACTTGTTGAGGAACGGGAAGAGGCTTGGCGAGAGCAGTGCCCGTCAGGGCCGAGGCTGCCAGCAAGATTGAGAAAGAATGCATCTTGAAGGATCAATGGATGAATGAGCTTGAAGGAATGAACGAGCGAAGTCGAAGAGAAATGGTCAACGAATGTATACCTTGCTGTTGAGAAGGAGAGAATGGCTGGCGAGAAGATACTTTCGTCGAGAGCCCTGCCATCCATTCTTATATATCAAAAACGTGGTGGCGTTGTCAAGTCTTCATCTTGATGTGTACAGGCCCAACCTTGCTGATAGCCTGTTCCGAGACTGAGACGGGTCATAGCAATGACACAATCAATCCAGTCGGCGGGGATTATCGACATTGCAAGGACTCCAGAAAAGGACGTGCGCCACGGAGAAGACGACAATTTGAGAAGGTCGCAGAGATACCAGGAGACGGCACTGTTCGGTACATGGCGACCGTCGTCGTGATTCGAGAAGGCGGGAGAGCATATCAAGCATTCGGGCGTTGCTTTCAAGGCTTCAATCTGCCAAGTGAGGGCTGGAACACCCCGCCATTGGGCTGCAAGTCATCACGGCAAGCTCATCAAGGAGTCGACGCTGTCTTAGCATGGCGCCCTCCAAGAAATTGGCGGATCGCATGAATGTGGAGGCGGATGCAACGAGGAACGGCTGTTTGAGAAGAAGCTTAAACCTGCTGCTGGTGCAGTGACGACGGTGATGGAACAAGTTGTTGCTGGCAGGTTAAGATGAGGTCGCGAGACGAAAGTGAGCGGGAAGTGAGTGATTGGAGAGAAGCGCGTCCACGCTAGCAATGCACGATCGACCGCGTCTCGTGAACGGAACCTCAATCCAACAAATGGCCATCAAACTCCCCGTTTCAGGTGTTTCGCACTCTGGACACCTCAATATTGCGCAGTAGTCCTGGCCGTGCCTGGCTAGACTCCGCCGCCCGTGTCGTTCCTCGATTGGATGATCTCGAGATGAAGCATCAGTAGCTGCATGCAGATGAGGCTCAATGGCGCAACCTGTCATCCCCCAATCATGACAGCCCTGCCTCCTGTTCATGCAAGCTTTTGGTGATCTTAGTGCAGATCCGACAGAATAAGCTCAGTCGCTAAGTATCCCTCCTCCGTCAGATCAAACCTTCGTGCAGATCATGGGTTTCAGATCGCTCCTCTCAGCTTCTGTGCATTGTACCTCTGAACGTGGCGAGGCTCTTGATCAGGCTGGTTCGACAGCGGCGCGCCCGTCTTTTGAGATTGCGCTTGATTGCAAGCCACCTATGAGCAGGCTGGGACGTCTGCGGGAGGCGTCGGCGAGGGCCGAATACGTCAGATCCACACGCAGAACTGGTTGAGACGCTTTGTGACAGCTACAAACCTCATTTGGCAAGTCGGTAGCCTTATGGTTACTAGGACGACTATACTGTCACTGCCCCACACATGGGATAGTCTTCGCAAACGTGAATTTGAGACTACTCATAAACGAATGAAACGCTTCAATATGCTTCTCGTGGAACGCCACAAGACTACGCAACAAGCTAAGCAAGCTGGTACGATTTGTATTTTCAAAAAATTACCATAACGGAAGCTGTTCCGTTCAGGGGGAAGGTCGCGGGCGCCGTGGGGGTCCTGGACTATGAGGCTTGGGAGGGTCAGGCCGAGCCACTCCTGCCGCAAGGCCGGCTAGTGTGGTAGCCGCGTCGCTCTCTGACCGGTTGAGGCCGGGCCTGCCGTCATCGCGGGCTTGCTGGCGTATCTGGAGTGGCTCGGTCATAGGGCGAGGCGGTTCCATGGCGCGGGCAAGATGTGGGAGGCTGGACGTGCCTGCAGATGGTGCTCGAGGAAGTGGGAGATGCCGGGGACTTGCTGCTGGGTGATAGTTTGACAGTTGATCTTGTGATAACAATGGTGGCAGCTGGGTTGGACTGATCTGCTCCCTGCCTTGGGTCGAATGAGGGTAGGAACCGGGTAGGGCTCTTGGCGTCTCTTGGTAGCCCCGAAATTCAGGCGGTCGACTTCTCCATGACGATTCTTGCGTTGTGGGTGAGGGCAAGTTCTGCTGGTATGAGAGCGAACCTTGCCCGGGTGGGCTGATCCCGACGTTCGACATATGGGAAGGCACAGGTTGCTGCGATTGCACGAAGTAAGACAACCTCGACCTTGCGAGAGGATCATGGCCCGGCGCAGAATCCCCAGCTGAGGCGCTTGGAGTGAAAGTCGGCAGAGGAGGTGTTGCTGAAGGCGCACCAAGTGACAGACCTGCAGTGCGGGTGACTGTGTCAGGCACCTCACTCTTTACCGTGGCCGATTCGTCAGAGACGGAGCTGTGCCCAGAGATGAGCCCTGGACGGAAGTGCTCTCGACTCTGCAACGCTGGTGGGGGACTCCCGCTGCGAGAAGAGGGCAAACGAGGTCGCGGTGGTGCAGGGGTTCCTGAGCCCGTTTGCTGTGTCCCTCCACCGATGAATGGAGACGATGCAGAAGAGCCCATCGAGCTGCCTCTGAAATGACCAGATGGTGGCGCGGTTCCCTCGTGGCTTGCTTCAAAGGACTTTGTAGAAATTATGCTGCCACTAGACTCGGGCTCAAGCTTAGGCCGCTTTGCCTCTGCTGTTTGCCCGTGTTTGGCCTTGAAGTCGGCGAGGTAGGCCATATACTCCTTGTATTCATCCGTCTTGCGGTACACGGACAGCTGGATGTTATACCTCTCCTTTGCCGCGCTTGCCTGGGCCTCGAATGGCTCTTTGCCAGCTGGATCCAACTTTTGCCATCGGTCTCCAACAAGTTTGGCTATTTGTGTAAATGATAGGTTCTGGTCTTTGACTTCCTCCCTTATTCTATTAGAAAATATCACGTAGGCAGAAGGAGGGCGCTCGGGGGCATTCTCATCGGGCTTGGGATGACGCCTGTACTTTCTCTTTGCCTCGGGGGGAGGGCCAGATGGCCTCTCGGCCTCTGACGGGCCAGCGACGACAGCTTCGGTCGCTCTGCCACTCTCTGGCTGTGCCTCCTGGGCAGCAGAGCCGAGGAGTCGCTCGAAAGGGATTCCTCGGTATTCAGCGATCGCCCGCTGTAATTTCTTGGGAAAAAAATGTCAGTCTGAGCGGCTTCCGGCAACTGAAGTCACGGGCGACTCACCCTTCGATGGCCAAGTTTGACATTGAGGGCGTCGCTATTACTAGGTCAGTGTGTCATCGACGGGCCCAGTTGGGAAGAATGCTTACAAGTCACTCTCTTGAATATCGGTCAAGGTTTCCCAAGTGTCGAACCCTTCACTGATGAAAAGGTCGAGATACTGCTCAAGGCCAAGGCGCTCGAGAATGGGTGCGAGATCGCTCATTCACGCAGACGTAGTATGTCATCGAACCAGGACTGTTGCAACCCTCTACGGAGCGATGCTCGACGACCGAGCCACTCAGCCTGGCCGATAGGCTTCCCAAGCTGTACGACGAACCGCGAAATACGCCGACCTCTTTGGCATGTGTAAGCTTCGTAGTAGCCACGCAGATCTCAACCGGTCGTGGCCTGATAACTCTTCGCTCGACAAATATAGTAGCTGTGCTTCCTTGATGATCATAGAGCTATGGGAGGATGGCCCTAGCGTTTCTTGATAGCCAGTCGACAGACGTCGTTGTTGCGCGCTGGTGATAATGTCTGCACAGCTCTGGCCTAAGTCGAATTCCAGTTGTTCAGAAGAGGGAATACCCCCTTCGATACTTGGTGACTAAATTTGATGACCGAGGATGTGATGACAGCGATCGGGGTGCGATTCTTCAGGGTCTTGGGGGATCTGCCTCGATACCACACAACTCTCCAGTGGCATATAGTGGGGTCAGGACAGGCGAGAGGGACAGCGAGCTGCAAGACCCTGGTGACGGCAACAGAATGGTGAGGCTCCAATTCGGATCGAGCTCGGGATGAGAAGATTGGGATTGTGTTCCCGATCTCAGACCGGGAAAATTGTGGTTCCGATGTCGAAGGAGTGGCAGCCCAGACCAGCCGGTAGTCCCCAGACAGAGGGGAGTTTGTGGTAAAAGTCGATACTCGAGTAACGCAAAAGGACTCACGAGAGGCAGGAACCCCGCCTAGCACCCCTGACAATGATCTGACGGAGAAGAAGAGGCGACAAGCGCCAGTGTATGGAGAGATTGGACAAACGGCGGGAACACGCCCCGGCAAAATAGTCTATAGGCTGGCCATTGTCTCGGAAGGTGGTGATGCGAAGGGAAAAAGAGGCCAAGGTCACAGAGTCGAAGCCGTGGATACCGACAATCAAGATGATGCAAGGACCAACGTCTCCGCCCGGTGTGTCTCCATCCAACGACTAGCGACGAGAATCATTATCGAAGAAAGGGTCCTGGGATACGGTGGGAAGAATGGATTTCGGGAGCATTCGTGAAGCCGTGCAGCTTCGCAGCGTCGCCTGTTGGAACTCTGTACCCGTAACCGAGCTGCTAGAGCTCTCTCACAGGCTGGTACTTCCCGCTCACTGGCAGCCTTTTCGCCGCTGACTACCCGCCAACTAAGAACAACCTGATTAAGCCACCTGTGGAGACTCGGTGATGCGCCGTGGAGGGGACGAGCACCTTCAGCATGATCACGGACTACCTGAAGGCAACCCTGGTGCCGCCCCCAGGCCGGATTACGGAAGCCCAAGAAGCTCAGTCGCCCGTCCACATATAAAGGGTGTGCGGCAACATGTTCTGTGGCGCATGAATTCAGCTCTTCCACAAAGAATACGACACGATACGACGACGCGAGTATATCCCTTTCCGCTCACTATGGTCTCAACCTCGACAGTAGGCGGTGTTGACGAGTGCTTGACTCGATCCTGACTTGTCATCCATATGGGCTCCGAAATTTTGGGTTTCGAACGCGCTGGAACTGGGGAAATGCTTCGAGGGTCTTCAATGCAACGGAACAAGGCTCTCCGAGGGTGCTGAGCGGCTGATACAAGCATGCAATGGGCCCCCGATAAGGTAAATCGAGGATCGGCCCCCTGCACCAAGTCGGGACATGGTCGACATAACAGGAAATATAGACGGCAGATCTGGCGGCCGAACAGAAACGTTTAGAGGATTCCCTCTCTATCGCAACAGTCGACGGGTTCGAGGATTGTCACGGACAAGTCGAGGAATGCAACCATGCTTGCGCAAGACCCTCTGGTCAAAGTCTTGAAACCCCGATTGCTATACAAAACCACGATCGTGAGAAGTGGGTGATTTTGTCAGATGTTCCAGCAAATGCTCGATCCCACCGACAGCCTTGGACCATCTTAGAATTCTAGCCTAGCAATCGTCAGCCCCAAGGCTCCACGTCGATGCTTTCCTGGCCAATCCGTCCCCGCGGAGACTATTATGAACATAAGATCGAATTCCTGTTTTGAGCACTTTTTCTGAGTGTTTAGTGGCTCCTTACAGCGGCTCTGTCAGTGCGGTGCTGCAGTAGGAGCACCAGGGCACGGGTCGCATTGCGTCTAATCGGGTCTCGGTAACGACATGTGGTAATGATCTGTCGGATATCCAGTGCCGAACAGTTCCCACGTAACGCCATTTGCTCCTTTACTCCACTTGATAGTACTCCTGACACTGTCTGCGAGATGCAGTAGGCTTGAGAAAACGTGCTAGCCACCTGAGCTTCACTTGACTTTCAGCCGAGGATTGTTGGCATTGGCCTCGCGATAGTGCAGCAGGTCCCCTGCTGCCTGTTGGCCACACGAACCTTTAAACAAGCGGCATGACGACGCTGACGTAGGAGCGTGGGTCAAACCCCGGGATTCGGCAGCATCTGTACCTACGCGATCTTTAATTCGGAAGGTTGTCCAGAGTATGCGACGGACACGCCGAGGAGCTGAAGAGGCTTGAATGTTTCATGAAGCGGTCAGACTACTCGTATTCTTCAAAGAATTAATTTTGTGGGATGCAATACGAGGTACTTGGACTTAGGTGGGGATGAGGAGCAGTGACCGTTCACCTTTTTACTGCTGAAACCGGGTACCCAGGACCCAATGTGCCAGTATTCGTGCGTCCCTGATCAGCAAATCGGCTTCTTTCGTCAAAGATCGACGCATCCGAGGAATTTAGGATGGGTTATGCCTCTGTGCCTAATGCGCTTTTGCGCTTTTTGGCAAAGCGGATACGACTTGGCACTTCCACAATTGTAGCAGACAACGTGGCATTTGAACAGCTTTGTGAAGCAAAAAGGTCCGGTGCTTTGACTTATATCTCCGCACATAACAGTTCCAGGTTCTGTGAATGGTAGTCGAGTTCGATCCCCAAAATCAGTGTAGGATGAGTGAGCTCTCGAGGTGCTTGATGTGCCTATTACTGTACTTGTGAGTTTCCATGAATCATCGCTTCAACCTTCGTTCGCAGCGTCGTGATGGGGACTTCGGACAGGGCTCGCTCATTCTCGGCTTTTCACGAAAAATTCTTTCCACATTTTAGGGCACCGGAAGCCATGGATATGGGGACGTTGCAGTGACTGGCTCTGACCCAACGTCTGCATGCAAGGTTTGTAGAGAATTCATTGGTCGGAACCACCAACTTGCGCACTGAAGTCTAAAACAAGAAAACAGGTGGGGCTTTCGTGGGCTGATTTTACTATAGCCGCAGACGTGGCCAAGCCTAATTTACTGTGGGCTGATGGGTTATTCCTTTATCGATAGAGGCCCCTCCGTCGGGGGTGAGAGCTGGGCAGTCGGGACCTTGGCTTCCGCGTTGGCTCGCCTACTGAACTCATTTTGTACTCCATTCCACCCAGTAATTACTGCGTACCCTACGCAAACATCGGGGGCAGCTATCAATACTTCTTACATTATTGCTCCTCAGACGCCACGGACGTACGGGAAGACCCTGCGTCCATCCTCGCGTAAAACCTACAATCTCCTGATTGTCGGTGCAGGCCCGGACACCTTGAATTGGGTGCTTTAGCAAGCTCATTTCCGATCGAGATTCCCGACACACCACAGCACCTCCACATCTGGAAATGGCACAACAGAAACCCAACGCCCAGAAGGTGGACGAGCAGTCCCAATCAGACCGCAGCCCAGAGGACGCCAATCCACAAATGCTAACTTCTGAGATGGCAAAGGTATGCCAACCCTACCAGGAGCTCGAGTGCTATTCCGTGTTTGCTTGCTGACTTCTCCACGACGGCTCATGAGAAAAGGCATTTCAAGAACTTGCACAGTCAGTGTCTCCACCCTCGTGTTCTGTCCCCTTCCCGGTCCACTTGCTGACCGCCTTTGCAGAGGAGAACGGACAGCCTCTGCCCTAGAGTCCAAGCTGGACGGAATACATCGGAACCTTGACCGTCTCTTGGCGAGTTTCGAAGAGATGGCTCAATCCAGTGCAGAGAATAAACCTTCAGGTCCTCCCACCTCGAATTAGCTTCACGCATACGCGGCGCAAGACGCATGGGCGGAACCACCTTTTCACACGTGCCGGTCGGCTGATCCTACAAGCCACCGGTCTTATGCCTGTCGCTTGGGACTACCTCCACCGTGTTCCTCGTCGTCTAACCGAAGACTGAGATGCCATTGTATTCTGAGAATTCGTGAAGGGGAGTCTCCAGGACATTTACGCCCCTAAAAATGCTTGCAGCAGCTTCACGACTGCTGGAAGATGGGTTCGAAGTTGAACCTCCCGTTGACCTTTTCAACAACGCCAACTTCGGTGATCACTCCATCGATGAGCTCGGCAGGGGTCACATCGAACGCAGGATTCCATACCTCAATCCCAATCGCAGCGGTGCTCACCACCTCTGAGCCTTCGTCCAGGAGTAGCTTTCCCTCCGCGGTGACCTTTGGGCCTTTGATCCTTGTCACTTCCTCCGGCGCCCGTTCCTCGATGACGATATCTTCACCTGAAGCTGTGTCTCGGTCGATGGTGGTTCTGGGAGCAGCAACCAGAAATTTAACACCATGATGGCGTGCAAGCACAGCTAGAGAATGAGTTCCAATTTTATTCGCTGTGTCGCCATTCGCCGCAACACGATCCGCTCCCACTACAACCGCGGCTAGACGGTCTCCCTCCTTGTTCATCAACGCACAAGCCATTGAATCTGTGATCAACGTGGCCGGGATCTCGTCGTGGACCAACTCATATGCAGTCAATCGCGAGCCTTGGTTGTACGGCCGAGTTTCCGAGCAATACGCCCGGGTGAGCATGTCGGCGCTTCTTAGTGACCTGATCACACCGAGAGCGGTACCGTAACCTGCAGTGGCTAAGGAACTGTGAATCTGGTCAGCCAATGCCGCTTTGCCAGGCAGTCCCTCCCTTACCCTGTGTTGCAATGTGTCAAGACTTCAAGCTGTTGAGATGTGTCTGCTTTCCTCTTCCTCCCTGCCACAGTATTCTCTTCAATCCACCGGGCGCCATGCTCACCAATGGCTTTATTGTCAGACACATCGTCAACCAGCATTTGTTCTGCAGCCAAAATATATGCTTCAGCGACAGACTTCGCAGATGCTTCAGATTGTAAGGTCGCTCGCTTCGTCACAATTTTCAGTTTCCCAACAGCATCGCCCAAGTTGACTGCCGTGGGCCTGCTCGTCTTGAGGTAATCTAACCGCTGGGCAATGCTGTCCTTAACATCATTTGGCACAGCAGGTAATCTCCGCGCGACGATCTCGTTTCCAATTTCAACAGCAAGGGCCAGGGCAGCGACGATGGCGATTGCTGGTGCGCCGCGAACCTTCATCTGCTTGATAGCGGCATGAGCTTCTTCGCAGGTCGACATCGCTACATACGTCGTTCGGTGAGGCAACTGGAGCTGATCGAGGATGCGCAAAGCTGGCCCGGAATGGCCCGAAGCGGGCTCATACTGAATTGCCTGCAACACCATTGCTGACGGGGATATAGATGATTACGATTAACCGGGAGACTAGGTATGTGCTCACGACGAATATAAGTCTCTCACATATTTGCCATCCTCAGTTGCACTGTTTGCCGCCCACAACTTTTTCTCACGCCATTGCGGGGTAAAAAACTAGACAGATTTTGTTACCCCTCACCACATATTGTTGGCGTGTCGGGCTTTCTCGCTGCTGGCCACGTGCGTCTGAGTTTCACCTCAGTTTTACCTTTACGACTAGCACTACTGTAATGGCAAAGTCAGCAATCGCTGAGGTAGCCCAGTCTGGCTTTGCTCCAGCTGCTGCTTATGATGCCTATCGCCCGACATATCCGGACGAGGCAGTCGCGCAGCTCCTGCAAGCACTGGAGGTCACGGGCGTCAAAGGAGCAAAAGTCGCCGATCTCGCAGCTGGCACTGGCAAATTCACCGAGATACTAGCAAGAAGACCGGAAGAATACGACATTGTTGCCATCGAACCACACGATGGGATGCGAAGTCAATTGGAGCAGAAGAGCCTACCTCGTGTGCGGGTCGTGAAAGGAACGGCGGAGAACATGTCGGACGTGCAGGATGAGAGTCTGGCGGCCGTCCTCGCAGCACAAGTGAGTATAGGCACGGAATTGACTGGGTAGCAGATTGTTGATCTGCTTCGTAGTCATTTCATTGGTAAGTATCAACGTCGCAGCTCGTCACGTCTCATCTTCGGCGAGGGCTCAAAATTTGACGACGCCTCCAGGTTTGCCAATATGGACGCCTTGAAAGAAATCGCGCGAGTGCTTAAGCCCACAGGCGTTCTAGGATTGATCTGGAATATCGATGACTGTACGCTCACTACCTAGTCCGTCCATGATAGCGGCGATGCTCATGATCGTGACCTAACAGACAACGCACCGAAGTCATGGTCAATCCACGACGGCTGGGAAAAGACCGTGCAGGAGGTTGTCTGGACGTTCGCCGACGATGCGCCACGCTTTCGGCACGAGAAGTGGCGGCAAGTCTTCGACGACCAAAACGCGAGTAATCCGCTGAGCTTGCATTTCGCCGACCCGCTGTTCGGCCTGCCATTAGGTGAAGGTTCCGTCGAGTTCACCACCTGGCTGTCGAAGGAGGATCTCTGGGGTCGATTAAGGACGTTAAGTCAGCTGGCAGTGCTGGAAGGTGAAGAGTTGGAGCATGTAAGAAGGAGGTTTGAGGAGAGTCTGGAGTCGGACGGCACGCAGGTAGATGACGCTGGGAGGATTGCCGTTCATGGTCGGACTGTCTTCTTCTGGACCAGCAAGATACCTGCTGAACCGCTCATAAGTGGTGGCTAGATGCGTGCCGGGCGTAGCAGTACTCTCGATGCATCTGTGGTTAGCTAGCCTCCGGCGTTGATATCGCTTCTTAAGAGCGCTGGCCGAACAAACTTGCTTCGTTTGCATCCGCAGCATCAGCGGTTGACAGTCTCTCGATCCAGACGTGTTTCGTGCTCCATCGATTCCGTCATGTCGGGTCATGCTACGCCATCGGTTCGTGGCATATCTTTCACGCTCCGCTCTCCGCCTTCCGATCATTCGAAGATCGGGTCGACAGCTGCGTAGCTTTTAGCGAGCGACATTCAGCGATCCCAGGCCCACGGATTGACGCGTCGAGCTTCTCGCCTCGCTCCTTGGTATTTTCGCTCTCCCTTCCGTCCTCCATCAATCAGATCCCAGACATTCGGCTCTGACTCGTCCGTTCGCTCACTCGCTCGAGATGTAAAGCACTAAACACCGCAAAATAATCGTCAGCCTCGGCACCGGCGCAAAAATCCATTCAGCGGTCGGCACTCAGGCGTTTTACACAGCTAGACCATTCGGGTAGTGCGAAAACGTACCGTTATTCCCCCTGACGAAGGCGTCGCCATACCTCCTCCGCAACTTGCCCTCGACGTACTCTGCGCACTTCTCCAGCGCGATGTTCATGTATCCGTCCACGCTTTGTAACTCGCCCTTGTACACGACGCCGGAGTTGAGCTTGACCGTCACGGGCACGCCGATGATCGAGGACAGGAAGGAGGCCGGATCTTTGGGGTCTGCAGCAGTTATCGAGGTTGTGTTTGTGTTTGTGGTGTGGTTTTCTGCCATGTTTTTGTGCTTCTGGACTCTGTCTTCTGGCCTGCCTTTTTCGGGACGGGAGTTTGGGCAATCGGTAAGGTCCTGGGTGGGAAGGTGGGCTGGCTAGCAAGGTATGTGCGGCTTCTGACCCTAGGTAGGTAGCTTGAGGACGGACGGGCAGAGAGGCGTGAGGTCGGTTGTGTTTGTGGAATTTGTGCTGTCTATGCGGTGAGTATATGCGCGTGCGGTAGAGGAGCTGAGGAGTAAGTACGGTAAGGTTGTGGTGATGGTGCGCAATGCCAACTGTGTATTCGTTTGTGGGCCGAACTGTACGAGTGCGTATATGTATTAGTGCATACTCCGTACTGTGTAGAGATAGCCAGCCTCGCAGATGCAAGGGACGCGGGGCGGACGGGCTTGGCAGCTCAAGCAATGAGTTATGTAACTGCTCCTCACTGGGCGCATCTTGACACTCATCCGACCCGCACCGCCTGTAGGCGCTCCTCACCTCATCCTCGACTCACTTGTCCTTGACTCCTTGTCAAAGTAAATCTCCGCTATTCTCGGTCACACTACAGTATTCCTGTTCCGCACGACTGGAAATCATCAACGATGAAGATCTTTCATGCTGGGAGAGATCAATTTGTTGGCCTAGTTCATCGCATGGCCATTAGCAGTCGCGACCATTCAAACAAATGAGCCACCTCCGTACCACCACGAAGTCTGAAAACGACTCTTGGCCGCCTGTGAGGCTTCGGACTTGCCATCTTTCGACACCCACACAACAGCCTTGGACCACACACGCTTTCTGTCATAATTCTTGCCGTCACTGGTTCCATACCCGAGTATCAGCGGCTGGACCACACACGGGATCGGCCTCCCGTCCAGGGACACATCACCTTCCTCCACACCCACGGCTCGTGCCAGCTCCATTCTTTCGTCCGATACTTTGTACACATCCCTCTCGAACGAGTTAAGGCAAAAATACTGGACGTCGTACTTTTGTGACCAGATCTCGATCGCAAAGTCCCCAAATGCCGCGACGATGCTGAGCAGGTCCCCTTTGGCGACTTCATCCAGTCCAGACCGCACGAAATCCTTGCAGAAATCGAGGAGCTCCTCCTCCATATACTTCTTATACGCGTTTTGAATCTTCTCTCGCGCATACGGCGAGCCAGCAAGCGTCTCCACAGTCGCTGCGCGCCAGGCATGAACCCCCGCCTCGTGCCCCTCGTGGTCTGTCAAGTCGTGTCAGTTTCGAAATGCTCGAGTCCTGTCATCCGGAAACTTACAACTCATCATTTTCTTCAGCAGCCTTCCCATGGCAAGGTCGGTATCGATGCGTTCTGCCTTTGGAAGATTTACATTCGTGATAGGGCTGGAGTCCTCCGCGAACCAGAAAGGATTTCTCAAGAAGTCTTGACAGAAACGCCTCGCAAGAGCAGTATTGAGCAGTGTGTCGATCGCCGTCTCATCTCCAAAGTCGAATTCCAGATTGGGCTGAGCTCCCAGCTCGGCGACCCACCGGAAAATCCCATACTTTTGCCATTTTAATTTACTGTCAGTATCGTCGAGAATTGTTCTGTCCTCGGTGGCGTTGTCCCTCGCCCATTCGGCAATGCTTTCGAAGAGCTCCTTAAATTTTGTTCTGATTCGATCGTCTGGTAATGCAGCGGAGAGCGACCGGGCGAGCACACTCATCGCAGCGTTTTGAGCTTTGGTAACGGACATTTCTTGCTGCTCAATATGAGCTCGCAGCTTCTCATTTTCCGCTGCCGCTTTCTTAAATCCTTCATGGTGGTGCTCTGCCTCTTTGCGCAATGCTACTATGTCGAGCTTTTGCTGTTTAATGGTTTTGTCCTTGTTGGCGCAGCTGGTGGCTAGGGATTGATGCTGCCTGCTGAAGTCGCACATCTGCTTCTCCTTCGCCTCCTTTTCTTGGTTGTACTTGTTATTGAAGTACGCAATCGACTGGTCCTTTTGAGCAATTTGGTCGCTTAGGGTCCTTTTGTCCCGTTGAGCTTGCAGGAGGTCTCGTTGGCTATTTGTCCATTTCGTTTCCAACCCTGAAATGACGTTCTGAAGCTGCGCGATCTTTGCGACCTCGCGTGTTAGCGCCGAGATCTTATCGGCGGCCTGGGATTTTTCATTTGCGAGGGCGTCTTCGAGTTTTGCAATTTTATTGGCACTGTCTGCGAGTCCAGCCGCAAGCCCGGTGTCATGGTCTCGAGCATTTGTGCTTTGAACGCTGGACAATCGATCCTGAAGCTTCTGGAGTTCGTCCCGGAGCTCTCGGTTATCGCTCTCTAGCTTCGAAATACCTCGAAGCTCCTTTTCAGCCGGTCGACGAATCGGGACATCACTGACTTGTTTCTCGGGCCGTTGACTGGCGGCTTCCGAAATCTTTGGTGGAGATGCCTCCCGTGTCGGCTTAATGATAAAACCGAGATTGAGAGCTTGTGATGAACCCGGAAGGGATCTGGACGTATTTACCGGGTTGGCTGGACCACGTGCTTCTGTCTTCGATGTTCGTGGTTTTCTGTTTTCTGCTGAAGCAACATCCTCCATCTCCATGATCAGATGACCCTTGGCCGAGCAGGAAATTTGGCTTACCTGGACATCTCCATCGCGAGGATCAGGCTTTTGGGCTCCATGAGACATCGCTCTTGGTCTTGGTTTGGTCACTTTTGACTTCTCCTGTGTTGATTGTTGCTTTGCAGAGTCAAGAGTGACGGCCTTTCGCGGTCCCTGAGAGGAAGACATTGGGCATGCGAAACTCGAAGATTGCTTCAGGAGGCTGAATTGATAGATTTGGCCTCTAGGACTTTTACCGCCGCAATTGTGCTCAGCCGCGGTCGGTTTGCCTGCTGCGGGCCATTCAAGGCGGGCTGCTGAAGGATGGTTGCACAAATACGAGGACTTGCATGCATGGGTGGAGTTGGCATTCCGCTAACTTTCAGTTCTTTTCCAATCCGCACATGAAGAGTTTGGGTCGGGGGCGGCTGGCGGTAAAGTGTGGCTTTGTACTGTACGGTAACAGGTGAAGGTGCGAATCAGGCTGAGACCAAAGGTTGCCTTGTGCCCGATGGGGGCGGCACTTCCTGACGAGTCTCCCCTTCCTCAAACAAGAATATTTGAGCATTCATTTCAGCCGCATCGAGAGCGTGCTCATTGTCGAACTCGTCAATCCGTAGGTTTGTTCGTCGCCGCAAGCTGACACAATGGTCCAAGGTCTCCAAAATCAAGTTCAAGCCCTCTCGCTGAGACATGTCCCGGCTCGGAGGACAAAATTGATCGTTGGAATAGATTATGGCACCACTTTCACAGGTAAGCTCACTCGAATCATTTCGAGCCCCGTTCGTTGATGGCTGCAGGGGTGGCATTTGTCCACGAGAACGCTACGGATCCGAAGGAGATCAAAACTTTCACGGACTGGCCTGGTGCTTTACGCGAGAACAACGAGCACAATGAGAAGACACCATCCGTGATATCCTATGCCTCTGAGAATCCTGAGCAGGAAGGCCAGGATGCTTGGGGTTACGAGGTAGAGCCGGGGAGTAAGAGCTATGCTTGGACGAAGCTCCTCTTAGATGCACGCTCGCAGGCTGCAAGGTATGATGACCCAACTTTGCGCACTCATATGGGCCGCGGCTTGCTGCAGCTCCCGCCAGGCAAGAAAGCTGTCCAGGTCGTGGGTGACTATCTCAAGAAAGTGCACGACCATCTGATAGACGCCATCATCGAGAAGTGTGGTGGCTCTGATATTTTGGATGTCACCCCGATCGAATACTGGTTGACCGTTCCTGCCATCTGGTCAGACAAAGCCAAGGCTGCCACGAGGGAAGCAGCCCTGTATGCTGGGTTTGGTTCGAGAAGGATAGACGAAATCAACCTCATTCCGGAACCCGAAGCGGCTGCGATGTTGGCTCTCAAGACCAGTGTGTCGGAGACAGATTCCTTGGTTAAGCCGAACACTGGCGTTCTCGTCTGTGACTGTGGTGGAGGCACTGTGGACATCACCAGCTACACCATCGCCCGCACTGTGCCGACATTGGTGCTGAATGAGTCAAGCAAGGGCGATGGCGCAAAGTGTGGTGGCACGTATATCGACCGGAACCTCCACAAAATGATGGCCGAGCGCTTTGGCAAAGCATTCACAAGCCTGCCAGCTGACCGCACCGGACCGAACAGCCGGTTCATGGTCACCTTCGAAAGCAGGAAGCAACAATTCAGCGTTGCAAACACCCGAAAATCCTACAAACTCCCGCTCATCATGCCGGAGCTCGAAAAGAAGTCTGTGACGACTCCCGGCTACGACAAAAAGTACAAAGACGTCATCCTTACAGAGGCCGACATGCTTCAATGCTTCGAGCCCGTCGTCCAAGGCATCATCGACCTCATAAACGACCAGGTACAGAGTGTGAAGAAAAGGGACGAGCCCGAAGTCAAAACCGTTGTCTTGGTTGGAGGTCTCGGCTGCTCGAAGCATGTGAGGGACTCGGTGAAGAAGTGGTGCGAAGAACGAGAGATCAGAATGGTGACCCCTTGGTCTGGAGCGTCAGTATTGCTTTGCCTCCACCATGTGACGTGCCGCTAACCGTCAAAAGATGGTCCGCTGTCGCACGAGGCGCAGCCCTTCATGGTCTCGGGGCCGTGAAAATCGAGAAACGTATCACCAGACGTCACTACGGGCAAGAGATAGCCGAACCATTTGTCGAAGGAGTTGATAAGACGTCGGGGCCGCTGTGGGACAGGAGATGGAAGGATTTGTGGTCAGGCGAAACCATGATCAACGGCCACATGCAATGGCTGGTTGCAAAGGTACGGTATACCCAGAGATGCTCGAGCACAGCTGACAATGTCAGAACACCGTGTTTGAGGAAAGCACCGAGATCGTGTCGTCATGGATCACCCACTGCCATGAGAGCGGCGCGAGAATCTCATCCAACAAGATTTACTCGTATGCCAAGGATAAAGCACCCAACGATTTGTCGGCCAAAGGTACCTACTGACCTACCTATGCCCCTGCGAATCGCGACGCCGAAAGCCACAGATCGCTAATATGCTCGGTGCAGGTGTCGTCACCGTGGGTAATCTCCTGGTCAACTTCGCGGATGTAGATCTGAGCCGATTTGAATGCAAGGAGGACGACGAGGGCGAGAAAGTGTGGCGGCTGAAGGTCAAGGTGTTTATCAAGCTCGGTGCCCGTCAAGGCACACTGGCCTTCAGGACCACAATCGCTGGGCAGGAATGTGGCGAGACGACCATGGACTTCTCCGGCCATTAAGGCAAAACCAAGTGCAGATATTCTTCGTCGTTGCAGCGTGGAATGCACGTGGAAGAATCCAGAACATGTATTTCGCTTCGCTCCCAAATCAGACAAACCCGAATATTTTTCGCAGGTACTTGTCCCCACTAATTAACCCCCGTAGTCCTGAGTCGCTTCATATCCACCACTCCCTCCGCTGCCGCCAAAGGCATGAAAGATGGGCAGAGCCAGAGTCGACAGTCCCCCGGTGAACGGCGCGAGCGCACTGCAGAGCGCGACGCCGCCGATCTTGGCGAACAGGACCGCCATGTTCCTCTTCTTCCTCCTCTTCAGCTCCGCGATTTCCTTCTCCAGCCGCTCCTTCTCGGCCTCGCTGGCGCCCTGCGTCTCTTCAAACATGCGCACAATGTCCGCGTTGGTCCGCTGCAAATCGTCCTTGTACTGCCGGACCGCGTCGTCTCGGTCTCGCTTGTAGTCGGCCATCTGCTGTTGGAAGCGCTGCCGGTCCTCGGCGCGCGTGTGCTCGAACCGCTCCGAGATCTTGAGCAGGTTCATCTCGGCGTTCTGCACGGCCATTTCGAACCGCCTCGTGGATTCGGCGCGCTCCTGCGTCAACTGCCGCTCGAGGGCGGCGATCTGGGAGTCGCGGTCCTTGCGCTCCTCAACGAGGCGAAGCAGTTGGTCTTGAAAGGCTTGCTCCATGCGGCGCATGTCTTCGCTGCGGTCTCGTTCCATGGCCATTTGCTCGCGCTGCATGCGGGTGAGTTCCTTTTCCTTTTCTCGGCGCTCGACGGCCAGCAGCTCTTGCAGTTTGACGTCGTTGCGGCGTTCGGCGTCGTCCATCTTTGCCTCGAGCGCCCGGAGTTCCTCCCGATGCTGCCTGGCGAGCTTTGTGATCTCGACGTTCAGAGAGCTGCCGGCTTGGGTGTCTTTGATCTCGAGGCCTTGTTCGACCATTTCGGTCTGGATCTGCAGCGTGACCCGGTCGCGGTCGACAAACTCTTGAAGGATCGCGTGGGCGGACTCGTCTGTGTTGAAGAACCGCCGCGACTTTGCGCCCTTCTCCATCATGTAGCCCCACCAATCCGCCTTGTCCGACATTTCTCGCTCTCTTTTCGCCGCCGTTTTGGCGTCTTCTTTGTCCCAGAACGTGGTCATGATGGTGACGTTCTTGAGGGGTTCATCGCCACAAATGTTGCGGATGACGGACAGGTTGCGCAGTAAAGTGTTGGTCATCCTGTTGTCGGTGATGCGATGGACATAGACGATGCCCGCCAGCTGCAGTCTATTCTTGTACATGGCGCTGAAGGTCTCGGCCAACTCGGCCAGTATCTCCGCATCGAGCCTGTAGGTGTCGTCGAACCCAGGCGTGTCGAACAGTAAAACTTGGCGGCCGTCCAGCAACATCTCGTACTGCTCGACAACCTCGGTGCCTGTCAGATGTCAGCCAGTAGTCGACCTTTCGCCGTGTGTTCTCTTACACGATTGCATATTATGTCCGACCTTGATTCTGTCCGAGTTCGTGGCATGCTGAATAAAATTGCTTTTGCCCGAGCCGGTGACGCCCATGACGGCGATGGCGGTGATGTCTTCCATTTCAGTACTCGCGGGCGGACAGTGGTCCGGCGTTTCGAGGTGTACGCTCTGGCGCGAAGAGGCCATGATGCTGCTCGTGGTTGTATCGTTATCAGACGAATCTCAAACCTCCTGTAAATGATTTTATAGCTGTGAGCAGGCCCGGGGCGGCTCTGCACCTTGGCCGTGACGGCCCTTATGAGGATGACCCGTATCGCTGTTACAGCTAGTAATGAGGCAACATACCTGGCAAGGGACAATGCAGCTCCCCAAAGGCGATCAGGGTGCCTTCTGATGCCTGAATTGAGCCTAGGCTCCTCGACCAGTATGGTCGAGAAGGCCATCGTGGCGACGAGTCAAGCCACCAGGGTTGTTAATTGGTGATTGAGCGGAGGAGAGGGCTGTCGCAGTGCATCAACCTCCTGCAATGGAAGCGAGCGACTCACCAAACCAACGAGCGCCCATCCCGGCTGCGGCTCGGAGGGGTTACACGAGCACATGCCTCGCCCAGCCTGACTCACTCAAAAGCCCCCATTGAACGGAGTAAGAGCCGCGGAGCCTGATAACGAGGCGCCGGAAGAAGAATCCCATAGTTGCTCTCCGGAGTCCAGGCCAGAGCGATGCTCAATGGCGGCATGACACTATCTTGGGCGAGGTATTGAAGCGTGCAACACACTATCTTGTACAGGGTGGAATCTTTGGCCAGGCAGATCACGGATTGGATGGAGAGAGGAAAGAGTGAGTGGACGAAAGATGCGGCTGAGAACCCGCGCAACAGCTGGTGAGCTGGCATGTGTAGCTACTGCACCCGCGTCGGCCAAGACAGAGGTGGTGCGGCTTCCTCTGCACTTCCTGGAGTCATAATTCCTGGCTCTCAGCAGTGCCTTGCATAGTTAGATCTCCTCACGAGGGACTTGAAAAGGGACGTGAGCGGACACCAACCTTGGCGCAAGCGGAAGGGAGCACGCAACCAGAGCTTGCAGCGAAGTTTCGTACGGGTTTGGTCCTCAGCTCGCAATGAAAACTCTCGATCCCGCCGCTTCGAGAAGGGTGCTGCTGGATCTACTGTGTACCGTGTATGCCGTGAGCTGGCCAGGCTTGACTCGGTCTTATGCTTGTCGTGGGCACTCGAGCATTTGCAGCTTAGGGGGTTCTGCGTGGCCTTCTGCAATATCCACTGCTACCTACTGTGGAGAATACTCTCTTTCTGCGTATCAAATGGTTCGGTAGGTCAAAGCAGTTGAGATATTCACGTCTTGATAGCTTGTGTATCATTACCATCATAAGTCTACGCTGTATCTGAATCTCTCGAGTCGGCCACGTACCCAACGGGTTTGCGTTGGACGACTGAGCTTGTGGGTGACGGGTCTACCCGTGGTGGCTCCGTCTCCCTATTTTGCTCTCCATCCAACAGCGCCGAAGAAGCACGAATGACAGGTTCATCGCTGTGCCGTATCGAGATCTCGTCTTTCCCTTGCGGCCGGATCTTCTCAAACGCGACATTGCCAGCTCTGTCGCTGACGAGAACTCTGCCCTCATCGCTGAGTCCACTGTCGTTGTAGTACTCGGCAAACGCCCCTTCTATCCCACTATTGCTTTTCTTGCTTGTAAAGGCGGCCTCGCGGACTTCTGGTTCCAGCAACGCCGCGATAACCCCACCTATGCTCAGCCGAGCTTGGATAGACCGCGATCGCCTCGGCTGACTCGCCAGCGCGATGATGGCTAGGATGATACCTAGCAGCGCGTATATGAGGTTGAGAACAATCAAGACGTAAAACGGGGCCTTTGGGAGTCGCGTCACAAGTAGACGCTCCCTGGTCTGCTCGGCGAGATTGGGGCTTGCAACCGTCAATCCTGACACCATGCTCAGCGTCGTCTCACTGAAACGCTGTGCAAGGAAGTCTGCAAATTGTTGAGAATTATTGGATTGCACACCTCCGCTTATAAAAGCCCCCTCCATGACGTTCTGGGTATATGACAGATAGTAGATGAATGTGAAGACAGCATTGGAGGCGAGAAGACCGTCCACCGGAGTTGTCGTTCCGCCCGCGAAGCTGCCGTTGATCATCTTGTAATCCAGTTCGAAGAACGTTGAATTGCAAGAGAAGATAAAGCCATAGTCAGCGTCGGCATTATTCTGGACCGCCTCGGGATCAGCAGCCAATGCGCTCGAGACCGCCACACGAGCACCCGTAGCAAAGTAGAACGGGTTGGGAGAGTCGGGTGCGGTGCCGAAAGGTTCCGCGAAGTCTGGCTTTCTGAAAAGCTGCAGGAAGAACCCGTTGGTGCTTGCGATCTCAGAGGAGATAGCAGCCTGGGAATCGTCATCAAGCAGAGAACTGTTGAAAGGGGTACCAGTGTTGTTCGACAGACCACCGAAGAGGGTGGGGCCGCAGTCATAAGGCATGCCCCTCGCCAACTGGACCTGCGAGTTGCAGCCTTGCGGAAAAGGACACCAGGAAGTCGTTTCCAGATGACACTGCTTGCTGACAGGCGTGCATTGCGTACTCAGCGCGAAGGTTTTCGCCTGGAAATCAAGATCAGGATGCCGGTCCGCGGCGGTGAGGTAGGCGAGGTCTCGACCATCCAAATGAGCCGGCAAGACAATGTTGGTGCTTGAGAGATTCATCAAAGTCTCCGTGGCGTTTGTCAGGCTCTCAAAGTAGAGGAGGCCAGCAAAGTTGTTCCCTATACATACTCCGCTGGCTCTGCTTTCGCCGTCACAGTTTGGATCCAGTACACGCCCATAACTGAATGATGGCTGGGAGACGGGAGAGATGGCGTCGTAACTGATTGTTGAGGTTGTTACATGCAGCCACGTGTCGACTGCAAGTATAGCAAAGCTGGTCCAGCAGTCAGTACCATAGATTTACCCGCAAAAATATGACGTACGTACCTGAGGGCACCAGCCCCAAGAAGACTTGAAGCACTCACCCATAGCAATGTGGGCTGTTTACTCCGCTGACGCCAAAAACAATACTGCAACCAAGACCACAGAGATCCGAAGCCGCCACCGACACAACCAATGATGAGACGCAGCTGATAAGGCGTTGGGAGTTTCTCCAGCGACGGCGCCTGGGATCTGCTCAAGTAGCTTTTGGCGAGCGGGTATGAGACAAGAGCCATAACAAACGACGATGCGAATGAAGTTACAGTGCTTGTCCAAGATGAGACGGTGATCAGTCTCGTTGCACTGTAGTTGACATAGTAGGCGTACGGATCATCAGAAACGGGCAAGCCCAGTGAGCTGTCGGCAGTGCCCACGCCGTGCGAGACCTTATAGGCGTACACGAGTCCCATGAAGATTGCTGTCAAGACAAGCATGGGCAAGCTGATGCAACACAGGGCCCAGTAGATATCGCGCAAGGCACCCTCTATTGGGTGCGAGTGTGCAGTGATCGGCACGAGTTTCTCGGACTCGGGGAGAGTTTGCGGATGTGTCTGCAATGCGGCGACGGCGTGGGAAGGGGCGGCCACATGTTGTGTTCTGGTCACGGGCTCAGTGGAATTGCGTGTTGTGGCATCCAGTAATGGTGCATCTGAGGCTCCCACGGCCATCGTGCAATAGGCGTCAATCAATTGCTGCGTGAAGATTTGCCGAGGTCAACCTTGGTCCAGTGCCTCCCAGGGAACTTGCCAAAGGGTGTTTAAAGACATTTTGCTTCAAGAGAACCAACGGCCGGTATTTTGTGCTTTGCTGGTCTTGTCTCATGCGATTAGGCTGAAGCGGTGTTGGTAGACGGCGATGTACCTATTTGCAACCGAGATTTGGGCTGTTTGGCCCCCTTGGCGCGATCGCGTAGACCTTGTTGGGGCCGTTTCGAGTCGAGGTCATTAGGCCTCCCATTAGGTGCTGCAGGCACAGCAGAAGCAGGTGTTGTGAGTGGCTGGACTAGCACAGCCACCGTCGCCATTTTCGGCGCAGTACACAGTAGTTTCAGAATGAGGGTAGTGGAAAGGTGGGCGAAGTGAGTGGTGACTCCAGAGTGAGGGGAAAGTGAATGATCATAGAGCCGGCCTGAGCAACACACGCGCTAGTTAAGTACGTAAGTATGTCGCGCATGAGCTTCATACATTTTCCACTTCAGCCGCCGACGAGACGTTTTACAGCCTGCTGAGCCTCTTGCCTATGGCATGCGACTGCCCACTCCTTTAGCATGTCCATAATGATCAGCCGCCGACCCTTCCTGATCTCTTTTTATGTGGCTTCCGGCCGTAGGCGACGTACCGCACTGCGCCTAGATCGAAATGGACGCGCGCATCCTGGTACGACGGAATGAACTTGAACCCCAGAGTCAACAACATTTTCTCCGAGTGGGACGAGCGACGACATGAAGAGGTGAGGTCTAAGATGATAGGAGCATTGAGTCCGGTCTATCCATCGCTGATCGTGCATTAGCTTATCAGTTGGCTTCACTTCGGGCAGTATTCAGGCAAGGAGGTCGAGACACTGGAGTCCGGTATCGACGAGAACCTGCAGAGGCTGCTGGCCTTGATCAAGCAAGAGTACAACGGCAAGCCGCTTGACATGGCCCTCTTGGCATTCTATTTCACTCTGGATGTGCAGAGCCAGATTGCATTTGGCGAGGCTTTCGGCTTTGTCCACGCCAACGAGGATCTCTACGACTTCAATAAGCTGGCTAACGATAAGTTCAGCATCATCGAGTTGATCGTCAACCACGACTTCCCCCGAAGTTTGATCCAGAGCCAACTGATGCAAAAGCTCATGGCACCCAAGGGGACAGATAAGTTCGGCCAGGGCCGTATCATTGGGATCGCGCAAAAGGCCGTTGCCGAACGATATCGGCCTGACGCCAAGGTCAAACGAGATATGCTTGACCACTTCATTGCCAAAAGACTCAGTCAGACGCAAAGCGAGGCGGAGTTGCAACTTCAGCTCATTGCTGGATCCGACTCGACAGCCTCAGCGCTGCGGATAACCATGATGTTGTTGGTCGGCAATCCCGTGGCGTACGGTAGGCTCGTTGCAGATGTGGACAAGGCGATCGCGGATGGCAAAATCTCTTACCCGACCCTCAGGTACAGTGAGGCTCTGGAAATTGAATTTTTGACCGCCTGCATCTGGGAGGGTGTCAGGCTGTATCCACCTCTGTTTGTGCTGCAAACCAAACTCGCACCACCGGAGGGAGAGACTGTCAATGGAGTCTTCTACCCTCCTGGGACACAAGTCGCGTTCTGCTGCGATGGGCTCGGTCGGCGCAAGGACATCTTCGGAGAAGACGCGGACCAATACCGGCCTGACCGATGGTTACATCCCGATCTTAGAGTTCTAGTGGAGTACTTGAGGACGACGGACTTGATGTTCGGTAGTGGAAGATTTGGGTGCTTGGGGAAGAACATCACGATGATGGAGGTACACAAAGCATTTGTTGAGGTAAGTGGACTGGTATCAGCAATAGATTGATGCGCTGACACGGATGGAGCTGCTGCGAAACCTCGACTGGGCTCTTGCCGACCCAATCAAGGGTGCCATCTCCATCGCTCATGGCATCTGGGTTCAGGAGAAGATGATGCTCGTAGCCTGGCCAAAACGAATTTGATGACTGTGTCCGGGTTCATACCGTGCCGACCGGCGTGGAGAGTAGCATTGGATTGAACGGGAAAAGCCCCGGAGGAAGCTCTAGCACCAGTAAAGGGGCAACGACTGATTCCCTCACCGTGTTGGCATCAGGATTACCCTTCGTCCTACTGCAAACCACGGTGGATTGCAAGTACAGTCTAATACCCCAGTTGCGGTAGCTTGGCTGGCTTGACCATGATGGAATTGACTATCCTCTCATCTTGTTTCCCCCCTTCTGCGTCTGCTCACCCGCACAACTCCGCTTTCACGCCGTCCTTGTATATAGACGGTTCCACTATTTCATTAGTCGTAATAGCTCACGCTTGGGTGTCGTTTTGATTTCTTCATCCTGACGGGACCAGGTTCGGGTTCAGGCTTAGCATCAGGTCCATATGCCTCTTCTGACGCGGCTGGTATCAAGGACTCTGTCGGACTGCGCGCGCCATCTATGCCTTCGGACCCGTCGGCTAAACTATCGTCGTCATCGAGTTGAGGACTTTCCTTCGCCCCGGTCACATTGTGGCGGTCCAGGCGATGAAGCTGGAGCAGAGACTCCTGTAACTTAACCCGCTTGTGCAGAAGCCGTCCGCGCTCAAGCTTCGAATTCTCGTCCTCGGCAGCGATGTTTTCGACTACGTCATCGGCTAAACTATCCACCACTTTGGGACAGAAAATGACGGCCAGTGGTTCCAGAAGGCACTTCTCGACCGCTAGATTGCTGAAATCATCGACAAATTTCTTCCTCGCGACCTGATTCGTGAGAATCACTGCGTTAGCATCGTCCCTAAAGGAATGGCAACAAATGCGGAAGTAGACCCTACCTCGTAGTAAGCTTGCATGCAGTCGATGGCTTCGGAACATGCGAATCGCTCCATGTCATCTGCTGTTTGCGTGCCCAGGGCATTGATCAAATTCCCCATGCTAAAGACGAACTGGTTCTCCGACGACGGAAATCTAGGGTACTTGGTACCGAAAAATGCCCTGAGCTTTTCGCGGATCGACCTCTGATAATGTTCTTGCCGGGCTCTTTGGACACTTTCGGTAAAGGAGTTGTTGTAGGTTATTGGATGGCCAGATTGCTGAGGCCTGAGAAGCTCCTTTGTCTTGACCCGTAGCGATGCCTCGATTTTGTCAAGGCCAGGATTGAGGATATATTCCAGCAGCCCTTTGATGGTTTTCTCGTCGAGGACGCCTTGTATGATGGGTATGATGGCCTTCTGGACATCTTTCAGCAGCATATCAATGCATTCCATCACGGTCGACTCCCACGGCTTTGACTGCAAATAGAACAGATCGCCGACGATGTGAGGATTGAATGTTCCAGGCAGCTCACGACCTCGACTTCGGCGCATTCGCTGCTGGACTTCGTCCATGTATACAGAGCGGTACACTTGGCCCTCCTCGAGGACCGCATCGTCATCCTCGTCATCGATGATCCGTTTCTGCATTCCGTTTGCTTCTAAAGTTTTGGAAAAGTCGGACAGGCGGTTTTGGACCACGGCACGTAGTCTTCGTTCGTAGCCTTCGTCCTCCATGGCGTCTCCAAAGAAGGGATCGAAATAGACTCCGTTGGTGGCATAGCCGACCAAACCACTGAATTTCTCGCTGCTGTGCAATAGGTATCGACGCTGATCGGCTAGTGTCTGGCGTGCGTCTCCGAGCCTTTGCAGGCTGGCGTCAGTCTCTTCCAGAGACTGCTGGCTCTCGGTAATCAAGCCTGGTAGTTGGGCGATGATATGATCCTTCAGAACGGCACTCAGCCTTGGTCTTAGCGATTCGATACCAATCTGGGAGCGCGGCAATGAAGCCCATACACCACTGGCAAGGAACTCTGCCTCTGAGTCACGACGCTGGTCAAGTGAGAAATGACGTTCCTCGTACTTTCTGTTTTTGAGAACATGCCAGCCAAGCCGAAATTCAACTCTCTTGTTCCCTGCTAGGTTGAGGAAGGATTGTTCCATGTCAGAACCTCTCGACAGAGTATCCGGTTTGGTAATGACGCCCATGGTTCGGTGACCATTCGGATCAACCTTGCGCGTAAAGGCGGTGACCTTCTGGAGCGCTATGTCACTTTTAGCAGAGATGACTGCTAGTATGACACTGCGCTTGTTTTGGATGTATGAGAGGACCAAGGATTCCACGAACTCGACCCCTTCGGCGGTTTGCGACTCGTCAGGGGCATGGTAGAGCCCGGGAAGGTCAACGAGGGTCAAATGAGGCTGCGTTGGACCCGACACTTCGACACGAAGAACATCCTTCGAGAAGATATGGCCGTCTTTACCCACCCCGATGGAGTTCTCAGCATCTCGGACAATGACAGCAAATTGGTGCAGGTCGACGGTGGATGATTTGAATTGCTGGATTCTCTCCTTTTCGACCGGTGTACGGTCGTCGTCTGGGTGAATAGAAGCAGTGACACTAGTCTCCGGTGCTCGTCGTAAGATGAGCTCGGTCGCAAATCGGGTGCAGACATTGTCTTTTGTTGGGAATGCGAGGCCAGAAATCGCTTCCAAGACGGAGCTCTTGCCCGAAGACTGATCGCCGCATACAATCAGCTGTGGGAGGTTAATATACTTACTTACACCCTCCGACCTGAGTTGATCTATCACGTTCAGAATCTCTTCGTGGTCCTTTGACTGCAGTTGGACCAGAGGCGTCGTAGCCTCATGCGCATGGTTGGTTTCTCTGCTATTGTCAGGCGGCATGTTTTCGCTGGCTGGTCGTGTATTCTCGTCAATGAGCAACTCTGAACGGCTTGAACTTGTGGCTCAGCGCATGCAGAGAGCAGCCGAAGGAGGGAGGGTCTCTCGGCTTCACCATATGTTTAAGTTGGATAATGGGTGTCCCCAAGGAATGCTTCTTCGTGGGCATAGCCCGGCTTTGGCCGTTGGCCGCCTCTCCTCCAGCCTGCATGCCTACTGCAGGTAGATGAAATAGATCATCTCGGTACGAACGGCTTCTGTACATGTTGTTGATCGTTGGCACCGCTGCAGGTATCGTTTTGCCTACTTTGCCTGTTCTTCAGCGCTGGAGAAGACGGGACTATGTAGGTGAATGCATGTGAAATTTAGGATCCTCCTCTCACTCGTCTTGGAAGCATGCGGCAAAGAACAAAGAACAGCTGTAGATGGAGTGCCCATATATCGACTGTCCGCCTGCTTGCCAATCACTTGCAGTGAGCTGGGAGGGCGACGAGGGTGAGCGGGAAGTGAGGCTTGGAACAGCAAAGCAACAAATGAACGACTTGCTGACTGGTGGACAACACATGCCTGCAGCTGTTGTGCTACCGAACTAAATATTTGGCGGACAGACCTTGTGAAACTTTCAAGAGGAGTGTTTTGGTTTCTCGTCAGGCTGAGAACAATCGTCATCTGCGCTGTTCTCTCACTGCAGTTTGTTCTGTGTAGGCTGGAAGGTCCGACTGATCGAGACGGTCGTGGTTATCTACAAGGCTAGTTGCTTGGTCGAGCCGAGCCTAGCATAGCAATGCCAAAGGCATCTGGGCTCCCCACACGTGCCCGGGTTGCCATCCCCAAAATCAACCGCCGCGGAGGCCTGTGAGGCCTCCAGGCTGCCTTTTCTACGAGGGATGGGCGCCTGATTATGTATCCTCGGCAATGCAGATCACATTGTGCGTGGTCCAACACCACGATCCCTTTCAGCATGAACAAATCCACACTTGTTTACACGTGTCATACGCGTCTCAAATCATGGAAATAGCTCATCTTGGGCGCATGGAAAAGTCAATGCTCAAGAAACACGTCTTTTCGCGCCAAGCATGCTTGTAGCACAGCGGTCCGGCCTCTGAAGTTTCGATCATTATCAACTCTACCACATCAACCGCCCACTGTGATTGAATGTGCTAACGCTGCTCAGTGCAAACGAAGCTCCTGGCACTTGGTCTATCAAGCCCAAATGCCACTCAAGCAGCTACCTTCCGACTTCAGCATCCACACCTTCTCATCCGCCAAGGATTTCGAAGCTTTCCTTGACCGAGAACATACCACGGCTCCAGGATGCTATATCAAGCTCGCAAAGAAGGCTTCAGGTATTCCTTCTATCACTGCACCAGAAGCAGTAGAAGTTTGCTTGTGCTTTGGCTGGATCGATGGAGGAGGCGGGGGTAGCATTGATGAGACATGGTGGTTGACGCGGTACACTCCGCGCCGAGCCAAGAGCATGTGGTCGAAGAAGAATACAGAGACCGTGGCACGGCTGATCCAAGAAGGCAGGATGCGACCCGCGGGCATGGCTGCGGTGGAGGCAGCAAAGGCGGATGGTCGTTGGGACAGAGCATACGATGGGCCAGCCTCCATCACGGTTCCCGATGACCTCGCTGCTGCACTAAAGGACACGCCCGCGGCATCAGTTCTTTTTACCAGCTTGAACAAATCAGAGCGGTATGCAGTACTCCACCGCGTGCAGACAGCGTCGTCCAAAACCAGGGCTACTCGTATCGAAGCACTTGTGCAGATGCTAGCCATTGGGGAGGTCCCTGGGAGAGCACAGGCCCAAGCAGTAACCAGGAAGGATGCCGGCGTGCGAAACACGTCTAGGAGAAGCAACAAGACCGCAGCTCAAGCCAAATCGAAGAGCACGAACAAGACCGCTGCAAGACCAACCTCGAGTACCAGAGACGTGCCAAGCAAGGAGCTCGACGCAAGATCAGCGGGCAAGGAGCCTCGGCGTCCTGGTCTGCGCTCAAGACGCTGAACCCAAGCATCGATCCCTTCTGCTATATTCTAACTTGCGTCCACTCTGGAAACTCGAGCTCCTGCCTTGGGATCGACATCATGGTGCGATCATCAATGTACTCCTGCAACGGCAGCGCCTCAAACTGGCTTCTATCACCAATCCTCACGCCCCTTTGCTGGACCAGGCGTGCATACTCCATGGTCCTCCGCACGAATTCTGCATGGTTGCCAGTCTCCAGATACTCGATCAGCATGAGCACATCAAATGCAGCCTGGCTTGTGCTGGCTACTGTATGCGGCCTGAATCCAGCCAATGCGTCTCCAATGAGCACGGCCTTGCCGTTGAAGAAGTTGTTAGTCGGCGTGATCACGTCTGTGATACATTGCACAAAAGGCTGCTTCGTCTTTTCGACCATCTCCGACATTTGGGGGGGAAGACGATCTCGCCCGCGCTTCTTTACCATCTCCCACGCCTCGGGACGCATCATACCAGGTGGGATGGTCAGCCGTCTGCGCTTGCCATCCTTGTCAGTCATGACTTCCTCGAGCTCCTGCTCGCCCTCGGGAAAATTGGTGTACCACACGAAATTCAACAAGCGCTTCCCCGGCTCCATCGCCCCGTCGGGACCTGGGATCGTGTAGGTCAAGTTCTGGATGCCGGGGGCGTGGAAGAAAGTGAACCTCTCCACAAACACCTTCTTCGCTTCTTCCGAGGCTTCGTTTTCAGGCACCGTGCCTCTTATCACGCAGTATCCAGCGTACTTCCTCTCGACATCTGGACACAAGATCTTTCGGATACGCGAGCTTGGACCGTCGGCACCGACCAGCATGTCTCCGACAATGGATTCCGTGCTCCCATCGGACTTGTCGTAGAACACCCTGATCTTCCCATCTTGCTCTTGGAAGTCCGTCACTGTACAACCGTAACGGTAATCGATTTTACCATCCCCAGGCTGAGGTCCGGGCATTTTACAGTATCCACTCTCTTGGTGATCGTAATTTGCGCGAAGCAGGTAATAGCAGAGATCCCAACTAGTCATCGTCCCCTTCAAGGGCATGTCTTGAACAACTTTACCCGACTGATCGAGATACATGCGTCTCGGGGCCGGCACAGCGACGGGTCGCTTACACCGATCATAGCGCTCAAAGAATGTCAGAGTGTCGCCACCTGCGACGATCCCGGCTCCCTGGTTCTCCAGCAAGTTTGTTGGTGTTCTTTCGAGGATTGTCGTATCATAGCCATGTTGCTTCAATGCTACTCCAGTGAAGAGCCCGCCCAGGGAGCCGCCGACAATGACGACCTGTTTGGGCCTGGTCCAGGATGTGGATGCATGTCCATTTGGCTCAGTCATGGCTGTCTGGCTGTCGACTGCTGTCTACAACACAGGCACCGAATAAATCCAGAAACAAACAATTTAACAAACGCGGGGGAACGAGATGATCGGGTTGTCTGAAGCGGTCTGAGATCGCTCCAAGCGGGAATACGCTGTCCTTCATAAGTGAAGAACGTGGTCACCGTGCTCGCGCTGGTCGGAGACGAGCTTTGGATGAACGACAAGCAACCCTTGGAGGACGTTAGCCGCGTTGAGCTTCAATTGACTCGCGGTTGGTGGACCTCTTCGCCACTCCTATCGAGTAGCATTCAGTACTCCGTCGATAGACAAATCCAGTGCTGCATACCTCACACTACATACTTATTCGAGCAAGCTACGTACTACATCTACGGCATCCCCCTCCTTCCCAGGCCGCAGCCCCGCTTACTCCGCGCTGGGGAAGGGTCTAGGACGGCTAACTCGTTGACGGACGGGTACGGAGTACATATCTTTGTTACCCCCCAGAGCGACTCGACTCTCGTACCACGCCATAATTATGCTAGGCGTGTACGAGTGTCAGATCAGATCCCGGAAAAGTCAACCTGGCGAGGCTGAATGCCGAGCATGATGATTGAGCCTCACGATGCGGCTATGTGATTATAATGGGTAAATCCTGCTCGCGCCTCAGCCTGAACCGTAGCGGAGGTTGATGCGGCCCTGTCGTGCAGTGCCCGCTGGATTGGCTTGCAACTACAGTACGTGCTTGATAACGAATGGCCTTGGGGTGTTTCCTGGAGGGGGCAGGCTTCGTCCCTACAGGTTCCTGCTGTACACGCGTCCACAAGGCGCGCTGCCCTTCATGCTTGCCTACTAGTAGCCTTACCAGAAGATAAACCATTATTGACTAGATATTCTGCATGTGCATAGACGAGATGCGTGAACCAGGCGGCAGTCTTGCCGCCCCAAGTGGCAAAACTCATTTAGTGTCCACCCTCTTCATACTTCACTCCTCGTATATCGACGATACCAAATCTATCAGCGAGCCCTGGGTAATTAGGCCCTTGACGCTTTCTGGTTAATTGTATCCCAAGCATGAGTTCGACGGCACTTTACTACACCGACAGCGCAAAAGGCGCAGTGAGTTTCGCTTTCTCGTTTCCAGTTTCTCGTTCCCCTTCCTCTTCCTCCTTCTCTTTCCTCCAGCATGCCCCCGCCTGTGGGCACCAGGTCGACCGGGCTGACTAGGTGAGGCGAGACGACTGACTCTCCTGTATCAGCACACGGCCTCCTCCCTCGCTTGTTCAAGCTGGCTCCTAGTACACCGCGTCCTCTTGAATCGCGGATTCACCCTCCGCCGCAGAGGGTTATCGTCAGACACGATTGCGAGCTTCGTCATCGGAGCGACTTCCACGATCTGGACACTGGCGGTGGTCAGGCACGCCCTGGTGAAATTCCTCGCACGTGAAGGACCACCAGTACTGCGCCTCTCTACCGATCCTCGCAGAACTGGCCAAAGCTCCGCTCCTCACGCAAGTCCTCTTCGGATTCTGGACCGTCAGATGGCTCGACGGCCTGCGGGCGGAGAAGTCGCGAGGACGGGGCAAACCGCACTTCTGGTCGCTGGTCAACTTACGAGGTCCTTTTGCCTGGTCCTCGGGCGTCCAGCGGGGATTTTACCGGTCCCTCATCTCGTGTGTCTCCATCGCGGTCGCGGTGCCGGCGTTGGCATGTATCATTGCCAGCGAGGAGCCGGTGGACGGAATCCTCGCGCTGGGAGGGCTGCTTATGTTCCTGCTGGACGGGACGGCGAACATCCCTTACGTGAGCGCGCAGCACCGGTACGCGGACGACGGACTGCGCGTGGCTCTACCAACGACGAACCATGAGGGAACGGTGTATGTGCTCCAGAGCAAAGATATGGGCATCGATGCCGTCTGGTCTCCCAAGGTCGAGAATGAGTATCTCGCCGCGGATAACGAAGTCATGGTGCTCTTCCAGCACATGCGGTCCGGGCGGTGGGCGATGAGTGAGCCGCTCGTGCGCCTGCGCAAGACGTTGGCCATGTATCAGGAGTGGATGGTTCTCTCGACGGCGCAACTTGAACGCCTCGCCGCCTGGATCTAATGCGACAGAGACAAAACCAAAGGCGAAGAAGAGCGTCTTACGAGGATCGAATGTGAGCGGGCAAAGGATGTGCATCTCATGGGGAGGGACTTGATCTATGCGCTTTGCCGTGCCGAGTGTCTCGTCTTCATGGCCCAAGGGAGGTTGTCAACGCCGATAAGGGCCAAGCTGGGTACCTTGCGTCTCATGTCGAGGAGTGGAGCTGGAAACCCGAGTGGAAAAGAATTCAAAGCCGTCGGCTTCCAGGGCGGATTTGAGGGCTATAAAGAAGCCGTAGAGCATGTGCACGCCAACTTCGACACCGAGGTCGATCCGTCGGCGCTGCATTTCGACGGCACGGAGCCTCCGGCTTACTCCGTAGCCTTGGCCAAGCATCCCGTGACCATCGACGACTACGTGGCAGGGCTTTGGGACCTGAGTTGTTAGCACTCCGAGTCCACATTCTCGGCTCTGTACTTCTTCACCACGGTGTGGTTCATGGAGCTCGGCAACGTCAATGGCTTTTATATCTTTCCGCTCCGGTGCCGGACGCGCGATGGAGATCTGGTGAGCCAGCAGATTGCGTGGCGGCAGGCGTGGTATTCCGGGAGCACCGCACGGCTCGTCACTGCATCGCCAACCCTGTTTGGCCTATTCGTTCTGGGGATGCTACAATGATGGGCAGTATTCTGAGCGACAAGCCACATATCGCCACTCTGTAACGAGAGGAACGCGGCGTAATTAGTCTTCTTCTTTTTTTCTATCCTCCGGTACTCTGACGTCGGAGACCAGCTCATCATCAATGGATTGCACTTCTGTCGCAGGGATACGGTACGTCTGGATTGCAGCATCACCCGTCACAGTGACGGCTCTCACGATCAGAACACGCTCATCGAGCCGGAACACATAGCCCTGCGCCACGTCAATCAGCAATCTGGAGCAGCAGGAAGTCCCGTGATGGACGTACCGCACCGGCCGACGCGAACTTGACGGGATACCACATGGGTTCATTACCCATCTCTGTCAGCACCTCCAGCTGAGGTAAGTACATGCGTTCTTCGATCACACGTGCGCCTAAATCTTTGCGGACGATGTCGTGGAATTGATCCTGCAATCGCGTCAAGATAACAAAAGGTACGGGATTGCGGATGACCGGCGCCAGGACATGGTATAGATAGGAGAATCCAAACTCGCGGGCTAGCTCCAGCGCGGTCATGTCCATGCAAGAATATCTGGTCCAGCGAGTCTCATGGTCCCTGGATGGCGATTAGATGCGCCAATGCTCGAGGCAATGTACTTACGGGAGGCTCCTGCTTCGATGAGTCGGCTGACGACCTCTATCGGAGCGCGAGTGTACGCTGCCTGGTGCAGTGGCATCCAGAAGAAGGACATCTGATCAGATTCTTCCAGTCTTTCTGCCGGGCGGGTCAGTTACTATCGACGGATGGGCGCGCCGACCTTGATGGTCACGCCTTACTCATTCGCACCGCGTTAAGCCAAATCTCATGGTATTCTTCGCCCCCCGTCTTGAGGGCGTCCCACGCGTCATCCCATCTGCCCCAAAAGGCCGCGTCTGACAGCCTGTCTCTCCACGCCAGATAATGCTCAGAGTGGCCGTAGCGGAGGACATGACCAAGCCATGTTCGGATGGGCTTGTGCGCGCCGGGCTCTTCCGTAGCAGCCTGTAGTGAACCATCGACGATCGAGAGGTTCTCGAAGGCGATGTGCACTTCAGAGTGACCGCCGGCTTCCACCTTCAATGCTTCGATATCGACTTGTGCTCTTAACGAAGAAGTCCTGGCATTGGTCAGCGACGAGCGGGCACGAAGAGAATGAATCGGCCTCACGTGCCAACAACGGTCACGACGTTGATGATGTCCTCTTCTATCTCGCGCAGCTCCCGTGTCAGCTTGGCAGCAGAGCTCTTCTTCGCACCCCACGAGAGCCCAGACATGATCTGCTTCTTGGCTTCCACCTCCTTCGCCAACGTCAAAAGCTCATCCATTGTATTCTCACACTCAGCCCGGTCGATCTCAAGCTGCACTGATTTCTGTGACGTCTTGGAAAGTTCGAGCGCGAGGGATCGCAGCAGTCCGAGGACGTTCCGCATACGTTCCACTCGCTTCAGCAGAGCCACAAGGTCTTTCTTGACAGTTTTCACGGCAGACGCGTACTGTTTCAGGATGGAGACGACCTTGATGCAGATGCTCAGGCTTTCGGTAGCAAGGCTCATAACCGTGAGCGTGTCCGGCATCTCGAACAAGAACGTAAGGCTTGGAAAAACTGAGGGATAGCTTACAGTACTGGGATACGAGGTAGGTCCACCACGACAACAAGGGGAAAGGGGTCGCTTTTAGGAGAGCAAGGAAACGCGAGAACGTACCTTGTTCGTGTAACCAAGCCGAGTCGGCTCTTGCTTGCGAGTCAAGTGAGCAAGCAGTTGTACAATCCATTTTCCGGAACAGGCTGTCCGCATGCTCGAGCAGCTGGACAGTACACCGAGAGCCACCGTTCGAAGCCGTGGTATCCACAACGACTGCTCATTTGTCAGTTCAAGCGAGTCACCGATATCACAATCACACGTGTCAACGTGGTGGCTGGCTAGGCCGAGAGGCATATCACAGATAGAGACCACACGACTGAACTCGGCTCCAATGAAGGCGACAAAAGGAAACAAAGAGATGCTTTCCGGCGAATAGCAATGGCGTTCAAGTATGAAGTTTGCGCCGCGCTCGCTTCGCAGTATTCGGCTCCGGAGGCAGAGGAGTACAAAAGGCTTCAGCAGACTATGCTTGACGAGCTTCGTCAGGTCGACTCGATCGAGGTCGTCAGGTACAACGACCTTGCTGATTTTCGATCAGGAGAAATTGCGGCCTGGCTGGGAAGTTCGACATCGAACAGCTTCCCTCGTCATTATGCTGCACTCCGGCGGGAATGGCAAAATACCATCTCGCAAGGTGGCTGGGCAGCGACAGAGAAGGTACTACAAAGAGAGTATGACTGGCGGCGTGGTAACTGGTACAGTGTTGCAAAGCTTGTCGATTTTCCGAAAGTCGTGCGACCGGGCTTCGCCTTGATACATGAGCTCGCTGTCCGGGATCCTCCCAGTGTGGATGATAAGGAACAGTATCCCGCTTGGAGGCGCTTGGTTGACGGACTGCCTGCAGCAGATGTGTGGAGTGACTTTGTTCACTTCCAAGTCGTCTCCAGAGTGATTGAATCATCTGAACAGAGAGCCTCCGCACATCCGACGATACCTCTAAGACCGCACAAGAGCTCGCGCACGAACGGGCTTTTCATGGCTTGCATCGACCTTGACACCAGTGGTCAGGACAAAGATTTCAGCTAGTATCCTAGCCGATCTCGAGGTCCAGCTGCATGAAGTTATGTGCGCAAGAGCTGGGAAACTTGTGAGCTGCCGTTTCTTCAACACGCTATGCTGCCTTCGCTGACTATATCCAGCTCGAGGAGCATAAATTCCAGATGCCACAGCTCTCGGTATTGACTGAGATGCAGAAGCCTGAGATGTGGATTCCTGTTCCACATATGTACGGGGTAAGGACTGTTATCGGACCATTTCAGACACCTTTCCTGATGAAGTTGCGAGACAGGGATTTGCCACAGAATGGACGAATGGCATTTTGAACGTGGACATCTTGGAGACCGTGGTCGGTCACCTCAGACTTAAGAAGACGACGTTAGTCTTGAAAGCGCGAGCCGAAAAACAGAAGCGGCCGATGTGACTCGCGATGAGCTGGATGTCAAAATATGCCGTTATGTTCGGTACCAGATTCTCATTATGACGCACAGCAGGGGAACATTGTCAGTCACACTCTCGTCCTCGCATCACAAGGGCGTACGGCAGGAATCTGCTATCCATCACGAAATATCCGGGTGCTGCTGCGTGGCATATGCAGCTGTAAATGCGTCTGTGGTCGCCTTGTCCATTGACAGCCCGGTCCACAGTATCGGTTGTGTTGGTCATGTTTTAGTCGAGTGCATTTTGAAGACGAGAAACGCTGCAGTGGTGAAACCTTAGAGGTAGGAAGAACGGATCGTTCTCCTGGCTGGTCTTGAGAAGAATCACATCAATGCCGATTGCAGTGCATTGTAAGTGTACAAACGTCAATTTGAGCGCGATGGGAGTTGTGGTCTGATGGAGTGAAAGCATCCCTAGTGAACTCGAGTGGCGATATGCGCCGGACGTAGAGCAGGAACGATGATCCGAAATATGGAACATGCCGACTTAAAATTCGTGGCAAGACCGAAGAGTCCACAGAATTACGAACATAGACAGTTCTCCAAAATCACATACGAGGTACAGGCATCGCGGAAGAAATACGACGCGAGGCTCGCCCTTGCCGAGGGAGGTTAAGCTTACGATGGCTGCGTGGATGTCTACGAGGTAACCCCATCGACAAGGCTGTGTGAAGGACCCCTCAACCGCGCGGCACGACTCGAGAGCCTTGTCTTTCCCTCACATGCGCCCTCGCCTCGAGACCCCGAATTCGAACATAGGGTACCATGACCGCAGACCGGTAAACTCCCTCCTTACATGCAATGGCCAGCGGCGTCAAGCGATCGCTCTTCAGCAAGCCCGCGTGGGCCGCGGCTTCGTCAACGGGCACAAAGTCAGACCCCAGCAAGGAGGACGGTTCGATCTTCGGCCGCAATGTCGCCTACGACGAAATCGTGCGGGCACAAAAAGCAGAACGGGAGCGAAAGGTTGCAAGAGCAAAGGCACGAAGTGAGAGGGAGAGGCAGAAGAGCAAGGAAGGGAGCGAGGGTCCTGAGTGGAAGAGGCGGAGAATCTCGACAGAGCTGGAGGACGATGACTCGGACAGCAATGGACGCAAGAAGAAGAGTCGAGATCGAGACAAGCCTGTAAAGAGGAGTAACCCGTCAAAAGAGAAACCGCATGCAGACGAACGGGATGCTTCGTCGCACGGTCCGCATTCGCGTCGTAAAAAAAGTGGAAAAGCCACCGTTGTTAATCTGGATCGAGATGAGGGCGGGGAGGACGACGAGTTAATCATGTTCACGCCTCCGAACCCGCAGGGGAAGAAGAAGAGGACGTCCAACGCGAAGGACGGCCTTGACGATGAACAGACGTCGTCTTCTGACGACGAATACCTCCGCCAGTTGAAGCAAAAGGCGCGCGAAAAGGCTCGACGACAGCGCGATCGTGATCGAGATGATGCTCAAGATAATGCCATAAGACCGCATACGCCCGGTAGTCGAGGAAACTCAGCAGCGTTTGAACACAACTATGGACGCTCCTCGTCCGTTCCCCAAGATCATTCGCGGCCCGCCTCCACAACTCCCAGTTCTGCTGCGTCTTTCAATACCCCGAAACAAGCACAAGCACCCGCCCCTGCCTCTGCGTCGGTGCAAGAAGAAGACCCGGAGGTCAAGATCCTCATCACTTCCGAAATCAGCGGCACGAAGCCTCTAATCGTGAAGCGTAGGACGTCGCAGTCCCTCAAGCAAGTCAAAGAATTCTGGTGTCGCAAATTCGACCTCGATGAGAGCCTGACACGGCAGGTCTTCTTCACCTGGAACGGCACGCGATTATTCGATTCGACAACCATGAAAGGGATCCTTCGAAATTTGAAGATGGAAGCCTGGCAGAAAGGCAGGACCAAGTACGGTAATCTAGATGCTGATGAAGGGACAAACGGAAATGGAGACGGAAACGACTTTGACGAAAAGAGCGCCAAAGATCCAAGTAATGGGAATATCGTGATCGAGGCGATGACGCAGGACATGTACGACCGCAGACAACAAAGACAGCAGGACGGCACCGCCGAGCCGGACCAGCACGACCAAGACCAAGACCAAGACCAACAAGCCGAAGAGCAAGCTCCGACTCTACCTGACAAGGACGCCGGGGCGATTATAATCCGCCTGGTCTCTAACAACAAAGATCTCGAGCCCATGCAACTGCGCGTGCGGCCGCATACGACTATCGGGAAGATCATGCGCGGGTATGCAGCGACGAGAGGCATCGAGGAGGGGAAGACTCCATGGTTGATCTTTGATGGAGAGCGGTTGGAGCCCGAGATGACGGTTGAGGAGGTCGGGTTTGAGGATGAGGAGCAGGTTGAGGTCAGTGTCCGCTAAAGAACGGTCTCAGAGGAATTAGGACTCGATGCTACGAGGCATACCAGAACGGGCACGTGTTTGGATACCTCGCGGAGTGGCAGGGTATACACAGAACCTGTGCTGAGCGAAGCTACATGACAAAACACATTGGCAGCGGTCGTCTCGAGTATTTTGGCAAGCGACACATCACTGAAGCAAGGTCTAACACAGCCGACCTTTCAGTTGGCTCAACTTGATGATTCATTTCTTTATTTTTCTGCTCACTTGTCGAGCGCCAGCCAGCCAGTCAGCAAGCCCGTCGTGCGCAAAATGACTTGCTGGTCTCGCCCCGTAGCAAGCCTTTTCCGAACCTCTCCAGTGTGGAGATCGAGCAGAGTCGAGTCGAGGCATACCACCACATCCGGCCCTCGAGGCTCGTACTCGCTCAGTCTGACAACTGACCTCAGGAAAGGAAGGACAGTCGAACTTCAGGCATTCAGTTGCGTTGCTGAATATCGTCTTGCTGTGCCATGCAATGCCACGAAAATCCCCATTTGCATCTCCCCATTTCCACGAGTTCCGCATCTAGTAGAACAGTCTAGACTGCAGTGCCGCGCCCCCACGCCTTCATTCCACTCCCCTCCACTGCACTTGAACGTAAGACGGTAGGCGAGTTTAATGGCCGGTCCTCCTCGCCTCGGCGATCACGCGGGTCAACTCGTCAACCTTCCTCTTCGCGCGGCCGTATGTACCGAGCTGGAAAGTCACAAAACATGTTAGTGTCTCTGGACTCTGAATGTCGCTTTGACGGCCGATTTGTGCCAACTCCAGCACCACCATCTGCCGTGCTCGGTCCCCAGCGTTTACAGTAATTTCGATGGACCAAGATGGGATATCTCAGAAATAAAAGGGACAAGGCAGAACGTACTCTCTTCTTGGCCAACTTTCTCGCGCGCTTGTCCTTGCTGTTCCGGAGCAGTTCGATGACTCGGCGTTCGTAGGGAGCCAGGCCCGCGACCTCCTTGACGATTTCGCGGACAAAGGCCGTGCGTTTGGAGAGGGCACCCTTGCGGCGGGAGATGCGCGGTTTGGGAGTCAGGGGCGTGACTTTCTGGAAGGGCGGGTAAGTGTCAGTGTGTTCTTACGGCCATATGATGAAGATGCTGCGAAGTCGCCGACAAGCTGAGAGACCGGGGATTCTTGGTCTTACATGGCCTTTGTTCAAGCCGACGATTAAGCCGGACTTTTCGGTACGTTCTTTCGCCATCTTGGAGGATGGATCGTGCTGGCGAAAGGGTGGTTGTAGGGTAAAGTGCGCGCGTTGGATGGGGATTGAGGTCTCACTCGTAATCCAGCTTGATGCGCAGTTTGAACTTTTCGTGGGGCAAGTTTGCCGATTGTGTGATCTGGATGAGGATTAGCGTTGGAACGTCTTGGCATTGGCCTTGCGTTGTGGGCGGCAGGGCGGGCTGGCACACACAGTTGCAGACGAGGCTGTCTCGCAATTTTCCCGCTTCAACACTCTCTCATCTGGTGGCGGCAAGCACGAAATGGACGCGGGATCAAAAGTTGATCATCACCACATTCCCCATCCGCTTTATCAACTCCAGAACTATCGTCGTGGATGTTCCTCGGATGTGAAAACAGCGTAAACACCGACGAGTTCGAGTGTTTCACTGGGCCTGCGAAGCTGTGGTTGCTCAACGCGGCTTTCTGCGTCTAATATGACGCCTGTCTAATTTGACTAGGATTACTACTTTGTTCGTCTCGCGGACGATTTCTCGCGATCAACTAATCAATCGGACAGGTCTTGCACGCTGATGAAACTTCGATTGTTCGCCGTTTAGTCCAACTTATCTCATCTACAACTCCAGAGCATGCTTGACTAGCCTCTTATATCCGGCCAATGCCTCCTCCATATCTCCCACTGTGAGCCCTTCATCTTTCCCATGAGCCACGAGAATGCTCCCTGGTCCGTAGAGATATCTCTTGACCCCCTCCTTGACCTCTATATTCGGCACATCCGTCCCATAATTCACGGTAATGGTATCGAATCCCGTGACGTCCGCATCCAATGGCACGGGCCCGTACCCCTGGCTGAACTCCAACTCCAACAACCCCTCTGGGTCGACCTTTCGGACAGCATGCGTGACGATCTCGCGCACTTCAGACACCGTGCCGCCCGCAAGCCGGAACGTGATATCTGCCGTGGCGTATTCGGGGACCACATTGCCCGCCACCCCGCCCTGCATGTACCCTACATTGACTGTCGATTTGCCGTATTTGTCGCTGCGAGGCAAGCCGCCCTCCGCCTCGGGGATATCGCCCAGCGCATCGAGCACCGTCAACGCAGGTAGGATCATCGAGTTTGCACTCCGCCCCAGCCACGGATATCCACTGTGCGCCGCCTTGCCGCGAGCCTTGAGCGTGAGCATTTCAATGCCCTTGTGTCCGGCGGCGAGTTTGCCCTCTGTCGGTTCGCCGAACAGGATGGCTTTATAGCCGCTGTTGGTCGCCTTGTAGAGCTTGGAGTCGGAAAACGCGCGCATGCCATCGCCGCGCTTTTCCTCGCCGACCACGAACAGCAAGGCCACGTCCGAGGGCGAGACCCCTCCGCTCGAGAGCAGGTCTAATGCCGTTTGCAGCTGGACCGCCACACAGGCTTTGTCGTCGACGGTACCGCGGCCGGAGATGAGGATGTCCTTGCGCGATGATTTGGATTCGGGTTTTGGAAGCGATAGTGAATACGGGATATGTGGTGGTACCGTGTCGATGTGTGATGATAGTAGTACTTTCGGTTTCGTCGTCACGTGCTCTCCCTCGATAGATGAAGCTCCGAGGCTCGAATACTTCGAGACATCCGGATAAGCGTAGACATTGAATCTGCCTTTCGTGCTATTGTTCGAGTTTGGCGGCGGTACGCTTTGTGTCTTGACGGTGAAGTTGTGGGCTTCAAGGATCGAAACGAGGAGTTCTCCTACTGCGAATTCGTCGTCGGTGACGGATTCGATTTCGCAGATTGCGCGGTGAAGACAAAGTAATGGGGAGGCGGCAATTACGTCGGAGAGCTTCGTATTACTGTGATATTGTTCTGCGTGTTGTTGGCCAGTTATTGCCTGCTGGTCGTTGTCGTGGACTATTGCTGTGCATAGTATGGGCAACAGAGAGGTGAGTCCCAATGAGAGCTTCATGATCCCTGTGAGATGTGCAAATGCCACTGTATGTCATGTCACACTCAGGCATCAACAAGGAGCTGATGTAGAGGTCGCGGAGCTTATCACGCTTTGAAGACTAAACGAGGTTGCGGTCATCGACGTCTGGAGCTCCACCGACGCTGCGAGTTATGCGGACTTCATCGCTGTTCCCACAATCGCACGACAAAGTCTCGAACTCGATCTAAGCTGTTTATTGTCCCGAAGCGCGAGAAGAAGCTAATGATTGCTTCAAGCTTACATATCGAGAGCTAGCTTGCCCTTATTCTATGTCGATTTCACACCGTTGGGCTGCTTGCCCTTCTTTCTCTCTCTCCTTCGCTCCCAGACCATAAGGTACCCTTCTCTCGTGAAAAGCGTCTCGGACTCTGCTCGCTGGACCCAGAGATCCTGGATCTCAAGCCATTCAGGCAGATCACTCCGCTGAGAATAAGCAGCAGCTTTATCTCTGAGCTGCACTTTCCATGCTACTCTCAAACCCTCTGCTCCTACAGCCATGTTCGCCGCATCTGCTGCGTTAGTATCCTCACCGCCAGTGGTTGCAACCGAAGTCGTGTCTAGGATGATATTCGCAACCATGTCATACAGGATAGGCTCTCCAGGCGGATGCACCGAAGGGTTTGGCTCTACATATGGAGACATGTCCAGTCCCCGAGGAGAAGGAAACGTAACGATCGTAGGATTTCTTTCGGCCACAAACTTGTTTTTGCTAAATCGTTTGACGTGGAAGAGGAGGTACGGCGGCAGTGGGTGCAACAATCGATGCCGGACTCGATGAGCTGCTCTTTCCATGGCGCTGAGGCCGTTGTATTTCTGTAACAACGTCGTAAGAGGAACTTGTGGAATGATGTTTTTGGATTCGACTGCGTCCCGGAAGAGAGGTACAGGCGGTAGATCTAGTGTTAGAATGAGATATGGATGAATGTCCGTTTTGATGTTCGATGACTCTTCAAAGCGTAGCCGGTCGCCGGTGGTGTCGGCCTTTGCCGTGATTGCTTGTGATTCCATCCTCAATTTGCCTTGAAAGCATCTGTGTATGGGAGATGACAAGGCCTTTCGTGACCCACCCAGCATGCTGTGGAGACTGTTGAGGACCCAAGTCAACAGTTCGACAGGATCTGACTGCTGTGTCAAAGTGAACCTCTTCGAAGACCGCAGTGCGATCTCTTGTAAAAGTTCATGAGGCGACACGTGCGATCGAAACGCTCTCGGGTTCCACAGCTTGCGGACCAGCGTACTGAACCGCACTGGTAACTGGGCCGCTGTTAGAGGAAATTGTTGTAGGAGAAAGAAATCTCGCAAGGGCGTGACATGGGCCAGAGTCTGTACCACCACATTCAGGTAGTCGTTGGCCTTTATGTTATTCATGCCAATAAATCCAGGCCTGTATCGCTTGTTCGCGAGGTCGGTCGACTCTTTCGGGTCCTTGTCTAGCATCTTAACTTCCTCAACCGTGTATTTGGGATCCACCACGTACTTGATGTCGTCCAAACTCTTGTTCTTTACTTCGTAGCCCTCAGGAAGCACGTATACCTTCTTAGTTTCCATGTTGATGAAGACATGGTGGTCGAGCTCGAGCGCATGTTGGTATGCTTGTGACTGCGGTCCTCTTCCTTGGAAGTACTTTCCACACACAAGACATGCATAGACGTTGATGTTGGAAAGGGTAACGGAGCATAGCTTCTCAAAGTCGAAATCCAGTAAGGATCGATTTATGGTGTCAAGGTAGAGGTCGTCGTAGCCTTCGGTGGGGGCACTTTGTCGCAGAGGAGCGGCAGGTATCCGGTCGTCTTCTACGTCTGATTCCACTCCATCTTCTTGTTGGCGCTCCTTCACGCCCGCAGCTTCATCCGTCCCATTCGAGGGCAGCGCTGTGTTCAAGGTACCGCCGTTGGCAGTCGGTGCCTTTTCGGGCACATCTTCAAAACGCGCTCTTTTGCTGGCTGGAGATGTCTCGGCAAACACACCCTCCAGCGGCTCTTCCGACTTTCGCTTTGACATTGTGTGGTGGTCCCTTGTTCGGTAGGTAAAGTACGCGGGTTGAGGTTGTCCGAATCCCCAAATAATTTCGACGCGGGGAAGCCTTGTCTGACATGATTGGCTGATTTTCAGCCTTGCGGAAAGGTCCCAGGCAACGAGAACGAGCCGTTTGAGAATATGAAGAGTCTAACTAGAGAACACTCCATGGCTGAGGCGCAGGTCAATGTGGTTGCTACGGGGTGCTGCTATACTTATTGCCGGCTCTGTCTTTTAAGAGCCCGGAAGCCGCCGCAATTCCCACCGCCCTGAGACACCTACATCGAGAACAGTCACTTGCAAAAGTTCTCAGACTCGTCCCTCGGAATTACGATGAGCTTTTCCAAAATATGGGGTATCACTGAAGAATACATAGATCTGGTCTTTGGACGGTTTCCTTGCCATTTGCGTGACCCTCATATATTTCCCCATCCAAACTTCTTACCCAACTTCAACGTAATCCTCGTCCCAGCCGCCCAAATCGCAAAGTTCATCAGCCCTTGCATGCTCATTGTGATAAAATAATTGCCCCAGAACTGAAATGCTTTGAGGCCGGTGAGTTCTTGCATCCGGGTCGCGAAACCAAGAGGCCATATTTCACCCAGGGAGGGCGCTGTGTGCGCTATCTGCTGATGGGAGTGACGAGCAAGGAAATTTCGCGCAAGAGAGCGCATAAAGATAATGTCGAGTGGAAGGAGTATGATTGACTCAACCAACGAGGTCGCGTGGTAGGCGAAAGCTTCAGCTGCATGATTGGAGAGGATTGTGACGCGATAGGTGTCGAAGTTTGTGTCCTGTTGACTGTATTCATCCGGTTCTTGACGGCGACGTTCCACTACGTCCCTGAATGTGGGAACATGTTGATCTGACACCGTGGGGCGACGTACCGGCCTCATCGCAGCAATTGCACGGAGACTGGGTGCTCGAGATATCCCAGGAACAGGTGTTGGTGGTATTGTTGGTTGACTTGCGGGCGGATCTGGTCCTCCATGTTCCGGTGCGGAAGGCACTGGCGAAGGCGACCGAGCTGCGGCTTGTTCAGCTCTTGAAAGCTGGACAGTCGACGCCGGTCCAATATCCGGCCGCTGTTCGATGTGAGCTGGAGCAGGCTGAAGCAGAGTCTCCAGCGGGACAGCGGGGCGGAAAGCTGGCTCCTGAGCCACCGTCGCCCCATGCTCCGTATCTCCTTCAAAGATGGCAGCAACGTCAGCTCCCCATACCATGGAAATATAATCCGGCCCTACAAGATCCGCACGACCAGCAGAGACTCGCCCCGCCGCTGCGTCATGTACAGCCCCGGTGGCGTTGGTGCGAGCGGAAGCGCTCCTGTCTGCAAATGGAGCAAGCGCAAGATCCAGGGATCCTGGATTGCTCCCTCCGTCACCGTCATCGCCGCCAGTAATGTCGCCCGTGGCGAGAAATGTATTATGAGTCGCGGCTGTGCCCCTGGGCATATCGAACTCAACCTCGTTTGCGCCCTGGCTCACATTACTTGCGCCAGCCATAACGTCTTCAGGTGATGGTAGATCTTGCGGCTCGGGAGTCGAAGTGGAAGCTCGGCTCGAACCAGATAAGCTCATTTCATCTGCTAGTTCGAAAATATCCACCATCGATGAGTCTGGGTCCAGGTTGAAATCGTGAAAGGCGGCGCGAATGGCCATCACCCGGAGGGCCCTTGGGCCACGTGTAATGCCGCTTTCACGGTCCTGGCGCACAAGCTCGTGATAGTGCATAGTGCTGCGCCTGATCAGCTCCTCCTCCATCTCAGGGCTCAGTTCAATCGCCATCGGCACTCTTTGCGTATGTAGGACGCTGAGCGAAAACCAAAGCAAGTACGAAAGCCATCGATTCCGCAGTCCCTTGACCCTTCCTTCTCCCGAGGCGAGTCTCCGAGCATTCGCACCCGTAATCTTTCCTGGAGCATTGTGCAGTTGCACACTTGCGCTTTCAAGAGATACTGCATCCGGCCTATTAGGCTTGGCAAGAAGTTCGCGTATCCACACGTAGATTTTCGGGAAGAGAACATTGCTGATCTGATCTCTGACCATAGCTATGACAAACGGGTTGCGCATATGCATTACCAGATCTGTTGCTAAGGAGGACCAAGATTGGGTTTTGAATCGCGCTCGATCGAAACCGGGAGAGTCAAGGTCTGTGAAGGGGATCATCGCGAGAAAGGAAGGTCTGAAGCCAGGAGGAAGAATGCATAACGCTTGTAAAACCGCGTAAGCGTGGCACGAATACTCAACGGCGAACCAGAGTATGTGCAGGCTTCAGACCGTTAGCGGGTCAGATGAAGCTTTGGGATGTCTTACCTTGCGTAGCTGATTGTGGTGGTAACTCCTGAGCGTCGCAAACGGCTAAATAGGCGGCCTGGCGATCCTGAACCGACATCTTCTCGAAGCAGCGCCAATCTGATATACCGGCTGATCCTCGCAAAGGTAGCCGGGAGAATGCCCGCGAAAAAGAACGCACCAGGTCCCACGATGTTCCAATCTGACAATATCATGTGTGAGACTGGCAGTTCCAGATAGGAGTTGTAGGTCTAGAAAGGTCAACAGCAGGAAGGAGGTCTGAATCTCAGTACCTACCAAGACGCGGCGCCTGAGATTCAGGATCCAGTGGGTAGACAACTTCTGCAGAATACTCTCAGAAAGGCCAATGTAGGCCCCGGTCGTGTTTTCTTCAACTACAAGTCGAAACTTCTGCTTATCGTCCATGGTTTGCCACCGTGAGCGATTTGCCTTGGCTTTCTTTACGACGACGCCAACGGTATATAGAGCTTCATTCTGAGCGCGTAGAAGCCTTCGCCGTGACGTTTCGGAGCGGACGTTTCTGGGATGGCCACGACTATCGAAGTCCTGGATGTAGCTGGGTCCAGTGTCGTGTTGGACATTCGGTCCAAGGATAAGATCCCCATTTTCGTCTTGTAATGGAGCATCGAATGGTGATCTACCCTGGCACACAGTGTTAGCAAAGTTGCGTCGGTGTTAGTCTCCACGACGGGCCAGGTTTGACAAGAAAGACATTCTGATACGACAGGGAGGAGAGCGGCTGTCAATGACGTTCGAAAGGGTTCTAGAAGGAAGCGCTCACCAAAGCCAGCCGTGCAAGGTGAGATTGTCGACCCATGTTGCTGCAGCTGAAGATTCATACAGGCGCTCAAGCAGAGAAGAGATAGCCTGAAGTACCATTGATGTGTTCCAGGTCCCTGTCACCAGGATTGCGCCGGAGTGCAACAGTCACAAGATCGGCATCTGCTGGATCTCTACGACATCAGCTGCTTCCCATGTTATTGCGCGAGAAGATGACAATAAGTAACGTTGACGAGGAGCAAACATTCACGACTGAAACATCCGCCCGTGCCAAGGAGAACCCCTAGCCGCCCCAGGCAAGCTTGCTCGTTTATGCCGGTGCCCCCAAGCTGCTGCCCGTGCCGCCCCAGCGGCCCTGACGGTAGCCAAGCCATGAGCCCCTAAGATCTCCAGCCTCGTTATGTCTTGATACTCTGACTGACCACATCCTCGTGCTACGACTGGACGTGGTCTGGATGAGATACTTAGTCGACGCCACGTATTTTCGGACCAAGGTCAATAACAACCAAGTTCGATAATTAACCATTATAGCCTCGTAATGCTCCTGCTGGTTCCTGATGAGGCGCACTGACACTGGGCAGCCATGCCATTCTTCTCTCAGGTACAGTTCGAAGGACAAGTTGTCGAAGCGATTATGCTCGATTTTAAGACGATTGTTCCCTCCAGGGCTTAGTCGATAGATACCCTTCAGATGAATGAGCCGTGACTCCGTATACTCGGAATAGAAGACTCAAGGAGATCTTCTGGCGAAATTATATGCGGCTTTAGCGATCAGAGCCCAACCCACGTGGACCCGCTCGCCATGGTCTTATTGCTTTTGGGTTGGACTGTCGAGGCACGACTAAACTAGAAGGTACGGTGGTGTTGTTGAAGGAAAGGTTAGAAACTCCCGAGCTGTCCCGCGAACGGCGAGATTGTGCGTAACAGTCATCATTACGAGAGGCGTGTGAGTAGCAGTTGCCCATTACAGGAGACCTATGGGTACATTCTTTAAATGTTCGTTTGGTCTTGGTCAGCGTGCGGGAGCTGTTTGGATGCTGCGCAGTAAAGTGGTGAATAGAACAACACGAGAATTGAGACGAACATGTATGCAAGGAAAAGAAAAGGCCTGAATGTAGGCAACCAGCCTAGGGCTCGGGCCACTTTATGTGTGGCAACATGAACACTAACAGCTGCAAAGGTAATACACCACGACTGGCAGAAGAGGTGATCGCCACGACTATCGATGGCCTAGTGAGCTAGCTGAGAGCAGGGCTGGCCGTTGTTGTGTCACTGCGCACGCAGCACAAACCAACCTCGTCCTACCCATGACCTTACTCTTCTGGCTTGTATAAAATCTGTCGGATATCCTCACTGGACTAGTATAGAATTAGCGGGCGCTCCTTTCACACTTAGAACGATGAGACTGACACCAGTAACACATTGAGTGTTCTCACATGATATTCAAGCGTAACTGGATATACCTTCGATTGCTCGCGATGAAAGACGAAAGGTAATCTCTGGGTTCCGTCACTGGCCGTGCAGTCGGATCGTCCCTTCGGATGTGGTAGAGTTCTTGTGCTTCCGAAGTCATGTACGGACTTGAGGCTGTGATATTCTGGAGGTTGACCGCTGGAAAGATCTGGTGTGACCAAAAACGGTTCAAGATAAAGACATCGCCTTCGAGGAATCGCTGATGGAGTGCACCTCTAGTAGCATAAGCCCGTAAAGGAATCGTGGATATCTTCACTGTGGCTGGAGATATGCACCTTCGTACGTGAAAGCCTGGCCCCACTATACCGGTGGTTTCCTTTAGATATAGCCCTTTCTCGCTCTCGTCCTAGCCGGCGTTTCAGCTGACGCTTGCCTCCCGGTAATCGTTGAAGTCTGACTGTCCTTCGACGTCCATCTAGACGAGTCGACGCCTTTGCAGTATAGATGAGGTCGCTGAAGAGGATTGACTCGAGTTTCGCGCATAGACTGTGAATTGCTGCAGTGGACTGGTTGTTGGTATTTATTCGCGTGGTAGTAGGAGCGCGCGATCCGCAAGTCTTCCGCATTGGGACCCATAGAGAAACAGTTACCCATCCTGAGACGAGTGTAAAGTTGACTTGAAGCGGGACTTTGGAGTCAGCGACCAAAGCCTGACTAGGAGGCCAGAGGATGAACAAACGGAGGAAGCTAAATGTCGAGAAAGGGACCAAGCTGGGTGTGCCGCGAGCTTCGATTTTAGGAAACTCCTCTACTTAAATCTGTAAAGCGTAATAGACTTCCGAGGACCTGGTGATGGGGGCGTTGTGTTCGAGACCGAAGATGCAGCTCCTCTGGTTCACGCCTTGTTGTTACCACGGATTCGGTGTCGATAGGTGCTGGTTTGTCGAATGTTTTGACAGTCTGCATGTCGACCAGGAAACGCTTTCGCGACTGAGCCTCTGCTCTGATACCATGGAGACTGACCTGCGAGGGCGCCTCAGCATCTTATACTGAATGCATCAACGCTGAAGAATGTAGAAGAAATCAGCGAGAATCGTGGCAAATAAGCTGAGAAGGAGTGCGACGGCAGGGAAGATGCCTGCCTGATGTTTAAAGCAGCAAACCAAAAGGTGGCTGCTCAGCCTTGCCAAGTTCCCTGGACAAGGCTGAACTCCCCCCCGCGCCCAAATTTTGGACTGTTCACATTTTACACACTACTTGACTCCTGCGCTCTGATCTATTCCAACCGGCCCAGACCCTTGATCCTTAACAATGGCCGGCTACGACAACCCTACACAGATCTTTGCCGACTCAGCAACAGAAGAAAAGGGCGAGAATGCACGATTGTCGGCATTCGTCGGAGCCATCGCAGTGGGCGACCTCGTCAAATCCACACTGGGCCCCAAGGGAATGGACAAAATCCTCCAGAGCGCGTCAACAGGGGAGATTATGGTGACAAACGATGGAGCTACAATCCTGAAGAGTATTGCATTGGACAATGCTGCGGCGAAAGTCCTGGTGAACATTTCCAAGGTGCAAGACGACGAGGTCGGCGATGGCACCACCTCCGTCACAGTTCTTGCAGCCGAACTGTTAAGAGAAGCAGAGCAACTGGTCAACAAACACATCCACCCGCAAACCATTATTGAAGGCTTCCGGCTCGCCAGCGCGGCGGCCCTGTCAGCACTCGAGAAAGCCGCAGTCGACAACAGCAAGTCGCCCGAGCTGTTCAAGAAAGATCTCCTCAGCATCGCACGCACAACGCTCTCCTCGAAAGTCCTCGCCCAAGACCGCGACCAGTTCGCCAACCTCGCCGTCACTGCAATCCAGCGCCTCAAGGGCAGTATCGACCTCAACCACATCCAGATCATAAAGAAATCCGGCGGCAAACTCAGCGACAGCTACCTCGACGAAGGCTTCATCCTCGACAAGCGGGTGGGCGTCAACCAGCCGAAACGGCTTGAGAACGCCAAGATCCTCGTCGCCAACACGGCGATGGACACAGACAAGGTGAAGATCTGGGCTGCGCGCATGAAGGTCAGCAGCCCGAAAGAGCTGGCCGAGCTGGAAAAGGCGGAACGCGAAAAGATGAAGCAGAAGGTCGAGCGCATCAAGGCGCACGGCATCAACTGCTTCATCAACAGACAGCTCATCTACAACTGGCCGGAGCAGCTGTTCACCGAAGCGGGGATCATGAGCATCGAGCACGCCGACTTTGACGGCGTGGAGCGTCTCGCACTGGTCACAGGCGGCGAAATCGCATCGACATTCGACCATCCCGAATCCGTGAAACTAGGGCAATGCAATCTGATCGAAGAGGTCATTATTGGCGAGGACACGCTAATCAAATTTTCCGGCGTGGCCGCAGGAGAGGCCTGCACTATCGTCCTGCGCGGCGCGACGGAACAACTCCTCGACGAAGCAGAGCGATCGCTGCACGACGCGCTCGCCGTGCTAAGCCAAACGGTCAAGGAGCCCCGCGTCGTGCTGGGAGGCGGCTGCGCCGAGATGGTCATGGCCAAGGCCGTCGACTCGCTGTCCAACAAAGTCCCCGGCAAGAAACGTCTGGCCATCGACTCCTTCGCCACCGCGCTGCGTCAGCTGCCCACCATCCTCGCCGACAACGCGGGTCTCGACTCGTCCGCCCTCGTCTCGGAGCTTCGATCAGAAGTCTACCGCGGCATGACGACCAGCGGTCTGGACCTGCTGACCCCCGGCGGTGGCATCGCCGACATGCGCGATTTGGGTGTTATCGAAAGCTACAAATTAAAGAAAGCCGTCGTGGGCAGCGCCAGCGAGGCCGCCGAGCTGTTATTACGGGTCGACAATATCATCCGCTCGGCCCCGAGGAGGAGGGAACGCATGTAAGCGTAGGTCCGCAGCTGAATATCAGTGTACGAAGCCTCGTGAAGTGAAGGGAAAGGGGAGGAAGGGAAAGGGGAGGAAGGGAAAGGACAGGGCTGAGCGCAAGTTGAACCATGCATGCAACGGCATTTACTGCCCGGCTACCTGCTCGCCTACCTATTACCTATTATCTACTGCCTATACCTACCGATCCCAACACACCACCCATTACATCCACGCCTAACGAAGCCCGCGCCGTCCGGAAGAGCAAAGACCTATGAAAGCCGAAAGATGACACACCGACGGACGGGCCACGGAGGAAGAGTACCACACAGGTACTACTGTATGCAGTTCGCCCAAGCTCAGCCAGCCCAGCCCAGCCTAGTCCAGCTGCCATCCTCATCATCCACACGAATGGATTCCCCAATGCAGCCCAATGCGAAGTTGCAAGACCACCATGGTTACGATATGCGGACGCAGAAGGCACGGCCTTCGACCTCTTCCCTACTCCTTCCCCAGAACTTCCGCGCGTGGTGGATACGCCGCATGGGCTAGATCAATGATATGATGGATGGGGACACTTGGGGACGAACACCATGCGTCAAGATGCTGCGAATCGGTGCGTATGCACAGTGGCCAGGAGGGCTGATTCGTACTGTGTTGTACTGTGGCGGACATTCAATGGCTTCGAAAGGCGTACACATAAAGCGCCTCTCCCGGCTGTCGCATGATAGATAGATCTGACGAGGAGAATGAGATACAGTCGAGACGTTCAACATCCAGATACAGACTCAGAAAAGATTAGACCGCAGTGAACCCATGAATTAAACGGATAGTCTTTAGATCTTACGTTGTCCTCTACCAGTCAGTCACGTTCCACGTTCCATGACACTGCCGTCATGAATCGCTGAACCTGGCTACTGTACTGTAGCTAGCCTACTCGAACCATCTCTCCATCTTGAACTGTCCGACCAGGCCCCTTTCCTGGATAAGACAATGACAGTTGATGAGCAGACTCGGGAATCTCTTCGCCCAGAACTCATAGTACCCCTTCGCGCTCCCGCCCAGCATCTGCTCTTTGACATCTTCGGGCAAGTCGTGGAAATGATTCTTCTTGTTCCGGATCACCCGAAGCAGGTCGATCATCTTGGAGCCTGTATATTTGCGCTGCTTGCCCATCTCCGTCAGGAACGTCTTGGGAAGAGCACGGAGCCAGTCCTTAGATGGTCCGATGACGTTGGGAGCGAGTATTTCCAGGGCGGCGAGTTCAGCTAGAGACGCCTTCTCAGTGGGTGTGCGCATAGCATTCTCGTCGTGGATATTAGGCACCGAGTTTTTCTCACGCTCGTAGCAGTCCGAGACATCACAGAGAAATTCGAGCTTGTCAGCAACGTCCCAGAAGTATGGATGGCGGAGGATCTGGTCTGTGGTGGGACGTTCCTTGGGATCGTGTTTGAGCATCTGCATGATGAGGTCGTCGGCGTCGAATTGGTAATCGTGGAGTCGTAGATCTTCTGTGCTGAACTTGTTTTCTTTGATGTTGAGGTCACGACCTAGACTTGTCCCACCCACATCAAAGGGGTGCCGACCTTGGGTCATGACATAGTAAAATACACAACCAAGAGAAAAGATATCAATGGCTTTGGTAGCACGACGACCGGATGGCGGATCAATGACGGTGGTTTCGCTGGAATGTGTGGTTGACTTGGATGTTGAGTTTGAACTGGCGTTCAGTGCGGTGACCGCTGATCGAGAGCCGACGAGCAGTTCTGGGGCTCTCCAGCCCGTCGTGCCGGCAGCTGTATGGTTGGCTGTAGGAGCAAACGTAGACTCTGGACCTTCCTCGAGTGGCTTGCACAGACCAAAGTCGGAAATGACAAACTGCAGCTTGGGCAGTCCGTTAGTGGGTCGACTGCTCTTCACAGCCTTGACCAGCACGTTCTGCGGCTTGATATCCCGGTGGACCAGCTTGAGCGAATGTAGATGTTGAACTCCGTCGGTAATTTGACGAAGTGCGTCCTTGACATCGAAGCCTTCTGGCAGCTTGACCAGGTCGGGATACAGGAGCGGACGCTCGATAAATTGGTCGAGCGAGGTGGTGAACCGTTCAAGAGCAATATAGGTGAAGTGTTGGGACTCTTCCTTTCCAAAGTATCGGATGACGTGCGGATTCTCGTCGCTCGACAGCAGATGTTTGATCTCTTTGGCAGCCAGGCTGTTGGAAGTCCTGATCAAGCGCTTGACAGCAACTTCTCTGCCATCCAAAGAACCAGGAAATACTGCGGTGCCATTGCTGCCGCGGCCTAGACATCGATCTTCCTTCGTGTCAATTCGAAGCTTTCCAACTTGGAGCAGCCCGTCTTTTGTCGGGGTTTCAGCGACAAGCTGTTCTTTCTCGTCCATAGCGTCGGGATTCATTGTCTTCTTGCCTTTTTTGTTCTTCTTCCCCCCTCGTTTCCCACGTTTGGCGTGCCTGCGGCGAGGTTGTGCTTCACCTTCAACTGTTCCATTGGAGTTGGAATCAGGTTGATCCTTGTCGTCTTCCGAATCAACATCAGAGCTGTCGTCATTGGGGTCAGGCGCCCTGGCTGTTTTGACAGGGCTAGCAACGGAAACGGCCGCGCTCTGAGCCCGACTTCGAGCTGGGGTGGTGATGGCATTCTCTAGGACTTCTGACACGACTCCTGTAGCCTCTCTCTGAGGAGCTACCTCTGCGACCGGCACATCTTGCTCTTCAGGGACAGCTGAGGTCGGGCTGGCGGGGGGAGCCTGGATCTTCTCGGCGGCCACTTCGACGCCTGCCTTGCGGAGGAAACGTTGTAACTTTACCATGACGGGTGATCTCATTTGCAGACCAATCGCAAACAAGAAAATGCTCACACAGATGATGTTGAAAAGAGACATCAGTGGGTGGCTCACAACGGGCAACAATGCAGGCGGGATCTTCGACTCCAAAGCAGCCATCGCGTTCTCCGCCTCTTCGGCCAAATCCGTCACAGGAGGCGGTCCTGAAATTGTCAGGCGGACTGGAGTCGTGCTCTCGTGGCCAGATAGCATATGAACACCGACAATCTCATCCAGGTCGCCATCCAAGTCCAAGGGTTGAGTATCGTAATTCCAATTCGAGCTTGCCGGTGCCGCACCGCTAGTGACCCCGGGATAGGCCAGTTCGGACATGGCATACCATACTCCTGCTTCGGTCTTGTTTACGAACACTCGTTCGGCTCGTTGCATCTCATTCCGCCATATCTCAGGAGACGACAGTAAAGGCGAGTCAGTGGGTCGGGAAAGTAAAACAAGGTTGGCAGACTCGTCGTGGTTGTCGAGCGGACGAACGACGTCAAATACCCGCGCCACGGGGGTGTCGAACATCTGCGTGAATCGTGGGATTTTGCCATTTTCCGAATCGTCAATACCAATGATTCGACCGTTGTAGTAGCTCTGAATATGGTAATTGTCAAGCGGAGCCACATACTGCTGTTGCAGGTCGCTGTCCATTTTGTTTGGCAACCATTCCGCGAACTTGATGGTACAGAGTAGCTGGCTTGTGATTTTGTGGGTTATCTGAATCGTGTATTCGACTCTTCCCAGGTTGATAGTCCCGATAGGGTCACACGCAGGATCGTCCAATTCGAAACCACTCAGTCGTCGGCAGCTGCGGCTCTGGTCGTCACTGGAAAAGCCACGATATTTGTCAAACCGCTGTAGGATAGTCCCTGTGGCCGCATCCACGATATAAGCCGTTGTTTCTTGCGAGGAGATGGTGACAATGGGCGGATTGTCCACAAACTGGGGTGTCTGGGCCGCGAGGGACTTGACAGTGACGCCAAGTCGTTGGAGACCAATTCTGGGGTCTCGATGTTGAACGTAGAGGTTCCCGTCTTTGCTCGGCTCAACAATGAACATGTAGTCATCTTCATACGGTGACCCATCATAGTCCAAATCACTACGATTCACGTGGTGATGGATGGTCTCAATCATGGGACTGTTGGGGATGCCCAGTGACCATCTCTCGTTGCCTGTCTTTCTGTCACGGGCGTGTATAGTGCCATCAATTGTGGCTAATAGGACAATGTTCTCCACCTCCCAGTCTTGCAGCAGCCGCGCTGAAGGAAGCGCAGAGAGTCCTCCTCTGGGAGAGGACTCAATAGACTGCTGAACAAGAGGTGCTCTAACAGCACTGCCACTCAGAGAGTCGTAGGCTGGAGCCAAGGCACGGAGTTTTTGATGTTCGGTATCTTCATCGGTGCTATAATATCTAGCGGTGGTGATATCGTTCTTCAGGAGAGGAATCTCGGCTGGGCTGCGGCCAGCTCGAGCAGGGCGCCGACTCGATTCAGAGCGGAGGCTTTGCGTTGAGGCCACCAGTCTCTGAGGGACATCGGATTGGTGCACGGATTGAGACTGGGTAGTAGCGAGGAGAAGAAAGAGAATTGCCCAGGTCAACATGGATTTCGGGTTGGCGTTGGATCCTCCACCGCGGCCAGCTGCTGGCCGAAGCGGAGGTTTGGCCATGATCGAGTAGGCGGAGATCCAGCGCGTCGAGGGTAGATCTATTTAGATGTGTTCATATTTTCCGGTATCTGTCTCGATCATAAGAAGGGAAAGAGAAAGAGGTGGTGGATCTGTGTGCGATGTTAAAAGGTGGGAGGTCGGATCTGTCAGTCAGCTTACGAAAGTTGGAAGTGAAGTGAAGTTCACCAAGCCCTGAGTTACTCGTCACTCTCACCTGTACACAAACCAGTGGAGTGCCCGGGAGGGTTATGGGCTCCCTTCGCTCGGCTCGGGCAAGCCTAGAACGTGTCACTGCCACTGCCAGTCACTCCTGGCCCGAGCCACCCAACGATTGGCTTCCCTCACCTTCCCTGCCGGCACGTTCCATTCCCGGCCTAAACCCAATTCAAGTGTTTCAGAAATTCAGCCTGAAGCTTATTCACCGCAAAGTACTCCGTAGCTCGTAGTTGGAGAGAGTAAACTGGAGATGTTCTCCTGAGAACTGCATATCTCGACTTCGACTCGCTGTAGCTACAAGTCTAGATCGACCGTACTCCATAGAGCCCTAGACAAACAGGAAAACCTGATGGAAATCCTCCTTGACTTCCAGGTTGTTCTACTGCGGTACTCCCAAACAAGGACGGACCCGGTGGTCTGTCCTCCTTGCATCTATCACCCATTGAGCCCCTTGCCACTATATTTGTACATCATTACACCCTCACATCTCCCCTGCTTGTGACATAAGAACCTGCCAACAAATCCGATGAGAGGAGAAGTGAGTGTCAGCCATTAAATAATCGTGTATCCGTCATAACAACGACATGTCAAGAAGAGGCCCAGTTCCAAAGCGTCAAAAGCAGACAACGTACTCGCCTTTCTCGTTCCGCTTGATCCGCAAAGCTCTCCAAAGGTCCTGTTCCTCGTCAATCTTGGATGAGCTATTCCTCACGTCGTTATGCTTGTGCCACCGCTTGAGCATCTTGTGAATGGAATATCCCTTGTCTGAATCCAGTCCGGGCGCATTGGCGAGGAAACTGCGACAAGCCCGCTTCGCTTTCTCTTCTGCTCCGAAAACGACCATATCGCCGTTTGTGCCTTTTGTTTTCCTGGCCGCGCGGACACCCTCAGAGTCCGAATCTGAGGCTGACTCGTCGTGCTTGCGGTATTCAATGGCCTTGAGTTTCCGCGACGTGCCTTCTCCTTGCGAGGGTGAGCGTGACTCGTCACTATATCGATGGCGAGAGCGGTGTTCATGTCGGATGTTAGCCGACGATGTGCCATTGTGGCGATGCACTTTGTGCTTCTTCCTTTCCCGTTTCTCGCCATTCTGGATTCGTGTCAGGCTGTGGCCATGATCCGAGGAACTGGCTCTCCTCCTTGTGCGGCTGTTGGACATTTCGCTCGCCCCTTGGCCTGCAAGCAGGGCTCCGCCGACCATGGACAGAGCCTTGACGGCCCGACCCTTGATGGAAATGCCTAGGCCGTTCGGGTCATCCTTGGTATGCCGGGTACGTTTCAACGGGGAGGTAGGGTCCTCGAGTTTTTGGCCTCGACGCGTGGAACGCGCCTTCACGATGACCGCATCTCGCCTGTCTTCTGGATCAGGCGATCGACGGAAGGGATACGCCTCGTCCTGGGACATCATGCGACTCAGTCCGCCAGTGAGGCCTGAGTGGATGACTGCAGGGGTGTCTACCCTGACCGTATCGGGCATCAGCGTATCTCCCTCGAGCTCGTGCACTTGGTCATCAGTGGGCCGTTTCCTCTTCTTCTCGCTTCCACTGTTCGTTCGGCTGTGCGACTGTGGTCTTTCTTTCTTACTCAACCTGGATTTGGCATCTTTTGCGGCTGGCGTCATGAACTCGAGCGACAACGAACTGCCGTTCATATCCAACATGCCTCGTGGCAGGACCGGCTCCGTCCCCCACGTGAACCCGTTCTCTTCATACTCCTTGCTGTGCCGATGCTCTTCGCCATTGCGACTAGACGGCCGGCTGTTGGTGAAGATGGAGGGAGCACTGTGCTTCATGGACATTTCTCCCTTGTCCTTGGCAAAGCTGATCTGTGGTGTGCCAGCTTGATCACCGTCGTCGACCATGTAATCGAAGACACTGTCACGGTTGGACGAGTCGGGAACGGCGGGTGGGGGTGTAGGGACGTGAGGAGGGGTTTCGGCATCGGCGACGTCTTCGACATACGCTTGACGGGGAACGAGAGCCTTTTCACCCTCGGGCTCGACGATCGAGACGGATTTCCGTTTGGCGGCTTTCGAGGGCTTCTCGCGATACAGCGCGCCCTGATACTTCTGGTCTTCGGTAATGCATGACTGATTGCCCTTGTCAGTGCCAAAGTTCTTCACCGACTCGGGCGCATGTTTGCAGCGACAAGGTTGTGGGTGATCCACATACTGTATGCGCTCTATAGTTTGTTGCCTGAAACGTCGTCATGCAGTCTATGCAGGTAAACATCGCCCCGCGGCATTGGTTGCGATGCGGGTCGAGTTTTTTCTTGGTGAGGACGTCGCCGCAGCCCTGCAGTCAGGATTATTAGAAACCGGTCAAGACGTCCATCTATCGCGCATTGGTGCTAACCTCGCATTGGAATGAGACCATTGTGCGTGTTGTCGTATGAGTGGTGAGTGTGGAAGTTAAGGCGTGCAAACACCAGTAAAATGAGGGTCAAAGGATCGCACCGCCGGTTGGGCAGCAACAACGAGGTCGCACAAGAGCCAGCTCTCGAGCAGATCAATAAGAATGCCAGGAGAGAGTGGACTGACGAGCTGACGAGCCGACGTGCTCGTGGACGGTATGTGTCAGAGGGGCAGAAATGCGTAAGGAGCGTGTTAGCGGTTCACGGCCCTCAAACCTGGTGCTGCTCTTCACGATGGCGGCTTTTCACTTGGCAACACATTTTATATTTGGAGGCGAGAATCTGTGTCTTGAAGCGGCATAGTCCCCGTCCTGGCCTGTGAGCTTGACCCAGTTTCTACTAGTCGCACACCATTAAACGCCTATCAGAGGGGCTATCATGCCTGAAATCAGGGGAACCAAGCTTGCGAAGCCCAGGTTTGAGACTCGCTCGTCCCAATCCGCGACGCGCCTGACCACCGATGTCTCGCGCGTTCAGTGGTCATCTGGCCGGCTGCTGCACATCATGATTGATCCATCTGGCACACGAACACCTGGGGTTGCCGGCATGAGCAAGTAAACTTGTTTGGGGTGCCATCCATCAGGCTTTGGACGCACAACAAACATCCTGAGCGCAGCTGTACACAGTACCCGGTAAACAGTGCATACGTCAAGGGAGCAAGACACAAGCATTTGCGTCCTCAGCTCGTGCCACCCACCATCGCCAACTTCCATCCCACCAGCCAATGTGCGGTCACTCCGGGTCTACCGGCCCAGGAGCCGTGGCACCTGAAACCACCCTCTCACATTCCCAAGCTTCTGATACAGACGCGCCAAATGATGCTGCCGCATCGTTGCGAGTTTTTGTCCCCCACTCCACAGTTAGCACGGCCGCGTTCGACCTTGTGATATCCGCCGCCTTGCCGCTGTCGATCTTGCATCACTCTCTACGGGTCTACCTCTTTGCGAACTGGTTGGCGGACAAGGAGAAGAGCGAATGGGCGGACAGCGACCTGTTGTTTGTCGCATGCATGACGCATGATATCGGGGCATCCCACAAGCACGATGGTCCGCAGCGGTTCGAGGTCGAAGGCGCGGATGCCGGTGCCGAGCTGGTTCGGAGCCACAGTAAGTCGGAAGAAGATGCGCACGAGGTGTGGACGGCTATCGCTCTGCATACCTCACCTGGTATCGCGGAGCGCATCACGCCATTGGCTCGGCTGGTGAGGCTTGGTGTCCTGATCGACTTCCGCCCGGCCACAAGATCTTCTCTGGGCGCCGTGGAGTATGCGAGGGACGTCGAGGCAAGGTTGCCCAGACTTGAAATTGAAAAGGTCCTGGGCGATGCGGTGGTTGGACAGGTAATCAAGAACCCAGCCAAGGCGCCTGCCGCGTCGTGGCCGAATAACCTCTACAAGTCACACCTGGAGAATCCGCACTGGGACGGTATCAATCGAGCATTTTAACAATCCCATTAAATGTGTATATATTGACAAGAAGAATCTTGGGGCAACACCAGTCATAGTTGTAGTCGCCTTCCTATGGTTCCAAAGCAGATGCTGGTGCAGAAAAGGATGCTCGCTAGCCATGTGTACACTCCGAATTTTTCAGACGCCATCTGCTGATGGATTGCTGGCACCGGGACGAAGTTTGGGTCAAAAACCAGCAAGACCATCGTACCAACGATGCTGACAACTGCTGAAAAGGCTAGACCGGGTAAAGATCGATCAATCAGATACCATAATACCGGATTTGCCAACGCTAACGTCAAGGCAACCTGCAGCGTGGATTGCCAAGGGATTCGTCGCTAAGGATGTCAGTCAGGACTGTGATTGCTGGCGAGAAGAAGAGAGCTTACCACCGCAAATGCAATCCCTACAAAGACACCCATGCTCCTGACCGCCGAGTACCACAATGGACCTAGTCCACTCTCCGACGATGAAGCTGAGCCTACCCCGTTGGCTGAGGCTGCCTTGGTAGGAACTGACCTGGCATCTGATGAGACGAAGTTTTCCCACAAAGAATCAACAACCGGCAATGCGTTTCCTAGCAAAACGCCAAAAAGGCCCCATAACATTTGATAGGACAGTGTGCTCCGGTCAACGTCTGGCACGGGCACTGGAGTTATTCGTTGCGTTTTGTGAAGATGGGTGATGATGGAGCCATAGCCAATGCCGAATCCGCACAAGAGCATCGTCTGCAGCATGAGAGGCACCACATAGCCACGAAATCCTCTTCTCTTCAGTTTCGGCCTAGCCTTCGTAGGTTCCGGTGTAGGTTTGTAGTCATAGTCGTCTACGCTTCGCCTCTTTGCGGGAGTCTGTGCACCAGTCCCCCAGGGTGTCGACATTTCTTCCCGAGCTCCATCGCCGCTAACGGGAGAGTATATCCCGAGTAACGTGGAAGAGGTGAGGTTCAGTATAGACCGAGTTCGACTAGGGGAGGCATCGGACTTCTGGGCCAAGAGCAGCTCCGGGTTCGTGGTCTCAGCAGGCGAGGGAGGGTACGATGAGTCGCTTGAGGCTGGCGTTATTTCGAAGGCTCGCCGAGGAATAGGGCGATAGATCGGAGGTATCTCCATGTTCGCAGGATTTAACTGGCGTTGCACGGATCGCGCTGCGCCTGTTCGAGGCTATGTTGAACCCAATATGAGGCGAAAAAACCCTGCCGTATGGTGTAGGTGGAGGACGCAGAGATTCAATGGTCTCGTGCTACCGGAGTTGCGAAGTGAGTGTAAACTTCTGAAGCATTACGGAAATACGAAAGGTCTGAGTCTGCGAATGAGCGACATTTGAAATAGTAAGATGGACCACGTACATGTGGAGAACAGGAGGATCGCCTGTCTCAACAATAGCACAAGAGCTGGGGATAGGAACTGGCTTGCTTATTTTCACATGTCCATCTGCAAGTCGTTGTTCACGGACACGAAACTCGGACTGGTTGGGACGTCGGCACGCGAGTGGCACATGATCTGCAGAACTGTATGTAACTGCCAAGGCTGCATGGGATACCAAGTCCCCCTGAGCGCAGCTTCACTATGCTTTCACATTGCTCTCATACTTATTTTATCGCCATGACACTGACAGCTTCCACTTGGAAGCAGCCGCCATCCGGGCAATGCTTATGCCGTCTAAGTCAAGCGTCTCTCGCGTGATTTGAAACACCTTCAGCCCAATCGCAGCTTCGCCATCCGACCGCATCATCTTGTCGTACAGCTGTTTGACGCCTTTCTCCTGCTCATCACGCCCAACGTGTGCCCATCCCCACCTGATAAGTTGCTTCCACATGCCTGATGCCTCCGGCTTCGCTATCTTTGGCTGAGAGAGATATTGATCCAACTCTGCGGACAGCTGTGTAGGTTCATCCACCACTTTTGCAACCAACCCGAGTGACCGGAGCTCAGGCATTGTTATCGGGCGAGCAGAGAGCATGGCCTCTTGTGTGAAGGCCAGACCCCATCTCTGATGATGTATTGCGATTGTCGCTGGACACAGTCCGAGCTTTGCCTCACTCAACGTGACCGTCACCGAGATGACCGCAATTCTGCCATCGCACGCAAACGCAAGTCCAACTCCGCCACCAAATGCTGGCCTGTTGATCGCAGCCACCATCACTTGACGCGCGTTATCAGTTGCTTCGAAATGCCTTGTCATCCGGTCATATTCTCCGTCACTGGCTTCTTTCGTCTGAGCAACCGGTGTTGTCCCCTCGCCTAAGCCCATGCCAGCGCAGAAATATCTACCTTCCGCCGAGATGACAATGCGCAAAATTGAGCTGTTGTCTCGCGCTCGATGGGACAGCTGTGTAAGATCCTGTATCAGGGGAACTGTGAGGCCGTTGCCTTTCTTAAAGCGCACTTTCAGGTTCACGTTCGCCCGATAAGTCTTCACACTTTCTGGCTCGCTCATCAACGTCCACGATACTTCGGACCGCGCGGGATCCTTGATCATGTTATATCCTTTGCTGTCGACAGGAGCAGAGCCTGCCCCTCGAAAAAGCAACACCGGTACGACTCTCGTTCGGTTTCTTCAGCTGCGTTGAAATCCAGTTCCCAACCTCCACGAATCTGGAAAGATCGACCCCGGTATTCACATCCGCCTGCTCGAACAAATACACCAGACCTTCCGTTGCAACATTTCCCTTGGCGCCAGGCGCAAACGGGCAGCCTCATAGTCCAGCGACACTACTGTCAAATACGCGCAGCCCACATCGGTAGGCTTGCCACACGTTCCCCAGGACCTGGTCGTACGTATCGTGAAAATGACCTGCATATTGTGACGAAGAAATGCCGTGCTCAAGCAGATAATCAAGCAGAGTCTTCACATCCACAGCCGTGCCAACACCCAATGTATCCCCCAAACTGACCTCATAACAGCCCATATCCAACAGTGCGGACGACCTGGAGGACATTTGTCTGGGCCGTCGGTCCATCGAAGGGATCTGCAAATATTACAACTCACGTACCCTCGGACGGCCACACCAACAACAGTCGCCCTGTTAGCAACGTGTCCTGCCCTCGCCAATCCCTCCTCAATAGTCGCGTTGATGTTGGCTCTGCTGAATGCCTCCGTAGCACTGACAAACACAGCGACTTCCCGCACGCCATTTTCCACCGCGACCTCCAAGCCCTTCAGATTAGTAACCAACACCGGCACGCGAAGCGAGTCGTCCCGTACCATCCCCTTGATCATGGGGTCAGCAAGCACAGCCCGACAATCCGCCAGTTGAGGGATCGCCCTCGGGGACACCACAGACGTGATCTCCATCGTCTGGAGACCCGTCTGTCTTAACCGCGAAATCAGCTCCAGCTTCGTCGCCGTGGGTATCACCGTACCGTCTTGATATTCTGCAACCCATCACGGGGTCGAACCTCGACGATACGCGCCGCACCCGGCGGTTCAGACATGTTACAATTCGTTCTCACCATGACACAAGCCATGAGGAGTCCTGTAAGAGACAGTACGCGGTGTTTATGATACCTAGAAGCGCCTCTTGTCGTGGTCGACAACGACGAGATCACGGCACATATACTCTCAAGATAGAGGCGCAGACACTGAGAGAGATCGCAACTCCTCCACGAGTGCCTTTTCGTCCTTCGGAGCAGAGTATGGATGATTACTGTATCACTCAGCCGCAACTTTCAGGTCCGAACATTTAGCTTTCCTCCCACACCATGGAACTTCCGGTGATGCTATACTATTCGCCCACACGCATTTCCTTACCCTGGGCCCGTACGCGTGTCCATCTTCGCCCGTAATGTTTCTGCGTCGGCTTCGGGACCTCGGACCGCTGTGTATGCACGCTCACCTTCACACTTCACGCTCCACACTCGTACTCGGCACTTGTCACATCAGTACGAGGTGACGTAAAGCAGGCTAGAAAGACAGACACAATGGGCACGGTCGTGGTCGTGGTCGTGGTCGTGGATAGCGGACTCGGCACAGACGCTTAAGGTAGACCCCACCCTCAAGTCGGTGGATTCCCGTGGCCGAGAAATGGGAGGATAGGAGGACGGGAAGCGAAAATGCTTCCGCTTCAGCCTCGTCTCTTAGGGGTAAGGGTTCGGTCGCCGACCCGACTGACAGACTGCTAGCTACGTGACAGTGGGGGGGCTGGGATGATCTCGAATTGCGGGAATTTCTTCAGTAGGTGCTCTTTAATCGTCTCGTACTTGCTAGGAGTACACACCTTGCAGAATACCCCGTACTCTGGCCCCTGTACCGGTGGAGTGATGAAATGAGACAATGAGCTGCCGTTCAGGTGATAATACGGTCCTGGCTTAGATGCTCCGCCGTTACGAGAATACTATGGCGCAAAGTGCCCACTCGAGCTTTGCCAAGCTTTGCGATATTTCTTGACGAGTTTTCAGGCTTCGTAGAACCCGATCAGCTTCACTTTTCAGAAACCCCCGAAGCTATATATTCCGGACCTAGTTTCGGAGAATTAGGTCTATACCCTTGAGGGAGACAAGCACCACAATCCGTGAAGGTGTTCGTGTCAGTCAAAGAACAAAAGTTAAGGAGCAATCTAACTCATCACCATGTCTCTTACCCAGCAGATCGACCCGGACAATGTCCCCAACTACGAGGACATGGAGAAGCAATTCGCCGTGAAAGCAGTCCAGCATATGACTGTCTACTGGTCCATCCTTGAGAAATTGCCAGGCTCGAGGCTTCGTCTGACGCGACTTGACGACCAGATCTTCCAGCATTTTAAGCGCGAGTTTCCGGACTTTGACCCCGCCCAAGAACTCAACGAAGATGCAATGAAAAGTAAGGAAGGCAAGGAGAGGTGGCGCAAATTCTCCATGGCCTACGAAAAGGGTGACAACAAAATCGAAGACTACAACTTCGGAACCATGCTGAGGAAGAGTCCTAAAACTGAGTATGGGGAGAAGGAGACCATCTTTGCTATTCGAATGCAGTTCTATGCTATTGAAATCGCTCGGAACCGTGCCGGTCTGAACGATTGGATCTATGAAAATGCACAAAAGGAGCAGAAAAAATCATGAGCTCGAAGAGGGGGCTGGTCACTTTGGCGAGCTGAGTATGGTTGAGAAGGAACCGCTATGGATCTAGAGGGCATCAAGGTTATCGCAAAGTTCAATCACCAGATCCTCCGCCGGAGGCGGATGGCCCAATGTCCACATTCCATGAGAACAATATCAAGGTCAAAAGTCCGACAACCTTGGCACGCGCGTCCGGATCACTCCAAGCCCACGCAACTAAGCCCAACAATCGACATTATCCTCACTTTTGATCCTGTTCTTTGGAGTCTTCAGCTATAGCGCTCAGTTGTCGCCACAACAGTGTCCAATTCAAGCACCCGCATAAGCAATCATGTGTGTTCGCAAGGACGCCTTGGCGATATGACGCCAAACCCGGACGATGACAGTCCGAAGAACTCTGTTCAGGGCAGTCGCCGCCATGGGGTGCTTACTGGCTGGAAGAACCTGTTCAATTTCACAGAAAAGGCACACCTCCCTGTTCTGTTGCCGGCAATTTTCATGTCTGCCGTTGCGGGAGGCCTACAACCAACCATGGCCTTCTTTTTCGGCAAGTTCTTCGACAATTTCTCGGATTTCGCAACCAGCAAGATCGATGGCGCGACCTTCATGAACAGATCCCTCACCAGTTTCTATGCACTCTTTGCCATTGGCGGAGCAACGCTTTTGCTCAAAGGCGCTCTGTTTAGCTTGTGGCTGTTCTTCGGCGAAATGCAATCGCGGTATGTCCGTGAGCCCCTTTTCGCATCTCTTCTCGACCGAGACATGGACTGGTATGAGGCCCGGACATGTGGGGTTGGGACATTGTTGACGAAAATCCAGAGGTAGAGCATGCCATGGGTGTCAACTACCGGTGCTGACGGGATTAGACAGATCGGAGACTTGCAGTTAGGAACCTCTCAACCTCTGGGTTTGACGATTGCTTGCCTCGTTCAAGCTCTTGCGGGTCTGGGTTTGGCATTGCACACCAACTGGAAACTAGCCCTCGTTGTGTTGTCGGCAATACCTGTCATAGCCATTGGCGCCACCGTCATAACTCGCCGTCTCCAAGCGAAGATTGATGGCCAAAAGGAAGAGCTGGCAACTACGAACAGACTAGCGAGCAACTGCATCAAAAATATTGTCACAGTGAAATGTTTCAATACCCAAGAAGAGGAGGCGGCTTCTTTTATTGCTGCCATCCAGCGGGCGGCTGTATTTGCCCTCAAGCAGGCGTTCAGCAGCGCGCTGCAGACAGGATTCGTCAGGTTCGCTACAACCGCCATGTTTGTCCAGGGCAAGTTATTCCCCGACAATCTCAAGGACTTTGCTCATTTTTGCGCACAGGCTTTTGGTACGGTGGCACTCAGGTTCACTCAACCCAGACAACCGCTGGGGAAGTAGTCACGACATTCTGGGCTTGTTTGATCGCTACAAAGGCATTCGAGGACATGCTACCGCACGGGGTCATAGTTCAGAAAAGCCAGATGTCAGCTACTGCTTTACAAGCAATCCTCGATAAAGTCGGTCTGGGGAAGTTGCGGTCACGGGAGGTTGCCGGGCTGTCACCCCAATTCTGCGAAGGAAAGATTGAGATGCGAGAGGTACCATCGTCCCCTGATCTTCAAATCAGCAATATCTAACATGAGTCAGGTCTCGTTTGCCTACCCTTCCACACCAAGCAAGCCTGCCTTGGACCATTGCACATTCTCTTTTGCTGCCGGAGAAACCACATTCATTGTAGGCAAGAGCGGCTCTGGCAAAAGCACCCTCGGCAGTCTGCTCATGAATTTCTATCCACCACGAAGCGGGTCAATCGTCATCGATGGTAATGCTATCGAAGATATCGACACGCGTTGGCTCAGGAACAACATTACCCTTGTTCAGCAAAATTGCGTCCTCTTCGCTGACACAATCTATCGAAACATTGCACTGGGCAGCAGGGACTGTGACCGAGTTACGAGCGCTCAAGTGGACAAGTGTATCCACATGGCAGCGTTAGACAGCACAATTGCAACGCTTCCAGATGGCACGCAAACTAGAGTTGGTACAGGTGGTTCATCTTTATCCGGGGGACAGAAACAAAGAGTTGCGCTTGCACGGGCACGATTAAGGGACACGCCGATTCTGATCTTGGACGAGGCAACAAGTGCTCTCGACAATACCAGCAAGATAAATTTCATGCAGTCGATACGAGAGTGGCGGCGCGGGAGGACGACCATCATCATCACACATGACCTGTCACAAATCCGTGAAGAAGATTTCGTATATGTTCTCAAGGGAGGTCGTGTTGTCCAAGAGGGTCGCCGTAAGAGTCTTGTGAATTTCCCGACTGGGCCCACTGACCGCAAGTTTGGCTCGGCGGGGATTGAAACACAGCGACCTGCTGGAGTTGTAAACACATATGGGCCATCTTCTGAAGCTCGCCATGCAGACAGGGCCCCGGCACCGTCATCCCGCCATGCCAGCAAGGACTCGTTCGACGTGCTCACGGAAGGAAATTCTGAACACTTACCTGCTGATTCCCAGCAAGACGACACGCACTCAGATCAAACTCCCCACCAGCTAAGGAAGGGAGTCTCCCTGAGCAGCATAGGTGCCATAAAGTTATTGAAAAGACAATCGATGGCTCGAGCGAAAGTCTTGTATGCCCTACACCACAGCCCGCCTCACGGAGCACAATCAACAGCTGGCGATCCAGCGATGCGCACACTCAGATACGCCGCTGCAGCCGTACGCAAGTCACTCTTCTTGCCGAGAACGCCTCGAACACCACTATCTCGCGACAAGCCACTGCCGATTCCTCCACCACACTACGAGATGTTGCAGGAAGATGAGAGTCTTGGGGATAACGTGCTTGAACTTCCAACCGAACAATTCAGGGGACAACCACGATCATCACCTTCGATCCGGGCGGTGCTGTTTACGCTGTGGCCGAGTCTGGATAAGCCAGGTAGAAGCAAACTACTCTTTGGATGCCTTGCCACACTCTGCCACGCTGGAGCTCCTCCGACCTTCGCTTATGCCCTCGTGCAAGTATTCAACACATATTACATGCCAGCAGGATATCAACGAGAGGCATTGAGATGGTCAATGGTAGTAATTGGCATCGCCATCGGAGACGGCGTTGCATGTTTCTTTATGCAATATCTCCTCGATTCTGCCAGTCAGGCCTGGGTGGACACGCTGCGAACACAGGCGCTGCGACGAATCCTCCGGCAACCGAAAAGTTGGTTCGATGAGGAGCAAAACAATCCTACTGCTCTTGTGTCTTGTTTGGACAAGAATGCAGAAGAGATGAAGGACTTGGTCGAACGATTCGCCGCGCAAATCCTGGTTGTAGCTGTGATGATGGTTGTGGCCGTTGTCTGGGCAATCCTCAATTGCTGGAAGATCACGCTTTTGGGCCTGGCGATGTCTTCGGTCCTTTACGTGCTCATCAAATGCTTCGAGGTTGTCTCGGCTCGCTGGGAATCTCGGACCAATGCGGCGGGTGAGACAGTGAACCAGATCTTCGCGGATGCCTTTTCGGACATTAAGACCGTCCGATCATTGACACTCGAATCCTACTTCCACATGAAATTTCGAGATGCTACCACCACATGTTACTCCATCGGAATACAACGAGCCATTTACACAGGATTGTTCTATGGTCTCTCGGACTCTGCCATCGCCTTCTTCACGCCCATGATTTTCTGGTACGGGGCATATCTGGCCAAAGACGGCGAGTGGCCCGTCAAGTCCATCTTCACCGTCTTTGGTCTCCTCCTGTTCTGCACCGCAAACGCGAACGCGGTCATTGCATTCATCCCGCAGACCAGCTCCGCGGCCGACACGGCGAGTCGCCTCATCCGACTTGCGCATATGCCGGTGCATTCGCACGAAGAAATCGGACAAGTTCAACTGGACAGGAACGACCCCGCCACACTTTCAGGACCCATCCACCTCATCAATTTGACGTTCAGATATCCGTCACGACCCAGAGTGCCAGCCCTCTGGCGCTTGAACCTGACGATCCCCGCCGGGCAGATAACCGCCATTGTCGGCGCCTCTGGCTCGGGCAAATCCACCATCACATCACTGCTGCTCGGCCTGTACCCTCCCGTGGGGAGCGATCACCATAATCGTAATCGCTCAACATGGGATGACGCGCCGGACGACGACCCTCCCCTATTGACCCTCTCCGGGCGGGACATACGGACCCTGAACCTAAATAGTCTCCGCTCCCTCATCGCCTTGGTCCCACAGACGCCCGTCATCCTCCCGACCACGGTCCGCGAGAACATCACCTACGGCTTAACTTCCAATGAGCCCTCAGCATCAGTTTCGGCATCTCTTATCGAACGCGCCGCCCAGGAAGCTGGGATCCACGACTTCATCGTCTCTCTCCCGCAGGGCTATGCCACCGTCCTAGGTGACGGCGGTCTCACCATCTCCGGCGGCCAAGCCCAGCGCATCGTCATCGCTCGGGCCCTCATTCGGGATCCGAAGGTCCTGATCCTCGACGAGGCGACCAGCGCGCTGGATCACGAGAGCGCGGAGATCATAAGGCAGGGTATATTGAGATTGGTCCGCGAGGGGAGGCGGGAGGGGAAACCTCTAACGGTCATTGCGGTCACGCACGCGAGAGAGATGATGGAGTTTGCGGACAACGTTGTCGTCATGGATCAGGGCACCGTTGTCGAGCAGGGCGGGTTTGACGAGTTAATGACCCTGGAAGGGCAGGGCAAACTGTGGGGGATGTTGAACGCGGGACGTCTATGAAGGATTAGCACCGTTAGTGCAGGGTTATGTGGGTGTGGATGCGGATGTGCGTGCACTGAGAGTTTAGAATAAATTTCTCGTCTTGCAGCTTTTCATTCCATTCAGGCCACTGGCCGCTACCAAGGTATATCGATAAATCCGTATGACGAGCTCTTTCATGAGTGTGCCGCTACAAGTACAAAAACAGTTACATGCGCGAGCACGGGCACAAACACAGTCCACTCCACTCAATACACGACAGAACCGACGGACCCAGTAGGTATATTTTCGGCTAAGTAACCTCTAGGCGTTCCGGGGAGCAAGTCAAGCCAATTCCAGACCCATTAATGCGTCCCATTCTCCTCAACCCACCTCTTCACAGCGGTCCAATTCTTACAAGTATGCAGCTGCGCGGCTCCAGCATTGACATTTTCGCCCGAGGTGCCTGCATTCCCATAATGCTGTGATTGACCGGGAGGCTCACTGGTCGGCTCCAGCGTCGTGTCCGCCGCGCAGAGCACCGCCTGCCGCACGTGGTCCAGACAGTGAAAGGCCCGGGATTTCTCGCGCGCCAGGGGATGGTGTTCGTGGGAGTAATCGATGAGGATGTGGCGGAGGAGGGCCTGGCCACGTTAGCAAAAATGAAGGGAGGGGCATTAATTGCACCGCAGGGTTGCGTGCATTGTGAGGCTCGCACGCAGTCGTTTACACGTTCTCAGATACATACCAGGCAATCCAACTGCTTGATGACCGCGACGTCGTAGATTTGCATTTCCATCTTCATCTCCGGGTCTCTCATCCTCACGCGCCCATCGCCCTTCGGAAACATGTTCAACCACGCGCGATCGCCCTTTGCGCCTTGCATCTGGAATGCAGGATGGTCGGTGAAGACAGATTGGATTACTTCCGTGGGAGGGGGCGGGGTCGCGTGTTGGTTTGGACGTGTACCGCCTGACCTAGTCGTCCGATAAAACGACGAGAGCGCCGGGATTTGCCGTTCAAGACCCAGGCGATAGTGGGGGACTAGTGCAAAGAAGAGGAGTACAGCGGCTGCAAGTGTCCCCAACAGGAAAGCCAGAGTTATGGCCCGGCGAAGGTGTGGGTGTGACTGTTTCACCACGGGGACAGGATCACCTGTATACGCGCCTCGAGGGGATTTCGGGGTCCTGGGAACGACGGCATCCTTCTCGCTGCGGTGGACAGGGGAGTGGAAGCGAAGGGATGAGGGCATTTCCAGCGACTCGACCACACTGGAGGTGTGTCAGCGAGAGGATATCGGGTCTCGGTTACGATAGAGTGTAATCGTAGTATGTAGGTAGCTGGGTTGACGGCGTCGGTACTGCAGATCGAAGAAACGCATACATTTGCGTATGGACAGTACCCAGGGTGCAAAGCTTGGGTATAGCATTTTTCCAATTGCCCGAGACGCCGTTCTGGGTGTTCCTCTGCTCCCGTAGAGGTAGGCTCGTAGCTGAGTTATTCGATACCGTGGACGGCGAAGAAAGGGGGGCACAAGCCGCGACAAAGAGATGGGACGAACAAAGAAGCTCGAGTCGACTTATTGTGTTGCTAATACCTACCAACCTACCTCTTTTGCGGCCTTGTCGGCCGCTAGAGCATGGTAAGGAGGATGTGGACGCTGTTATGCATCTTTACGGTAGCGATCAAGGCGATGTATGTGTGGATGCTGAGGATTTGCTGGACCTAGCATCTACCATGAAAGCATGTTGGAGCACGACCCGCGACACGGACAGTAAGCGGCTATAGACACTGTGATCGAAGTCCTTGTATGATCGAAGATAGATCACGACTGGACGACGGGGAAGAGAAGAAGGGCACGGAGTACAGTAGTGATCCAGAGCTTCGCGACAGACTGATATGCGGTCGCCGCTTTCATGCTACAACTTACGCTCCACTTCTATTGGACGAGGAGATGACCCCAGCGCAGCTGCCCGCATACTCCGCCGCTTATACTCCGCCGTACCCATTCCCCTCGCGCAATTCATTTTCTGAAGTGCTTGAACCCTCCAGTATACAGCGTTCGAATAGCTTGAGCAATCGTCCCGGCACCAGACATGTCGGACACTCAATCCCGTAAGCGATCAAGATCTCCAGACGATGCAGGATCCGGTAGCGAGTCCGACGACGACTTCGGACCGGCGTTGCCTTCCTCGGTGCCGCCCAGAAAGAAACGGAAACTGCCTTATGAGTCGTTATATGTCGATGCCTTGCCAAAGGGGCTGAGGTACTCCAAGTCGCTAATGCACAAAGACCAGCTGGTCTCGGTGACTGTGGCTCCTTCACCTGTCGACTTCGTCATCACCACGTCTGTCGATGGCGTGGTCAAGTTCTGGAAGAAGATCGCGACAGGCATCGAGTTTGCCAAGGAGTACCGCGCGCACGAGGGGCGCATACTGAGCACTTCCGTCAGCTTTGATGGCGCTTTCTTCGCCACATCAGGCGACGAAGACGACAACACAATCAAGATCTTTGATGTCGTCACCTTTGATTTGCTCTCAATCCTGAACCTCGAGAGCGCAGCATCATGTGTCTGTTGGGTCCATCGCAGAGGAGTTTCGCCGATCCTAGCGGTAGCCATAGGCAAGGAAATTCGAATTTACGATGCTTCAGGCGACATGCAGGCGCCAATGCACACTCTGTCTTCCATCCACCGTACGCCTGTGGTGGCAATGGCGTACAATCCGGCCTTCGACTGTGTGATTTCTGCTGACGCGGGCGGGATGATCGAGTACTGGCAGCCTAATGACACCTACGAGAAACCAGACAGTGTCTTCAAGATGAAAGCCACGACGAACCTGTTCGACTTCAAAAAGGCAAAATCAGCGCCATGCTCCATAGCGATATCTCCGTCAGGTCACCAATTTGCCGCGATCTCGTTCCCGGACAGAAAAGTGAGGGTGTTTGACTTTGCGTCTGGCAAGCTCTATCGCTCATATGACGAGTCCTTGGAGACCATCACGGCTATGCAACAAGCAGGTACATCACTCCAGAAGCTGGACGAGGTGGAGTTCGGGCGGCGAATGGCCGTCGAACGCGAGCTTGACAATCCCGCTCTTAAGTCCCGAATCAACATCGTGTTCGACGAATCTGGACACTTCATCGCCTACGGCTCGCTGCTTGGAATCAAGGTCATCAACACCCTCACCAACCGGGTGATGAAGGCTTATGGCAAAGATGAGCCATTTCGGGCGCTCAACGTGGCTTTATATCAAGGCGCACCTCAAAAAAAGGATGTCGTTACCGTTTCAATGGCTGCTAGCGCAAATCCGCTCCTCAACGATGCCGAAGCGAGAGATCCCATGCTTTTCACAACAGCCTACGCAAAGGTCCGGTTCTACATGTTTACCAACGAAGAGGACACCAGCAAGTCGACCCGAGACGTACAGAACGAGAAGCCAAGGATGATTACCGGCAAAAAGAAGGAGGAGAAGAGAGTTGAGTCCGGCACTTCCGCCGTCTTGCACACAACCTACGGAGACATCCATATCAGGCTATTCCCTGACAAAGCGCCAAAAGCGGTCGAAAACTTCGTTACCCACTCGAGAAACGGCTACTATAACAATACAATTTTCCACCGAGTCATCAGGAAGTTCATGATTCAGTGTGGCGATCCCCTGGGCGACGGCACTGGTGGTGAAAGTATTTGGGGCAAAGAATTTGAGGATGAATTCTCCGACCTCAAGCATGACAGGCCTTACACAGTCAGCATGGCAAACGCAGGTCCGAACACAAACGGCTCGCAGTTTTTCATTACCACCGAGAAGGCGTCTTGGTTGGACAACAAACATACGATTTTCGGACGCGCCTACCAAGGGTTGGATGTGATACATCAGATCGAAAACGCCAGGGTGCGGAAGGAGAAGCCGGAGGAGGATATCAAGATAGTCAATATCTCCATCAGTTGAGGGGTGAAGCACAGTTCGAGCACATTCCAGTGTTGCAAATAGATAGTATCTGACTGTTTTGCTGGTGACTTCGGTCCCCGCGAATTTGATGCCTTAGGGCGGCGCCACCCGCGGCCAACATGACTCAAGGCCTTTTCTTGGCATCGAGAAATCATTTTTGACCTTGGACTCTCGCATCACCCCGCAGCCTCGAACAGTGTATTTGCCTCCACACCCACCCAGGAGAGTGAAACAAGACTCCAGCACAATCTCTATCACCTCTCTCGTGCTACAGGTCAATCTCTACCAGACCGACCAAGATCAACGCCATCATGGCCACCAACGGTGACCTCCCATCAGACGATGAGTTCTCCCAACCAGGGACCCCTCCTGGCGATGAGAACGACGTGGACGAGATTGAAGAGTCGAACCAGACACCCAAGTCGGCCCTGAAAAGGGGAACCTCAGCAGCGGTTCCCGAGCCACAAGTTTCCCGCCCCGTCCTACCCGAACAACCAGACCCGAAAGATCTGGACATCTCGAAACTCACTCCTCTCTCACCCGAAATCATCGCGCGGCAAGCCACGATAAACATCGGCACGATAGGCCATGTGGCGCACGGCAAATCGACAGTCGTCAAAGCCATCTCGGGCGTGCAGACGGTCAGGTTCAAGAACGAACTGGAACGAAACATCACCATCAAACTGGGGTACGCCAATGCAAAGATCTACAAGTGCGACAACCCCGAGTGTCCGCGGCCGACGTGCTACAAGTCGTACAAGTCGGAGAAGGAAGTGGATCCTCCGTGTGAAAGGGAGGGATGTAAAGGCACGTATCGCCTGCTGAGACACGTCTCCTTCGTCGACTGCCCCGGCCACGATATCCTGATGAGCACCATGCTTTCTGGCGCAGCAGTCATGGATGCCGCTTTGCTCCTCATTGCAGGCAACGAAAGCTGTCCACAACCTCAGACGTCGGAACATTTGGCCGCCATCGAGATCATGAAACTCAACCACATCATCATCCTGCAAAACAAGGTCGACTTGATGAGAGAAGAGGGCGCACAATCACACTACGAATCCATCCTGAAATTCATCAAGGGCACGGTCGCCGACGGGTCGCCCATCATCCCCATCTCCGCCCAGCTGAAATACAACATCGACGCCATCAACGAGTACCTGGTCACCAAGATCCCCGTGCCCGTGCGTAACTTTGGCGCCACCCCACACATGATTGTCATTCGATCGTTCGACGTGAACAAGCCCGGCGCCGAGATCGAAGACCTCAAAGGCGGCGTGGCAGGCGGTTCCATCCTCAACGGCGTCCTGAAACTCGGCGACGAGATCGAAATCCGACCGGGCATCATCACAAAAGATGCCACAGGCCAGACGGTCTGTCGGCCCATCATGTCGCGCGTCGTCAGCCTGTTCGCCGAACACAACGACCTCAAGTTCGCCGTGCCAGGTGGCTTGATCGGCGTCGGCACGCGGGTCGACCCCACGCTGTGCCGAGCCGATCGTCTCGTGGGGCATGTGCTCGGTCTGAAGGGCCAACTCCCCGAAATCTACATGGAACTCGAAGTCAACTACTTCCTGCTCCGACGGTTGTTGGGCGTGAAGACCGCGGACGGCAAACAAGCCAAGGTGGCCAAGCTCGCCAAGAACGAAGTCCTGATGGTCAACATCGGGTCCACGGCGACGGGTGCCAAAGTCATGGGCGTGAAGGCCGACGCCGCGAAACTGACGTTGACGAATCCCGCGTGCACGGCCATCGGCGAGAAGATCGCGTTGAGTCGCCGCATCGAGAAGCATTGGCGGTTGATTGGCTGGGCGAACATTGTCGCGGGGAATACCATTGAGCCGGAGTCTTCTTAGGAATGAGACTGTGCGGTGATATCTCTGTCAGCGTTAGCGCAGGTGGTGGGTGGGAAGAAGGTTGGTAAAGGACTCATGGAATCACGGGACTGAAATTATGGACGAAGGAAGACGTGGCATGGTATGGCATGAGACGACACGATGAAAAGAGCAAACGACGTGAAGACTGATGAAGGGAGAAACACCGCGGGATGTGGCAGCTACGACCTTGAGGAAGCGGCAAGATCCACAATCTGACCATGACGTCGTCCTGCCCCGTGGTGGATAGGGTCCTGGGGTCGGACACCGCGTGATGACAGCCTTCATCAGACACGTCGACCGAGCACTGCCAGGCGCTGAATACTACTAGATACGAAGCTTGCGCAGGCCAGCCCACGTCGTGTCTCAATCAGGGAGCAATGTCATGTACATCATGGCTAGACAGGAAGAAAAGCCACGAAAGCGGACACGCTTTATCAAAAGCCCGTCTCGCACCCTGCTGTTCATGCAACCGCACGCTCAACTCACGCGGATGTAATGCGAGGGTTTGTGAACCCCAGGGTACCTAGCAATGCAAAGGCAGTGAGCCGGCAGTACGAGACTCAGTACTGTCTAAAAGCATCCAAGGAGACAAGAGGCAACGAGGCATGAGATATTCGAGACGAAAAATACAGAGCAGAGTCCGAACAGAATAAACACAGTTCACATCGAGGCTCTACAGATTTCCATGGTGCATCCTTGTGAAACGGCACCCGTACTGGATATTACAATTCGTGCCACGGCCTAGAATGCTGCAGAGAACCCAAGTTTAGAGATCCTCATCCTGGTGTGATGGCCCGTGATGGCTCCTACGGTACCATGTCCCGTCCATGACCTGCCTGTGACTGTATTGTACATTCCTAGCTGTAGTGCCCATCAAGTCCAATTGACTGCGTCCCAGTGGTCCAATGGAAACACCAATCTTCAATATACGTGCACGCACGCCTGGAGGAGCTATCCCCAATATACACACCCGCACGCCTGAAGACGGGCATCTGGATCACAACTACTCGTCTTCGTCTTCATCACCATCCTCGGCATCCGACTCGACGCTTTGATCTCGAATGCTCGGATCTGGGCGGCCTGACTGTTTAAGCGTCGGCCTCGATACCGCTACCGGTCTCGATTTCCCCTTCGCGCTCCGCCCGTTGGGGAGCAACAGTCTCCCGTTCTTTGGCTTTTTGTCCGTTTTGTCCTCTGAAGAAGATGAAGAGGAAGAGGAAGAGGAATCATCTTCATCATCATCGTCGTCCTCTTCATCCTCTGGAAGACGTTGCTTCGTCGGAACTTTTATCTCGGGGCGTCTGGCTACCACTTTGGCAGCAGCTTGAGGTCTCTGGTCCCCTTCGCTGGAGTCGCTCTCCTCGTCGTCGTCGTCATCGTCGTCATCATCATCATCATCATCAACTTCAAAGACTGACGACTTCTGACTCTGATTTATGCGGGCGAGCAGGGTCCCTTGGTTGGATTCGGGGGCTTTTTCGCCACTACGAACGACCTCGCGAAGGTCACTTAGGCGCAGGTTATACGGTCCCGGTACCGAAGTACTTTTGGAATGTGTGTTGGTGGTCGTGGTGGCTTTGGCATTGACATTCGAAGGGTCAGACGATGTCGGTGCAGGTTTCTTGGTCACTGCGCTTGGCCTTCCCTCCGCTGGTGAGTTTTGGGAAGCGGCCTTTGGTGCCTTGCTGATGGTTGTGGACTTGACGGATGGACTCTTGGAAGGCGTCTTTGTAGGTCTTTTCTCCCCGTTAGGTTGCTGTACAGAGGGTTTGGGGGTTTTGCTGGTGGTAGCTGCTTTTGCAAGAGGGTTTTTGGCGGCAGCCTTTGCAGGCGTTTTTGGTGGAAGCATAGACTCCGCATTGGATAATCTGGAAGAGCTGGCACCGGTCGATTCACGTCTGAAAGATTTTGTTTTGCCAGTGGTTGCGGGGGCAGGGGAAGATTTTGTCTGTCTGTTCTCGGCATTGACAGCAGATGCGTCGGTTGCACTTTGTGACATGGAAGTTTTCGGATCCTCCTCAGATGAGAGACTCTTGCGAGCCTTGTTCTTGGTCGAGGCTGTCGCAGGCTCAGCGTCTTCCGCGGATGGTTCTGACCCCTTTTTCGACTCGTTGACCACAGTTTTATCAGTGGTAGGCTTCTTTTTAGCAGCCGCTGCCTGCTTCCTGGCCTCTTGCTGTTTCCGCTTCTTCTCCGCTTCGTATTGCTCTTTGGTCATGTTTTTGCGACTTTCCATGGTCCTGATTTCTTCGGCGGTCAACCCTAGACCGGTCGAAGGGCTTTTCCTCGAGTCGTCCTGCTTGTCAACATTCAGCCTATGTTCTCTGTCTTTCGCTGGAGGTTGCTTGTTCGCTGGAGCGAGTGGTGCTTCTGAACCCCAGTTTGGAAGAGGCTTTGTCGGTGCGGAAGAGCTACCTGCCTGTTCCTCCGCACGTTGTACGACAACGCCTGGAGCAGGAGAGCTGGCTTGATTTCTATCTGGTAGCTTCTTGATGATCTTCCCACGTGGCCCGGCGGATGCAGTCTGCCCTGGTGGTCCACCATTAGGAGTTTTCAGCTCAGTCTTTCTTATACCATCTGCCACAGCTTGCTTGCCCTTGCTGCCGGGAGTTGCATTTGGCTTTTTCTGATCATTTGCAAGCTTCTTTTTCAAGGCTTCCGTGGAAAGCTTTTGTGTTAGTTCTCGCAGATCGTGTGACAATTGTTCTCCCGGGCTGTCCAGATTGGAGGTGGTCCTGGAAACTTTGGCTGTCATACCGGACTTCTTCTCTTTTGTTGTGGACTTTGTGGCATTGGCTGCATCGGAGTGTGTAGATCTGTTATTGGAACCATTGAAACTGGAGCGCCGATCGCCATCCACGCTCGTGCTGCCACGCTTACGCCTTTTCTTTACTCTAGGAGGGCCCGCTCCGGTACTCTCATCAGCCTCGACTGAATTGGGCCGCTTGTTGACCCGGGTATGTTTAATGGGAGCCAGAGCTTTCTTGTCCCGTGACTCTTCTGCTGCAGCATCCTGCTTGGGTTGCGAAGCTGCTACACTCAAGGCCCCTTCTTCACGGCCATTTACTTGGACAAAGTTCGAGGTAACCCTCCCACTAGGTCCGTCTGTGGCCATGCCATGCCCGGTAACTGGAACATCGCCCGTCTCGGGATCCTCGTAGATACTTGACTCCGCCGCGTCACTGTGACTAGCACTGGCTTTGCGTGGGATGATCTCAGGCGTCTTGAAAGTTTGCTCCACAGGTCTCTCATCATCAAATACCGACCCGTCGTCCAGGGTGTCAATCGCCTGGCTAATGCTAAGCGCATTGTCTCCTCCTCTATTGTCCTGCGGAGATTTTAGGCCTTCGATGCGGGACAACCGATCACTGGACTTTCTGTGACTCAGTTGTGCTTGCCTCGAACGTGGTGACATCTGGGAGTCGTCGATTTCCGATTCCGGGTAGTCATATAGATCGTTGCGCTTGAATTTGCTTGCCGACTCTGACGGGGGCTGAGCAGAAGACTTGGCCGCATCTTCTGATCGACGCCTTTGCAGGCTGGCGGGATTCGACTGTCTTCTGAAGGTATTCGAAGGGGGTGTCACGGGTGCCTGTGCCTGCTTCTGTAGCTGCTGGCCTAGGGTGACCGTGGGCTTGGAGATCCCAATAGGCTTGCCTGAAGAGGGCGAGCTTTGCGTTCGGGCCGAGTCTTGCTTCTTAGTGAAAGAAGATTCCGGGGGTTGTTCGGCCAATATCTCGAGCTCGTCGACAGTGGCTGGCGGGACATTCTCCAGCAACCTCCGCAGTTCAGGAGACTCATCTTTTGGCTCTACAACACTCCCACGGCGGACATCCTCTTTGTCTGGGTCCGAATATTGTGTAGCTTCCACTACTATGCCGTTGGGCTCCTGAAGCTCATCGTGCTCAATGGAGGAGAGTACTTGTTGTTCTTCGCTCAGCGTCTCTGGTATTTCGACCGTCCTTGCTCTTTTTGCTCCTACTGCAGTTGAAGGCTGCTGGTCTGACGGCTCGAAAGCGCGTTTGCCCAGCGGAGAGGGAACAACCGGGAAGGTAGGAATAGGCGGACGCGATGTCTGTTCGAGCTGCATCTGATATCTGGGGTCGTCCAATTGGCTGCCCACCGCGACGGAACCCTCACGCACCGTCCGACCTTGTTCCGCGACGACATTGACCGTGACACGCTGGTCTGAAGCATCGGTTTGGGCCCGGCCCTCGTCCAGCAGCACATCGGAAACATAGGACTGAGGAGAGATGTCGAAGTCGTCGGAGTCCTTCAGATATTTGACGGTCGGTAGCTCGCTTTCAGTTGTGTCAGCCGAAGTACGAAACAGTCTGGCTAAGCAAAGAACTGACCGCCCATAGCAACTCTTATATGACCTCTTGATCTCGAGGAGCAGCGTGCCGATCTGCCATTGGTACGGATCTCTGACAACGACCACCAAGCGCTTCTCACCTTTCACTGGTGCGGAAATCGGTTTTTGCATTCGAAGGTGCCGGAGATATTCATCTTCCGGGAAGATACGAGCGGCGACCCGAATGCGGACCATCCTGAGGCGAGGTGTCAGCGCCTGACAGACGCGCGTAGAATAATGTCGAGCAGGAGTCGACGAGCCAGTCGCGACCAAAAAAGTTTCGGGAATTGGCTGTGAGGAGAAGTTGAGGATGCGGAGGAGCTGAACGCGTCGCGAGTTCACTCTGACTTTTGTCTCAACTCACCTCTGCTGGAGTAAGGGTTAGTATGGTAACCTAGAGCTACCCAGGTTTCGCCTTGTACATCACCACAAGACACAGGCCTCATTTCAAACCTGTGCCTCTGACTATTCTCCCCTGTAAGCGTGGCCCCTCGTGCTGGTTGGTGAACGCCAGAAGCCACCAGTGCCATTGCAGTCGTAATGCCGACCAGCTTCCGATCGCAGATTTCTTATGCCTCAATCGCGCTGCGCAGACTGAAGCTGGTATGGGAGAGTCTATGTACTTCAGACGGGGCAGTGACTGAAGAGGAACTTGCAAGCCACGCGAGAAACTGTGCTCAAAAATTTTACATGCCCCGTCAATGAGAGCCTACGAGGCTGGATACGTCGAGTTGCTACGCGACCGGCTTGTGAAAAACAACCTGGAAGGCAGCCTTGCGCCTCGTAGAGACAGCTCGCCGACGCATCATGTGGACAGGAGCCCCAGCATCGTGTCTTCATGCATGAAAATAGTCTAAGACTTTGACCTTGATGCTATCGCTATCATGTCGCATGTTGAAGAAGCACTCGGTGCCCGAGGACCACTTTGACCGCGTCTTATCGGCCTCGCATTCTATTCCTCCAGATCATCTTCATTCCCTTCCACAATCTCATATCCCTCGCTCCCTCCGATGTCATCTGAATCATCGCCCTCATCCTCATCCTCCTCCACGTCATCCTCGTTATCATCCTCTCCACCGTCAATAGGCTTCAAACCGTAGTCATCCTGGAAATAGTTCAGGTCGCGGATCTCTGGGGAGAAACCCGCGTCCTTGAGACCATCAGCGATAGCCTGCAGCACACACCTGTTAGCTTGCCTCGCCATCCGAGATATCACAACCAATGGTACTCACCTCCTTCAATCCCGTCGCACAGGTGACGACAATATCCGCCTTTCCCGGCCTAAACATATCAAACACCACCCCCTTCAAGGCGGTCTTGATCTCCTGCACGCCTACATCCCTCACCTTCTTCAACATCCTCGCCATGTGATCCTCCGGCAAACCCTTGATGACACTCCTCACGAAACTCGACCCGGCCGCACTAGCAAGAGTTTGCTGCTCGTTCGCAAAGCTCACCACGATCGAGCTGATCGCACCCTCGAGCATGAGCGGGTCGAATTCCACCTCCCCGGTCATGTGGTCGTGCACAATCTTCTTGGACGCCTCGAAAGCCTTGTAAGCGTCAGGGGAGCGGTACACGTCCAGGTGAATGAAACCGGACTCGATATCGTAACCCATGTTTGTGCCGTATGCCAAACCTGTTCCCCGAACGGCAACCCACAACGGGCCTTCCACCGCATTCATGTATGCCATGGCAACCATGATGGCCGGCATTTGCGGATCATCCCAAGATGTCGCCCCACGTGCCACAGAATACGCAAAAGAAGAGTCAATGGTCGGCATAGGGACCACGTAAGCCAATTTTCCTGGGTGGCGACCCGCTTCAGTCAGCCGTTCGATTCGTTTGCCAATGGGCGTGAGTTCGTTCGTGGGAGACAGGTTTTTGAGAAGGGGCTGCCACGTGCTCACCGGTGCGTGGACTTTCTCGAGGTTGGTGATGACCAGGACGCGGTAGTTCTCGAACCGGCAGAGGGTGCTTCGCAGACGTTCGAATTGCTTGACTACCTGTTCTGGCTCCTTCTCCAGAAGTTGCTTGATGCGTTTGAGGTACAGTGCTTTGACCAAGGTGCTGCGTGCACGGCCTATGGATTTGGGCGAGAGATGGCTCATCAGGTGGACGTTGATCATCATATCGTCGCCACTGCGCTTCGCGTCGGGGACGTCCGCGAGTAAGCGACTGTTGATGGCTTTCAACCTGTCGACGTCAAAGATGGACTGGTAGAGCAGTTCTGTCAGCCATTTGATGGCGACGTCGTACCGATCTATCTCGACCTGAAAGCTGATCCTGATGCCTTCGACGTTGCCTAGGGCGCTGGCGCTGTCGATTGAATAGCCGACGGTATCACGCTCGAGCTCGGTCACAACTTGTTGGAAGTCGATGACCTCGTCACCACGCTTGATGGGCAGGGTGAAGAACGCTTCCATGTAGATTGATAGTAGCGGTCGTAGCTCGTCTGGCAGGGTTTCGGTTGAAATGATCATGTTGACGCGAGCAAAGTTGGTGGGAATGTGCTCGAAATCGAGAAACAGTGATACACCTTTCGAGTCGCCGTCGATGATCTGCTGATATTTGTTGTTCCGCCTGCCAATGTCCTGTGCCAGACCCGCTCGTGCACCCGAGGTCGAGACAAAATGGATCGATTCTGTCAACGGCACCTTGAATTTTCCCAAGAGTTCTGTTGGTATCTCACGGTCGTTCTCGGCTTTCGCTGCGTCTAGCTTTTCCTGCATCTTCTTCAAGCCGTCCGGTCCCAACTTTGCCTTCTGCTCCTCGATTCTGGTTGCTTCGTCCGCTTTGAGCTTATCCGATAATCGTGCTGACGGAACGCCCAATATAGACACGTGCGGTGCGTCGGAAATGTACTTCTTGATGTATGCCTTCCACTGCGCTTCCGTCCAACCCGCCAGGGTGTCAGTGTAAGGCTTCAAGGACTTCACATCCTCGAGTGTGGAGCCATCTCGCTTGCCGTAAAGATAGTCTGAGATAATGTAGTCGGCAAACGCAGTGGGTGAGCCCTCAGCGTTGAACTTGTATGTCCTCACTTGGCGATCGATGCAATCCTTCATGAAGTCCATGTCCAATGGTTTGTCCATGGCATCTTTCAGTACCTCGAAAAAGCGCTTCTCAACCTCTTCCAACCGCTCGGTCTCGACGCTCGACATGGAAAATTGGATCTCGGTCCGCGGACGACTGTCGACTTGGTAGTAAATCCCGCTCGCCAGCTGCTCCTTTTCAACGAGGACGTGGTCCAGAAGAGCGGCCGACGAGCCGGCGAGGTACAGCAGGACCACATTCAGAGCTCCCGCGGCTAACACGTCGGCGCAGTCGGGACCCAGGAATCTGATATCAATCTCACCGAATGATTCATCTTCCTCGGGAAACTCAACCTTTAGCAACGTCGACTCTTGCAGTGACGGCGTCAGTTCGGACTCGATCCAGGGCCGCCTGAAGCGTGCGTCCGGGCTCGGAATGTCTGAGAGAATCGAGGTTTCAAATTCGTCCAGAATAGCCAGCAGTTCTGGGTGATCCGCCTCGCCGAAGATGGCGACGCATAAATTCTTTGGCTGGTACATCTCGCGATGGAATTCTCGAATGCGATCAGCAGTAAGGACGCGAAGCTGCTCCATCATGCCGCCGGTTTCATAGCGGTAGCCGACGCCTTCAGGGTAGAGAGTGCGCTTCGACTGCAGCTCAATCAGCTCGGAGGCGGTGTTCTGCACGCCCTGCATCTCCGAGTACACGACCCCAGCGTCATTGCCGTTCCCATCAATATGATGAACTTCGGTGGTGCAGCCAGCGTCGGTCAGCGTCGGAAGAATGACATGCTCGAGGTAGACCGGCAGAATCTGCGCAAAGCCCGCCCATCCCGCCGTCTCCAGCGTGTAGGCGGTATGATCCGTGGCGGTCCAGGCGTTGGTGCCCGAATACGCCCTTGTGGCGAGCTTGTCCAAGAAGCCTTTGTACTTGTAGCTCTTGGAGCCCATGAAACAAAGGTGCTCCAGTGTGTGCGGGGCGCCAGAGTCGTCGTGAATCTCGGTGGCCAGAACGAAGAACCCATGCAACTTCGGCCCCTCCTGGTCCACCACGACAACTCGCATGCCCGTGCGTTCCGACTCATACTGCGTGATGGTGCTGGGACAGTAGTCAGGTTGAATCTTCTGCAGCTGTCGAAAGCGAGGGCTTGACCGCATGGAGACCATGTTAGCGAGTGACGAGAACGTAACCAACCCTTTACTGTAGAGGGAGGAGAATTGTCGCTCTATTTCCCAGGGCGAATTAGTGTCATGACCTTCACTGGCGCGCAGAAACAAGATGTTTCTGAGACCGCTGGATATCAGGAGAGCCAACAAGCAGATGAGCAGCGACGTCGTAACTGTAACCGCCTTCGCTGGCATGAAATGTGGCCTGCTCGTGATCAATCCCCTCCGGTTTCACCGCCAACCTGGGGAAGCATGATGGAGTCAAATGCAACGCGTGAGAGGGATAGTTCTGTGTTGGGTATCTACTCACCAGACGGAAGGAGTCCACCCTCCTGCTGTGTGCACTGAAATCTACTGTGCGATAACCCGTCAGGCAAGGACAGAAAAGGTCACCCGTCAGACGAACAGGCTGTGCAACGACAACGAATGAAGATCTGGGAACCTGGACACGCCCGAATTCAGGCCGCAAGTGCTTGTATGACAGGGCGAGCGATCAGGTGAAGCAGGCTCGTGTTCGTCTAACGTGTCGCTTGCCTCCCACCACGTTCTTGTGTGAGATCCGCCGTCTAGAATGCAGCCGAGTACAGATCTGCGCCACCTGGTGCCTGCATGCTTTGGTGCCTATCAGCCTCAGGGTCACGAGCAACACGACATGTCGCCTTGGCACCTTTTCAATACGAAGTGAGGTTGGGACATTCGTGTCTGCAGTGATCCTGTATTATTTTACAACTATGCATTTCATGTATCTTCAAAGGAGTCCAAGTAGCCCTCTATACAATCAAGCGCACACTGCGCTCGAAGTGCCATTAGCCCAAAACTTTTGCTACTCCCTCGCAAATGCTCAGGCGCATAGCCGTCTCAGATATCCAACCAAGAATGCCGCTCATTATTTCCCTCCAAAAGACGCTGATGTTGACTAAGCGCAAAAGTTCGCAAGGTCAGGCCGTCATGATGCCGGGTTGTACAATTCTTGAAGGGCGTTCTGTCCCTTCCGGAGCGCCCAGCTCTTTTGCTTCTTGTCTTTCTTCATTTTCATCTCCGCCCAACCTTGCTCATCGTCATCTTCATCCTGGACGGCCAGAGGCGATTTCCGGCCAAGCGTGTTGATCGATGGTCTGGTGCCATGCTGGACAGGTCGACTTGCGTTGTCCGTTGAAGACCAAGGGCGCATGCTTGCCGATGTGAATGTCGACGCGCGGCGATGTGCTCCCACATCTGGCTCAGGCGCGATTGACACAGGCCGGTATCTGGAAGCGAGGCCTATGTTACTACGTTCAGAAGGTGCGATGGACGGAGCATAATTCCCGTTGATGTTGATCGACGGCAAAAATTGTTGGCCAGAGTTCCATGGTGCCATGCTTGGATTGAGTGTGCTCATCGTCCTTTGATTCGCATGCGGAGCCGAGGCGTGCTGCATGTGCACGGATTGTGGTCTTGATAGCGAAGGGTTTGGTGGGCCTGGGTATTGAGCCACGTTCATTGGATTGGGGTTCCCTGGCACGCCCATGGTTTGCGACATTTGTTGCATCCACTGCATCTGCATCTGCATCATTTGAGTCATCTGCTGAGCCATCTGGATCTGGGCTTGATCACCGGCGGTGAGCATAGGAGGCATGCCTGGCATCATTGGCGGCATCCCAGGCATTGGCGACATTCCATGATAGCCCATGGCAGGGAGTGTTCCGGTGGTTTGGGATCTCGCCATACTAGGATGAGGAGGCATGTCATAACCCCCTGCTGCGTTGGGACTGCCTCTCCGAGCGGCCCTAGCGCGTTCTTCTCCAGCAATGACACCCACAAGCCCAGACGGGTGTATGGGATGAGCAGTTGAAGGGCCAGCTCCCTGAGGAGCCGTGGTAGGATGCAGAGCCAGTGCTTCACGATTCGAAGGGTTGACGAGACCTGCTCCGTAGTAGGGATCCGGTGGTAGCTGTCGAGCAAAGACGGGCAGGTTGCTTCCCTTCACAGACGGGGCTGCCTGACTCTGACTGACAGCTCGAAGATTTGAGTTGGATGATGAACTCGCCAGTTGTGTTGGCGGTCTGTTTCTGTTGGGAAACCCATGTGCGGCAAGAATTCCTAAAGGCACGTCCTCATCTTCTTCCTCGTCCTCCCCACTGCTCTTGCCAGAGGTCTTCGAATCTACTGTCATATGCGACATGCGGTTGTTGAGATCTGGTGAGCTTCCATTTCCTGGCCGTAGAGCGCTGAGACTGCTTCCCGGCCGATTTGGCGGAGCCTCTCCTGTCACCTTCATCATCGTCTGCCGGTACACGGCGAGGTGAGCTTCCTGCTTCCGCCGTTGCTTCGCAGCTTGTTTACTTCTCTCAAGCTCATCGTCGTCATCATCATCTGAGATGTCGCCTGCTTCGGAGGCGCTGTCATCAGACAATGCACCCAGTCGCCGATCCATCTCTTTTTGTTCCTTGTACCGTTCCCACTGGGCAGGGGTCATGACTTTGTTGCCCGTGGTGCGCTTGGGCGGAGGGTCCTTAGCCTCCTGGTACATGTTGGCAAGCTGGGCATTTTCAGCAATGACTGGATCAAATGTGGCACCGGATACTGAGGCTGGTGACAAACCCATAGCGGAGCGTGCCGAGCTTGCTGATGGTGGAGCACTTTCCTTGGACTTGGTTGGTGATAACGGCGCCGGGTGTAACTCCTGCTCTTGTGTTGTGATCTTTGGACCTATGGGCCTTCTCGAAGCCATTGAGGTCGACACCTCAAACATAGAGCCGAACCTTCCCTTCTGCGTGGCTGCTTCTCTCGATTTTCCGGGGCTGCCTTGAGTAATCGTCGTCGAAGGGCTAGGAGATCGCATCAAGCCATCACGAGAGTTCTGAGAGTTCCACGAGTAGGGCGATGATTCAACAGCTTGTGATCGGTCGGTTGAGATGGGATGGGGAGGAGGTGCTCGACTGGTACGAGGTGCACTGGTGCCTGGATAGGCGGTGGGCGGATAGCTTGTGACAGGAGAGGAGTTGGTGACCTGGATTGGAGACATTAGCACGACGCGGAAGATGACAGAAATTGAAAGGTGTCTGAGCTGTGCTGTACCTCTTGGTGTATAAGCCGCGTTGGGCCCGGGTCAGGACTAGACCCGATATGGTCGAACATGTTTCCGAAAGCATCCAATTCCGTGTTCTCCAAAGCTAAATCCGAATCGAACAGCCTAGGGGGCGTGGCAGTACTCGCCGTGCTCTCTGTGACTGTCCTGTTCCTTCTGTTGTGGACGACTGGTGGTAAGGGAGCATCTGGCGAGGTTGGCGACCCTCGGCTGCCCTTGACCACCCCGAAGGAAAACGTTCTCGCCGGGCTACGGAGGAATCCAGGCCGCGCCGACGCGGGAGGAGGAACAGGTATGTCATTGTAAGGTCTTGTTCCTGGGGCCTGGACATTCTTATCTGACCTGGTGTCAATGGAGGAGGGATTCGTCGACGAGGTGCTCAGTCGAGCAGAGGATGCGGCACTGTCATAAGGCGCGGTCGAGTGAGAACGTTCAGTGCCACCGCTTCCCCTAGACACCAACGTTAGTCTCGTCTCCATTGTAGAAATGTCTCCTTCGCATACCGGTTGCTTGCATCCGGGCGGTCACTTGTAAAGATATCAACCTCGCCATTGCCGTCATGATCCTTTGGCGGGGGCATTGGAGCTCCCGTGCTGGTCATCCTCAGGTGTACTCCTCCATCAAATGATTTGCCTTTGCTCGCCGGTCTCTCAAGCACCCTGAAGGTCGACTCTCCAGGAGGGCTGCGCACCTCGTCCAAGGCATGGCCAGAAGATTTCCTTCTTTGAAATCCCTTTGGTAGTTTGATGGGCATGAAGCTGGTTCTACGCGATACCCAACGGGGAGTGTTGCAAGTCTGACGGAGCGGTTGACGGCTTCGAACCGTTACCAAAGAACGAAAGGTTTAGGTATGCAAGACTAGGATGCAAACATGAAAGGCAGCGGGACGGCTGTCGGTAACCTGCATATCGATCTCGGTCAGCAATCCGATGCCGAAGGAATGGTTCAACAGTGCCTTACTCCGTACAGGATCTTGGAGTTTTCGGCCTCCTATCGTCAGCAGACTGTGGTGGTGATCGTTGCGGACTCCTTGAGCTGGCAGGCGCGACAAATTGAATGGGCGTGGCTGGCCCGAGGGTTATGCCAGATCGCGAAGTGACGGACTATATTTGTCTAAGCGGACGTCGACAGGGAAGTGCCAAAGCGAGTTGGTATGTGCTCGTCCCGTGTCCGTGGGCGAGTAAACCAGCGATGGAATACGGCAAGGCAGAAAAATGGTCAATATCGGAAAACCAAATGCTGAATGCTAATTGTTGTGAACGAGAGTGAAGAAGCACCAAAGCAGAGGCAGGAAAAAAGATTGAATCGTTGCAGAAGCGGAGGCGAGCGTTTAGGCCAGGAGGACAACGTGCAAAGCCGCAGGTGGCAGTTCGCAGTGCCTGTCACTAACTCGTAGGCCCCGTCACCAATGCAAGTGTTCAAGACACGGGCGGGGGTCAGTCGCCGGGATATTTGGGCCTGGCACGCCTCCCTCCACTGTTTTGCAGAACCAGCCCAATGGGCGAGTGGTGCACCTACACACGCCGGGCCTTGACTCACACTACCGCAACTGGACTGGCGAGACTGGGTATATCAACGGCATGATGATCGTCTTTCAGGGCATGCTATTTTCTCTTGCACCGTGGCAGTTGATGATGCTCCATGCCACCATGCCCAGTATATAGTTGGACTTCCCTGGCTTCTGAATTGACCATGCTCGTCTAGGATTACGGCATGTCCCGCCCAAATCTCGTGCAGCACGTCTAATCCGGATCTGTTGTGCGGTGGCTCAGCTCTAGCCTCCTTCAATGCAACCACAACCATGACCTGCCACCTTTTTGGTACACTTTCGGCCACTTCATCTCCGGCGCCCTGGCCCCCCAGATCGTCCCAGCGCGCTCGGCGGGTTCCTGAATGCACGTGCTACCTCCGTGTCCAACAACAGCCATTTCCGTCTCTGTTGTCCCCGCGGTCATCTCGCCTTGTCTACGCAAGTCAATCTGCACCACGACTTCACTAGCGTTCTTCGCGTGCTTCTACTCCAGCCGCTATATCCTTAAGACACTGCGACGTCCGTCCCCCGTCAGACTCTACTCGCTGAGCTGTGGGACGGAGCATTTGCCCCAGGCGATGATGCATGCAGATATACTCCGTACTCCATCCCGAGTAGCGTCTCCCCTGAAGAGCCTTTGCAAAGGAGCACACCGCATCGCACAAGCCAAGCAATGCCAACTTCGATGTGGCTGGACTTGGCTCGATTCTCCGCGTCAATGGCTCAACAAGTGGACGGTCAACGTCAGGTTCTGGGAGTCCCAGCAACAAGCGTGCCGTCCACATGCGGACTTTCCGCCAATGTCCGTTAAAAAGTGTAGGTCCATACTTTCATAATTGTCCGCTCCGATTGCATTATGTCTGGCCGTCACTCTGGTTGATTTGCACGGCGTTATCCTCTCCAGCGCTGAGAATGCCAACGTCTGGGTGCCAGCACACTCCAAATACTTTGACACCGTCACCTGTCGCGGGACTGGGACCGCCGTTGAGGCTTGCTCTGGCTAAGGTGTACAGGCTCTGGCCTACGGCGCCCTCTTTCTCTTGCTTGGTGCTTCGGACATCCCAAACTCTGCAAGTACCGTCGTGACTGCCACTGACAAGAGTATAATCATGGGTAGGATCGCGGGCAAGGCTGACCACGGAGTTCTTGTGGCCTTTGAGTGTCATCGCAGTCACCGTAGCAGCCGATGCTCGGGGATCCACGAGTTTGATTACACGGCTGACGGAACCAGTTGCAATGAGATGAAGTGCGGGCATATGCTCAATGCAGAACAATGCGCTGGACGTGGTTCGAGTGTCGACAGGAGAGGCGGTGACCAAATCCCAAGTTCGTACGGTCTGATCCCAGGACGCCGAGTAGCCAACCGTGGCGTCGTTGTGGTCAAATATAGCACCCGAAACAGGACCGGTGTGCTGTTGCATGAGGGCAAGCGGTCCTCTTTGCGACACCGACACCTCATTATCGAGCCTCCTCTTCTTGCCGTCTTTCGTCCTTGTTTTGGGAACGAGGGCTTCCGGTGCTGTAGGTGCATCAGATTTTCGAATCGACCAAAACCCGACTGAGTGGTCCGAAGAGGCTGAGAGAATGCGGGAGGAAGCAGGATCGACACAGACAGACTCCACCGAGGACTTGTGTCCGTAGAGCTCGATCTGAGGCGACAAGGTTGCCGAGAATCCGTCTTGATCCTCCGAGTATTTCCACAGCCTCAACGTCCGGTCAAAGGCCCCGGAGACAATCTGGGAGGGAGATATGAACTTGGCCGACTTAATAAAAGAGCGGTGTCCGCCCAGGCCCGCTCCACTCGATGTAGCCAGCACCTGTGAGGAAGTATTCCAGACTCTTAACAGGCCGTCATAGCTGGCAGAAAGGATGCGAGGGGAGGTGCTAGAAATGACATCCACGTCGCTGACCCAGTCATCATGCTGAAAAGATGCGACGTGTTGTGGCGGGATTCGTGCTCGTAGATATTCGACGGCAAGGGTCGTTTCTGCGGAGATGCCACTGCTCGTCAAATACTCTTCAAGAGTGGTCCTTAAGTATGTGCCGTTGATAATGAACTCTAGCGGAATGGCTTTCTCGGTCTTTAGCAGGCTGTTGACGAGGGTTGAAAGAGTCAAGCGACGAAAAGAGGTCGGCACGAGTATCGCAGCATTGTCTTCGAGGGATAGATCTGTATCTCGAGTTGTCAGCCGAACTCGTACTTGGGCCTGACTCCCCGAAGCATCTGCGCCAGACATGGCAGCCATGATTGATAACCACGTCCTGTCGCCCTCAACTGCAAAGTTGGCGGCTCTGAAGATCTCAACGAGTGCGGTAACAAAGTCGTTCTGGAAACTTTTTCTCCGCAAAATTTCCGGCGAAGCATAGACACCAGCAGGCAGTGTGCGCCGATGACATGAGGTGGTGGATGCCAATGTCACTGGCACCAGCATCCACCGGAACGTCTCTGCCAGAATCGAGGAAGACAATGCCTGATGACACAGACGCTGCGGCTCTATGCGACACGATCGTTCATGGCACTTTCCCACAATCTGAAGAACTCTTGACATCTGATCTGTCCTCTCAAACCGTCTCGGCACTCCTCAGCCAGATCTCTCATACTCGGCAAAGTCTCAGTGACGAGATCAAAGCCGACAGTAGAGATGAGGCTGGCAACGTCGATGCATGGATTGCGCAGGCTAAAAAGGTCCAAGAGGACATTGCGCGCTGCAAACTCGAATCCAAGCGCATCGTCGAGGAGCACGAGCAACTACAAGTCCTAAGAGACCAGGTCACCGACTATCAAGGCAAAGTTGATCTCCTCGAGGCTGAAATTGACTTCACCAACTCCCTCGGTCGCGAACTTCTGAACGTATCCTTGGCTGCACAGGCCTTGAGGGACATTGAGCAATGTCTCTCCCACGACGACCCCAGCGGAGCTGCCGCGAAACTGCAAGAGCTGGACAAGAACTCGACAACCAAGCCAAAAGCTAGAACAACCACGATCATACGAGATCTACGAGACGAACTACGTCTGAAAGCTCGCTTCCAGCTAGAGCAGAAGCTCAGCCAACAGATTCTCGTTCGCAGAGACCCTCAGAGGGGAGGTCTTGAGGTTTTACAGAATGAGCTCGATCATGCCGCACTGAATTCCGATGCCATTCTACGAGCTCTTGACAGCCTTGGTGACGGCCAAGATTCCATGGAGCCTCTGATGGACAAGCTCAGGTCTCTGATTGTCCTTCCTTTACGCCAATCCGCACGCTTGAAGTTGGCGGCTTATCACGTCGAGGAAAATGCTTTCAATATCGAATTCGACGCCCGCCTTCCGTCTCTGGACTTGGTTCTCGCTTTCGCACTCCACTTTCTCCACTTTCTCCGCGATTCCCTGTCTGAGACAGTGCAAGACGCCACAGCGAAAGCACTACTCCCCGGCTTGATGGACGTTCTGGTTTCCGATTGGCTAAACCCTGAGCTGCCTACCGACCTCAGAATGCTGGACGATCTTGACCGTCTCAAGCAGAGGGTAAACGGCATCTTGGACGACCTGAAATCATCCCGATGGGAAGGGCAAGAAAAGCTTCAAGATTGGACCGATGATATACAACGGGCTTGGCTAAGCAAGCGCAAGGCTGCTACCCTGGATGCTGTAAGGAAAGTATTCGCTTCGGCTCGGGGAAGTTTACGCCAGGTGGAACGTGTGGAGCGACAGATGGTTTCGACTAGTACCGCAGAAGAGCAGAGGGGTGCCGAAGGGGGCTCAGATGAATGGGACGCGGACTGGGACGACGACACCAAGACCAAAGATCCCGCGGGAGAAACAGGCCCGATGAGGGGTACCGAGGAAGATGACACAGAAGGCTGGGGTTTCGACGAGGAAGAAGAAAATGAACCGAACAGAGACACTGGCGACGCACAAGTCGCAAATACCGAAGACGACGACGCCGGAGATGCTTGGGGCTGGGGCGATGAGAGCCCTGTCACGGAAAAGAAATCACAACCGGCATCAAAAGACGAAAACAAGGCACCAAACGGAGCGAAGCTGCCCAAGGAGACTGAGCAGGAGGTTACTCTGACGGAAGTTTACAGTATCAGTGAGATCCCTGACCACCTTGTCCAAATTATAAGCAGGGATCTCTCCGACGCTCAAACTCTCCGGGACACCCAACAGAAGAGTCTTGATTCCGCCTCAGCATCTAGAGGTCTGCTGGCTCTACCCACCTTGGCACTCGCCATGTTTCGGGCAACAGCGCCCAGCTACTACGGCGCCTCTCCCACCCTGACAGACATTCACCGCTACAACGATTCCCTGTATATTGCCGAACGACTACGCGACATAAGCGCCCCGCCAGACATGGCCAGCATAGAATCCGACATCAAAGCCATGGAGAAATTCGCCAAACTGGCATACTCGAAAGAAATGGAAACCCAGCGCATAATCGTGTGGGATCTCCTCGAGGGCGCCCAGGGCTTTACTTCATGCACGCAATTCCCCTACTCGAAGGAGATCGAGAATGCTGTGTCCTCGGTCGTCGATCGAATACGCACACTGCACGCGCTATGGAAACCCATCCTCTCGACCTCCGCGCTGATGCAGAGTCTCGGCTCGCTCGTCACGATGGTGGTCTCCAAAGTCATCTCCTCAATCGAAGAGATGGACGATATCTCCGAGCCAGAATCCCAGCGCCTCACTGCATTCTGCCAACAAATCGCCACCTTGGAAGATCTTTTTCTCTCGACGCCGCCATCTACTACGGCTGATCAGGAAGACACTGCTCCACAATCACCCATCCCCATGACGGCAGTGTACGTCTCCAACTGGCTGCGCTTCCAGTATCTGATCAATATCCTCGAGAGTTCGCTCGTCGACATCAAGTACCTCTGGACGGAAGGCGAACTGAGCCTCGAGTTCAGCGCGGACGAAGTAGTCGATTTAATCAAGGCCCTCTTCGCCGAGAGCGCCCATAGGCGGAGCGCCATTGCCGCGATCAAGGGGAGTAGAACGTCGCGGTGAGTAGGAAGTTTCCTTTACATGTGGGGACCCGCACCAGGCGTGCATAGCTACGAAGGAAGACATTGGCTTGTTAATGCAAAGTGATGAAGCGCCATGGATTGCGATCAGCGTGGATGGTAAAGAAAATCATTGACTGTTGGCGCTCAACGAGACGGCCTCGCAGTACGGAGTTAGTAACCCACTTCGCGCTTTCGAGATACGAACGTGATGGCAACATGACTGAATACTGCTGTGGCATGCAGCATAACTAAGATCGACGCGACGAATACCGTGCTACAACGCAGAGATGAATCTCGTCTTCGCATCCGAATTTGTCCTTTCCATCCCACCCGCTGCTAGTGAAGCGGGGTGTGTGCGTCGATTTGGATCGACACACAGCCTGAACAGGGAGAAGATGATACGCTTGGGAAGGCAATTTACGTGGTACTACAGCATGTTGAAAGTATGATGGACATGGGTATGAGTATGGGTATGGGGACGGATACAGAACTACTGTAGGAAGAAGATGCCTAATTACGCGACAAGCACAATAAAAGACCGGACGTCTTCATTTTCTACTGCTGGTGTCGAAGATGGGACGTCGGATTGTGTCTCTACCGTATCTTCGAGCCGTGTCTATCTAAGCGTCGGTTGTTGCTCCCATCCGATCTGTTGGAGGGAGTTGGTCCAAAAGAGCGTGTAATAACATTAAAGAAACCCTCCGCCGTAGCCTCTGTTCTCTGACCCAGAAAAGCAGTCTACCCCCTCTGATCTTCACCCTTAAGACTTGGACAATCCTCCTTGCTGGAAAATACTGCTTCTTCAATAACCTAGCAATGCAGAGGCACCAGGCTCGCTGGAAATGTAAATGACCTCGTGGTCATCACTGAACCCATTGAACTTGGTGGCCGAGCACTTGGTGTAAGCCCCCATATTCTCGAAGAACAGCCAGTCGCCAATTTCAATCACCCCGGGGAGGAAGTACCGGTCTGTGATGACATCGATTCCATCACAGGTCGGGCCCCAGATCGAGTATTCGACGGGAAGTTCGTTCGCAATCGGTCGGGCAAGGACCTGCGGCACAGGATGCTGGTGGTCGAAGATGATGTTGGAGAAGTTGCCGTAGACCCCGTCGTTCAGGTAGAGCATGTACCCCTTACCTCCTTCGTGGTCCACCGCAACCTCTCGTCGAGCTATCACATTCGCAGCCAAGGTGAAGGCATTGGAGGCGTAGTACCGGCCGGGCTCCCCAATGATACGCACATTGGTAGGGAAATGTTCCTCCAGAGCTTCGTTAAGGTTTCCGGCGAAAGTCTCGAACGTTTCGTCCACAAAGCCACCCCCGACGTCGAGCAACTTGAGATCGAAGCCTAGCGTCGCTGCTTGGTCAAAGACGCCGCGTGCGTCCTTGACGGCCTTGCCGAAGGAGTTCGGATCGCTGGCGCCAGAGCCGATGTGGAAACTGACGCCGACGAGGTTCAAGTTCAAATGCTTGACACGGTGAAGCAATTCTTCCGCGTATTCCAAGCTCGCGCCGTATTTCGTGCTCAAACGACAAGCGCTGGCCGAGTCGTCGGTCAGGATGCGGAGGACGAGTTCAGCTTTTGGATAGCATTCCTTGATCTTGTACAATTCGTCGGTGTTGTCAAAGGTCATGAGTGTAACGCCGACTCTCTGCGCGTGGCGGAGGTAGGACTTGGTCTTGCACGGTTGGGCGTAGATGATGCGGCTAGGCGGAACGCCAAGGCTGAGCACCAAGTCGATCTCAGCCTTGGACGCACAATCAAACCCGGTGCCCAATTTGGCCAACAGGCGAAGCACTTCCTTGTCCGGGTTGCATTTGACCGCTTAAAAACTGTTAGCTCATCCACTGAAGGATCATGGACGTGTGCCACTCACCATAAAACGGCTTGACTCGGGCCAAGTTCATTTTCCAGCGGAGATGCTGGCGGTAGACTTCTCCCAGATCCGCCACATAGAATGCATCTTCCTCGCCGGGTTCGCAGGTGTCCACGTTAATGCGAGCAATTTGCTCCTTGAGGACTTTCTGAATTAGAGCCTTAGAGGCAAAGCCAGTCACGTCAGATTCAAGGCCATGATTGATATCAGGACAGTCGATCTTATCGATTAAGTTGTTAGTCAAAGTAGTAGTGGTACCTGGCTGATCAATGGCAATTGCAGAAGGTGCCATAACCATGCAAATGGTTAAGCTGATGATTTAGTGATGATGGATTTCAGGCGGGTGTTAGGGAGGTTTTCTGGATTCCGACCCTATCGGACGTTGGCTTTGCCTCAGCGACTCTCCCTCGCGAGGAGGAAGAACCTCGAGTGGCGACCTATGCGGCAGCTGAAATTGAGGGGATTGTTGAATGGGGGTGTCAAACTGAAAGGACGACAGCGGTGTTGCAACGTTGAGCTTCAGCAGGAGGAGGGCGTGTATTGAGGATATGTCGATGTTTTGAAGCAGATGCAGTTTGATGGCGCAAGGCGAAAGATGTCGTAGCCGTGTTATGGGGTGCCTTTGGTAGCCCAAAGGCGGATTGAAAAGATTTGTAGCTGGTAGAAGTCGTGTCCCAAGGCACCGGAGTGATTGTGGCAGGCAGTGCTGTGGTAACAAAGAGGTCGAGAGGAAGTGAAGTGGTGAGAAATATTCGATTTTGGTGTGCTTCGTGCCGGCACGGAAATTTTGTCGCGATTCACATCGACAAGCTGGTGGGGGGCAAAAGGTGGATCGTGCCGGCCGGATTGTCGCTGTTGGAGGCGCAGCCTAGAAAAACTCAACCGTTCAGTGACCTCAGAATTTCAGGCACGGCGAGAATTGCAGCCAGTGACTCAAAGTCGGTGAATCAGCGCTAGCTGAGTTGTCATCTCGCGTCTGTCATTCGCCGGTGCTGCTTTCTTCCAGGATTCCCGTCCCGTTCGCGCCAGGCACGATTGTTGCAACTCCAGGCCAGGCTTTTCCCATGTGCGGGTGCGGCATTTTCCAACGTGACACGTGACTTGAGGACCGTTGGCTGCTGCATGCGAGGTACCGAGGGCCTTTTTCGTCTCGGCTCTCAACATCTACCAGGAGGCATTGCATACTCTTTGCGATCAATGGACAGGCACACAGTCCTGTGTTACCGGTTAGGATCAAACCACCGTTTGACGCCTATAGGTGTAGAATTCAGTGGTCGGCGTGTCGGCGTCGTAATCACTAGGCCTGTGTGGAAGCGGGATATTCGTGCTCTCCACTATTTCGAATTTCGTCTTTCTCATGTGTTCGAAGAAAACGGTGTCTGCCTCGTGCCGTCGCTTGAATCCCACCAAGATGAGGGTATTCGGTGCACGAGCAGCCAGTTGTCTCAGGATCTCTACCAGGTGCACACTCCTGTCCGGATTGTAGATGCAATCAGAAACCAAGATGAGATCGAAATTGGGATTCGTGCTATCCTCAAGGCCTGAAGACCAGTCCAAAACGTCTGCTTGAAGTGTAGACCCCGCCATCAAGGAAGCACAGCGAATGTTCTTCCCTAGCACTTCCTGAGCATCATCCAAGTCGGTGAGGTACATGTCGCACTTGACAAGCTGTGCGAAAGCAATGCCAACGATGCCACATCCAGCGCCTAGTTCCAGCACCTTGAGCTTCCTTACCTTGCCGGACTTGACCAGAGCTGCTAATGTGCCTCCACCACTTGGCGGCGATGAAGACAGTGCTCGTGCGAGATACATCACAAATCCTAGGCTCGCATCCCTTCGATCGTGCGTCAGTGGTATCAGGCTTTGAGATGGAGGAGAATTACCAGATGTGCCTCGCCATGCTCTCACCGATGTCTTCCCATATCCGCACCGTCGTGTTGTTCCAGAGCGCTAGACGTCGCTCAACAATGGGCTCTGACCGCTGCTTGTCAGACAGGAGAAAGGCACAACTCCAGATGTCAAGAATTTCCGGGATCTCGGACAGGTTGACGGCGGATTGAGTTTGCTGGGTAGTCACATGGAGCTGGATAGGCCACGACGTATACTTGCCAGGACACTGAATAGTAAACTTGAGTGCCCTTGATGTAGGTTGCCATTGCAATGACTGCGAGTGGAGGACTCGCCACGGGCTATTGGCCTCTACAATCTCTGCCCTCAAGACAACGTCCTGGCTGAGTAACGCGTCACTGAGGTCTGTCTGCACGGCCAGCACAGCAGAAACACCAACTGTCTTCTTGCTTGCATCGCATTGCGGCGCGCGCAGGAAGCGGATGTAATGCACCATGCCAGGAACAGGCCGCGAGGATGAGAAAACGAGTTGAGAAAACGAATTGAGGAAGAGGTGAGGTAGAAGTGAAGGAGGAAAGGATCTAACCACACTGATCAAAGTGAGGCGTGAGGGGCGCGCTGTCCGCCGGACCGGAAGAACAGTGTCGCCGAAACACTGAGCACGTGGTTCACGTGGACTCCGGGGCGCCGGTGAGATCTGGTCCCGGGCCCCCAGCCAGCCTTCCGTCTCCCCCAGACTCCTGTGCAACCTTGTCGCATCGAACCCTTTCGATGCTCACAACCCTGTGACTGAAGAATGGCAACTAGGACTCCACTGCGCAAACGTTCGGCGCGGTTCACCAGCTTCGTTGCGCTGCCTTGCCTCCACATGATCTGAACGGGTCACTGCCGCTTTCCCAAGATGAACAACCCTGAGTTTCGTCAGACCCTCCACAACATCTCTCACAACCTCGAGTCTGCAAATCAGGCTGCTCAGGAGAACATATACACTTTTACGCAACTATACGTTGATCCTTGTCTCGAAGGCATCAAATCATGTGTCTATTCATGCACTGCACCTTGCTTCCCGAACAGAGAAGCCAGCCATCGGCGGAAGAGGGGTCGATCGCGCGGAAGAGCGGAGTATAACTTTGACTTCTATAATGCCTGGGATGATGAGGAAGCACTTGGCGATGGCGTCTTAGGCTGGGGCGATGATGAGTTGGACGGCCTACTAGCTGGTCGTGGGTCGCAGTCGCGGCAGCCGAGGAAACAACGGGCAATGAGCTACGGTTCAAGAGGAAGACGAAAACCTTCGGGAACTCAGCCAGAATTAGAGCAGGATCCGACAATTATACCAAGCTCGTCATACTTGGGATTCCTCGAACGCCTGCCGTGGAGGATTGGCGCCAGGAAATTGCGCTACAAGCCTTCAGCTGCCGATTTACAAGAGAATCCCGGCGGTACTCGAGTGCGAGTCGCGGAGAGCGAACCACTTATAGAAGAGCCTGAGGAACATGACGACACATGGAGAAAGGGACATGGTCGTCAGCGAAGTGCTACTACCGCTTCGAGGTCGACGACCAACTCCTTGAGCTCTAGAGGGGACTTGATCATGAGCGATGAAGAAGAGTATGAAGACGCGCAGCCGCTCGATGACTCGTTTGCAGTCATGCTCAGCCGGCGAAACACAAACCAAGGCTCCGCCGACGATCAGAGCAGTGGCAAGCCGAGGACGCCAAGCAGCAAGCGACCAGGAGTGTCTCGCAATTCCACCCGAACAGTTTCGTCCAAGTCCAAAAGAAGCCCAAGCGGCAAGAGTAGCCAAAGGTCGGCCTCATCGAAGAGTCTGGCACACTTGTCTTCCAACGTAGTCGAAGAGCATCCTGAGCCACCGACCTTAGTTGACCTCAGACGTGAGGAAGAACGAGTTGCGCACGAGGAAGAGCTTGAGATCGAGCAGAAACGTGAAGCCGCCCAACGGCTGGCCTTGCAGCGAGGGTTAAGCTCGCGTGATGCTCAAGACTTGACGAGCACGGAAGTCAAGCCTGAGGACGTCGAAGATGCGGAGGTGGACACTGCTTCGACGATCGATGGGTCAGAAAGAGATCCTGTGTCCCCAGTCCATCCACCATACACAGACTTACGAAACACGGAACCAGACTTGACATCGTCGAGTAGGGATGGCGGCGATGATGGCAAGGATCCAACATGATCGACGAGGAATCTGCTCTTCTGACATTCTGATGATATCAGAAATCTTACATCCTGCGGATGACAGCGATGTCAAAGAAAAGAAGGTGCTGGATCTACGAACATAACGGCCGCTGTATATTCTCCATTGTGCAGCGCTGGAAATGAAGGCACAGCTCTTTCGACCAGCCTGTACCTGGATTGCTCCGCTTGTTGCATTATGACGAACCTGATGACGGTAGAGAAGATGGAATGGCTTCGGAGGCTTCTTGTATAGCACCTAATGATAGCCAATTTTGACCTGCGACTAGCTACTGCACCTCTACACAGTGTTATGTACAGTTGTTCTGCAAATTAATCCAGAAGCGACTTCACCTCTACGACACTTACTCTCATGTCCTTCGCACCGCCGCTTATCTGTGGAGTCCCTCACAGCCTTATCTGGTGGCCGAGGGTCGAGAGTCTCGATTGGATGAGAGGAGGCGAGTCCTGCATTGCCGCACCCTCGACAGCGTGCGCTCCCCTCTCTACACTCTGTACTCCGTACACACCGCGCATACCCTGCTCTTGCAACGCACCTCAGCTTGCGATGAGACTATTCGGACGGTCATCGACTCTCCTCATTCCTTCCCCGCGGTTATGACCCAGACCTCGGCGCCGCTTTGCCAAACAGCGTCCGATTCGTCACTCCACCCAGCAGCGAGGTCCCTGCGGGTCTTGTATGCTGCCGAATGGTGAGAAGGAATAAGATGGAGGACAAGAAAATATGGAGTCCTGAGTCCTCCTCGAATCCCTCTGCCTATGAGGCCGACATGCACAATGTGCACCGCACCTTCGCCCGCCGCCTGACCGAGTCCTTCAAACGAGATCCCCACGCGAGTGTCACCCGATCGGCCTCGTTCAGCGCAGGGGATGGAAAAGGGTACGACGCCGAGGCTGCCGCTCAAGCGACGGCGCTGTCACCTTTGCTGAGAAGGCTGAAAGGGCGACACTTGCAGATGATTGCCATTGGCGGGAGTATCGGTACGGGACTCTTCGTCGGCAGTGGGAAGGCACTGGCCCATGGTGGACCGGCGTCGTTGTTGCTGGCGTTTTCTTTGACCGGCTGTATGATGTACTGCACGGTCCAGGCGCTGGGAGAGCTGTAAGACTTGGACCCGACAATGCCATTGTCGCTGCTGACTGTCCACACCAGCGCTGTGTTATTTCCGGTCGCCGGATCGTTCGCGTCGTACTCGACAAGATTTCTGGTAGGCCAAACGCCTTGCCATGCTGCGCCTGAAGTCTAACGCTGCTATCAGGACCCGGCCTGGGGCTTCGCGATGGGCTGGAACTACGCATTAAACTGGCTTACGGTCTTGCCTTTGGAGATCGTCAGCGCCTCCATCACAGTCGACTACTGGGTATGGATCATGCCGGACGGCTCGCGCTACTAGATTAACCGAGAGGAACAGGTTCAAAACGTTTCGCTGAATGCCGCCTGGGTGTCCATCTTCTTGATCCTTATTGTATTAATCAATTTCTTCGGCGTGAAAGGGTATGGCGAGGCCGAATTTATTTTCAGCGTTGTCAAGGTGACTGCTGTTATTGGGTACATGTAAGTGGCTCCTCAGTATATCTTATTTATGCGCGTCAATGTGATGCTTACCCATCTGTAGTCTACTCGGAGTCCTTATCAACATCATGGGCGGCGTCGACTCCGCTGGAAGGCCGAATGGCAGCTACCTGGGGTTTCGCCTGTGGCACCACCCAGGAGCATTTCATAACGGTTTCAAAGGTCTCTGCAGCACGTTCGTGACAGCCGCATTTGCATTTGCAGGAACGGAACTCGTCGGCCTCGCCGCGGCAGAGACGGAGAATCCCAGGAAGGCTCTGCCCACTGCCATCAAACAGGTGAGTGCGCACGAGGAGGCCCGAGTCCATTCGTCTCACTGAGGTTGTAGGTTTTCTGGCGAATCACCCTCTTTTACGTAGTCAGTCTTCTCCTGGTCGGCACCCTTGTGCCCTACGACGACCCGCGCCTCCTGAATGGCAAAAGCTCGGCCGACGCCAAAGCCTCGCCGTTTGTGATCAGCATTCAAAACGCCGGCATTGAGGTTCTCCCATCGGTCATGAACTGCGTCATCATGATCAGCGTCCTCAGCGTCGGCAACTCGGCCATCTACGGCAGCTCGCGAACCCTGGCTGCGCTTGCAGAACAGTGCCAGGCACCCTCCTTCCTGGCGTACATTGATCGCAAAGGCCGGCCGCTCTACGCGATCATCGTTGCATCCGTGCTGGGACTACTAGGGTACCTAGCAGCCACACAGAAACAACAAGACGCATTCAACTGGATGCTCGCCCTCTCCGGCCTGTCCAGCATACTCACCTGGGCGAGCATCTGCCTCGCGCACATCCGCTTCCGCCACGCCTGGGCGCTCCAAGGCCATTCTCTCGACGAACTGGCGTTTCGCAGCCCCGTCGGCACGATCGGATCTTGGGTCGGCTTTATATTTAATGTGCTGGTGCTGATTGGGCAATTCTGGACCGGGTTTTCGCCCGTCGGCTGGCAGCACATGTCGGTATCTGACAGAATCGCGAATTTCTTCCAGGCATACCTTGCAGCCCCAATCGTCGTGCTGATGTACCTGGGGTACAAGACGTATATGAAGACGCATATCTTGCGAGCGAGGGATATGGATCTGTTCACCGGAAAGCGGGAGTTCAACGTCCGCGTGCTGCTCGCGGAGGAAAAGGCAGATCGCAAGCGCTGGCCGCGGTGGAAGAAGTTGTACAAGTTCTTCTGCTAGGGCGTGTAGAGTCGGCGTTGACAAACGATCATAATGGTTATTCCTTCTTCTTTTCTTTCCACACGAGATCGTGTTCCCCTCGTTTCCTCCTCCATTGATTCGTTGCGCTGAGCACCTCCGCCTCACAGCCCCGGAACACCCAGGCGTATTTTCGCCAAAACCCCACGGACACTTCCCAGCCAGACACATCCCAAGGAGTGTCCCATACTATACCTCCCCCATACTCTGCCGCGCCTAGATCAGCTGCAAACCCGTGGAAGAGCCCTCCAACCGTGTCCGTCCAGAGCGCATCTTCGTCAAAGCTGCTTGCTGCCCCCTCTGTGCTCGACACTGGGCTGGACTTTGACGTGGGCGATATCGGCGACGTTGACGTTGACACTGACGGTGCTGTCGACCCCACCGTCGTAAGCACGATCAAATTGTCACGCAGCACCGGATGCGGAAGGATATCGATCCACGCGGCATGCTTGACAGTCCTTTGCAACCGCGTGGGATGCAACGACGGCGGAAGCAAGCGACTTAAATCCAGGTCCGAGACATCGACATCAATGTTCGGCAAGCAAGCCACGGTCGTGGAAGACCACTCTGCACTCTCGCCCCCTGCGTGTGCACGTGTTTGTGTGTGTGCCGGAAGACGCGCGATGTAGCCTCGATTGACCAGACTGGCGCGGAGGACATTATATTGCAGAAGCACGATCAGGTGGTCCGGGCAGAGCGGGAAGATGACGGTATCGAGACTTGGAGGTCCCGCAGTATACGTTAGTAGTGGATTACGTGCGTCTCTCCTGAGCGGGCTTTGGGCCCAAATGACGGACTGGGCGGCCTGGGACCAGCATGGCAGGAGGCTGTCGGGGTCGGCTCCCTTGTCCTTGGTGTGTGCGGTACGTGTGAGTCCTCGTGCTTGGCTCGGATGAGATTGCGCTTGTAATTGTGCTGGTGGTTGCGCTTGTTCGAGGGCGTGGGCTCTCCGCCGTCGAAACGCCCGCGAGTTCAGTCTGTTCTGCCGTTTTCTGCGTTCCGCGGCCGAGGTGACGCCCGTCCAGTCGTCGTGCGTGGTGACAGCGTCGGCGAGCTGGCGCATGGGTTGGATTGGGATAGGGATCACGCCCTCGTTACGGGACCCGGCCATAGATGGTATCATGGGCTGGAGTGGAATCATGTCCTCGTTGCGGGACCTGGCCATAGATGGCATGGTGGCTTGTTGGTACGTCTGAAGTCTGAGGTTCAGTAGCTGTAATAGATCACGAATGGTGCGTTGAGATCGACGTCGACACTGTAATGCAGTCTGCTTACCTGGCTGCTACAATGGGAGTCGTGGCTAAGGCTGTAGCCTAGGCCTGTCTGGCTAGACATTATCACCACGACAGGTCGGAGATACGGCCGAGACTTGAGAGCGCATTGGAGGGATAATTACTTCTTGGTTGCGGAGGACGAGAGCAAGCGATAGGTTGGCAAAGGGCTTCTCTCCTTATTAGTAGTTAGCTTTATGCAGCTGGCTTGCAGTATGCCTAATACGTAACTACTGTACGGAGTAGATTGGCTTCGATCACAGTCCTGCGGCGCCACGTACGGACTATTCGTACTGCGTAGGCAGCAATTTGAGAAGACACCGCAAGGAGCGTGGTTTGATTGATATGTCACGGCGGAGGTCTCGCAAAAGCAATCATAAATACCGTAAATCACTTCGTGCTCTCCGTCTATCCCTCAAACTACACAGTACACTGTAGACGCAATTTGACTGCGGTCCTAATCCACCGATCCCGCATATCCCTCAGCCATGACATTCCATCCCGACTCCCTCCCAGACCTTACAGGCAAGGTATTCATCGTGACGGGCGCAACCTCCGGCATAGGATACCACACGGTCGCACGCCTCGCGCAACATGGCGCCCACGTGTATATGTGCGCACGCACCCTGGCCAAAGGGACCGCCGCGAGCGGTCGCATCAAGTCGACCTATCCTGACGCCCACCTGTCGGTGCTGGAAATGGACCACACGTCGCTCTCGACCGTCGTCGCCGCCACGAAGCACTTTCTCTCCCAGGAGACGACGCTCCACGGACTGATCAACAACGCCGGCATAATGGCGACGCCGTTCGAAACGACGCAGGACGGGTACGAGATCCAATGGCAGACCAACTATCTCGCGCACTGGGTCTTCACGCGCCACCTCACCCCGCTGCTGCTCGAGACCGCCCAGACACTTCCGCTGGGAAGCGTGAGGGTCGTGAATTTGTCCTCGTCGGGCCACTATTCCGCGCCGAAACGCGGGATTGACTTTGCAGACACGTCTCTGAGGGATGCCAGCCCCATAACCCGGTACGGACAGTCCAAGCTCGCGAACATCCTCCACGTCAAGACACTGGATAAGGTGTATGGCCCGGACGGGTCTGCCGCTGGAGACGCACAGATCTGGACAGCGGCCGTTCACCCCGGATTGGTGGATACCAGTATTGCCGACCACGCTTCGCTGCCCCTACTATTCAAGTGGGTGATCGCGCCATATAAAGCCATGGGAGGCTTTCTTGATGGGGACAAGGGGTCGTGGACGAGCGTCTTCTGCGCGGCGAGCCCGCTGATGAAGAAGGAACATAGCGGTGCTTACTTCCAGAGGGTCGCGGACCCGAAGGGCTGGCAGAGCGCCATGGCGAAGAACGCTGAGCTTGCTGCGAGATTGGAAGAGTGGACGGAGCGAGAGATGAAGAAGGGGGGTTGGGTTGATTAGTGGCCGGAGGATACTCACTCCAGGCACAGCGGTTCTCTAGCAGGATGGCATTGAACCATACCTGCAGCGATTGGGCATGGCTACCTGATGTTTTATCTTGATATAGCACCAGGGCACATGTGATGATATTTCAGTGGAAGCTGACGCTCGTTAGTGCTCAATGAGACTGTCCCGGTGTCCGGGAGCTTCGGTGCTCTACTGAACAGTCTCGCTGGCTTCTCGGCGCTCAGGAAAATATTGTGACGTCAAGCAAATGGAATTAAAAGTTACGACCTCGTCCTCCGTTTGGATCAACAAGGGCAATTGATTCAACTCGCATCAATCCACCAGTCCACCAGTCCGCCTTTGTTGTCTATTATTCTCCTATGGGTCGCTCTGAATTTACATGATCTTCCTTGCAGCTTATGTACGGAGTACAGTACTTGTCCTAATACGCAACTCGAGCCTTGTTGATACCGCCTGATCTGCCAGACACTCCTCTTTACCGGAGCTCGAGCCATCTCTCACCCCTAATTGACTAGCTACACGAGACCTGGTTCATCATGGCGCCAGTTCCGGTCACCATCATCACTGGGTTTCTCGGAGCTGGCAAGACGACCTTGATCTTGAACCTCATCCCACAGTTGCCGAAAAATTACAAGCTTGCGTTGCTGAAGAACGAGTTCGGCGATGTGGCGGTTGATTCGCAGCTCGCGGGCTCGGCCTCCATCTCAGGGGTTCGAGAGTTATTGAACGACTGCATATGCTGTAACCTTGTCGGCCAACTCAGTGACGCTCTGTTCGAGCTCAAGAATTCCGTCGACCCCAGCAGGGTCATTATCGAAACGTCCGGTTCGGCTTTCCCTGCGACGCTGGCAATGGAGGTCAATCGGGTGTCGAGGGAAAACCCAGGCTCGTTCACCCTCGACGGCGTCATCAGCGTGATTGACGTGGAGAACTGGAAGGGCTACGACGACACAAGCTACACGGCCAAGATGCAAGCCAAATATACGGATCTGATCGTGTTCAACAAGTGGGAGCTGGTTGATGAGAGGAAGTTCGAAGACGCACTGGACCGCGTCGGCGACCTGGACGTACAAGTCGCGTGGGTCAAGAGTCAGAGAGGCTGGGTGGACGTGGAGATCGTCATGGGTATCGATGGAGCAATGGTCCGGAACGAAGGGTTGCGAGGAGCAATCGAGTTTAACGAAGAGAACACCCACGACCACACTGACGGACACGCACACGCACACACCCATCATCAGGGCGAAGTAGAGGTCTTGAGTGTAGTGCTGACGAATGAAGATCCGTCGAAACCGCCCCAGGGCGTTGTCCTGGAATCCTTTGAAGATCTGCTTCTTTCCGCGCCAAAGGACGAAGTCTACCGCATCAAAGGGCTTGTCCTGTCATCCAAGCCGCCTCCGGAGTCAACAGGCGACAGAAAACCCGGCATTGCAGTCGACTCGGAAGGCCAGAGTCTCTATGTCTTGAACTGGGCATTTGGTCGATGGACCTACACGCCACTCCCGAGCAGGGCGTTCAAGGCGATGGAGAATGCGAGTGCGCGACTAACCTTTATCCTTGCTAGAGGAGAATCTAGTAAATGGATCCGGCGCCTCCAGAAGGGAGACTTTATTGCTCTTGAGGGGCAAGATGGGAAAGAGGAAAAGGGCTCCCTGAAGATTGACACAATTGGATAACGAGTGAGACTCACGCCCGAAGCAGGTCTCGGACAGTTTTGGAAACTCGCTCGAGGACTTTGGGACACCGGGGCTACCACGCGGGGCTTTGACATGAGGTGGCGGCCTGACGTGCATCGTAGCATTGAGGACTACGTGCCGGACTGCGAGGAATGCTGTTTGTTGCACGGTCAAGACAAGAAAACCCCGGGAGGGCGTGCTCCCTCGAGGCTTGGAACTGACCACCAACGCTAGCAGTGCTTCTCACTGGTATGCACCCCCTTCTCATGCCATCAACAAAGACGGGTCACGCACCGCACCGTTACCATTACAACAGCGCACGAACCTCACCTTTGCCATCTAGCTCCATAAACCTCACAACCTGTCCAAGATGGTCGAACCCCCAGAAGCCCTCCACCTCTCCCTTGACGTTCTCGCATTGAAACCACGGCAGACCAAACGCGCCGTCCTTGAACGATGCCTCCGTATTTTGCACCAGCTGCTTCTTGACCTCCGGGCTCCCCAGCCTCTCAACATGTCGCTTGACCACTTCCTCGCCCAATACTGGCGTCAGCACCTTGGCGAACACCTTCGGGTCTGAGAGATCGCCCTCGTCCCCTTTGGTCCAGAGCGTTTCCCAGAGCGTGTCCACCGCCTTGAGGAACACATCCTGCGTGCCCGCCTTCCGATGACCGTCCAGCCACAAACTGGTCAGAAATCGCTGGACCTGGATCGTCGGCTTCGGAAACCCCTTGGGTTGTGCGTCGGACATGGGGATGTGGAACTGGCGGGCCCAGCGGAGCCGTTCGCGCTCGATCCATTTGTCTTTGTTCCGGATGTCGATGGGCGCAACGTTGCCGCAGGTTTTGTGCAGCCCGCCCAGCAGGATGGGCGTATACGTTACTTCGACGGACTTGAAGATTGGGGAATGCTATATCGAGTCAGCGAGGTCGATGTCATGGGCACACTGATGAGAAATGTCAAGCAGGGACATATGAGACTATGGTATCGAATGGGCTGGTCGAGGCTCAAGCGCCGGTGGTATCACAACCGTGCCCACCTGTGTTAAGCATCGATCCGCACCAGGCCACGGGATAAAATGGAAGATGTCCTCCAAGACTTGACAAAACCGAGACAAGGTATCGGCGAGCGGGCGAAGCAGAGCAGAACAGAGGACCTACCCTTAGGAAGTAATACCCCATGTAGCAAAAGGGACTGACAATGTCGATATAAAAGGTGATTTTGCCCGGCATTTTGATCAAGCCGGAGAGATAGAGGCTCGTACCGTGGGCGATGCCGTGCCTGGCGTCCTGTCCTGTCGGTTGCTACACGACGATATGGACCGCGTGAAGGGAGCCGGAATGATCAATACAGTGTTCCGCCTTGGACCTGACCTCACTTGTGCCTACCACAGTAAGTTACAGTAGAATCGTAGAGACAATTGAGGTCACACAGTACTCCGTAGAGACATAGTGCAACCGGAGCAAGAAATCTGGGGTAATCAGACGGGGAAGCTCTGGAGCCGAGGTTCGTCGTTGCCTGTCGCTGAATTGTCCGAACCTGCGGCATGGACCTGCCTGCGCATTTTGAGCAATTGGCTTCACTACTCCTGCAGTACGTGCATGTCCTGGCTGTGAGTCCCTGCGCATCTGTAAGCCCCAGTTCGCAAGTTCCTCGCCAGCAACAGAACGCACTCAGCTTCATGTAGTCAGTCTGTTTGCCGCGTCGGCGCTCATCGCACCTAGGCCTTCCCTCGAGCTGCAGGAATTATTGTCGCAGCCACTGATTATGGAATAAATATCATAAGATCTGTTCTAACTCAGGGCGAGTGGCTTGTTTAGGAGTGTCTGTCCTATATGATCAGGGCATCTTGCGGCTATATGCTGGTGAACTACGGCCAGTGTTGCCAGTCTCCTGTTCGTAGCCTCAATGTGTGGGAGGTGGGTGACCAGAAGAGGTAACACATACACAATGAATGGCTTCAGACTGCTGGCCTCGTCTGCGGCCACTGCTATCACGATGATTATGATTACTTTTGGTGCGACGATGCAACATTCCTCTATCGCTCCAGCATATCCTGCTTATTGCCGACATGAATCTGGAGGATCGTCGAACCGCCTCCACGGACGGCAGATAGATCCAACCCCGCCAAAGCTAAGGAACGACCGGTCGATAAGCCAAAGTCGATAAAGCGTCTTACTTTGACGAGATTCCATTATCGCCGACGCAAGGGGGTGGGTTGGAAAATGATTCCAAAGCAGGCAAAAATGATGGCATTACATTTCCTCTTTCACATGCAGCTCGTACGTCGGGGCTGATATCTGATATCTGACATCCATGGGGATGGCGTCCTATCAGCGGTTACTGATTAGCGGACTTGTGTGGATTTTCCATGCCTAGAGCTCCCAACCCGCTGGGCTGACATACTGGATACACTGGTAAGGTCCCATCGACGCCTCGGCGTCGTGCTTCGCCTGAGCACCGTTGACCATACGAAATACTCCGTACTGTAAGCATAAACGATGCTGGAGATACTGTTGTACTCGGTTGCTGTCGTACTCGTACTTGCCCCCTTCGAGCCCTGCTGCAGGCCGAGATCCCACTTCCTGATCACCCAGATTCGGCTATTGTTTCCCCTGGCCACGATCAGCAGCGGTGCCCGCAGCTCCCAACAAGCTACGAGTACTCCGTACACTTGGGATCGAAGCGAGCTGCATGAGGCAGGCCAATCGTCAAGAAGTCTAAGCTTGATTTCGGATCGGGGCACTGGAGGTCTCTTGCCTGCGCCTGAGATCATGCTCGTTGACGCGTGCACAGGGTCCTCCACCTCCAAGCTTTCGGGCATGAAAATTTGGATAGCAGCGACGCCGCCAAGCGCTACACCTTGCCGCCAAGGATCATTGTGCTGGAGCTATTTCGGCGCGATGAGGTCTCAAATACTACGTACCTCCACCTCTCACGTGCGAGCAATTTAGGTTGAGTAAGATGAATCTCAGGCGCTCGTATCCCGGCTGCGTAGCCGCCCTCGGGCCGCTGACCGTCACCTCAGCAGACGCGCACCAGAAGAATCCCCAAGCCTGGCCGGGGGGAGGCGCCATGGGGTAGGTGGGAGTGGGGTGGAAGAGGTCAGTCAGGGACGGGAAGTAGACACACCCCAGCTGTGCAAGAAGAAAGTTTTCGCTACGATGAGCTCGAGTAGGAAGAAAGTGATCGAGTTCAGCACGCGACAAGTAACTCGGAACAGATTGTCGCCTCGCCATGCCGATCTTGTAGTTTGTGCCCCGCCCTGACGTCGCCGGCGCAATCTTTGCATTTTGCAGCTTGCAGCTTGGAGCCGGCAGCTGGTCTTCTATCCTCTCCGTCTCTTCTTCCTGAATGTTTGCAACTTGAGAATAGCACCCGACACACCATGGATCACTCGTATCCCGGTAGCAAAGAGAAGAACGGCGACGTGGCCCACCAAAGGCCTGGCTCCGGCGACGTCCAAGAAGGCTTCATCAGCGACAATGCCGACAACCTGCAACGCCATCTCAACAATCGCCAGATCCAGCTGATCGCCATCGGAGGCTCTATCGGAACCGCACTGTTCGTGAGCATCGGCACCGGCCTGTACAATGGCGGCGCGGGCAACTTGTTTCTGGCGTACGCCATCCAGAGCATTGTCCTGGCCATGGTCAACAACTCGGTGGCCGAAATGAGCACGGCGTACCCTGTCAGTGGCGGGTTCATTCGTCTCGCGGGCAAATGGGTCGACGACGCCCTCGGCTTCATGTGCGGTTGGAACTTCTTGTCAGTCTCCGTCGCGTAACCACTCGCCAGTCGCAATACTGACGCTTGATTGCTTGTCATCCAGCTTCTACGAAGCTCTCCTCATTCCCTTCGAGATCTCGGCTTTTACATTGGTGCTGTCGTTTTGGAGCGACAGGGTCACGGAGCCAGGGCCCATCGCCGGCGTCTGCGCCGGTGTCATCTTAGCCTACGCGTAAGTCATGCGGGCGTCAAGATGCGTTGTGGCCACTAACGCCGGATCATCGTGTAGCGCCATCAATATTCTCGCTGTCCGAGCGTACGGTGAGGCTGAATTCTGGCTTTCGGGCGGCAAGGTCATCCTGATCTTCTCCCTGTTCTTCTTCACCTTCATCACCATGGTTGGCGGCAATCCCGCGCACGATGCCTACGGGTTCCGGTACTGGACAAACGGACAGGCGTTCCGGGAAAGAATTGACACGGGAGATCTCGGTCGGCTGCAAGGTTTCTTGGCCGCCCTCTCGTCCGCTCTCTTTACGGTCGTGGGTCCCGAGTACATTTCGATTGTTGCCGCCGAGGCCGTGCGCCCGCGCATCTACATCAAGGCCGCCTTCAAGATGGTCTACCTCCGATTCGGCATCTTCTTCATCGGCGGAGCCCTGGCCGTGGGCATTGTGTGCAGCTCCAGAGACCCCGCCCTAGAGAATGTCGTCCTCGGTGGGAGCAACGGCTCCGCGGGCGCCTCGCCATATGTGATTGCGATGAGGAATCTCGGAGTCTCGGTCTTCCCCCACATTGTAAACGCGTAAGTCATCACCTGGCAAGCGTAGCTGCAGGGCCTGGTTACTGACACAAACGCCACAGGCTCATGCTGACCTCGATCTTCTCGGCGGGCAACACCTACACGTACGCGGCCGTCCGCACGCTGTACGGCCTGGCCCTTGAGGGCCGAGCGCCCCGCTTCCTCACGCACTGCAACCGCGCGGGCGTGCCGATCTACAGCTTTTGTGTGGTGATGATCTTCCCGCTGCTTTCGTTCTTGCAGTGCTCGAGCAGCTCGTCCATTGTCATTACCTGGTTTGTGAATTTGGTTACTGCGGGAGGTATGTTGCACATTTCTCCAGACTCATGCAACGGGAACCTCGGGCTGACTTAGTGCCACCAGGCCTGATCGACTACATCGTCATGTGCATCACGTACATTTTCTTCTACCGGGCGTGCAAAGCCCAGGGCCTCAACCGCAGGACGTTGCCCTACTACGGTTACCTCCAGCCCTTCTGCGCCTGGTTCGCGCTCATCTGGCTGTTCGTCGTCACCTGCATCTACGGCTACACCGTCTACCTGCCATGGAACGTGTCCAACTTCTTTTCGAGTTATAGCATGCAGCTCTTCATCCCGCCGCTCTACATCATCTGGAAGCTGATCAAGCGGACCAAGGTCGTCCACCCGCTCGAGGCCGATCTCGTGTGGGAGAAGCCCACCATCGACGCGTACGAGGAGACGTTCCTGGACCCGCCTGTCGGTTTCTGGACCGAGATGATGCAGCTGGTCGGGCTCAAGCGCAGGAGGGGGGGGAATGACAAGCGGCGGCCCAGCATTATTGTGCCCGCCGAGGAACAGGCCGAGAGTGGAAAGTGAGTAGCGCGCAAAAGGAGGCCTTTACGTAGAGTGCAGTAAACCGGGTATATAGTTATACCTCTTGCGCTTGCCAAGGTGTGTTGGCTTGCTGCATTTGGAAAAGGCAGGCTACAGGTTTCAACAAACCATAGGCCGACAGACGAGGCACATGGAGGAGAGCCTCCGAGTCAGTCACCAGTAATGAAAATGAGGCGTGCTCGTTGCCACACTGATACAGTACTTGGTGACTATCATATGGAATTCTGAGGCCTGTGAAGCGGTCCAGCTGAGCGATCCCGCCATGGCACACATGGTAAGACTACTGTGTACATAGGTATGCATCGCGAGGGTATGTGCATAGTATAGAGTCCGGCTCGGAGGCTCAAAACGCGGAGCCACGATGCAGGAGACAAGCTTCGCGGATACGAAGTACATACCTTAAGCCAAGGCGTCGGTGACACCAAACGCTCCTTTTGTCTCTGGACACGGTGAAGGTGATTTCGCGAGCCTCCGAATTTTCAGGCCTCGAGATCAGTGAGACTTGGTGGAGGAGGAGCACTGTAAAACCTGTGGAATCCAACGTACCAAGTACTGTGTATTGGAAATGCCGGTGACGGCTGCTACCTATGCAAGGTAAGCTCTAAGGAACCTGAGTTGCGTCTGGGTTCGGATGCTGATACCAATGGGTACCTAGGTAGTTGCGGCTCTGCCATGGACGGCGGAGAGCAGCGTTCCTTGCGAGAGGACGCCGAATACTCCATTGCCACCATGCAAGGCACCGAGCCCCAAGTGAGTAAGTGATGAGAGAGTGATGAGCAATACCTAAGGTACCTTCACGGGCTAGAATGCGCGTAAGAACCGTACGAACATGAAATGTCGAACGAGACGCGTCGCGATTCACGCATGTTGACTCCGGATACATGAGTTAACACATGTAATGACGAGCTCGGTCCGACTGCCGTGCCACGCGGCTGATCGCATCTGTTTCACGCCTGGTGCGCTATGCTTTTGGACCCCAACGACAAGGAGCATCCATCCATCCAGTCCAGAGTCCAATCTAGCTAGCTGACCAGGGCACCCATCTCAGACCGCTCTTTCCGGACTCACTCCTCTCTTATACGGAATGGTCGGTTGAAGTGTCGGGGTTAAGGCAACATCCATAACTGCCGCCGTTGTGGTCAACAGTCACCCCGAAGACGGAAGTCTGGTGGAAGGTATCACAAGGAAGTACTGTGTAGACCACCTCCAACATGGTGGCGCCACAGGACATCACCTCCGTCCTGCCGACGACATGGCTCGGGCTCATCGGCTACCTCGTGGCGCTCAAGCTCGCCTACGATCTCACGATGGCGATTTACAGGCTCACTTTCCACCCACTGGCTCATTTCCCCGGCAGCAAGCTCGCGGCCGCGACGTACTGGCACGAGACGTACTACGACGTGTTCCGGGGCCACCAGTACGTATGGAAGATCCAAGAGATGCACCGCAAATACGGCCCCGTGATCCGCACGAACCCGGACGACGTGCACATCCACGACCCGGACTTTTTCGACACGCTGTACGGGCTCAAGATGGACAAGTGGGCGTGGTGGACGCGCGGGTTCGCCGTGCCCAAGGCCGGCGGCATGACGGTCGAGCACGAGGTGCACCGCAAGCGGCGGGGCGCGCTGAACCCGTTCTTCAGCAAGGCCAGCATCGTGGCCAACGTGCCCGTTATTCAGGAGAAACTTGCGGTCATGTGTGACCGGCTGGACGCGATCAAAGGGAGTGGCCGTGTGCTGGACCTCGAGGCCGTGTATTTGGCGCTGACGACCGACGTGCTCACGCAGTGCTCCTACGGCTGGACGTACGACTACATCCACCACCCGGAGTGGGCGATGACGTGGAAACTCGTCAACACCGGGGGTCGGGCATCGGCGGCCATTGTGCGCTCGTTCCCATTGATCGGGGCTATTGTGCGCTCGATGCCGCTTTGGCTGGCGATCAAGCTCGTGCCGCCCGTCGGGTTCATGAAGTCGTGGATGCAGCGCGTGGGCGTGCAGGTGCGGAAGATCAAGTCCGACGAGGTCACCATGCGGCAGATCCGGGATGAGAAGCGGCGCAAGGACACCATCTTCGCGCAGATCCTGTCGAGCGATTTACCCGACGAGGAGTTGACCGACGAGCGCCTGATCGACGAGGGCGTCTTGATCGCGACCGCCGGGTCGGAAACCACCGCCTGGGCCATCACCATCACGACGTACCACGTCATGCAGACCCCGGACGTGCTCGCGAGGTTGCGCGCCGAGCTCAGGACGGTGGAGATCCCATCAGGCGACGCCGTCGCCCCGTGGCCCGCGCTCGAACGATTGCCCTACTTGACGGCCGTGATCAAAGAAGGCGTGCGTCTGGCTGGCGGCATGCTCTCGCGCCTGCCCCGCATCTACGACAAGCCGATCCAGTACAAGCAGTGGACCATCCCAGCGGGGACGCCCGTCGCCATGACGCCGCACCTGGTTCTCATCGACGAGACCATCTTCCCCGAGCCCCGCCGGTTCGATCCCGACCGATGGCTCGATGGGGGCGCGGACAAGACGACTAGTCCGCTGGACAAGTACATCGTCGCGTTTGGCAAGGGGTCGCGCAACTGCATCGGCATGCATCTGGCCTATGCGCAACTGTACATGAGCGTGGCGGCCGTGGTCGCGAGGTATAATCTGGAGATGTACGAGACTGATGACAGCGACGCCACGCCGACGAGGGATTTGTTCACTGCGGGGGTGAAGCTGGATAGTAAGGGTATCAGGGTCATTGTGCATGACAAGGATGAGAATGTGGCCTGAAAAAGGAGGCCACGTTGCCTTGTATTGTAGCACGAGGACCGCCGACAATGGCCCAAGGAGCCCTGGCTAGCTTGCCCGCTAGCAGCGTCCCTCTCACCTCAAGTGATATTAGAACTCATAATCATAAGTCCCTCTCACTCGCACAATCATAAGTCCCTCTCACTCGCATAATCATAAGTCCCCTTCACTTTGTGGCCTCCCCCTCCAGCTGCCGTGCCCTGTACTCCCAATACTTCCTGCGAATGGGATCCCACTTCCTCGCCAAAGCGTCAAGACACTCTCTACTCCGCTTTACGTCGCCCTCGAGCCGATAAATGTCCGCCAACCAATCGATCGCATGACTACTCCTTATGGTACCACCCTCGCTCATCAGATTCGCCCCCCTGCCACCCACGAACCCCTCGCAAAACACCCGCATCTCTGTGATGGGCATGCCCGCCCTAGTGAGCACGCCCCTTAGATAATTCCACGCCGACGCGTTCTGCGGCGCCCACGCGATGTGGTCCTTGGCATAGTTGATCTCGCGGTCGGCCACGTCGAGATCGACCACGAGGCTGCCACTGGCGAGGACCTCCTTGCGGATTTTTGTGGCAGAGGCCTCGATGGTGCGCAGTTCCTCGACGCCAAAGACGACAAAATACCGATGATTCCACGCCGAGTTGTTGCGCACGTCGTCGTCGATGAGCGCGTCGACCGCGCGCAGCTCCATGTCTGTGACTAACAAGGGGTCCGGGAACCGGCGGCACAGCCACTGCCGGTACGTCCAGACGTGGTAGTTCTTGGCGTCGAAGGAGAGGATGTGTGCGAGGAAGGCCGGCTCTGTGGGTGGCAGGGTCTCGAGGAGCGATATTAGGGTTTGGCGGTGGTGCCTGGGATGGTCCTCAGGTCAGTAAGCGTGGTGCATGGTCCATCTTGGACTTGTGATCGATGCGCAGTGTGAAAGGTACCCAGTCAAGCAAGAGCAAGCGCAAACAGTGCAATAGACAAACGTAGATCCATGGGCGTGGCAAAACCCACCATATCTGATAATTCTTCAGATTCCGCTCGCTGATGCCCTCCAGCCAGTCCAGTTCCGTCGTGACCCCGTCTTCGACTGTCATCCCCTCTTCCTGCCATAGCGTCTTCAGGATCTTGGCCCGGTAGAGCCACACGGTGTAATGTGCCGGGTTCATCCCGATGATGTCCTCCGTCAGGTCGAGTGCGCGGCGGCTGAATTCGTTGATCGCCATTACAGCTCTCAGGTAGGACATGGCCTCGCTGTAGCGGGGCGAGTAGGCGATCGTGGCGAGCGCTGGGCCAGGGTCTTTTTGGCCTGGGGGCCCGTCGATGAGGGGCACGGGGATGACATCCTTCCAGAGGGGGGAGACGGCGTAGAATGGCTCTTTGGATTTGGGTTTGGGTTTGGGTCTTCTGGTATCGGCCATTGTTTGATACCTCGTAAAACTAGATCCGGTGGTAGGATTGCTCCCCGTGGAGCTGATGGCGATGAGTTCCCAAGGACAAGTAAGGAGTAATAGTCGCTCTAATTTACTTCGCCTCGCTTTGGGCTTGATTGTCCAGACCGAGCATCATCTAGAGAGTCGACGTCGCCCGGGACAGCGTCATCGACTGCACCATGAGCAGAGTTACTACTTCAATCGAGGTGGGCTCGCTTTGTCATTGTGCTTGACTGGAATGAAGAGCACAATATGAAGGTTGGAAGTCGGCTCGGAGGAACCTCAGATTCATCCGGCTGCCACTTCCCGCCTTTACCCGCCCGTATTCTGGGGTAGCATTGATAAATGTGCACGTTGAACTCTCGAAACCAAGATGCACTCCTCTCCCATTCTATCTGTCGTGGGAGGGCATATAGTACAATTGACGCACCCATTAGACAAACACTGCTATGCGCCTTCGCTGGTAAAACAAGAACGAACATGAATATAAATATGTTCACCTCCAGAACTTCCATTCCGGCCGCCTTTCGGTGAGACCCACGCCAACGAGAGCCTCAATTCCTTCTTTGCCGTCAGCATTTAGGAACTTCTGTTGGTCGATCTCTTCACCTCCTTCCTCCTCGGTTCCGTTGTGCAAAACAGCAGGGTAAAGCATGCCGACGCCACTGCCACCCAATGTGGTTGTGTACTCCTCAAACCCGGCATCCTCAAATTGCATCTTCAAGTTAACCACCGCTTTCGGATCGATATCCCGCTTGAGGAGGGTGATGGCACACCCACCGCCGCCCGCACCGGTGAGCTTCGTCCAGCCGATATCAGCATAATCCACCAACTCCCGAATGTGTTCCAACTTTGGATGAGATACGCCGAGCGAGACCAGTAATCCATGGTTGATGCGGAATAAGTCACCTAAGTGTTCAATGTTCGTTTCTGATGTGGGGTCAAATTCATCTGAGGTGATGAGACTGTGTGCTGACATTGTGACCTCGTCGATGCTGTCCAGGGTAGCCTCGGTCACGGCCGGGTATTTCTTCTTCAACGCCGCCACTTTGGCCACTTCTGCAGCAGTCGATCGGGGCTGTTTTGTGTTGATCAATAGTAAAGGCAGTTCCGGGAAGTCTTTGAGTGGTGTTGCCATTGGCGGTTTGGTATAATCAAGTCTCTTAAAAAGTACAGCCCTTCCGTGCGTTGCAACAGTGTTATCGACTCCACTGGGGTTTCCGTGGATACATAGCTCGCCCACAAAAGCCCACTTGTTGATTCTTTCGATTTGTATGTCCACCTCCTCCTCTGGTTGGTCATGATGTGGTCCGGACAGGACATGTATCTGTTTCAGCAGAGCCGCGCTGATACACACGCAGATGCTGGCACTGGAGCCGAGACCTGCTCCGATAGGTAGTGTGGATCGTAGAGTGTAAATACAAGCCTGCGCAGCAGGAGTCTGAAGGCAAAGGAATAGGTAGAGGAAAGCAGAAGCAGCACTCTGGTGGATCTTTCGCTTGTTTTCATTCAAATGAGCTGAGACGGCTTCGATATGAGGGTTCATGGCGGCGACCAGCTCTGGGTCTAGTGATGTGACCATATCATAGTATCGGGGCTTTCGCCCAGTCTTCTGGAAGATAGACCAGGGCAAGTCGTCGATGTTCCAGGTGTGGTCCAGTCCAACATCAGGGAACACCAGCCGAATTGTTTTTTGCGACTTGGAGAGAGCTGTGACCAGCAGGTAGGATCTGAGGGAGATTGCGGCCGCCATCGCGGCCTTCCCATGGACGACCGCATGCTCTCCAAAGACGATGACTTTGCCGGGAGCAGATGTCATAAAAGCAGGCGCCATGGGGGACGAGGATTTGCGCGAGTATGGGGGAGGATGTATCACTCCATCTGTCGAGTGGCCATTGACTCCTTTGCCGCCTTTGACACCGTTCACTTTCGGAGTTCCGTTCATGGTTGACTCGACTTTATGGACCATATCTCGATGAGTGAGCCGGGAGCCCCGAGGGGTGTGTCGACGTAGAGGTATGGCAACGCTGAAAGTTGCGCGAGAGGAGGGACGAAAGAGGAGGAGCAGCCACGCAGCCAGTTGGCAACCCAAAATTTCTAAGAGAGGAAAAGCACCGCTGCGAGTCGCGACAGGCGCAGCCCAACGTCAACGTAGCGGGCCACCACCACTAAGCTTGTCGCTTGGGGCGGCTAGGGACGCTAGCGCTGCAGGTACAGCCCGTTAAAGTTGTGGAACACCAGACCCGGTGGCTTTCCGAGTGGCACCATCGACATCATAGTGCGACTTCAGCAAATACGACTCGTACTGTATGCTCAGAAAGGACTTGTGCATCTATCGAGCGGACTAGTAGGCACTTTGTACAGCCATAGATAGCATCATTGTCATTCATCAGAGTCCGAATCGCTCAGCTCCTCGACTCTCCCGGCTTCCTTTGCCACTTCTACTGGATTCTTGACGTTGACAACTCCTGTCGCCTTCAGCCTCTCAAACAGTACGAAGAGCCGTTCAGCTTCGCGCTCTTTTTCTTCCCGCGTCATATTTGGTAACTCAATGTCTGGCTCCTTGTCCAGCCTCTGTCCAGTGATAGGGTTGATTGGAACTTGGCTGGACGATTCTCCATTGCCCTGGGACTTCGCACTCTCCGGGATCGGGATCTTGTGGGTCATCAGATATCCCGCAGCATATCCATATCCCACGTTCTTCACGTATTCATTGGCGTCTTTACCCGAGAGTTCAAACATCAATCCGGATATTGCTTCTGAGAGGTTGAGCATTCCGGAGGATGTTGTCAATCGCAGGAGTTGAGACGCCAACGATGATGACTTTCCGAGAGGTTGATCGCGTTCCTTGTCGTCAGGTAGAAGACGTGCTTTCATACTGCCGCGCAAATCCGGCGGTGCAGTGTCATTGATCTTCCTCAGGACTGTTAATAGTGGCACTGCCGTAGTGTCGAGTTCCGTTGGTGGATGACCCTCGATGGCAAGTGCAAGTATCGAGATCAGCCTGGCTACTGCCGACCTCGTCTCGGCAGTCTGTGTGTCTCCACCATCAATGTCTAGATTTGCGAGGGCATTGATTAGTAGGTTGATCGGTGGTTGGAGTGGTGGCGACGGAACGTCGGTATACTCGAGGATGCGACAAATGTGTGCAACAGCAGGCTTGAATTTAGCGGCCTGGTCTGTTTTGATACTCGTCGCATTGAAAAGCAGCTTCAGAGTCTCCAACATTGCCATATATACTTGACCTGTAAGTCCTGAACGCTTTGTGTTCTTCGCTTGTTCTGCATGACGAGCTAGCCTTTGGACAATGCTCTCAGCTAAGCCATGCTCGGTGACCAAAGTTTCCATATCGATGCCGGGGTCGTAAGTTAGAAGGAACATAATCCGAGATAGTAAAAACTCCTCGTCCTCATCCGCATCTCGGAGGGCATCAGCTGCCTGCTTGTCGAAGCCGAGCTTAAGCAAGTACTTGCGGGTTTCCGGAAGCAACAGAAGCGCATTAGCAGTGCACCTGAGTGCCTCATGTCTTATTGATGGAGGGAAGTCTCCAAAGGCATAGCTTCCCAAAGTTTTCATCCCATCGGCATCATAAATGGCAGACACGTTGTTCGCATCTCGCCCGAGTACCTTCAGCTTCGCCAAGGCTTCTTCCAGCTGCTTGTGCTCATTTGTCTTGGATCCTAGGGATTCCGTCAGTAGAGCGAGCAAAGCTCGAGCCTCGTTCTGCTGGGGTTGACTTGGCATAGTTCAAGAGCAGAGGCTATTCTGAGTAGGATGGAGTATCGCACAACTCAGGAGGAGTTTGAGACTCATAAGCCTCGAGCCAAGCGATCAAAAGCACAGAGTTCCTCTCTTGTGTTGTTTTGTGATTGATATCAGGTGAGGTTGAGGTGAAGCAACTTGGATAATTAGCTCGCTTCTAGACGCGCACGGTCGAGTGGAGCACACCGTCGAGGCTAAGCTCAAAATAGCTAGTCGGACTTCACGAACTAAATGGGAGCCGCGTCTCGACGCGTTCGCCAGAGTTACGAGGCTGGGATGATCGTGGTGCACTCCAGCTGCATCAACGGCTTTCTCAGTCCTATGATTTCCTATACCACTGCCTGGAGTTCTTTGCCCCCTCGGGAGTGATGGAAGACTGCAGGCAGTCTCAGAAACCCTCAGACCTTGCTGTCCGTCGATGACATTGAGAAAGACAACCAGCGGTTCGCTTCCACCATGTCGATTCACGATGTACTACCGCTTAGTCCTCCGTCAACATCTTCTCGCCGTAAAATAGCGCTGATGAGCTCTTCGATCAGGAGCACAAGTCCTTCAAGTCCTCCAGCATCGTTTCCGGGCTCTTCACATACCGGAAGTCGGAAACGTGTCGGGTTTTCGACGGGTCCAAACGCCCAGGGCCCTATATCTACGAGTCAGCCTCCTTCAAGCGGTGCTAGACCACCATTCACCTCCTCAGACTCTCACTCGGGCCTAAGATCGATCCTCAAACCAGTTACAGTCTTGGAGAAGACGGCACAGAGAACAGATGGGTTGCAGGATGGCAAGCGTTCAATGGTTGCAATGATGGACAGCTTCATCGAACAGTTGTCCCATGATGACAGATCACTCTCCCTCGACGCATATCAGACGCTTGCCAATGTCATCAGGAACTACGATGACATCCCGGACGAAGATGTGCTCAAGGCAAAGATCAATACGTTTATGAGATACATCAAGCGAGACTTGCTCAGGAAGCCCTCTCCGGAGGAACCACCCATTGCTGACACGAATCTCATAACACAAGCATTGAGATTACTCATTATATTTGTTTGGAACAAGGACTATGCGTCTCTACTATCGGATGATGCCCGTACCTTCGTCCTCGATCGGTCAATCCAAGTGCTTGCGGAGCATGCTGCGTCAAAAAATATCCTCGTCCACTACCTTCATCTCCTTGCGGCGCAAAACTTCCGCCAGAGCCTCATTACCAGCCACCGCGTAGCGAGGCTTCTCGAAGCGTTGAGAGCACTGGGCGAGCATTACAAGGGAAACGGGATCATTTCTGAGAAGTTGCTCGTCTATCAGAAACTCCTTGACCAGGAACGGCCCACCATGAAGGCGAAGGCGAGCCTCTGGGTGGACGAGCTGCTCACTGGTGCAACCAACAGCATAAAGGACGTCAGAATGAAGGCCATCGACCTTGGCGAAAAAGCCTGCTCGGCGTTTCCCGCATCTTCATCCATTTCTTCTGTCATCAGATCTACCCTTGCCAGAGAACTTGGATCCGGAAAGACATTCAGCGCCAGCATGTGTCGAAAACTGGAGAAGATGATTGCGGTAAAAGAAGAGGGCGTCCAAGTCCCGCGGATATGGACTATCGTCCTACGGCTCTGCAATATCGTCGATGGCCGTGGCCGTAACGGCTGGGGATCGCGGTGCGACAAGTGGCCTCAATTCAAAGATTGGCTGAGTGTTATACAAAAATGCTTTAACTGCAGTGAATCGGCAATCCAGCAACAAGCGTACCAGGCTTGGAATCGGTTCATACACATTGTTCAACCTCATCTAGCATCCGATAACCTGTTGCAACTGCTGCCAAAGCCTATGACTGCTAAGTTAGAGCGCCACGGAGGAGAGGCGGCAATAAAAGGCACTCGTGTGGCGGCGGTGTCAAGTTACTGCACCCTACTTTATCATGCTTTCAGACCAGCAGCAAATCACCATCAGTATACTCGGGTCTGGAACGAATACATTGTGAAGGTCATGAAGTCCGCATTTTTCGAAAGAGGTACCGCCAACTCCGACCTTGCAAGTCGTATCTTGATGGCGTTGTTTTGGAATGCTGGAGGAGCGAAGATTTGGAACGAGAATCGCGCCCTCGAGAACACCCCGGTCGAGCCAGAAGAGCTGCCTACAATCGATTGCAAGTGGGTACGCTCGAAAGCAAGACCGATCCTCGATATTTTCCTGGTGCTGCTCCGCTACAGCTCTTGGGGAGCTTCAGGGCAATCTGACAAGGCACACATTGCCGTGGCTTGGCTGCATTTCCTCAAAGCTGTTCAAGAAGCATGTCGCAAGGAGATTAAGCCCTCCGCTGAAACAGTGGTGGCCATGGTTTACGTGAACACCTTTCTCGGGCGTCTCTACCTGGATATGACCCATCCCAGAGATGGTGATGGTCAACCAACACAGCCACATAAACTCAGCAACGCTCAAGTACGCCAGCTGACTGTGACTGCTATCAAGCTACTCGGTCCCGATCTGATAATGGCTGGTCTTGAAGACCAAGGCTACTGCTTGAGTAAAGCTTTGGTTATTTATGACTCTCTACGATTCCACCTTCTAGAGCAACAGCGAAGTGACCAATCAACCACGACGAGCTTAGAAATATGTCTCAATTCTCTGGACTTAGCATTGGTGAACAGCTTTAAGTCCCAAACGACTTCTGTGACAAACGAAAGCATTAGCCAGCTGCAGAAAAGGCTGGAAGGATCATCTGTCGGCCAGATTGTCCACACTTTGACTCTGCTTAAGCGACCCACTGTATTGTTTTTGAAACAAGATATCTCGGGTTGGCAGGACAAAGATGAACACGACCCCAGTGGACGGTATCCAAGGATCATTACAGCTACTTTGACACTTCTGACCAGACTGCCCATCGAGGCTATCGGTGAGTTGGATGAGACTTTCGCGGCTCTGTTCAGCAGCAATCATAGTCTTGTGGTCCAGGATACTGTCGATATGTGGAACCAGCAATTTGGAAAGCTACCCTCGCTAAGTCCTGGTCCTATATTGACAGAGGCTCTGATCAAGCTACGAGACGCTGGCGTTAAGATCACCGTCCCAAGCAGCTTGCACGCCCGAAATGCCGCAACTGAGCAAGACATGTCGCCACAAGCTACACCAGAAGAGGACCATGGAACGACCTCCAGGCATACGTCAACCAGCCCAACAGCAGCAATAACAGGCGCCGACCGATCCCCAGAATTAGGTAGCCAACATTATCATAGTGTTGCGCCAGAGGAAAGCCCCCTCACGGGCTCAAGTCCTAATCGACCAATTTTGCGGCCACGCTCGAGGCACGATGATTCTCAGGTTAATTTCGTGCCAATCGAGTCATCTCCTCTTCCGCAAGAAGAACCAGAAGCTCAGCTCTTGACCACACGCCAAAAGGAAGTCCGCGACCGACTGCGTTCGGAGCCCGCTGTTGTATTTCCGGACCTTAGATCGAGCCCAAGGCCGCATGCTAGATCAAGCACTCACACTGACTGCGAGTTCGCACGGAAGGCAGCTTCTCAGGCAGAACGCCCGTCAACACCGACCTTACCAACGCATGATGAACAAATCGGGACTGAATTGATGGCCTCTCCCACGCCTCGGGCGAGACACTTTACCAACCTGATTCCTGATCTTGAAGTCCCTTCGTCACCGCCTTCGATGGTGGGCAATGATGACCGGACCGATGTCAATTCTTCTCCGCTCCTTGCCGTCTATGGTGATGCTGAGGACAGGATTGATCTTGCGATTGAGCAGGTTGAGGTGGCAGACGAGCATAATGCAGTAGAGCTACGTCCTTCTGCGGCGATTGAAACTGTTGCCTTCAAAGATGCAGCCTCCCTCGGACAAGAAGGATTTGTCACCAATATCGCTGATGCTAGCGCTGGGGAAACCGTCGAACAATTCCAAGACAGCCAGACCAAGGAACGCACGGGTTCGACGGTGGCTGAGTCAAACGATGAAGCTAGTGACGCCAGGCACCGAAGACACCACCCAAAGAAGCACGCCACCAACGCAAATGATTTTGCTGCGGTATCATATAGTGGGAGATTGAGGCGTGGGAGATCCCGTCTCGGCCTCTCAAAATCTCCGGCACAACATATCGGCCAGCGAGCATCAAGGGTTGCCTCCAATTCTCAAGTGCAGAGTTCCAGTCCTCCACCGTCAGATATCTCCGACGCTCCAGACGCACAGAAAGACCTGGAACAGGCACACCAGGATGGTACACGTGGCCATGTCGAAGAGGATACAGCGCCATCTTACGCAACGGTTTCTCCCTCACTGAGACCAATCACGATCAACTTAGCATCGGACAGCACGACAACAGAGGAAGCCGAGCAAAGGGAAGCAAGCGCAACGAAGCCTGTCGCAACGGATAGCGACGAGATTGATATGCTTAGTGCTTCGCAACTGTCTCATGATCTCGACCTGCATGTCAGCCAGACGGTTGGCGACGAATCTCATGTGGCATCAGGGACCGATGGAGAACCAAAACAGAAAAAGCAGAGATCCCGCAAGCGCAAATCAAGCACACAGTATTCTACTGGAGTCAAACGCAGGAAATCAGTAAAAGCTTCCCTACAGTCGACTGCAATAGGCGCAGAAATCGCCGCAGATGAAATTCCAGGGGAGATTCTTGGCTGCAATGAGGTTTCACCCTCGCAGGAGGATCAAGCTATTGCCCCAGTACAGCTCAGCGAGCCGACACTGACGCCTAGACAACGCCGAGGCCGGCCACGGAAACGGACTTTGATTGAGGTCATTGTGCCGGGGACACCGCGAGTCAAAGAAGGGGAGGTGGATATCACCGGAGTCTCTGCTGCTTTATCACTGCACAATGACGAGGAAGAGGTTGATAACACTCTCGATCGAGAAGTTGAGATCCGCGGAGCAACAAATACAATGGTGACTGACTTTACAGGGTTGACTACGACTGGTGGTGCCGCTGAACTGGCAATAGGAGACCGAAGCAGTCCCCCTGAAATCGTGGCTTCGCTTCAAGGTGTCCTGGATCGTCTCAAATCTGCCGACCCGAGGGATTTAGACTTAAGACGCGTGGATGATCTGTGCTTCCAGATCCGGTTCCAAGCCCAGCTTATCATCCAACAACGAGGAGCTTGACGGAGAGTTACCCAGACTCTCGCAGAAGGGCGACCAGACCATCGAGACCTGAGACCGCAGCGATTCTGCATGGATGCTGGGAGGAGCTCTTCTCCACGTGGTTGAGATGGAACACGACCATGGGCTTGCATCGAGAGCATGGCCAGATTTTATACTTTGTAGTTCAGAAGACAAATATATTGTCTAGGGATGGCGGCTCATGGCCTCCCCGGTAGAAGGTTTTCCCACACAACCACAGCACGTGACATTTTGCGGAGATTCCCCTAAACGCCGGACTCATCGCTGCTGCGCCCATCCCCATTTTCTCATCGCAACGGGTCCGACCACCGAACGCAGCTTGTTGAGTCAAACAGGCCTCACTTCCACCTCACCTCACCTGGTCCTCCCGCCCTTCTAACCCGAACACCGTTGTATCACCCACCCTGCGAACGGTATTGCTTGGAGTTGTTTGGAAGAAGAGACACCGGAGAGATAGAGCATAGAGAACAACAGCCGCGACAATGGCCGCGACCATCAAAGCAATCAACGCGCGGATCCGCTCCAACAAGGTTCTGGATTACTTCTGCTCAACACGTACGTCTCTCGAGATAAGAATATCCCTCCCTGCGCAGAAAGAAACTTATCGGCGGATGAGTGATTACCACTGCACATGAGCCACAGGAGGAGGACGAGGAGGAGCAAGAGAGATGACTAATTCTGCGTGTTCCTTGGTGGACGGGACGTGAGAAGATAAACAGTTGACTGACTGACTGGTGCTCTGGTGTGCAGATTTCTGGGGTCCAGCTTCGAATTTTGGCATTCCTATCGCCGCGGTGTTGGATACACAGAAGGATCCTGAAATGTATGTGCGCACCATGTCCACTATGACCGATGGCCCTCTATCTGTGGCACATGCCTTCTCTACGTGCGGAGCGGACGCTCCTCCCCAAGACCCTGAGACGGGACGCTAATACCATGGTGATCAACAGCATCTCCGGCAAATTCACCGCCGCATTGACCGTTTACTCGGGCACATTCATGCGCTACGCCCTGGCCGTGACGCCCAAGAACTACCTCCTTTTCGCGTGCCATTTCGTCAACTTCAACGCGCAGCTCACGCAGGGGTACCGGTGGTATGATTACTGGTAGTAAGTAAAGATATACTGTTCCTACATACCTACGCGCAGAAAGAAAAGCACCATCTGGGGAATACCACGCCGCATGAGCGAGAAAATCATGGACGTATTTTCAGATATCAGTCTAACGTTGCTGCTCTACTGTACAGTGGCTCCGGCAAGGAGAAATGGGCCAAGATCCACGCGGAGCGGGCCAAGAATGACCTCGAGGGCACGGTCGACAATCTCGCGAGCCAGACAAAGGTGAAGGTCCAGGATGCGGTGCAGGAGGTCAAGAAGACGGTGTCGTAGATCGCCATTGGGCGATGGGGGAACAGCTGAAGTGGTATGCTGGGAAGGCGTGCGCCGAATCACTTGTTGTGTCAAGGGAGGACATTGGATTTTGGTGGCTCCCGCCATGACGCCGAAACAGGTGGACGCAGGTGCCCTGGCAGTGAGGAGGCAGTGTATCGCCGCCCTTGGCGGTATCGGTTGGCGTGCTGTCACTGGACAGGCTCATGAGGACTAAAAGCCGCCGGGGAAAAGGACCAAGATTCATATCAGCAGGAGCGGGACTACGTATCCCACATTCCATTTCGATCACAATTCTGAGTTACTTTCTAGTGGCCGCGAGAGTCGGCGTGCGCGAATGGTCTGGAGGGATGAATATACAGGACTCTTTCTGCCTCGTTCGTTGATGTGCTTTCCCCTTGAAGAGAAGAACTCCTTGTGACCTTGGAAACTTCAGCCACGCAGCAAGCCAATACCTACGCTCTGGCCCTTGGTCATTTGGGTCGGATAACGCATAGTCCCGAGTAGTTGCCTTGATTGACATGCAGAGCTACCGAGGGAAGGAAAAAGGGAAAGGGGGTGCCTTGATGGTGGTCCCGAGTATGAGATGAGACACGGCTGCTTAACAGCGACAGCCTCCCCGGATCTACAAGGCATACTAAAACGGTCTATTTCTGCTACAGTATCAAATGATCTTTCACCCGTATAAGACAGCTCATAAGCTTAAGCAACACCTCCCCTTTTCCTACTGTATCTCGTCTCGCAACGATCAGCCACGACGTCAGAAACCGAAGAGATCAATGCAATGAGAACATGAGAGACAACTAAATGAAGACAGTGGGGCTTGTGGTACGCGTGCGTTGGCCAGTGGACGGTCGAGTACACATACACCTATGGGCCTAAGATACCGCTCCATTGCCGTTACGCCCAAGAGTAATGCAACCACCAAAACCCCCCAATGCCACGTGCAGTCCAGAGGAAGCCGAAGGTGTAATTAGACCGTGGGGACGACCAAAAGGTGCTTGAGGGATGCCCAGTCCCAAGTGGCCGTGTCTGCCAGAGGTGGGGATATCGGCTACATAAGCGCCTCTCAATGAATTGGCGTTCTTTCTCGTTCAACGTCCTGGCTACGGGCGGTTGGAGGATAGTCAGGGAGACACTGAGAGGAGCCATGAAGGCGAGGGTAATCGTAGGGAGACCTTCAGGGAGGAACAACCACCTCTGTCTGGGGAGAGACCGTCCACCAGAGCGATGGCATACACGAGCAGGCGCTTAGGGCGCTGTGAAGCTGTCCGACAGAGTAGGACAGGGGCAATCTGCCAGGGCATTTCGACCTTCAAGGAGGAACAACCTTCTCCATCAGGGGAGACCGCCAAGACCGTCCATCAAAGAGATGGCATAGGCGAGCAGACCGTTTAGGGCGCTGGAAATTTGTCCCGACAGAGTAGAACAGGACCATCCGCCAGGCACTTCGGTCGATGCGGTCGATGCTACAAGTCCTTAATCCCGCCCCAGCCAGACCGTTCGCAAACCGTGCGCACATCATGCCCCTGGAAGTTCTGCACAGCAGCTACAGCAAATGTGCAGCAAATGTGCATATGCTATGCCCCAGGCGAGGATTAGGACGGACATCCATCCATCGCGCTCGGGCCGAATGTCTTGGGAGGCACTGTATTCATGGGCTCGAAGATCATGTAGCAGACGAAAAGAGTCCACGCCCACTGGGACGGATCAAGGTGTTGCTGTAAGAGAAATTGGAGTGACTCCATGCCCACCGGAGCGGGTTGAGGTATACTGGAGCTGTTTCTTGATGCTGGTGCCATGTTCGAGGTTGATGATAGCGGCGTTGGAGTAGTTAGCTGGACGAGTCGATGACTCTGAAGATGTTAGACCCAGGATTAAGTAGAATCCGAGCAGCCAAAGTCCGACTTTACGCAAAACCTTTCTGTCCAAAGCTTTGTCGACCTCTTCTTCAAGCACAATTTCACTCTCAGAGACAGACGAAGGGTGGACGACAATGTGGGCGAGCGTTGCACGGATGCTCTTTCTACCAGCCGCCATACTTCGGTCTTCACCTGCGGGTAGGAAAGTGGACTGACCGTACCTTGCTGATCTCGCCACCAGTACACCAAATACTGGGCTGCTTGATCTTAAGTAGGGGAACGACGAACGCTCTGGATAAACCCGTGTCGATGTCGACCGCCGCGACATGAAGGTTCGGGAAGTCAGCAGATTCTCATTGCCGTGCGTACCGCTGCAATACTTCACCATAGCACATCGGCGTACTTGCAATGCCAGCTTTGCAAGGAGGATTGGCCAACAGCACACCAGAGTACTTGCATTTCAGCTTTGCAATGCAGCACTTTTCCATAGCACACGGGAGTACGAGTACTTGCACTGCAGCTTTGCAAGGACGTCTAGTCCATGCCTGGCACATCGGCGTAATCGCGTCGCCTCCTTTACAAGCACGACTGGTGTTCCACGCCGCCACGACAAAGGGCGATGGCGGCATACGCCTCACCTCTCAACGTGCTTCGCGTATGGCCAGGGCAACCTTGGATTCGGCGATATCTTCTCTAGCTTCTAGCACAACCATCTCCCCACGGCTCTGGGCGGATGTGTTTCAACTCTGATGCTGATGCTGCTGCCGATGCTGATTGAATCGGGTGCTCAGATCACCGCACTGGGCGTCGATGGAGCAAAGCATGTGGGCATCGGGCAGGGACGACAGCACGCCCGTCAGCCTGCATAATCACGGTTAGTAATTTCATTACGAGGCGCTTGAGATCTCGCGGACAAGCGCAGCAGAGGAAGTGAGGCTTGAAGCGACCTCTGCAATGTTGGAATCTGCATCTTGTGGTATTGTGCTCGGCGTTCCCGCTGGTCCGGTTAATTAACACATGTATTGAGGCGAGGGCGCTGGCTGGTCTGTTTAACATACGTGTTGAGGTCAGGGAGCTGAGAGTCAAGAGTGAGTTCTACTTAGCTAATTACTCCATACTGTATGTCACTCCAGAAGTCGATGAGCAAGCAGCGTCTGAATCAAGGGAACGGCGGGTGTGGGGAGTATGTATTTGACTCGCTCCCTGATCCAGGACGGCTCCTGAATCATGATTCATGGAAAAGATGAGGCATCACGGACGTCGACGAATGTGAAGAACGGAGTACTACGTATGGAACAGCATAGCTGACCTATTCATACAAGCTGTTCAAGACTAATTATCATATCAGCCTCCAGGGTGAAGTGCCGCCGACCCGTGCTCAGAAGACGATTCAATATCAATATCAGCTTCCCTTCCTTCGCGCCACAGATTCGCCCTGGCCCCAGCCATCCAACTACCCAGGTATCAAGACACTCACCTGCTGCTTCTTGCAAATTCACCACGCCCGGCACGTCTGAATTACCAACACAAATTCTTGTCACAAAAACGCTCCCACCCACATTGCCTCTGTTTACCAGATCCCTCAATCTGACACCCTAACAAATGACCAAATACGCACTGTTTCACCAAATACTGTACCTCAGCTCGACCCCCTGGTGAATTGGTTCCACATGCCCCCCAAGATCCCCGTCCCGGCCTTCTGTTCGGTCCAGCTGGCCTTGCGCTCATCCTGGCTCCCTCGCTTCATGGCCGTCAAGCCCGCGTATTTGTCCGAGGCGGAGGACTACGCGACACAGCGTCAGCGATATGAGCACACACTGAAGCACAAACCGGGTTGAAGCTCAAAAAGGACTGAAGCACAGGGCGGACTGGAGTACAGCCTGGATCGAAGCAGAGGGCGGAATGGCAAGCACAGGCAATACCGGATCCCGTGGGGCGGAACGGCTACAGTAGCACACGTAACAAACAAGTAACAAACAGGACGTAACTACGTACCCTTCTTCGTCCAGCAGCAGCGGCGGCAGCGTTGCCTGCAGCGCCCGTGGCTTCCGTCGTCGTCTTGGGCTCTTCTTTCGGCGGGCTTCCAGACGCAGACCCAGACCCTTGGGACGATTGGCTGTTGCTGCGGGGCTTGTAGTTGTATTGTTTGAGGAACATGGTGAGATGGTGGCGATGCTGAGATGTTGAGAGGTTCGAGGTGGGATACGTTGATGTACGTTGGTTTGGACCCCCTTGTCGGGTGATGTACAGAGTACTGCTGAGATGTGATGGCAAAGTATCAAGCAAGGCTGAATGAAGGGTGTCCTTTTCCGAGGAGGTGCTGGGAGTATCGACGGTGAGGGGATGTTTCTCAGGGACGCGAACTTTTTCCCACGGTGCAAGCTGGAAATCGGTCGTCAAGTCTTCCGACTCGCGAGAGGTGCGAGACAGAGTACTTGTACTTGTATTGTAGGTAGTCGCTGCTTGTGCCTGTGCTGGTACCAAAGCACGTTGCAGGCAGGCCCGCCGATGCGTGTAAATGGTGACGTAGCTGACACGGGGAGCTCGATCAGACGGCCGGGGCGGCGTGGCGGCTCACAGGTGAGGTGATGCCTACTTGCCCTGAGTACGGAGTATGCACGATCGATAGGAACCTTGGGCTTGCCGAAAGTTTCTCTGTTATTCCGTGAAGTACCGTGTACCTGTTGGACGAACCGTGCTGACAAGGTTGAGAAATGGGCGTGATGGTAGACACCAAGGTAGAGGTCACTGGAGCTTGGTGGGCATTTAAGGGCTTATGTACGAGTCCCTACCGCCTGGCCTGCACCAAGAGTCACTCACCTTCTCGGACTCTCGTATTGCTCCTCACACGACCAATCTTGTACGAGTGCGCGAGTGTCTTGCAGCCACAAGCATGCTCGGCGGTTCAGCAGAGTCGAGGCGGGGTACAGTAGGAAGATGCCGTCTCTCAGAAAGGCAGTGGTCGGTCGGTCGCGTGCCATCGCCCAAATCCGATCGTCAGGGATGTGGATGAGGCAACCCTCGCTCGTGGTCCATCGTCCGCAATGGTTTCGACGAATGGTAATCATCGACACTGGAATACAGCCCCAGAAACCCGCATGGCGAGCTGTACCCCGCGCTTCCTGTGTGCTCGCCTGCACGGTGATTGACGACAGAGACAATTGTAAGCACCTCTAGCCCTTGCAAGGTCATCGTGTTGGCCTATCAGCGAGAAGAACAGTAGGCCTCAAAGGCAGACAAATGCACTGTCGCTCGTTGGTGGAGGCCCATCTTTTCACATGCAAGTTCCACACCATCCAGATTGTCAGTATCAACATCTTATCACCAACATCGGAGCAAAGGCTCCATTTTGGGCCATCATGATTCATTCGATGCTGCCTCGAGTATAACAATACTGGATCACGCCTGAGGTTGATAGTCACTTCCTGGTCCTCCATACTGGGTCCTTTTGCCAGTTACACACCCGCGTTCATGCCTTTGCGATCTTGCAGACCAGGTCGGAACCAGCGACAGAGTCGCCTTCCTTGACGAGGAGCTCCCCGACCTTTCCGGAATGTGGAGCGCTGATGACCATTTCCATCTTCATGGCACTCAACACCGCAATCGGGTCGCCCTTTTTGATGTCGTTCCCTTCCTTTGCCCTGACTTCTACCACCACACCGGCCATAGGTGCACCAACCTGGCTGCTATCACCCGGATCGGCCTTGGGGCGAGATGTGTTCTCCACGGCGGCCTTGTTGTCGTCAATCGTGACCTGTCGGACTTCGCCATTGACCTCGTAAAAGACTTCACGTTGACCGGTAGCCTCTGACAGCGGTCCCACCGCCAGCAACTTCATGATCAGGACCTTCCCTTTCTCCAGCTCGACGTGGAATTCTTCGCCGATTTCCGGCCTGTTCAAGAAATACTTGGTCGGCAGCACCGAGAGATCCCCATACTTGTCCAGGAACTTGCGGTAGTCCTCGAAGACCTTTGAGTACATGACATAACTGGCGATATCTGTTTCCGCGGTGGTGTTGTATTTCTCCTTCAATTCCTGACGGACTTTTGCAAAGTCGATGGGGTCGAGGTAAAGGCCGGGCCTCTTTGTCATCTTGCGTCGACCGCGGAGGACATTACTTCGTAGCGGTTCAGGGAACCCGCCGTACGGCTGGCCCATGTAGCCCTCAAAGAACTCCAACACAGACTCCGGAAAGTCAAGTTCCTTGGCTTTGGCAATGACACCGTCGTAGTCGAGCTTGTTCGACACCATGAATTGTGCCAGGTCACCGACGACTTTGGAAGTGGGTGTGACCTTGACAATGTCGCCGAGAAGAGCGTTGGCTTGTTCGTAGGCCTTCTTGGTTTCAAGCCACTGAGATCCAAGGCCAAGTTGAGATGCTTGGAAGATCAAGTTGGTGAGCTGTCCGCCGGGAATCTCGTGTTCGTACCTTTTGATGTTAGCAACAAACGGGAGATGAGAGAATGAGCGAACTCACACTTCTGGGTCCGGCCCAGTCAGACCAGCCTCGAATGGCGAGTAGACGAGCCTCAATTGAGACCAGTACTGATCGAGGGCTCGGACGTTGTGGCCATTCAAGCCTGGATCATAGTCTGTTCCCTCGAGCGACGCAAGGATAGCCCCAATGCTTGGCTGGCTCGTCATACCAGACATGCTGTCTGTCGCCGCATCAACAGCATCGGCGCCTGCTTCAGCACAGGCAACCATACTCGCCACGCCGGTGCCAGCGGAGTCGTGCGTATGAACATGTATCGGCAGATCTGGGTATTTGGCACGGATGCTACCGACGAGAATACGGGCAGCCTTGGGCTTCAGAACGCCAGCCATGTCTGCATTTTGATCAGCACGCGAAACACGTATGGGAGGAAAAGAAGCAGACCTTTGATCCCAAGGATGTGAGTGCCAATGTCCACGATCTTGGACACTAAGTCCATATAATATTCCAGGTTATACTTCTTCTTGGGGTTCTGATAAAAGAGTTAGAATTTAACCAATATAAACAGACCAAATGATAGGAAGGGAAAACGACGTATCCAGCGACAGGGGACGTTATATCTGTAAAGAGAGAACCAATATCCCAGAATTTCGACCCAACGACGACAAGAAGGCTGGGAAAGACAGGGGGTAAAAGGAAAGGGGTTGGACATACCAACATATCACCTGTAAAAAGAGTTAGTTAATCGCTTCAACCAGCAGCAAGCGGGCTTCAAACTTACCTGAGTAGCAAATCGTTCCTTCAACGACACCACCGGCCTCTTGCACGGCTCGCATACCGACCTCCAATTGTTCGATGTCGTTAAGAGCATCAAACACGCGGAAGATATCCATCCCATTCTTCTTGGCTTGCTTGCAGAAATGATATATGGCGTTGTCGGGAAGCGACTTGTAGGCGACGCCGTTGGCCCCGCGGAGCAACATCTGGAACGGAATGTTGGGCACCAGCTTCCTCATCTTACGCAGTCGGTCCCAAGGATCCTCGTACAAAAAGCGCATTGCTACATCAAAGGTAGCGCCACCCCAATTCTCCAGGGCCCATGCGTTGGCGAGCGCATGACTTGTGTGTTTGGCAATGTTGCACAAATCAACGGTGCGGACTCGAGTGGCCAACAGAGACTGGTGAGCATCGCGCCAAGTCGTGTCCATGAGGAGGCACCCTTTGTTTGCCCGTACGGCTTTGGCAAAACCTTCTGGGCCCTCTTTATCGATGATGGACTTCCATCCTTTGGTGCATGGCTGCTCGACGTCGATCTCCTTGCCATTTTCGTCAAGGAGTGTCGGAAAGATGATGTCGCCCTTGAACTTGGACTCTCCGATCTGGCCCTTGATACTACTGCCGTTGACTGCGAGATCACCCAGGTACTGGAGTAATTTCTGAGCGCGATTCTGACTGCCAATCAACCTGAACAGCTCGGGAGTATCGTCAATGAAAGTCGTCCAACAGGTGCCCTCGATGAACGTAGGGTGGGTCAGAAGCGAGGCCAAGAAGGGAATGTTGGTCTTGACACCACGGATGCGGAATTCGACCAGGGCCCGGAGCATCTTTCTCCGGACTATCTCGTAGGTGGAGCCATGGCAGGTACATTTGACCAACATGGAATCATAATGAGGGGTAATAATAGCCCCAGCAAATCCGTTACCACCGTCAAGACGAACGCCGTTGCCGCCTGCAGATCGGTAGACCTCGATCTTGCCCGTGTCTGGGGAAAATCCATGCTGTGGATCTTCGGTTGTGATACGGCATTGAATGGCAAAGCCACGGGTGGAGATACGATCTTGGGTCAATCCCAGCTGCTCAAGGGAAGCACCGGCAGCGATCTGGATCTGAGCCGCCACAATATCGATACCTGTGATCTCCTCGGTAATGGTGTGCTCGACTTGAATTCGAGGATTGATTTCGATGAAGTAATATCGGTTCTGCTGGTCGACCAGGAACTCAGCAGTACCGGCATTACGGTAGTTGACCGACTTGGCGAGCTTGACTGCGTCGTTTAGGATGGCGTCTCTCGTTTCGGCGGGTAGATCTTTGGCAGGAGCAAGCTCCACGACTTTCTGGTGTCGTCGCTGAACGCTGCAGTCTCGTTCGTATAGGTGAACCACATTGCCGTGGTTGTCGCCCAGCAGTTGGACTTCAATGTGCTTGGGTCTGTCCAAAAAGCGCTCCACGAAGACTGTGCCGTTGCCGAAAGCTGACTTGGCTTCCGAGGTAGCTCGCTCGAAGGCGTCCTTGAGGCTTTCCTGGTCTCTGACGACTCGCATACCACGGCCACCTCCACCAAACGCAGCTTTGATGATGATGGGGAAGCCGTACTCATCAGTGAATGCCTTGACTTCCTCGAACTTGGCCACTGGACCCTCGGTTCCCGGCACGCAGGGCACATCGCACTTCATGGCCAATCTTCGAGCAGACACCTTGTCTCCCAGCGACTCAATGACCTGGTAGGAGGGGCCCACGAAGATGATGCCGGCTTCCTCGACCTTGCGGGCGAACTCGGAGTTCTCAGACAGAAAACCGTAGCCAGGATGGATCATCTGAACGCCATGTGCCAGAGCAATCTTGATGATCTCCTCCCCAGCCAGATAGGCACCAACCGGGGTGTATTGGCCTCGCTTGCCGATCATGTAAGCTTCGTCCGCCTTCTGTCTATGCATGCCCAGTCGATCCTCGTAGCTGTAAACTGCCACGGTCTGTAGCGAGAGCTCGTGGGCCGTTCTGAAGATTCGAATGGGGATCTCGCCTCGGTTGGCGACGAGGATTTTCTTGAGTTGCATTATGGACGAGTTGGCCCTCAGCCGCTGGTGGACTGAGTGCTCGAGGTGGTGGGATCTACCATCCTCATGGTCTCCATCATTGCCGTTGGTGGCCATAGTGGACGTTGCAGGTGAAGCCTAGCTGCTGGCAAGGGCAGCTTCAGGCGATGAAGCTCGTCCGATCACAGGCAGACCACAATATAGCTGGCAGGAGGGCAGCAGGAGAGGACGGGGGAGGGGTGGAGGAGAAAACAGCTCGGCGTGTAGATCGAGTGTGCAGGACGAGGCTTTTGACAGGATGGACCGCCAGACCACAACCGCTCTTACGTCGACGCCAGGGGAAACAGATAATGGGGAGCACCAAAGCACTATGTCGCTAGAATGAGCTCTGGTCTGACGACGATAAGCTCGAGGATTGGTGGGAAGATGGGGGTGGGACGCTGCACACAGGCTTTTGTAATTAGGTGCGAGATACGAATATGCAGCTGGCTGGCTGCAGAGCTTCACTTCTGTCACCGAGCCGCGGATTGAGGGGCAACAGCCGTGACTGACGCTCCGCGGTGTAGTTTCGGGCTCACCAAGCTAAGCTTGACCGGAAATCCGACCTTCACCAGCAGCGGCGGTGACACGCCCAAACCTTCTCGGCTATGCTCTCAACTAGTTACAGATTGTTGATCGGGATTTTGCGCAAGCTGCCTTGGAGAGCATGATCATCGACAGCGCCGATCACAGTCAACTCCCCGTCAATGTGGGGTGGGCATTCTCTCGCGAGCCTCAGACGCTGCTCCGGCAACAACAACATTGCCCCGAAAAATTGCCTGGCTCACCACCAGCTCCCCAACCTGTTCCACAGGTTTAGAAGCCTCGTCGACGGGGAACGACATGGACACAATTGGGTGAACTGCGCTGGTGCCGTCGTTGGTGGCTGTCTCTCATCTGCCACGCCAGACATCACGGAACCACGTCACCTTGACGCCGCGCTGATAAGGCTCGATAAAGCCGCTTTGCGAACCAGCCTCACGACTCGCTACTCCCCACAATGCATGGCTTGGCACTGGCGAGATAGAGGAATTACAGCAAATGAATAAGTCATCCACTCGCTTATCTTTTACTCGTCGACTTGAAGCATCGAGCTTTGTTTCTTCAGCTGTTATCAGTCACAACTTGATGTCGCTCCCCACAAAAATGGCGGGAGGATCATTGAACCACACTAGCCCTCTAGCTTGCTACCTACGTACATCATACAACAGGGAAAGTGGCGCCTGGAGAATATGCATTGACACCTGTTTCCAGCATGCTCATCGCATTGTTTAAACGCGGTCCTCCCCGTATTTGCTCCCACAAAATCCCATTTCCTGAACAACTCGGATCGCTGCGCTTTCGATGGCGCTCATACCCTTCTTACCCGACAATTCCCGAGGCTAGTCACTCCGCAGACCGGACACCTAGAATGCCCGAGGGAACCCAGTGGGTTGCGGCGTGATTCCATTAGTGTGTCCATACGCCGTGGGCTGTGGTGCCATGGGTCCTTGTGTCAGCATCAGCCGGCTGCCGATGATTGGCGTGTTGTCCTCGGTTTGTTGCTGACTAGTCTCCTTGGCCTTGCGTTCCTCGTTGTCTTTCCGTAGTTGTTCGATGGTTGCGGCTTGCTGGCTCATGTAGCTGATCATGAATGGCATGGTGAAGTCGTTAAGCCCATGTCGCCACGAGATCTCCATCACTGTAGCCAGCGGAATAAGGTCGTAGCACGCGTACAGCATGCCAACGTAGCACTCCCGGCTGCCAATATCGACGAACTGGTGATAGGTCAGTACGACTTCCCTTCATTGAATAGGAGGAACTTACATATCGCAAAAGGTCTTCCACCACCTCGGTCTTGCCAGACATGGCCGCTGTCTCGATAGCATCGCGGAACAGCTTGTCTTGCTTCGACAATGCGATCGACTTTTCCCACCGCTTGTTCTTTCGATAGATCTGAGCTGCAATCTGGCGGAAAAACACTAGTTCGTGTTTCTCAAGACGTTGCGCAAGCTCCACAGCATCGTAATTGTCGTAGTTCTCTACAGAGTCTTTCAGGGTCTTGTAGTCTTCTTCCTCAATGAGAAGATTGTGGATCGCATTGTTGACGACGCGCTTGTTCTGGCCCTGCACATTGAGCAAGAAAGGCTTGATCAGAGGCGTGTTGTCGGATTTCTCAAACATGCGCACGACGCGATTGACATCGATGCGTGGTGTTAGAGCCTGCAGCAAGTCCGTCAACAAGAGGGGCTGCTCCTGGAGATAGTGGTTGAGAGCTCGGTAGTAAATCTCCAAGTTGGCGACCTTGACGATCACGTCTTTGAATGAGTGGTGTTCCCAGGCGTCGGCGGCACGTTCCATCATGGCCAGAGCTGTGGGTCTTCATTAGCCTGTACCAACTGTAATAGCGCTGCGCAGAGACATGAGACTTACCAGCGTTGTCCCATTCGTCATAATGGCAGTACAGGAAGATGAGCTCGGGCCAGAGATGTGCGTCCTCGGTGGCTTTGATCATCTGCCATCATGGTCAGCCTGTACTTTCGGTAGAGCAATAGCCTTCACGTTACCTTTGGAATATTTATGCGACTCCAGAACAGCTTGAGATGCTCCATCACACGTTCAGGATGATATTTGGACAAAGCGATCCCCAACTCTGAAAAAATACCCATGTGTGCCCGTTCAAGACCAAGGCCGGCCTCGAGTAACGAGATTAGCTCCTCGAAGTAGCCTTCTCGTTCATACTGCTTGACAACATCTTGCAATTCTTCGGCGTGGACAATGAGATTGAGACCACAGATTTGAGCCAGGCGGAACTCTTTCTTTGCGACACAAGCCTCATTGACTTGTTTCCACACCTTGACGCTGTTCGCACGTCGAGCACAATCGACGGCATTCTGGTATTCACCGAGATGCACGAGTGTCGTAGCGAGCTTGGCCCAGTTTGAATTGCTGGTGAAGAAAACTTTAGCAGCTTGATGGTAGCCCTCCTCATAGGATTTGTCGCCGCAGGCCTCAACGTCAACGACATTGGCAGAGCGCAAGAAGTCTTCAAGCTCAGGCAGTTGATCGAGCCGGGCATAGCTGAAAGCAAGTGCAGTGTCAATGGCGGGTTCGCGTTGCGTCTTTCTCGCCATCTTCAAGAAACGCACAAGATCCTCATCCTTGCCTGCGTGGGTAGCGGTCTCAATCACTTCATTGTAGTTTGAAGGATCCTGTGCTCTCAGGTATGACTCGATGGCGTCGGTAATGCGCAGGCCATCGAGTTGAGCTTTGGCGACTTTGCTCCAGACTTCTGGCAAATCGACTCTTTCAGCGTACTCTTGAGCACGGTCAATGCTGACAATGTGGTCGACTAGGACATTAGCCGCCGAGACGTGGTCGTTGGTCTTCTCATAGATCGCCAGAGCTTCCTCGAATAAGCCCTGTTGAATGCACGAACTGGCAATCTCTTCGGTGCTGAACTCGTTCAGGCGGGAGATGTAGTCCATGAGACGCCCTTTATCACTTTTCGTTGCTGTCAACAGAAGGAGGTTTTGGAGGCTAGCATTGTCGCTGAAGATTGTTGGCTCAAGAATCAACTTTTCGAGGAGCTCAATGAGTTCCCCGGGCAGGTCGGCGTCTAAGAAGGCTTTGACAGCCACGGCAACTTTGTCTGGCTCGGTACTTTCCGGTGCAGCAGTGGCGATGACTTGGTCGATGAGGGATCTTCGGTGAGGGTTGTTGGCAGCCAGGACGAAACTCCAGACCTCAGGGTCGGCACGTTCGAGAATATAACGTGCCTGAGCGCGGTACATGCCGTTTTCGTTCGTCACGTTGATGAGCTCAATATCATTTTGTCCTTTACGATAGGCGATGAATGCGAGATTCGGATCGCGCTTCTCGCAGTATCTCCCAATTGAGAGTGTATCGTAAAGATCATTTTCTTTCAGGAATTTTTCCGGATCATGGTTCGAATCTTCATCCGAATGAGTTAGCACGGATATAATAGGGCGATCGTAATGACAGGGCAATTTTTATAGGACAAGGATTCCAAAGCTGCCACTTCGACTCTGAGGGCAAAATGTAGGGGCGGTGGTAGATAAACGAAGGAGGGACTGACCGATATAGATCTTGGCGAGCGCATTGTACACTGCAGCTTGCTGATTTCCTGCTGCCAATGTAGCCTCGAGAAAGGGCAAAAGTATCTTGAGACGGTTTTGATTCTCAACCTCAGTGACCAAATCCTGCATGGGGACTGCTGCGGGATCCACTGATGCCAACAGACTCTTGATGATAGACTCTTCGCAATCGAGAGCGAGCAAGGCTCCAACGACGGCTGGCGTCCGCGCAGGATTTATGCGTTGCACATATGCCTCGATGCTTTTGTATTGTTGAGAGCGATACAAGTGAATCACAAGGTCCTTGACAAAGTTGTGTCGATCACAGACGATGATCAATGGAAGCTGTTCAGCTAGACGTGCTTCGATAAGGAAGTTCTTGACTTTTTCAGGGTTCTGCTTCATGTTAGCCTCCCGGAACTATATCGGGACCACTAGCAACTCGGACTCGAGGTAACCGGAGTCAGGTCCTAGGGGTGTACTCACGTAGTGGTTGTTCTCACGAACGATGCGTTCCACTTCCTGAAATTGCTGCATGGTGACCGCAGCTTCGAGATATTTGAATACGACATTCTCGTCCTCGCTGAGGTTCACAATGCTTCCAAGGTAGTAGTAGAGACCTTCTGCGGTGCGGTGCTTCTCAAATAGTGCGATGAGACGACTGGAACCCAGCAGGTCCGAGTACTTGGTAGCAATTTGTACCACAGCCGCCAGGTTCTGACGAATGTTCGATGATAACATTGCATCCATGCTGTCAAGTGACTGTTCGACTGACATGCGGCCGAAATATTGTTGGAGCCACTCCGGGTTGAGCTTGTCGGTCTGAACAATGATGCGCTTGATTGATGCCGGGTCGTCAGTGTTCTCGAGAGCGCGCTGCAGGAGGCCAGCCTGTTCGCAAAGCTGAGCGATTCTCGCCTTGTCATAATGAGAAAACATCTCGTTGCCGAGAATGGCATCCGCAACTTGTGGTGCGTTGATCAGGTTCATCTCCAGAAGCCGAGTCTGTAGAGGTCCTTGCTCTGGTTGGTTATCCCTGAGAGCATCGAGCAGAAAGGCGGTGGCTTGTTGGACCATGTTTTGGGACATGAAGATATCAACAACTCTGCTGATGTCGACTAAAGGACCATCTGGGTTATTCACAAGCTGGGTTGCAAACTCGGCGCCTTTTTCGGGATTGGCACGAACGATGTGCTGCAATAGGCCAGTGAAGTCTGGTTGATAACCTGCCTCGCGCGCGTAGGGGATGACTTCATCAAAGCGACCAGTCTCTGCCAGCGCTGCGACAACCTTGGGAGGCACATTTGCTTCGCGGTAGATTGTCAAAGCGAGCTCGAGGTCGTGCAATCGAACAATGTCTCCAAGCTCTTCTGAAGACTCCAACTTGCCCTCGCTCATCCATTTATCGAGCAAGTTTTTGCGATTTTGGGCTAGGACTGGCTTTATCAGTTCCACACTTTCGTATTTGTTCAGCTTGCCCTTGTCGAGGAGCTTGCCGAAATACTGAAGAATGACAGAGAGTTGTCCAGGTTGTTGAGGTGCACTCTTGAAACGGTTGATTGTTTCTGGAGTCCTCAAGAAACCCCGTGGAGAGTTGGCTGCCACCTCGGCGGCTTCTGAGTACTGGCCTTGCGCAAAAAGTGTCTCAAATTGCTGTTGATAAAGGTTGTCGGCACCTGGCAAACCAGCTCGTGAAGCTAGCTTCACGGCAAGAGACGAGTTTGCAGGATTCTGGAGTAGGTACGGGATAATGGTATTATCATCGACACTGACAGAGAGCACTTGGCCCTTTCGATTGATTCCAACGATGCCCGACGACTCGGAATCTGGCGTGGTGATGAAGATTGTCTCGCTCGAGATTCTGTTCATGAAGATGCACGTGGCGGTCTCGAGGTCGTAAAGATGAATGAAGCCGTACTTGGTGATCATGTAGATGATGCTGTACTTCTTCGAAATCTGCATGGCCACGGGGAAGTCGTTGACTGCTTCATCGGGGAAGTAGACGTCCACAGCCTTCTTGGCGAAGCGGGTGTTGTTCTCGCTGGGATCAATTTCCACCACGTGAAGCTTGCCTTGTCCAGCAGCGTTCCGAACCGCGAAGGTGAAAAGTTTGTGGGGATTGGGATTGCCCTCTGCATGAAAGGTCCCGAATGCAGCAGCATGACCTTCGATATTTTGGGAGATGCCACGATTCTTCGAGTACAGCTGCATAGAGCCCACAACCCGTCCCTCTCTTTGGGAGATGCCGACAATGACCATCCACTGTTCATCATCGTTTACACGGTAGTTGATGATTTGGCAGCCACTGAGGTTCGCGTTCCGCTCGAAGACCTTGACAGGCGCAGCCTGAGTTGGATCGAAGACGTCCCAATGGTACACCGAAGTATCGGTGACCAAGCCCAAGCTTCGCTCATTATACCACTTCCAGAAGACGACATCTTCGTTCATGATTGTGGACTTCAGCTTGGCCTTGGCTCCGAGATCGAAGACCTGGATTGTTCTTCCCTGAGCCTTGAGAGCCAGGATCTCGCGGTTGAAGTGCATAATGGCGCTGTCGGCGCTGATGGCACGCTTGATGACTTCATTGTTGTTCTTCAGATTTATGATTATGACTTGAGGCTTGTCTTGTTCATTAAGTTTCTGCCGTACGCAGACGAAGTGGTCGGATTCTAGTGTCTGCCAGCACGGTCAGCGCAGGATAAGGGTGAACCGAGATCGGCGCACTTACACAGGTGTTGAAGGATATTGAAGCGGGCTGTCAGCGCGAATAAACGTCAGCATTGAAATTCGACATTGGGGGAGCAAAGTGTCGCGCGTCTGTAGATAGCTGGGAATGAAATTGCGGCCAAGGCACGATCAGGGAGGACATAACCATACCGCGATGTCGAGATTCGTCAACTATGATTCATATGTCAGTAACAGCTCGAGCTCCAATAGACTGTCTTGGCCTACCTGAACCAGTTCAGTGAACCGAATTGGCAGCGCCATGATTGCGACCGGCCTGTCGCGGCCTCATACACTTGCGAGGAAGTTGACGGGTCGCTCCGCAGGACGCCAGGTAGAACTACTGGAAACGAAATGGGGCGCAAAGGAGTGTGAGACGAAGAGAAGCGCCTGCGAAGGAGACACCACGAAAGACGTGGCGTGGTGAGCAGACGAAGGAGGATTGCGAAGACGTGGTTTGAATGTTGATTGAGCTCCTGGGAAATCGACACCTGTAAAGAATAAGTGAGCGACCCTGGCGGAACGCTCTGCAGAAGCAGCCAAAAGCAGCAAGGTGCGACGTGCCTGGCTGCTACAGTGGCTCAGTTGGTGCTTGGAGCAGTGGCTCGAACTGTAATTCAATTGGGGGCGCAAATCACGTGTCGGACCGTCAACACCAGGGCGAACCACGAGAGTGTGCCGCGGTCTGCGTCATCGCCGCCAGTCTGGCACCACGAGGTCGTTTTCCTCTGTTCCCTGCATTACCGTTGAAGCCACTTCATTCCCAACTTTACCCCCTTCACTATCCGCATCACAAGTAATGAGCATACGACCACTTATCAGAGCAAATCGCGGACCTCTCCCGTTATCTCTTGGTTCTAGATCGCCGCCGTCCTTGGTCCGTTACTCCTCGTCATCACCCACCAGCACAGCTGTAAAGTCGACCTCCAGCTCAGGGCCAAACCCCGTGAGCACGCACCGTCCCGGGGGTCAAAGCGATCGCCTCAGCTTCGTCCCTTTCCTCCTTCTCTTCCTTGCCAGTAGCGGCAGTTATCTTTTCCTCGTAAAAAGGAGAACAGGTCAACAGAACACAGTCTCGAGTGAGAGTCGCCGGAAAGCACATACCGAAAGATAGAAGATGGCCGCTCCACCTGCAATTGATCCTACATCAGGAGCATCACCACTAGTCCAGCCAAATGTCCCACATGCTTCGACGAACGTCTCTCCTGCGTTTGACCCTCGGAAAGTTACCGTGGTGTACGTCCTGGGTGGTCCCGGTTCTGGGAAGGGCACGCAATCTGCAAATCTAGTGCGAGACTACGGCTTCGTACATCTCTCAGCAGGCGACCTGTTGAGGGAAGAGCAAGACAATGAAGGCAGCGAATATGGTCAGCTGATCAAAGACTACATCAAGGACGGAAAGATAGTACCCATGGAAATTACGGTAAAGCTGCTAGAGAACGCCATGCGCTCAAACATGGGTAGCGAAGAGTCAGGGAAATTCTTGATTGACGGGTTTCCGAGAAAGATGGACCAAGCCGTCTTCTTCGAGCAGTCCGTCTGTCCCTCTCGGTGTACGTTATTCCTCGACTGTCCAGAAGACGTCATGCGTGAGCGGTTATTGAACCGGGGAAAGACAAGTGGGCGGTCGGATGACAATGAGGAGAGCATAATCAAGCGGTTCAAAACTTTCGTGGAGACGAGTATGCCCGTCGTGGATATGTTTGAGAAGGAAGGAAAAGTCGTCAGAGTCTCAGCTGTGGGAGAGATGGGGGAGGTCTATGAGCATGTTGTTGAAGGCCTGGCGTCGATGGGAATATCGCCCTCAAAATGAGAAGCACGATCGATAGAGGAAGGGTGGAAGTTGGCTTCCTGACCTAAATCAGCACTGCCAAGTGCATGCAACGTGCCAGCATACTTAGCAAGCGACTCGGCTCAGGTACAAGAGCAAATCTCTGCGTTCAACGTCGATTTGCACCCTCTTGGGGGTTCAACTCTGTTAGAGTTCTCCTCAGTCTTCGCTACTTTCACTGTCCTCACTCCCATCGATTTCATCGAACCCCTTGAAGTCTCTGTCTTCATTCCCAGGGTCCCCGAATTCCACGTCTTCTTTCGCCTGCAGCATGACAAACGCCTTCAGGCAAGTGATCCTGTTGCTGGTCTCATACGACCCGATTAACGTCCCCAAATGTGAGCCTGGTTCCTGCTTCTGCTCCAGCCTATCGAAGAGACCAGAGAGTGGCACCTGGATGATACGGATCGTACCGTCACTGCTTGCTGTGATGATGACCATGACGTTCTGCGCATCGGCAGTTGGTCGGATAAAGAGAATCTCAAAGTCCTTGATCCGTGTGTTGATACCAGCTGCCTTGCCGCCAACTGTCGCAATCATGGTAGCCTCCGGAACTGATGAGTCTGCTTGGTCTCTGAGGGTTCTGTTTGTGGCTGAGTTCTTCCCGCATTCATAGAACAGAATCCTCCCGTCCTCTGTTGACACCGCCAGCAGACTTACTTCTCTGCGCCCCTCCGGCGTCAACGAAACATAGCACATCTGGTGCAGTTTCGTCAGCGGCGTTGGTAAAATCTTACATCTCGGCTTCGAGTCCTCCCCAAACACAACGGCGCCCCTTTCGAACGCGACTGCAAACTCACTGCCGTCCGGACTCCACCTGATCCTTCGTCCTTCGCCGCTGCTGTACTTTCCTTCTCGTATACTCTGCAAGATCTCGCGATTAAAGTTCAAAACACCGGCTTTCTTTCCTGTCACAAGGTTCCACAATCTCATGCAGCGCTCACCACGACCGACGGTCAACATGAGTTTTAGACTGGGATGCACCGAGAAGTCGTTGATACCGGCGGGCGTGCCGCCTGGCGGTGCAGTATCGCCGCTAGGTTGGCCCTGGACCTTCGGCCGCGGTGCCTTGATGGTGGACACCGCAGCCAGGTCTTTTAGTCGTGTGATGGCGATGGTGTTGTCTTCAGAGCTGGAGAGGAGTTTCGACCTGGTGGGAAAATGTAACGCGGTGATGTGCGACGAATGCTGAAGAAGGGTGCCCAGCTCCCTATTCCTGGGATTCTCGGATATGGTGTTCTTACCCAGAGAGGGCATCGGTGGGAGCTTCTCATTTTCGGAGACGGGGGAGGCGGCGAGATTGAAGACGTTGATTTTCTCATCTGAGCCGCCGGTGGCGAGATACACACCTTGATTGTCTAATGAGTCCTGCTCTGGAAGCGGCGATAGAGCTAGACAGCGTACAGATCCCGCGTGTGCATTGAACAGAAAAGTGTCTGCGAATTGCACGGATGGGGAGGACTCAGATGACGAGAGGTTCAATATGGATGCGGTAATGCCATGCAGAACTCGTTCATAGGAACCTGCCACAATCTGAATCACAGGGACTGTGGTCTTGACATCGACGTGGCCGTTGGTTTTGGCGACTTTAGAAGTACCGTCGTTGCCCAGTCTGCTGGTGCTCGTCGTGGCCGTATCTCGTTTTCTCTTAGCCATCAGGAAATTTTTTGCGGATCCCAAATTTCAAAATTGGAGAAGTCGGCCTGGACGATCAAGTGGCTTGAACAGGATGGGCAGCGGAATTGCAGTCTCTGAGGGACATCGGAAGTCAAGGAGGGATCCTATGTGCGTGCAGCGTGGGAGTAGTGCTGAGGACTCAGTTGAATTCTCGATTGTAGACTGTTGCGAACATTTCACAATAAGGAAAGGAAAAGTCGTTGAAGGTGCCAGGTTGGATGCCTCGTAGTTAGAATTGGTGGGTGGACCCTTTGAGGGAAGGTGCGCCTTTAGGCGTCGATTTGGAGCAGGGCAACCAGTTTAGGGGTGTGCAGCCATCGATCACTTACACCCCCGCCTGGCTTTGCCCGCAGAACGTTTGGTCTCTCTGGTCTCTGAGCTGCACCCGTCCGTGAGCCTGCGGCATCACCAGAACAGCCAACTCGCAGAGGCCACTTACCACAGCGACATTCCGCCTTCGACAGCCACAATCAACAACAACGCGCCCAAACAATTACTTTTGAGATCTCATCCCATCTCGTTTCTGTCGTCTCTGTCTTCTGGCGAATTTTCAGCAATTAATTCGGATGGTTTCTCGTACTTCTCCTCGACGCCGCCGATGCCGATGAAATGCCCGTCGAGCACCTACGCTCGAAGAAGTCTGAAGCACAGTCAGTAATATTCATCAAAAGCCACGAGGGTACTCTTCGAGTATGCCAGCATATACTGATGCAGTATCTTGAATTACAGACGCCTGGTGCAGTCAAGAAAGCGCAAATTGAATGAACTCTTCTCCATCAGTATACCAACCCATGACCCGACCTACAAGCAGAAACTCCAAGCCTTTCACGATGCGAACGATCTGGAAAAGTATGCATTCCTTGTCGCTTGCACATATATACCATCCTTCCAGTTTGCATGAATTTTGTTGCCTGTTTGGTCGCGTTCTTACAGCTTTACAGAGGTTGCCGCTTCGACGAGGGCACGCTCCCGCCTCTATCCCATATAGTACTACGAGCTCGAAAGTCTGTACCAAAACAACCACATACAGCTGTCTCGCCGGCCTCAGCCACTGGACAGCAACCGAGATCCGTCTCAAAACCCAGTGCACCGTCGTCGCCAACACCGAAACCCAGTCCCAAACCAATCGCAGCGACACAACCACCGCTCACACCAAAGCCGCTTGCAGGGAATAAGCGCGATGAAGTCGTGACATCCGTAAATGGGGAAGATCTCGGACTGGGCAACCAAGGGGTGGCATTGGTGGCTTTGAATACGCAAAATGGCGAAGTTGGTGCAAGTCCAGGCAGAGTCGACCGGCGGTCAAAATCTCCTAGGGTCCCGGCTGTCGTAACGACTGCTACAGATCAGAGGGACGGTACTCTTCTCGAATCCCTTGGCGCAAGAACAGGCACTGCGTCCTCGGCGGTCGCGGAAACACGTCCTTGCCCGCCAGTCGACCATCGATCAAGCCGGACCCCTCCTCGTCTTGCACCGATTGCACCACCTGCTGATCCTCAATCTTCTCCGGCCTCGACCAATGGTCCGGACTCCTCAAATACTCCGGCTCCGGATGCTGGCTCTCCTGGCACGAGTCCTGGAGTCGATGTTGCGCCCACCGTATCTTTGGTCCCTCATGCTAGCAAGGCTATGGATACTGGCCAGCCTGGTACAGAGCCAACTCCTCCGCCTCAAGATCCAGACAACCAGCACAGCGCAGTCAGGACAGAAATTCCGTCTATTGACGTCGAAATGACTGGTGTAAACGACGTAGGATCTATCAAATCGAACTGGGCTGATCAAAGCAAGCTCCCCGCGGAGCCATCCAAAATCCCCAGCCCTCAACGACCAGCGATGCGAATAGACACGCGAACAGAGAGTGACTCTTACTTCAAAGCACGACCTAGCGGTGGTTTTGTTGAGAGTCCTGTCCAACTGACGGGCATCACCCCCAGGCGGAACGTCCCAGCAACTCCATCGGTCGAGGAGCCGCCAAAACGTGCGACGCGAATATCTTCTGGTGTTTTGCAGAAGAAGTCTGTCTCTGAGATTCTTGGTGAGACACCGAGGACGACAACCCCCCAGGCAGATTCTCCTCGTGAATCTTTCAGTGCCACAACCCCTCAGGGTCGAACAGCTGGACGGGACAAGGATCGGAGTAGGCTATCAACAGTGGTCTTCGCTAAGCGCGAGAAAGCGGTTGGCGGTGACGAGGAGAATCTTGAGGTGGTGCCATTCAAGGGTGAGGCACAGCGCAAAAGTCCTGCGGATCGAGACTATCTCTACACTCTCTTTGAGAACAAAGCGCACTCTATGTCGCGACAAACATCGATGTCCTACTTGATCCAGAATGCACACAAGACGTTGTCGACTTCGGATCACCTCATTGAGTACGAGCTATCTGCGGAATGCCGAATACTGAAGCGCCTATATCAGTTACAGGAGAAGCAACGCTGGGCTCTGAGGCAATACAAGCGTGCGGAAGAAGTTCCGAGGCCAACCTCTCACTGGGATTTCTTGTTGGACCACGTAAAGTGGATGCGCACAGACTTCAAAGAGGAGCGGAAGTGGAAGATGGCTGCCGCCAGAGGCCTTGCAGAATGCTGTGCCGATTGGGTTGCAAGCTCTGCTGAGCAACGGCGGCGCCTGCAAGTACGAGTCCGGCCACCAAAGCTACTTTCCGAACCTCTCATCTCTCACGATGTGGCCATGGAAGACGACCCGGTTGCGAACCTGTCGTCACAAACAACTCCTGAATTGGTGCCTTCTAACGAGGATGATTCCATGAGCGAGGACATTGCAGAACCTCGAGATGTGCAGATCTCTAGCGCTCCTGCCGCGTTATTCTCGTTGGGCCCGTCGGACTTTAACTTCGCTGTCGACAAAACACCTGCACTCGACAAGCTATTGAACGAACTACCGCTCTACGGACCCTATGGCGAACCCGACACGTCAAAATCTACCCTGGCGGAACGGCTTGATGCGAAATGGAAGACCGATATTGTACCTGTTTCAAGATGGGCCACTGAGAAATTGCCAGTCAAGGACCACAAACCTCCGTTCAAACAAAGTCGATACGACTATGACCTTGAACCTTCGCCAAAGAAGAAGCCGGAACCCCTGCCACCTGAAGAGACGAATGTCGCACTTTTCATGCCTGAGAACAAAATCATTAGGGATAGGATACATCCAGGCCATTCATTCCGTCCGCCATCGGATCATCCAATGCCTACACAGGCCTTTTTCGAGACAAGATCGTCGTCGCAATGGACCGCGGCCGAAGACGACGAACTCAAGCGACTCGTCAAAGACTACTCCTACAATTGGTCACTTATCTCCAGCTGCCTCACCCCTCCGAGCCTGTATACTTCTGGTGCTGATCGTCGGACGCCATGGGAATGTTTTGAACGATGGATTGGATTGGAAGGCTTACCCGCGGATATGTCTAAGACGGCATATTTCAAGACCTACTCCGGCAGAATCGAAGCAGCAGGCCGCCACGTGGCTGCTCAAATCGAGGAGGCTCAGCGCAGAGCGGGCGCCAACGTCCAGATCTCCGCGCGCCGGCGAACCACGCAGCCCGTCAAAGTCGAGCGGAAGAGAACACAGCGGCACCTTGCCATGCTCGATGCCATGCGTAAGTTGGCCAAGAAGAGAGAGACGGCTTTGCAGAAACAGCAACACCAAGCCGATCTTGCAGCGATGCGCAAAGTCAACGATGCAAATGTGCCGAAACCGTCCTACAAGACCCCTGCTGAATTCTCGCAGCTTAAGCAGGAGAGGGAACAGAAGCTTGCCGAACGACAAGAGATATACCGGCAGCAACTCATTGCTCACCAGCGTGCTACCGCACAGCAACAGCGAACCCAGAACGGTCAGCCCAATGGTCTCCCGAACGGTATGCCCGCTGCTGCACCTGGAATGCGCGCGCCCTCGATGGGTAGCATGCCAGGAATGCCGAATGGCAATATGCAGATGCCCAATGGTCATCGTCCCCATCCAGCCATGATAGCCGCAATGCAGGGAAATATGCAGTTACCGCCAGGCATGATGGCGCCGAAGCTCACGCCGCAAATGCAGGCACAGATGCAAGCCCAAATGGCCGCACGTGGCGGCGTGACTTCACCACAGCAGATGCGGATGTTGCAGGAGGCTACCCGCGTGCAACAAGAACAGCTCATGCGCCAAGCTCAACAAGCGCAGAATGGTCCTCACTCGTCTCCCAACAATCCTCATGTTGCGCTTGCTAATGGTCACGGCTTGAACAATGCCGCCTACCGTGCGGCGATGGCTGCCGCTGCTAATGGCAACGGATCCCCGTCTGGACCGCTCAACGGCAGCTCACCTCGACCCAATACCGCTAATTCCGGGCAAGCTTTGTCAAGCGGGCACGTTCCTGTCCTGACTCAGATCGCAAACAAGATCCGAGAACACCACCCTAATCTCTCGGACGAAGAAGTGCAGCGTCTGGCATCGCAACAGCTTCAGACGTACCAACATCAAGCGACCCAAGCCGCGGCAGGGCATACGAGCCAAAAACGTCCGCAGCACAACCAAGCCGCCCTGAACGCAGCCCTTGGAGCCATGAATGCCGGTAACAATGCCTCGGCGGCTTCTGCTAACGCCGCCGCCGCTGCTGCTGCCGCGGCCCAGCTCGGGCACCCGGGCATGATGACCAACGAGCAGGTCCAGCAGTACAACCAGCGCATCCGCATGCAGCAGGCCCAGCAGCACGCGCAACGTAACCTCCAAGCGATGCAGATGCATCAGCAGCAGCAGCAGCAGCAGCAAATGGGCGGAGGGATGCCGAATGTCAACGGCATGGCCGGCTCTCCGGTCATGAACATGGCTCGGCCCGTGAGTCAGCATGCCACCAACCCTCAGGGACAGATGAGTCGTAGCGCGACACCGCGAGATCAGCGGAGTGGGAGTCAGAGCGGTCCCAACGGCAACGGTCCTGCAAACGGGCAAGGGCAAGGGCAAGGGCAGCAAAGCAGTCCGCGACAAACGGCTGCTCAGAGTATGCAAACCTAACCTAGGGAGCCAGCGTGGAGCCGAGGGAGGGCATTCTCGGCGTACTTACTTATGTATAAGAGACTACAGGAGCGAGTATTGAATTGCATGCAGTTTTGATCAATTTCATTACCCTTGATCGCATGAGGAGTGAGTGCCTGACTCCGTCTCTAAGTACGCTACGCACGCTTCTGTGCAAGGCCACCGAGGCTTCCGCAGGCGTATTCTTTCTTTCTTTCCTGCCCATCTTTCATGGCGTCGCTCACGCTCATGCCGTTGCTCGTGCTCATGCTGTTGCTCATATCAAGCTAGCAGCTTCAAGCAGCTGTTTTTTCATCCCACGTCGGACTCGTATTTTTCTGTTACGTTCCCTTTCCCCACGTTACGCTGCCTTGCCGTTCCCTGCAACAGCAGTATGTTACGGCTCCTTGATGGCATTTCTCTGCAGTTTGCGCTCCAAGGCATCAAGGACCAGATCCGCTCCCCAGCGCGCCTGCAGGTGAGAAGTATGATGATGCATAGACACCTAGTCCCCTCCAACCTCAATCTCCCGCTGCTGATTTTGCTGGAGATCACGGTCCCCCCGATCCCTATCGCGCTCGCGGTCACCACCACCGCCGCCACCACGTCTGCCGCCCCTTCCTCCACCTCCGCCGCGACGTTGTTGACGCTCACCTCGATTGTAGCCTTGGTTGTCTCCGTCCCGATCACCGTATCCGTTGGCACGCACGGCATCGTCACCTCCGTTCACGCCTTCTCGCAGGAACTTCTCCCTCTCGCTTCGCACGACGGTCAAGACGCTCTCTAGACTGCGGCGCCAGACCATCAATCGGCCTTGGATCTCCGCCCACTGTTTCTCCCCGAACACTCGGTATGTGGCGCGCTGGACGAGGAACTCGCCTTTCATCTGGCTGAGTTTGCCTTCGACCAGGCCCGTGCGGATGGTGTCAATGACCCACATCTCGACATCCTCGCTGGGGATTTGGAGCGCCTGCGCGATCTGTGCGTAGGGGACGCTGCGCGTGGGGGTTGTGGCGGCGATTGAGGAGAGTGTCAGGAGACGGATCTTGTTGGCCAGCACGTCGGCTGCGGAGTCTGGGATGGATAGGGAGGAGAGGGAATTTGTCTCCAGAAAGTCGAGGTACGCGGAGTAGTCATCACTGGAGAAGATCTCCAGCAGATCGAAGAGCGCGGCGTCGCTGCGGCGGAGGGCGATGACGGCGTCGTTGTCTGTGAGGGGTGTGAAGTCTGTGATTGAGGGGTTCGTGAGTGCTGTGATGAGGGCGCGGCGGGCAAGTGAGGCCGAGTCCTCGTCTGAAGCGTGTTTCGATTCGATGGTCTGCAGCGCTTGCAGAAGGTATGTATATTCTAGATCGCTGTTGCCTTGGGCGGAGGCCACGTCCGCGACGGCGACGAACAAGGTTCGGGCGTCGTCATCGTCAAGGGACCAGGACTGCAGCCAGAAGGGGATGTTCGTCTCGAGTTGGGGTATCAATGCCTCGAAGGCCTGCGTACTAGAGGTGGCGCGGATGACTTTCAGGATGGCCAGGAAGACGTGGTAACGACTTTCGCTGGCGGGTGAGAGAACGTTGAAGATTGTAGTCAGGGTCTGCACGGCGAGGGTGCCGCCGTAGACGGGGGAAGATGTGACGGGGTGCTCGGAGAGGTAGGCGCAGAGTCTCGCGAAGATTTGGTCGCTGATATTGGATTGAGTAGCGAGCGAGATGAGGAGGTTGTATGCTGCCGTAAATTCTGTGGACTCCGTGTCAGGTGTCTCACACTCTCAAGAGGACGACAGGATGGCTTCTTTCATACCTCTCTCTGGGGCGCCGTTGAGAACCTGTGCCCGAGTGACGATCTTCTTAAGAACCTCATTTTTCTGATTTTTCACAGTGGACTCGTCCACGCCTCCCTCTTGTGACTGCTCCGATTCTCTGATGCCGGCTAACAGCTCTTGGATTTCTGCTTGCACGCCGTTCCCGTCGGCTTTGGCGATGTTGTCGACGTACTGGGCAAGTTCTTCCGCAAGTTCGGAAAAGGTTCCCTCGATGAGGAGGGTATTTGTGGGCGCGGGCATGATGGCAGTGTTGCGAGGAAGGAGGATGCTGTCGAGGCCTGGAGGAGAAAACTCTATGCGCAGGTTAAAGGCGCCGAGACGATGGCACCTTTGGTTGAGTGCATTTCATAACCTGCTCGCCTTGTCGATAAAGTGGAAGTGGCTCTGCGAAATCTTGGCGGCGCAAGCGGCGTGAATCTGCGAGTTTCCGTAGTGGGTGCGAAGACCATGCCGCTTTGAGGTCCTAAGAACATAAATCTGTAAGGTTGTGAGTGCGGAGTCCATGCCGCTTTAAGATCCCAAGACATCCTCGCGACTTAATTTACCCTCATCTCAAGTTGCGCTCACTTCGACTCCCTCCTCGACTCGCTCTTCGTACGAGGTACATAGTACTCTCCTTGTCCCATTATCTTTTATGAATCTACTGACTGTTCTCTACCGAGGTCGAAAATACTGGTCATTGTCACTACGCATGCCGAACCTTCCGAGGAGTAGTTTCCACTTACAGAATGCCATCGGAAAGGACTACTCCGGGACGATGCCATCCGCGGGATACTCGACCTTTGTAGGATAAATATCGAAGAAAGCAGGTGTTTTTTAGCCAGTCTTGATACTTGCACTGTCTAGGCGAGGGGCGTCAGCATGAACTACAGCCCTCCAAATCCAAAGGTCGTGTCCGCCATGTGATGTCGTTTGTTGAATCCGTGACACCTCTGGCAAACTGTGCTCTGCTTCGACGCTCGTGAAGCGAAGCTGCAAGACTTCGTGAACGGTGGAAATTGACTGATTCGAGGCAAGCTGAATCTGACAAGAGCATTCAGGTTGATGTGTGGTGGAGAGGCAAACATCGTCAGCTGAAAGAAAGCAGCGAAGACAGGCAGCAAGAGTGGCGTTGCATTTCTGAGGGTGCACGGCCAGTGTTCTTCTTCAATCGTCAAAGCGAACTCAGTGAAATTAATCGGAACCCGTTAGAATGCCCGCTATATCCGAAACATGCTCAGAACACATCATCCGCAGCCGTTATTGCTCCAGTACCCGGGACTGGCACGGCGGTATTGTTTTTCGCCGCCATCTCATCTTCGATGAACACTCCAAGTCCAGCAAATGCCCGGAGGAGACATTCATCCATATACTGTCCAAAATCGTACCCCGCCGCAAGCATCGCTTCCGCCGGCTTTCCTTTTGCACGGGCGATGTAGCTGTCCTTGACTTCGTAATAGTCCATCTTGCGTGGCATGCCCATGAATGGATCGTAGGGTGCCTCCGCTTCTCGAATGACTTTCTTCTTCAAACCCTTGATCAGACCACTTGGGTCTGCGATGGTCGGATCGACGTCCTTCTTCTTGGTGGGCTTCTTGTCCGACTCGGTCAGAGCATCATTCGAATCCACTTTCAGGCCGTTTGCAATGGCGTATTCCTTCAGCTTACGGTTCGTGGCTGCCACATCTGTGCGGAGCACCAGATTCATGATCATCTCTTCTCGAAGTTCCAGAAAGTCGTCGTAGTCGCGCTTGGTCTCAAATTCTTCCTCCTGACGATCAAGTCTAAATGGGTCTGGTTAGCCATACCGTGTCAGACAACACCAAGCTGGGACTTACGTCTTGTTGACCCTCTTCCGGATCTCGACCTCGCGCTCGATCTTGAGGTCCTCGAACGTTTGCGTCCGCCATTCTCGTTTCCATAGGCTAACATGACATCCGGCTACCGGACACTCTGCTTTACCCGAGGAGAAGTTGCGGTCCACGCAACCTTCACATATTCGGTGGTAGCACTTGGTATTGATCTTGAACCGAAGACCAGGGTGCGTCCGAGGATCACTTCCGCAGACTGGACACTTGTTCGGGGCTAGTCCGACCAGAGTCAGTACATATTCGCTGGACATCCCTTATGCAGGCTCGATCTCACGGTTCAGCTCATCGTCATCCATGACAGAGTCTATCCCTTGTCAACGCTTCTGCGTCTCTCGTAAGTTTCTCCAGAGTTACGGACTTCACGAGCTGCAAGTATGAATGTGCTCTCCTGGCTTCATCTTGCGCCGGCATGGATCCGATAGCAGATCTTTTTGGATGCGCATATGAAACTCAGGTGACAGCAATGTGAACAAAGCTGGAACAGAGCGACGCGGTGGCAGCAAATGGCTTATGTAATTTGAAATGACAAATCTTCTGAATGTGGCGTACAAAATTCCGTACAAGGAATTCTTCAATCTTTAGTCACTTCCAATTTACCGTGATCTCGTCCTTGCGGCCTTCGTCATTGGTGACTCGAAATACACCCGTGTTGTTGACCTCCCCACAAGGGTGATGGACGCATCGGCGCTTGCCCGCGTCGAGCGGCAGCGAGCAGAGCTGGAAACCAACATCACCAAACTCCGCAAAGCGCTGCGACACTGGCAGGCTCTGGAGATTGACTATGAGGGACTTCGGGAAGAATTCTTAGGTCTCCCTGAGGACTCTTCTCCCGAAGAGTGTCTGCAAGCTGCCAAAGACTCAAAGCCTGAACTTGTGGACGAAAAGGAGCTACAGGAGCTGCTGCTAGACACCAGTTCCCGTCCTCGTCGTCCTACCAAGTTGGTTGAATTGCTGTCGAAACGGGTTGAGTATGTTAGCCGCAATATTAACACGGTCCGCAAACAGTTGTCCGATGCGGAAAAGAAGCGTAATGCCCTTCTCCTCGCTGAAGAACCGAACCACCAGGATGAGGCTGGGCTTCCTATGGCCGAAATCACCGAGGAGCTCGATGACGAAGGAAATGTCACCTCAAGCAAAGTGCAGACTCCCGGCTCAGATGCCGCCCGACTGGTGGATGTTTTGAAGAAGGCTGGAGTAGAAGACCTAGAAGACTTGAATGGCACCATAACCAAGGTTTCCCCATCGAGCAACCCTGAGGACGCTGCAAAATCTCAATCACAGAATACCGTCGACACCGAAAGTCAATACACAAACTTATCGATAGACGAGCTACCCACGAATTCCAATGATACACCCGATGAAGCCGAACTACGCCGTGAGATGCTGCAATACTCGAGGGGTTTGGATGAAATAGGAGCTATTGTGGCTGAATTAGAGCTTGAAGAGGAGACATCTGATGTCGTGGATGACGTCGATGGCGACCTTGATCTGGACTTAGACTCCGAGATGGACACCGAGGAGGAAACCGAGGAAGATTCAGAAGATGACAGCGGCAAAAGCAACCGAGGGCTGTTTCTCTCCCGAGGATATCAGAAGAGAATGGAGGAGCTGCAGGAAAAGCTGGGTCTGAAGAATGTTGGCCGTGGGCTTGGGGCACAGGTCGCCATTGATCAACTCCAGAAAGAGCAACGGCCGCCTGCAGCTGAAGCTGCACGAAAGGCGGCGATCTTAAGAGATGACCAGTCTAAGAAAAGTAGCTTGAAGCCGGCGAAGAGCGATCTTGCGGAAGCAGAGTCGACCAAGAGAAGGTCTGGGAGAAAGAAGGTGGCGTTCTCTTCGGAACTAGCCATTGCTGCTGAGAACCCTCCTACCACCATTTCCGAACCCGCGAAGATATCTTCAGGTGCGACAGAAAGGCTACAGTTGCGGCCAATCAACGACTCTGTTGTCGAACGAGAGGCAGGTGAGGACGACACAGAGGCTACCGCTCCGGCTCCTCCTGCTCCAACAGCCGCAAAACAGTCACGCTTCAAGGCCGCACGTCAATCTCAGCCACAGACGCTGATGTTTGCTGCGCCGATGGGTTTCCCCAAGGGGAAGCTTAAGGACAAGTCGACACCTCAACCTCCCTCTAAAATTGTTTCAACAACTCTGGTTGAGCGTCCTTCGCCGAAAGCAACCGCAGCCCCCGACCCAAACAACTTTTCCGACCAGGATCACCAACGCGAAATAGCAAGAGACTATCAGCAACACCGGATCAAGCGCATACTTGCCCAAGAAGGCGGATTTCTTGGAAATGCTGAAGAAGGTGAAATAACACCACTCGAGGACGAAGAGATCGGGAGACGCGTGAGCAGGTTCAAAGCTGCTCAGATCAGACGTTGATAAGAAAGGCGATGAGTTGCATCCAGTATCTCGCGTTTAGAACTGTCAAGCACGATACCCTGATCGAAGTAGCCCACCCTGCACCCAGTTCCCTTGACACGCTTTCTGTCCTGCTTATGCTTTACCCCTTGTCAAAGTTCCACAGGAGTTGTGCATAAATCCTTCGATGACAAGAATTCGTAGCTTCCATCTACTTGTTCTTACACGACAGACTCCAAGATCAAGCAAAACAAGCTGGGCTCTCTGACGCCTAGTCCTCGCCGTCGTCTCCCTGAGCGCGGCGTTGTATCGTGGATATGGCGATTCGTTTCATCCAGTACAATCACTATACGGTGCATTCTTGATTACCTGTTCAGGTTCATACCATTTCCATTCCTGCTGGATGATGGCATCATTACATGTACAGGTTTCGGCGTCACCAGGGTCCACCTTCTTGCTCGATGACCGATTCTTATTTGTCTTGCAACATACCAGATTACAAACAGTTTCCTCACGTCCCTCATACGTTTTGCTTGGCAAGTCCAGCCACAAAAGCCGGTGTTCCTGGGCAGTAGACATGACCCAAGTCCACCGCTCAATGCCCACCGCCCTTTGACGAGAGGCGGAAGCTAAGCGGGCCCTGAGGCCCCGCTACTGCCTTTGATACCGCTTCTCCGCCTGTTAAAGCCGAACTGCCCCAGAATTTTCTGGTTCCCTATCTTAATGCCCTCCAGTCCTCTTAAGCACATTGAAATATTTGGATATTTGCATTGCTGGCCTGGGTAAAAAGACGACGGACGCCTTCTGGATAACTCCTTTATGGACTCGAAGAAGACTTCAGAATTTGACCTCATCGGTCCAGCTCAACCACGTCAAAATGCAGCACTCGAGGATGTCCACACCGACCCTGTCTCTGAGCTGCCTGATCCAGGTCAGCAGGTTCAGCCTCGAAGCAAGTTTCGCATGGCCATGATATTGATTGCACTGTACATGTCGTTGTTTGTCGCGGCCTTGGACGCAACCATCGTCGCCACCGCTACCCCCACAATCACTGCCGACCTTCATTCGGCAGCCGGCTACATTTGGATTGGAGGTGCCTATCTCATTGCAAATGCTGCAGCCGCCCCCATCTGGGTCAAATTTTCGGATATCTGGGGCCGCAAGCCCATCTTTCTGGTCGCCGTGGTCGTCTTTTTTGCCAGCTCTGTGGTTTGTGCCACTGCTGTCGACATGCAGATGCTCATCGCCGGCCGAGCCATTCAAGGGGCTGCTGGCGGTGGTTTGATCTGTATGGTGAATGTTGGAATCTCCGACCTTTTCAGTGTCCGCGAAAGAAGCCTGTGGCTCGGCCTCTGCGAAGGGATCTGGGCCCTGGCCGGCGCCGTTGGACCACTCTTGGGAGGCGCCTTTGCAGAGAAAGTCAACTGGCGATGGTGCTTCTGGTTAAACTTGCCCATTGCTGGGACCGCTTTCGCACTTTTGCTACCTTTTCTCAATGTTCACAATCCGAGAACACCTGTCCTTGACGGAATTCGAGCCGTTGATTGGTTTGGTTGCGTCTCAATCCTTGGGGTAACAGTCATGTTGCTTTTAGGTCTTGATCTAGGTGGCGCGGTATATCCTTGGAGCTCTGCGAAGGTGGTATGTTTGCTTGTGTTCGGCTCATTGATGGTCCTGGTCTTCGTTTACAGCGAGAAAAAACTGGCCAAATACCCGGTCATCCCACTTTCGCTGTTCGGCACAAGGAACGCTGCGACATTGATGCTGAGCTTCTGTCATGGAATGGTACGTGTTTCAAATCCAGTCGGCCGTTGTGCTTGCTAAGTTGACCACCAGGTGTTCATCGCCGCCGAATACTACCTGCCTTTATATTTTCAGAGTGTCAAAGAAGCCTCGCCACTGCGGTCCGGCGTGCTCTTGGTACCGCTTATTGTGGCTACCGCCGGTACTGGAGTTATTAACGGCGTGATCATCCACCGAACGGGGCAGTACAGACCGTCAATGTGGATTGGAACTGCTCTAATGACCTTGGGCACCGGTCTTTTTGTTTCTATGGACGCTCATACATCCACCGCAACGGTAGTAGGTTTCGAGATCGTCGAGGGCATCGGAGCTGGTTTGTTGTTCGAGCCTCCACTTCTCGCTATCCAGCAGGGTGTTCACCAAGACGACGTCGGGACTGCTACTTCCACGCAGTCCTTTACCAGGAGCCTGGCAATCTCCTTGGGTGTTATTGTGGGTGGCATAGTATTCCAGCAAAGTATGGATCTCCGCCGAACCGCATTGGCGCAATCGGGACTATCTAATGCCACCTTGGACGATCTCTCTGGCAAGAATGCCGGAGCTAATGTGCACATTGCACCAAGCCTACCACCCGCTCAAGAACTTGCAGTCAAGCAAGCATTTGCCTGGAGCATCAGAAACATGTTCATCATGTTTACATGCCTTGGTGCGATCGGCATTGTTGCCAGTTTATTCGTGGTCAAGACTAAGCTCTCGAAGGAGCACAAGGAGACCGTTACCGGCTTGAAAAAGGAAGAGGCAGCGCCTTAGCCTCCTCGTGGAGAAATGCGATGCTAGCGAGCATTTACACCCCTGCCTTGTCCGCGGCTTCAACATAGCGGCTCTGCAGACTCGCAGATCGCAACTACAATCTTGACAGTTTGGGACTAATCTTTAACAGCAGGACCAATGCAAAGTCCAGATCCAACTCGACTCGCCTTTCAATCGATTGTACGATGTATACCTAGTCGGGGATGCTCAAGCCTCGTCAACAACAGCACTCCCTCTCTTGCTGGAAACTATATTCCCTGATATGTAGTCCGGGAATGCTTCAGCCCCTTCACCAACAGCATACCTCTCCTTTGACACTCTGTTTGGGAAAAGAGCACTGAGTCGCCAGACTGTGGCACATCCACACCGGTGAGCTTCTCCACCGTCAAAAAACCAGCAGTCTTGTCAAATAGTCCACGTTAGCCAGTTCCAGCTCGTCAACGCCCTGGGGTGATGGGACTGGAAGCCCGGTGAGCTACGCACCGTTAACAACAGCAATGCATGCACCTAGATGGTGATGCTCAATCGCATGCTTGCTAGCTACTACACCGGTGAGCTACGCACCGTTCACAACAGCACTAACTTCTTGATTGCGTGACTGCGTATCATGGCTCATGAACTGAGCTGGACCTTCGTCGAGCTCCTCTCGCCTCGAAGACTTCAAGATTATCGTCGGGGTTGTGAGTACAGACACGTCGGCTTTTCCGACGTGGATGTGTGGAAATTCAACGAGTGGTCGAGAGAGGTATCGCGAAACCGGTGAGTCTAGGATACACACACATAGCAAAAAGAGCGTGCGTGACTATTCCGCTGCAACACGCAGTCATGGTGTCCTGGCGTGGGCGCTCCATACACAGCCCAAGCAAAGTGTATAGAAACGAGCGCTCGACATGACCGATAGTATCGGCAAAAATGGCTGGATCTTGCTACTTGTGCTTAGAGTGTTTCTGTTTCTCTACGGTGGCCATTCAATCGTTAATTAGTGCATAATGCACATATTGTTGATATGCCCAAAGTGCTGCTCAATAAGTTGTTCATCAAAAGAGCAACACCTCCTGCACACAATCTCACTAACCAGGCCAGCAAATAGCTTGTTAATCAATAGTGGCCGCACTAGGCGGGTACGGTGGTTCGTCTGGCCTCCTCGCCTTCACGGACCTCACCTGGGTGCCGCTTCCGCTTAAGCCCCGATTCGACATTGCAGGTGCGCGTCCAGTGGGCCAGGTTGTTCCTCCCTACATACCGATCAAGGTTTCCTCTTTCAGTTATACCGAGCTTGGTACTGTACGGAACGAGTAGACCCAAAGGCTTCCGACGCCTTGCTGGTTCATATTCAATGGCCGACCAAGGGCACAGTGCGACCAAGCTAGCAGGTAAGGACCGAACGAAATCTAGTCACCAAGAACCACAGCTGATGGCTATAAAGGAGGAAGCCAACAACCGATCGGGCCTTCTGTATCGCTTTCGCAGCCAGGGCCACGGCCGTCGAAAGTCACGTTGGCAGGCAATGCTGTAACGATAGTACCTTTGGCGGCAGAGCATGCAGGCGATCTCTACGACATCGTCAAGGGGGAAGACAAAGAACATCTCTTCACGTACCTATTCGACAACCCATATCCGACATTCTCGGCGTTCAAGGAAGCCGTCATCACAAAGTCCCAGTCCCAGGACCCGCTGTTCTTCGCCATTATTGACAATACGACCTTCAAACCCGTCGGCTGGGCTAGCTTGATGCGAATCGACAACACCCATCGCGTCGTCGAAGTCGGCAACATCCTCTTCTCGCCGAGACTGCAGCGCAGCAAAGCCGCCACGGAAGCAATGTACCTCCTGGCCAAGTACGTGTTTGAAGAGCTCAAGTATCGGCGGTACGAATGGAAGTGCGACAATCTCAACGGGCCTTCGAAGCGAGCGGCGAGCAGGTTCGGATTCACCTTTGAGGGAGTGTTCCGGAAGCACATGGTCTACAAGGGACGGAGTCGAGATACATGCTGGTTCTCCATGGTCGAAGAGGACTGGTGGGAGAAAGGTGTTAAGAAAGGCTTTGAAGACTGGTTAGACGACGGGAATTTTGACAGCCAAGGGAGGCAGAAGAGACGGTTGGAAGATGTTCGAGGGGAGATGCAGGGGCGGAGAGGGCCGGTCGTGCTGGAGTTGTAGATTTGCTTCTCAGACATGTAATGTCACTTCTGTGCCATTCTAGACACTGTTCGAGCGTGCTAAATGTACATTGCTTCGATACTGGTCAGTTGGAACCTATATACATAGACTCGGTGACGCAGGGTACGGGCTTAGACCCCATATGCCGCAGGGTTGTGAGGAATGGAATCGATGTATGTCGCTCCGGCCGTGGCAGAGGGACCATTTCCTGTCGACTTACAGCATCCTTCAGACATTCGACTTCGAATCACCCGGTACGCAGCTGTGGCATGTCTTGAGCGACGTCGGACGGGGCAATGGATCCCCGTAATTGCTGTCTGGCCGTCCCCCTAATGCCCGTTTCGGAAGGGACCCGCCGCCTCTGGATCTGCACCTTTGATTTTCATGGCAGAATCTCCCTAGGCTACGTGACTACGATACCTCTCCAGAATAGAGCTGAGAGATCCTATTGTCATTGAATTCACCTTCCGCCGAGCAGAATTACGGCCCCTGTCATCAGCCCTGCCCACCGACGCGTCCGCCGTCGCCTTCAGCGGTCAAACGGTTTGCTCGTTGACACGCTCCCTTGGCTTCCGCCAGCCCACGTCTTTCTCTGAGAGACCGAGCTTCACCAACGGCAGCGTAGTGACTTTTACTTGTTTGATCAATTCCGCAACATCCAGCTACAACAGTTTGATCGCAAACCCAGCTTCGCCGTCGATCGTGCAGCACCTTGGAGCGATCCTTGGGATTACGCGGACGTTTCGGCCCGCCACGATCCCGTCTTCATCCAAAATGAGAACCAAGACCATCACAACTCAGACAGATGATCACAATGATCACGCCGCCGATAATGGGGTCCGGAGAGCCTCTGGTCGCGTACGCAAACTCACTGCCAAAGCTGTAGCTCTCCATGGCGGCAAATCTTACTCGCCGCCACTCTCCGACACAATTGTCATCGATGATACACCACCGCAACCTCGGCGATCATCTCCGAAAGAACACTCACCGACATCCAATGCGCCGCGAGAGGAGCCTAAGGCAGCGCGGATTGAACCCGAAATTCCAGAAACTCCAGCAAAGACAATGGCGAATGGTGTCCAAACTCCACCTCCAGCTGCCCTCGCTCAGGATGGAGCACCAGAATCTACGGTGGAGACATCTCCTTCACGAAGACACTCCCTCAGAGAAAAGAAGCCTTCTGCAAAGGCGGTAACAGAGTCGCGGACCACTCAAAAGCGACCCGCCACCGAGGATTCAGAGGAAGCTCCTCTCCGCAAATCAGCCAGACTCTCCTACTCCAGTGCTAGAGCTCCGTCAAAGCTCCGATACTCAGTCCCGATTGAGACCAGCGAGATTCACGATACTGCTGAAGCTGAAAAGGGTGAGGTTATCGCCACGCCTGTAGTAAAGAAGTCAAAGGTCATTGTCCTGAAGATGAAGCCACAATCACGTCGGGCTGATTCACCGACACATGCAAAGAACAGGGCCCGCTCTGCCACGTTACAAGACAAGCCCAGAAGAACATCTGAACGACAAAGGTCAGCAGCAAAACAAGTCAATACAGTGTCTGAGTCGCGCCCGCGCCCGCGCCTAACTGAAGTACTCGGATCCTGCAATCTCTCTTGTCTTTCCCCAGCCTCCCGACTTCTAGCCTTTGCCCAGATAGCCCTGCAAATGCCAGACGAGGAGGATGAGAATGCAGAGACTGTCCCGGGAAGTGTCTATGACTGGCGGGTGTATACCCAGGCATGGTGCCAATGTGACCAGGGCCAACCATTCAAGACGGCCCGCACCAACTCTGCCGAACTTGCCCGCGCGCTCGTGCCGAATACGGTCGCCCAAGGCCAGAAGCATGACTATGTTGATCAGTCCAAGTCTCAAACACCCGAGAATGACTTGCTCTTGACGCCTGTCAACACTATACTGCGCGCGTCGGACGCTGAAAGACTCTCACAACTCTACACTGGTCCTGGCGCTCCGACAATCAGCCAACCACCGCGTGGTCCACGCGTGGCAAACGACAAACACCCTGTGGGGGAGCTTGCGACATTTTCCGCCGGTCAACCACTACAGATGCAAGTCCCCATGAGCGAAAGTCCCCATCGTTCCTCGCCACTGCAGCCGTTACCACCGCCACTCAGTCGTTCACATTTTCCACGACGTACGTATGAGGATCGCCTCCGAGACGATTATAATGCCCTGGGAGACATGCGTAAGAGAGCCACGGCACGGGGAATACCATGGACGTACAATCAGACGTTGGGGGATATCCACGCCCTTGTTGTGGAAGCCGAGGAACGTGGACAGTGGACACAATACCGCCAACAGGCGATCAATCCACCGACAGTGCTTGCTCGGGTGCAGGACTCCGCTACCGAAGCTCGTCCATCTCCTACCGGCTTCGGCGTCCTCCTCCCTCCGAAGGGGTCGACCAGCACCCCACGAGGGCGAAATTCTCCTGCGCAGACAACCGGGATTACCGGGTCCCGGAACCAAGGTGGTAAACCAAGTAAGATCAGCTTTGTCGAGGGGACCATTGCAGCCAAACCCTCAAAGGCGCGTCAGTCATCATCTCCCAAGCGGCCAAAGAGCTCACGCTTCAGAGTCGACCCACGGGGCCTGCGCGGAGAAGACCCTGGTCCGGGCACGATCATCAACATGGAGGACCTCAAGCGGCAGGCAGAGGAACTGAAGAGGCTGGATAAAGCCATGAAAGAATTTGAGGCATACCAGAGAATGGTGGAAGCTGAAGAGAAGGCGCGCAGGTCGCAGATTATTGAGCAGGCGGAGAAGAAGAGAGAGGCGGAGAAAAAGGCCAGGGAAGCAGCAGCAAAGGAGCTAATGCGATTGTGAATGGAAGTGCATTGGGGCGTCGGCAGGTTTGAATGATCGAGTTGGAGTTGGAGTCATGGCCGTCGATTCAGGAGACCAGCACACGGGGAAGTCTGAGAGAGAGAGAGTCAGAGCGTCGTGTCTATGTGATATTTCAGCGGCCGGGGTAAGTTGTTTGCAAGGACACGCATAGCACAGCACGGAGTTAGCTTTATGTACAATAGGCATCAGGTTCAGGCCCAGCTTGAGCGTTGGCAACACCACACACGCTACCTAGGTACATAGTAACTCAGTATGGACTAGGTAGGCGCATGCTATACTATGTAATATCGCATGTTACGAGGTGTCCACAGCAGCTCTATTCGGTCTGATAGCACTATGTAGTACGTCCGGGTCTCTGCCTACTGTCTACTGCTGCTGGCTGCTACAGGAAGCATCTGCTATAGTACTCCGTACAAGAGACATGTTGTCCACGTCATACCTACTGTGTCCTCCGTCCTATGCAGTAATTACTCCGTACTTGGGGAAGTCGTGTTGCCCCTGAAACGCTGGTGTCCCGGCCCCCCACCGTCGAGCCAATTTCACTAGGTACAGCAATCCGGACTCGGCACAAACGCGACATGACACACAACACACGACGCGTGCATACAGTAGCGCGTATCACTCCTGGAGTCCGGTGGACAATCAAATCCCACGTACCAACGTACTGTGTGTGTAGTTTCTCGTGGTGGCGTCCCTTCCAGAATACTCCATATTGCGCGTCAAAAATCGGTACGAAGTCGGGTCCGTCAAAGGGTACTTCGCGTTGGCCACCCGCCATAATGTCACTCTTCGCGGAAGGTGTCGTTAAGAAAAGGGGCCGGCCTAGAAAGAATGCGGTGGTCGGAGAATCGAATGGAGATGGAAATGCAGATGTGACACTCGAGAGCGAAAGTGGTGCGGTGGTGTCTTCGGGCTTGAAGACGAAGACGAAAACGCGAGGCAAAGGGAAAATAGAGGCCAAGAAATCGGCATCAGTGGCGGCATCATCACCACCAGCACCAGCGCAGTCACCACCATCGGCATCGACGTCGACATTGACCACACCATCGCCATCACCGCCCTCGAAAAGAGGACCAAAAAGTCAAGTCCGAGATGCTGGTCTTGCAGACGCCGTTGATGAGTCGAACCCCGCAGCTACTCGTACGGCGGCGGTAAAGGCCGTAGCTGGGAGTAAATCGCGAGGAAAAGCCACGTCGAGGTCTTTGGGCGTCAAGAAGCAAGAATCGGTGTCTCCAGACGTCAAGAAGCAGGAATCAGAATTGGTGTCTGTTCGCGATTCAACGCCACCAAGAAGAAACACGTCCAAAGGCGAAACCCGGGTAGAAAACGCTGCTGTTGTATCTCCATCTCCATCCTCATCATTGCAAGGAGAGGGCACGGCGCCCGCAATACAGCCTGAAACTTCAAATCCCTCACAGACAAGCTCAAGGGATATCTCAATCTCGATCTCTAAGATCCTACAGCAGGCGAAGGCATTCTCTACACACTCGACGCAGCTACAGCAAGGTATTCTGGCGTTTGTGGACGAGCGAGAGACGGAGAGGGAGTGCGAGGCTCTGATATCTCCATCTTGGACACAACCCTCCGCCGACGTCGAGATACAAGTGTCAGCTGCTCCTCCCATGACGATCGCAGGGTCGCTACCGTCCACCGTTCCTGCTATCGATATCGCTATCGAGCACCAATCTTTATCCTCCACGGCGACTCATTCACCACCGTCTCCGTTAGCGTCACAATCACAGCCCCAGCAACCACCACCATCACCACAACCGCTCTCACTAGGAACGATGCCTCTACCGCCTATTCAATTCAAGGGCACCACCGCCGCCGCTGCCGCCGCCACGGGCTTCGCAGGACATATCCGAGCTTACTCATCCACATCACCGCTCCCAATGTCCACCACCGTGGCGCTCGCGGCGCGGGGACAGAGCCGTACAAATTTACCTCCTGCCCCGCCACGTCGCACTGCACCAACGACGACAGCTCCAGCTCCAGAACCGCGTCATCCCCTCCCCTTCACGCCACCCTCGGCCGCCGTGCCCATCGGGCCGCGACCGCCCAAACTGTCTGAAATGCCGCTGGAGCAGCGCAAGAAGGATCCCCGCTACAGGAAGGCCACGGTCCGGTATACGGCTGCGATTGTGGCATTGCCGTTTGCCATTGTAACGAGCTATCTTTTGTGGGAGAAGTGTATGTTTATCTCTTTTTCTGGTTTGTTGTTTTTCTGCCCCGTAAACTCTCTTGTCGGTATATCTGGTGTTGCTTTGCTACTTTCATGTCCCCATTGCTTTGCTATTATCATGTCCCCATTGCTTTGCTACTATCATGTCCCCACTGCTTTCGTACTACCATTCCCTCATCGTCATTGTATCTGTTCTCGCTCTTCGGGTATCATTCCTCAGTTGTCCGTGTTTTCGTCTGCCTTCTCCTGCTTCTCCTTCTCCAATTTACGCATCCTGTCTTCCACGTCTGACTTACCGGCTTGTGTGTGCGCAGATCAGGAACATCAAATCTACTTGCAGAGAGTTAGGGAGGCGAGAGCAGCGGCGGATACGACGGTTACCACGGCCGCAAATACAACCCGGGGTGGTCCAAGTGTGGGTGGCGGTTCAGCTTCAGGTCTGCTTGAACGAGGTGTGCCACGTGGCTCTACTCCCGGGAGGCAGGATCGAGAGTAGATTGGTGGTTGTTGCCTCGACATCACTCAATGCGACTCACCTCAATTCAACTCAACCAAGAGCGGTTCACCTCGACGCGCCTTGACTCAGCTTAGCTTAACTCAACACGAGGACTAAACAACGAACGAGTGAGAGTAGTGAAAGGCACGATTCGAATGTTCAGACCACTCAGATCACTCGACTTCGCCGCTCTGATCCATCAAATACCCCGATTTCGCCCTGGGCCCGGCACCACACATGTACAGAAGTTACCGTGGCCTGCAGCCAGAGCCCCTAAAACAGAGTTAGGTTCGGAATGGCGATGCCGCGAGAGATTAGGATCAGGAGCGTACGTGCTGCCCGGCTTTTCCGCTGGGCCAAGATACGTGTGGTCGACTCAACGTCTCCTCCGCACATCACATATATACATATGCCTGCGTCACCCGTACGAGCATGGGCACGAGTCCCCACCTACCTGCTCGCAACTCGTACGTGATAGGACGGTAACGCTACGTACTACAAATGTGCGATGGGAGAATAGACTCTGGACCGTCTGTTTACGCATGGTATGCACATATGTCCGAAACTACTAGGCTTGTGTACCGCGGATGCTGGACTGGACAGATTGAGCACGACGACGAGGGAAGTACGGAGAACATACCTGCTTATGATATACTGCTATGCTGCTAAACGAAGGGACTTTCAACTCTCGGCTCTCGACTCTCGACTCTGCCACCTTGTTCTGTTCTGGTCTGCGCTGGTCCCCTTTCGGGCCTTTCAAGGAAATCGGATTTATTCTGCTGCTCTTTGCTCTGCTCTGCTCTGCGCTAGTCCTGTCGGGCCTGGAAAGGGACTCAAATCTATTCAGCTCATGCGTGCGCTGCATGGTCCTGTCTGGGGCTTGGAAAGGAAGTTCAAATCTATTCTGCTGCTCATGCGTGCTATCGTATGTCTGCCGTCGGGTCTCTTCTCTGTCGGCGCGTTGGTGTTTCACGGCTCTGACCAGTCGTCATCTTGCGTAACTTTGTTCTCAGATGTTGTGCCGGCTCCGACCTTTATTCTGATACAGAACTCTGTATGGAGTCGAGGGCTCTCTTCTTATGCCTTAATCTCCCACGACAAGTGATCGGAGGCTTCAAGCAGACATGGAGACTCCGCCTACCATCACTCCAGCCCTCATCCCTTCCTCTAGTCGATGCTGTTCGCTGACAACTTGCTCTCGAGCGTGGCGCTGATGCTGCTACAACTTGCTCTCGTATGTGGCGCCTCCCTCCCACGCATCACCACCCTCGAGCTTCGTCCATGAACTGACACTCCCTGGCTCGATGCACAGGTATCTCTTCCACCCGTCTTTGGGCTCAAAGTCACCCATGCCTTTGATCTTGTCTTCCCACCCGTTCCACACTGTCACGTCGGGCAGCGCGTCACGAGTAACCACGAAACTCTCCTTGCCGTCTTCAGTGACCACCAGTGGTACGAGCGGGTTCGCCGCCTTAGTGTCCTGGGGAGGGGTGTACACTCGGTCAGTCTCCCCAGAGAAGGAGAGCGAGGAGGATTCTTCCGTGAACGTCTGGGCCGAGCGGACCTTGTCAACGTATGGAGAGGATTTCAGGCCCTTGACCGCGGTTTTGTGAATGTCCTGGGCATCGTTAGGATTCTTTGCTACACTTCAGTGCGACAATCTTGTAAACTCACCTTGACCGCCAGGTAAGTGTGGAAAAGAGACTGGAACTCGAACGACTGGTCGCCCTTGTTCTGTACATGCAGCAGACACTCCAGCTTGCCCTTGCCCAGCGTCACACTGTACACCAGCCCGAACTCGTAGGGCCACTTCTTGCGCGTAGCCTCATCCAGGTTGGCCGGACTCAGGCCAAAGTCCAACTTGACGCTGTCGTCTGCCTTCCGTCCTAGACTCTCACTACTGCTCTTCCCCAAGAACTCCCAGTATGTGTTCCTCGCAAACCCGTGCTGCGGTAGTTGACCTGTTGCATGGGTTTTTGGGGGTGGGCCAAACACTGGGAACACGAGCGGGATGCCTCCTCGGATGGGTTTTGAGCCATCTAGCGCAGCGGCACTGGAGAGGAACAGCTGTTCTGCACCGTTGCCGGTTTTCCAGCTCGTGACTGTGGCGCCGTAGAGGTAGACAGTTACAGAGTCGCCGGAGGGGAGGCGGGCGGTCAGGACGTTGTCAGAGAGGTCAACTATGGGCTGAGCCACTGAAGGGGAGACCGGGATGGCAGAGGGTTTGTTCTTGCGATCCATTTCGAGTGTGAGAGAGCGAGGAGCGGTGGGAGAGGGCAGTGGAGGGGTAGTCTCTTAGGAGGTTTCGGGATGAAGAACTGTTTGGTTATGGAATTCCTTAGGTCGACGAAGACGCTACTACGTCTGAACTCTGGTAGAGAAGAATGCAGCAGTAGAAGAGAGTATCAAAGGTGGTAACTTAGTAAAGAAGATACGTAGGTACCATTGAAACACTCTGAGCAATTGTCCAGACACAACGGGGCATGTTGGAGGGCAAGCCGCCCATTGGCCAGTTCATCCTCAGCCTTGCGAAAGTGGAGACTCCGAATGTGGATGTCTACAATGTCATGGTCATTGTCTGTACACCAGCTGCTCACTCTTCCGTGTACTACTCACTCTTTGTTCTGAAAATGGGTGCCTCATCCTCCAAAGTCGCCAGAGCCTCTGGCTCTGCAGCTCGTCGGAGATACCCATCCACGCCTACCATGCTCAACTCCGGCACTGTGCCTTCACCAGAGGACGCACCCATCAAGCCCACCCCCGCGGCGTCAGTCAGACCCAACGTCAACGCCGCCCCTCCCTCAGATCAGAAGGCACAGCACGTCGAGCTTGACGCGCGAGATCCGCAATTCGGCTCTGCGCTACGTCAAGTCGGCGCCGCAAGACCCATCACGGAAAGAAAACCCAATGAAGAGTATTTCCCTACCTCAAGCCAGCCTATGCACTCTGGCCCGAACATCTTCCCGTCACAGCCAAACAATCCTGCTGTGTTGCTTGTCCAAGCACGACAGAGGATCCTACGACAATGGGAGTCCGAGCTGGAAGATCAAGGGCGACGGAGCTTTGCTGGCAGAACGCTCATGAGCGCGCAAGAGATTAGACAGGCCCTGACTTCGAGAGATGACGCGGGAAGACCGTCGAACGAGGTGGAGAAACAAATGAGGCTCAAGCCGGGTGTGCTGGATCAATTGGTGGCTAAGGGTGTTGTGGCGAATGTCTGAGCAGCACACTTTGAGAAGGGACAGCTCGTCAAGGGCAGTTGCCACGATCCAGTCCAAGATCACTGTATTTTTGGAGGCTCCTAGCCAGAAATGGCTCCGAGAAACACTGCTGTGCCGGACACGATCAATCATCTATTGATAACCAGGTCGGGCCCGGGGAGCATCAGACCCAGGACGATCGTTCCACAGTACCACGCTTCGTGCTGTCATACGATTCTGCTGCCAATATGTGGTTTAGGGCAGTCCAACTGTACTGGACCGTAAGCGTTCATGGCAGGACGACACAGATGAGTCCGCCTTTCAACTAGGTCCACCCATTTGCACGGCGTCCAGGATTGCGAAGTCTTCGATCAAATCGACCAGGACATATTCACGAGCTCACAGGCATACACCACGATACAGAGTGCTCTCTTCTCAACACATTGGACAAAGACTGTACAGCCACAAGTATTGAGCTTTCTTCTCAAATTTCACTCACATTCACTACGCGGGAAAGTAAACAGTGGTAACTCTCCAGCATGAACACTTCGGCGCCCGGTCTCAAGGGCCCCCTCATATGGATATATACCTTGTTTGCAACATCTCGGTAGATGGGTTACCGAGTTATCGAAAAGAGGGAGCACACTAGTGCCTGGATGTTCGAGGGCTGCTTCGATGTAGCGGTGATGAGTGGGACCGGCATGGCAAGCGGGCTGTTGAACACTGACTTCTCAAGGGCTAGATGTCGTTTGGAGACTGATGATTTGTGTGCTGTTGCTGCGAAGTAACATGAGAGTAGGTGGAAGCGGTATAGCAGTGTTTGAGAGAACAAAGATCCAACTTCTTGGTTGCTTTGTGTTATGGTTATCGCTGGAATACTTCTTTCTTTGTTACGTTTCACTAAAGCACTGGATCTTCCGCCTGTTGTCGGTCTTCAGAGAACGTTGTTCGGCTCAAAGATTCATTGTCCTTTCGCCTCCCTCAACAGGTCGAACTCTTGTGCTTGTCAAGGAATCAATGTCTCTCGCTCCCAGGGCCGGGCCGTCTCTTTGTGCTTCAAAAGTATCATAAGGCGAAGACTTGTGGCTCAGAATCAAGGCAAGCAAATATTATAGGTACCATACACTATTTTCAGCAGGCACCAAACAGAAAGGGCAAGTCTTTGCCCCCTGAAACAAATCATACTAACCACCATGCCAGGCTCAAGCCGGGAAAACGGAAAACTCCCGTTGACGTTCGGGGTCGAAATCGAGTTCCTTTTCGGAATCAGACGAGACCTCGAACGATATCGAGAATATTCGTGGTTACAAGTTCAAAATCTCCGTCAGGACTATTTCTTCAAACTCGACCTGGAAATCACCAATGAGGCGGATCGGGATTCCGACTTTTCAACTGGTCTCCTTCAAGCCAGGACGATTATAAAGAATCATGGTGGGGAACTTTGGATCGACAGCAAAACCACGCCTTATGCTGACTCATTTGACAAATTCAGCTATTGGATGATTGTGCCGGAGGAGGCTGTTCTGGCTCCCAAGGACCCCGCCGAGCTCTTCCAGTGGTCTAATGGAGCCCTGACCGTACAACGAGAGAGCCAGATCTTCGATGAATGGGACTGGACTGGCCTTGAACTCGTCTCCCCGGCACTTCGCGTCCCCGACATGGACCAGAATCGACCGAACGGGTTGGTAGAGCTCACCGGCTACCTCAAGTTGATGACAGCTGACCAGTGTCCCACAGTACCCTATGTCTTGATGGCTAATCCCAGAAACGCCTCTGTCCACGTGCATATTGGCCTGCAGCCGGAACCAGAAGGGCAGGTCGACTTCCCAGCAGACTTTATTCGCCACCTTGCCTGGCTTTGCATTGCATTTGAGGATACCATCACTCTTCTCCACCATCCCGAACGACATTCGTACCCGGAAACCAAGAGTCGTAGCTTCGCCAACTCGAATCGGAAATTCTTGCATGCCGTAGGTGCATCGCACCGTGTCCACTGCTGTCACCTGGGCAAGCCATTCTCTGCCGAAGATACATTCATGAAGATTTTCGACTATGAGAACGAAGACGAGGATGGGGACAACATCTTTCCCTTGCTTCAAGCATTATCGTCCAAGAAGCTCCCGTTTCGCGAGGAGCCCTTGAACATGGCTGACTTCAATCGATTCCTTTTCGTCAACTTTGAGAACCTAGCAATTGCAATGATGACCACGGAACATGCCAAGAAAACAATCGAGTTTCGGCAGCATCAAGGCACACTCTCGACCAGTGATATTGAACAATGGGTAATCTTTCTTACCGCGCTGTGCCGAGCTTCGGAACGATTCGAGTCACTAACCCCGGACTCCAACGCGGCCGTTCCTCTGACGCTGATGTCGAAGCTCAAGAAGAAGTACAAGGATCCCAGGAAGCTGGATCGAGCTATCATTGAGGCTAAGAAGTACACTCAGATTTGGCAACGGGACCGGCGCTCGTTGAAGCAACTATTCGATATTCTTGAGTTACCCGTCCATCGGAGGCTCTACTGGTGGCAGAGAGCCAAGCAGGTTAGAGCCGAGCTTGACAAGAACTGGTCAGGTAAGTTACAGTCAACCTGCGACGACATTGATTGTCCTAACAAGCCTGTTAGGGATTGCGAAGGCTGGGAGGAAGGCGAGTTGGATGAGCCCCCTTGGGACGGAGCTGACGACGATGCTGAGTACGAGCTGGACGACATTGAGATGGAAGAGGACGAAAGTGTCCCCATGGACATCGACAATGACGTGCCAGAACCAGAGAGCTCGATTCCCCGGCTCGACATGTTGTCGGCAACGAGTCTAATCGAGGACGATGTCGACGATGTGCCTATGGAAATTGACGATGATATTCCTTCTCCGGCATAACCACAGCTGCACAGTAACACGCTCCCAGACTGTCGGTGTCGAAGTCGTCTATCACACATCACTATGCCAGGTCAACGGTGGTAGAGGAAATAAGGTGTTAATGCTGGGACATCAATGCCAGCTTTTGTAGGTTCAGGTTTTGAGGTAAATAAACAAGAGTTCCTATATCAGAGGTTCATGCCTGCATCTTCAGCTTTTGGCTTGGCTCGTCAAACGCTGTGCATATCTGATTATGCGTTCATCTCGCCCCCAGTCCTGCATGATTCTTCGCTAGTCGCCTACCTAGACATTATCCCAGCTGTTGGATCTTTACCAGTAGCTTCCTGTCCTACCCCAGTGAAGTGTTCGACAGCAATATACGACGTAGATCCTTCTCGCCCATTCCGGCATTGTAACGTCCCGTTGACGTCCCACCTGCGTTCTTTCCTCCCGAATACTGTGCCTCGATGAGAACATCAATCACAACTTCGCCTTCCCACCCTTCCCTTCTGCCTCCAGAACGTCCTCGACCTCAATCTCACTCGTGCACAGAATCAAGGTATCCTCCAACGCCGGCACGCGATACTTTAAATTCACCCCCTGATAGTCCTCCCCGGCCAACATATCCACAAAATGCAACACAGACGGATAACTCGCCAGCGCAAACTCATCCCATTTGCCACCTTTCCCGCCCTCCCCGCCCTTCTCGTCCGCGTCGACAATATTACCCACGAGCTTCGCAACACCGCCCCGTCGCTTGCCGATCGACTCGGCAAACGCGGCCCCGTACTTCAAGTACGACGGCTTCAGCCCCTGCTTGAAGGCGAGCAGATTGAGCATCGAAAGCGGGGAGCTCCCCGCGCGGGTTTTGCGGAACGAAGTCGCCCATTCGAGGAGACCAGGTGACAGTTCGAGCGTCTGCGAGGTGGTGCCTACGCGCGGTTTGTCCAACGACCCGGTCAGCGTGGGGATGGCCTCGGGCCTTGGATGCAGGAGTTGGTCGTTCGTGCGGGCAAAGTCCGCGGTCAGGCGCGAGGGAATGCCCGCCACGGTGGTCCAGTGGTCCAGCAGCACCTCGCTGGTCAAGGATTTGGGGAGGGGATCCGTGCCGAGGATGATGATGAGCAGCATCCATGGAGATTTGGGGTTCAAGAGGCGCTGGGCGTCGATGGTCGTGGGCGTGATGATCCAGCGGACGACTTTGGAGGTGGTGAGGATTTTGGACCGCGGGATGGAGGTATGAAGGGTGTGAAGATACGAGGGGAGCGATGTTGAGGGTGAGAGGGCGACGAGGTGGATTGTAGCGAGGGGCATTGTGGCTGATGTACGAGGGCGAGGAGGATGTTGTACGCGTAGGACGTAGTTGCGTATATGATATGTAAGGAGGTGGATGTAGACGTGGATGTCGATGTGACTACTCGTCCCTAGGGATGGATATACAAACGTATTGTTTCTAGGTATGTTTCGCGGTTGACTTTGAGTTATAGGGCCATCTAATGACGATTGAAGAGCAGCATCACAGGCCTAGATTAGTGCCTCGGAAAACATGGGTAACACGGACTCCCAGAACTTACTTACCTTCTAATCAGCGAGCTCGATCGTACGTCTTTGAACGTCGGTGGCCATGATGCCTCGGCGAGCTCGGCCCGCGAGCAGCTCGGAGGTGGAGAAAATGCTGGACAAAATGTGACAAGGCTGGACGATCTTATCGTATCTAATCTTATCTGAAGCACTGAACATCTTTTTTTGCTTGCAACTCCGCATTTGCACGAAACAGACGAACACCACCTGCTCCGTGTACACCCATGGAGTCTTCTCTGATTCTGGCTCCAAACCCAGCGGCATACCCTCTCTCCCTTGAATCCCGCTAATACAACAATCTCCGCGCCGGACTTCACACCATTTTTGGTCCCCTCAAAGCTAAGCTCAACTCGACCCAAGAAATTTCAACACTGCCCTATCCCTAGACGCGCCGCTACGTTACCTTGTACCACTCTCTCGTGTATCTAGGACCCCTCGCGCCGCTACGATGTCGGCCTCCGCCGTCGGTCTGAACCCTCTGCCTCCCCATCTCCACCACTCCACGACCCGTCTCACGCACCGCCAAGCACATACCATGCTTGCCAGCTTTCTCGACCGCGCCGAAAACGACGCCGCATACAGACCGGACTCGACGCTTACGGAGCGGGGACCCCAGGCTTTGTCTAGTTCGAGCACGCCGAACCTCACGCTGACTCACCTGAAGAGGATCCTCAAGGGGATCGAGGGAGAGCGGGTAGGCGGTGGGTTGAAAGTGCTGGACGAGGATGCCGATGCCGATGCCGACGCCAATGGCACGGCGAATGAAGTCGGAGGATCGGATGGGACCGTGGATGTCGACGTCGGTGACACAGAGGGCGAGGGCACGACAAGGGGCGTGAAGCGAAGTCTGGCGTTCGATCAGGAGGATGCGGCTCCCAAGAGACAGAAACAGGGGCGAAAGCAAAAGCAAAGGCAGGATATAATTGCCTTGCCTGACGCCGAACGCACAGGTGATCCCACCGACGGGGCGGTCCTCGAAGCTAGGAATGCCGCCGACGACGAGAGTGAGTGGCAGGACCCTACGCTCTACGCCTTAGGACGACACGAAGTGAATCACAATGACGCCCCGACGGGACAAGGTCGAGTCAAAGATGATGCCCGCGACGGCGTTTTCGCGGGAGGCGGACAGAACGATGCGGGAGGCGAGGATGAGTTGGATCTCGTGGAACTCGACGCCCGAAATGAGATCGAAGAGGCTAGACATCCGGGCGCGGGCTTGAAGCAGCCGAGTGGGCCGGAAGAGGAAAGACAACTGGTCAGTATCCGGATCGAGGGGACGGGCGAGGTCGTAGACCCGAGGGAGAATGCCGAGAAGAAAGGGAAGAGGGCGAAGCCGGCAAAGAACGCTGGTCACATCGACGGGGCGGAGCTTGTTAGACAGACGAGAAATGTGGAACGAGATGATAAGAAGAGGAAGGGGAAGAAGGAGAAGGCGAATGACGCCGGAGCATCGCAAGAACAGGACCGCGACCGCGACCACGACGAGGATGGAGCTGTCGACGTTGACATGGCGGACAGTCAGAGAAACAAAGTCAGCAAGCACGCTGAAGATAAAGAGGCGACATCCCAAGCACTAAGCAAGGAAGAAAAGAAGAAGCTGAAGAAGATGAGACACAAGGACGCAAAGAGAGACAGGGAGGATCAGAGGCTGAAAAAGAAGACGAAGTAGTGGCAAAGGCATTGCCAAGGTGAAATCCGAGCATTTCGCGTCTAGAGGAGAATGGCCACTCGACCAATTCTTCGATGATGGAAATCCGAGCTTGTGCCTTCTTGTCTATCCATGTCCGATCCGTCGAGTCAGTCTCTGCGTGGTTTGAGCACGAGACCTCCTGCCTCGATTGAACTTTTCGAGCGGCCGTTGGAGGACGGTGTGGTGGACTCGATCTTTGCTCCCATCTGGCCCCTCTGAATGATAGACGCCATAGTTTACAGAGTTCGTGGAGGTGCCGACCCACGATTTTCCATGCCGTCTGCAGTCATGATACACCAATCTGTCTGCTGCTTCCCAAGGCACTCCCTAATCTGATACGAGTTGTGTTCCGTGTCGGATCACAGGCCACATCAACCGTGATTCAATCTACTAATAACACATGGTGCACGCCAGACGAACGGTCGAAGCTTCACAGCTCTCGCTGACTCGCCTTGACCACATCCGCATCCACAACCTTCTCATCCAACCCGACAATCTTACCATTGGCAGCCTTGCCCTCACCCTTACTACTCTTCCAGCCCAACGCCGCCAACCGCTCGGCCAGAATAGGATGACTGTAGTGGTAACTGGCATACATCCAATCTGCGTCCATCGTACTCAAATTCTGGACCTGCAACTTGATCAAACTCCTGGCAAGCTCGTTCTGGTAGCCCAGGTCTTTGGCGAATTTATCAGCCTCGAACTCGAATTTGCGCGAAAGAATATTCATGCCGAGTTTGACGACGGCGTCCATAGGGGCAAGAGCGTCGGAAAATAATATGAAGCCGATGATGATGGGGTGGGTGTTGTGGAAGCCAAACGAGGAGTACAGAGAGTGGTTGTCGATGAAGACACTGAAGAGGGCGAAGATGTAAAACATGTGGAACTACCCTCGGTCAGTATCAGGAGGGTCAACGCGGAGTGAGGTACGTACCTGCGCGATGGCGAATAGCTTGGTTGTGTGCGCCAGGCTCCAGTGGCCCAGCTCATGGCCAAGTACTGCAACCACCTCTTGCGCCTCGCTCTTTTCGATCAAAGTGTCGTAGATAACAATGTGCTTCTTCCATGGCAGCCCGAAGAAATAAGCGTTGCTGTGCGCGCTACGTTTGCTTCCATCGATCACAAAGAGCGATTTCAGCGGGAATTTGAGTCTCTGCGACAGCGCTTCCACACCTGATTTGAGTTCCCCCGGCTCGAGGGGCGAGAGTTTGTTGAACAGCGGCAGAATGAAGATCGGATAGATGGTGATTGCGAACAGCTGGACCACGATTCCAAACAGCCACAGGTAGTAGAAGAACCTCGTGCTCGTGACCTGGATGATCTTGAGAAACGCGCTGAGGAGCGGTGTACCCAGTACGACCATCAATGCTTGGCCTTTTAGCATGTCCGTGATCCATAATTTGACGGTCTGCTTGTTGAATCCGAACTTCTCTTCCAACACAAACGTGCTGTAGTACGACAGTGGCAGGGACAGAAGCTGCGAAACAAGGCTGAACGTGAAGAAGAAGAGCACCGAATGCGAGATCTCGCCGGAGAAGCGTTCGGGCAGGTAGCGGGCCAGCCAGAGACCTGTCAAGGACCAGAGCTTGGGCAGGATATCGTACTGGATGAAGAGGACGTTCTGAATTTGCGAGTAGAGACCGGAGAAGAAGCCAAACTTTGCTTTTGCCCGGCCGTATGCCTGTGAAGAGAGAAGTCAGTATACACGGAGAGTCGTTGGATTGGACGTCTGGCGCATACTTGGCTCTGGTCAAAGACATCTTGCGAGATCTCATCTTCCAATGTCTTTGGTGGTTTCTTCTTTTGCAGGACCTTGTACTGTCGCAAGGAGAGGAGACCTTCGAGAATATATTGACCAAGGGAGAAACCCAGGATCACTTTCTTCCACGGGAAGCCAGGTCGATCGAGGAAGACCGCGAGCCGCTGTAGGAGGGTCACCGTTAGTGAGGGGCCATCATACGGGCTTGAAGGCAGGACGAACACGTGGGAAGTCGCTCAACAGGCCCAGTAGCGAAGCCATATTCCTCCAACAGAATCACAGAGAAGGGAGGAATGCAGGAAGCATTAGATGCGATTGCAGGATGTACGAGCATGTGTCCCGAATGAACGCTGGGCAGGTGGGCGGCTTGCCTGCGCAGTGCAGCCGAATGCAGCGACGTATTCCGACAAGGCTGAGCAGTGTTACACTTAGAGTTGTCTTTGTTCCATCATACGAGTATTGCCCTTCTTGAGAGCTCCCCGTCTAGCAACATCATAGCCGCCCCGGAACCACCGCCACCATGTGTCGAGTCTGCGGCCGCGTGGTTAGATGCATTTTCGATAGCATGCCTTCGCGCGTGAAGGTCCACCATGTCCCAAGTCGAAGGTGAAGCCCCTCAATCTTGGTATATCTCTACTCTACCAAGAACTGACAATTGCCTTCCTAGAGCTTTCACTACCGTCAGACGAGTCTCAGCGCCACAGTCCGTATCGTCGGGTCAGACCTCTAGCTACTCATCGGCGCCATCTACCTCCTTGACGCGCGCATTTAACAACCTCACCCTCCGTTCGCATACAACTCAGTCTTCCCTCTCAACATCACTCCGCAGACCGGCTATATCCTCCTCACAACAAACGTCACGAATAGGCCCTTTGTCACTACTGGCAACCAGGTCCTTCTCCACGACTGCGGCCCTGCTCGGATATCGGAGAAGAAGTGATACATTCAATCCCTCGCGGCGGGTTCAGAAACGGCGGCATGGATATTTAGCAAGACTGAGATCGAAAGGTGGGAGGGAAGTGCTGAAGCGGCGAAAGCTGAAGGGGCGGACTGTATTGAGCTGGTAAAAGCCTCCTGGTGCTCTTTCGATCTTCGCACTGTGGGCCATGGGACATTGCGTCGCACACTTCTTGCTGTTTGTGAATGATTGCAGCGACGGTTAGAGCAAGGCCCAATGGATCAGATATCCCGATCCATCTGCTGGGTCAAACAATCCCCGTCGGTTCTGTATCTAATTCTATATCTATGTTTTATGCCTCTACGCCCTTCTCAGCACCATTGTCTTTCTCTTTGAAGTGCGCAAAGCTAGTCGATTCAAATTTCGGCTCTTCTGGAACTTCCACAAGCTTACTCGCCTCGGTCTGCATCGGTGTAAGCCCCCACCGTTCAAACATATCCTTGTCCTGCTCCCAGCCGTTGCAATCGGTAGTCAGCATTTTCTCACCGGTGAAAATCGCATTGGCGCCAGCCATAAAACACAGCATCTGCTCCGACTCCGGCATACTGACTCTGCCAGCTGCGATGCGGATGATTGTCTTGGGCATGACCAAGCGAGCGGTGGCGATGCAGCGCACCATATCTTCTAGTTTCACAGCATCCTGGCCGAACATAGGTGTTCCCTTTATCGGCACGAGCTTGTTTACGGGGAATGATTCAGGGTGTTCTGGTAAAGTGGCGAGCGTGTAGATGAGTCCGACGTGGTCGGTCGCCGGTGTCTCTCCGAGACCTAGGATGCCACCGCTGCAGACGTGGATGCCCGCTTCTCGCACATTCTCTAGCGTTTGCAATCGTTCATCGTAGCTCCGGGTGGTAATGACGTTGGGATAGTGTTCTCTTGAGGTGTCCACGTTGTGGTTGTATGCTGTTAATCCGGCTTCCTTCAATTCTCGGGCTTGTTGCTTGTCCAGCATGCCTAGGGTAACGCAGGCTTCCATGCCTAGAGCACGGACCCCTTTGACCATTTCAACAATGTTCTTCATTCCACGCGTTCTGCCGCGCATATCTCGCCAGGCTGCACCCATGCAGAACCTGTTGGAACCATTGGCTTTGGCAACCTTTGCGGCCTCGATGACGGAGTCGACGGTGGACAATTTGGTCGCTTGCAGGTTTGTCTTGTAACGGGAGGACTGGGCACAGTAAGAGCAATCTTCTGTGCAGCCGCCGGTCTTGATGTTCATAAGTGTACATAATTGCACTGCCGATGGTTTGTGGAATCGGCGATGGACGGTGCCCTGTAATGCTCGTCAGTAGGAGTCCTGTGCATGTTCATATGGACATACCGCGGCGAAAGCCAATTCCATCAGAGGCCTTTGATGTATTTCCGTAATCTCCTCCTTTGTCCAAGTATTCCTTGGGATGCTGGCATTGACCGCCTGGTCGAACACCGACCGACCCGGTGTCGGCGCTGGAGGAGGATTTTGTGAGAGACTGGCGGCCACTCGAGGTACATCGTGTACAATGCTGTAATGGCGCACTGAAGACACCTTAGAAGAGGCCTTGCGGGCCACGCACCTGCTCATCATTGCCAGCTCCATGGTCACGGGTGGTGAGGACCGGTCGTCCTCGTTTTGGTGGGATGTTGAGTAAAGTCAATAGCTCGGCGAAGCGGGAGCAATTCAGGAAGTATTGATTGGTGGGGGTCACTGCTGAGGGGCACGAATCGGTGGAATGGCTGCGGGACCCACTTCAGCCTTGCCCTTCTGAATTCCATTAATTATTTCACTTCTCTAGTACCTCGGTGCATAATCAAAACCTCAGAAGCCACACGCCTGGGCTGGCGAGGGACATAGAAGTTCTGAGCGGTCACGAAGAGGACGGCTCTGGACTGCTCTACTGGGGATGAGAATGTCTATTAGGAGGCCATGACCCGGGAAAGCCGAATGTGGACAGACTTGCTTCGTGAATCAGGATTGCTTTTTCCACTGCATTCACCCTCAAGACGTGATATATGCAGTTTCTGGTGTGGCAATGGCACATATTCGAAATCATGTGGTTGCCAACGGAGGTCCGAAACCACGCATCGATGCGAAAGTGCTTTTACAGGTGGGCATACTGGGCGCCTTCCTCTTGTCTATGCAGGCATTATGGGTTGCTCCGGCGGCTATCTCCACATCTGGAGATCCTGCTCCCCCGGGGCTTGCCATCAAGTGGTCATCGACGATCTAGTGTCTAGGATCCCTGAGTTGCATAACCCTCTAGCTGGCCCATCTGGAATGACGACAACAGGAGAGAGGAATGCACATCGGAGAACATGATGAAACTGACGGGCTGGTCAAGATGCTGGAATTTCTTGGGTAAGCTTGTCCTGAAAACGCTCCACATCCTGAGGCCAGCTCCCAGCAACCGCTGGCTGAGAAACTGGCAGATAGACTGCTCCATTGGGTGGGCTTCGTCTTTATGATCGCCAACGAGGTAGGAACGACAGCTCACACTAGCTACCGCCTGTCGGAGACTGATGAAGGAATACTCATCCTCATTGGTAGTCCTGCGTTTTTCTAATGAAGGAAGGGGAGACCACCGGAATCTAATCTATTGACCCTGGCTCCTCGTGCAACAAGGTCTGGTGATGGAAGACAGGGCAAGGGCCACTTTCTCGGACCTGTGTGTGTGTGTACTATACAACAGCCCTCCAGTCATATTCATGGCAGTTAGCAAATCCCGGAATACGGAGTTTGCTGTTCGATTTGGAAAGAACGGAGCGGACAAAGAATCGTACTGGCTAAAGGGTGAAGAATCTAGGTGCCTTTATTGCCTAGTTAGGGTTCCAGTATTTGTTCAGTGGGCTAACCCCAGAAACACCCAAGCTCGGCATGATTCAAGGGCTATCCAGATTCAGAAGGCAAGGTTTCTAAGTCAGGCTCAGCCTATGCGGGCCTCAGTACTCTGCTCTCCGTCAGTTCGCTCTGCCAATCGCAGCTGCCAACCAGGACCCGGATCATGTAATGAATCCCATTCGAGAACGTGGTCAGCTGTTCGGATTCCGTTGTCAGCTCGAGTACGCAAAGAACTTGTCGAGTGGAGAAGCCAGCCACCAATTCCTTCCATCCTCGGCACAAGCACTTCCTGTCTGATCGCAGTTAAGCGCCACGCAGGAATATCCTCTTGTGACAGACGGGAAGTCCATGGCCGAGGACGGGAACAACGAAAGACATCCTTTGCAAATACCTGTTTGCGTGATTTGGCGAACGAATGTATTTCCTGAAAGGAAGAAATGGGCAACCAAACAGGGCAGCTGGAGTGTGTGTGGAGACACATTGAGTAGCTCAATGAAGTTGACTATTGTGCATAGTAACGTCTTCGATTCTCCCCGTGCGCAGGCTGCTGGGTTTGTAGAAGGTGACATCCATTCACGTCGCGGATGTGTTTGCCGTGAAAGAATGTTCTCGGCATCGGCACACGATTGCTGCTCACATTTCCAAGAACCCTTCGGGACTGAAGAGCTGACTCGTGATAGGGGTTTCGACACCTTCCAGTAGCCACAGGAGTCTAGACTGCCGAGTTGCCAGCATCCTGTGGATACAACCAGCAGGCAATGCATAGTGGAATCAAGCACCGCCAGCGATGAAAGAAGGATGGGTTGTGACGCAAAGGTTTCGGGAGAACCCACCGTTTGTACTCGTATACCAGGGCTTTGAAGGAAGTGCCAATGGGATGAGCCGGCAATGCTGCTGGAATCATTACCGGCAGCCATGTCCTGCATGTCATGAGTTCAGCCCTGCCCACCACTTTGAGCGCTTCAGTTCATGCGAGTGTTTCTCTTCCTAGACCCCAGCGAACCTCCCCGATTGGTCCTGCAGTTCGCCAATCGTACCAATCCCGGGGTAACGAACTCGTGGTTCATGACAGCCGAGTGTGCATGTGCGTCATTGTGTCGTGGAGGGGGAGACCCATAAGGCTATTCAGTGGAGGGCAGTGACAAGCTCCCCTCAGCTGTGACACGAATCAGAGCTGTCGAAGGCTCGCTGTTTGATATTCATCACAAATCTGGCGCGCATTCCCCGGGAGACTGGAATCCTCCTCCAGCCAGCCGACAGGCTGATTGGACCATGTCGATGGTTCCCTGAGACAAGGTGCACCTGCCTCATGGTGAAATGATCAAAACCAATCTGTTGGAGTCAAGCAACACTTGCGCGCGCTCTTGTGGGACAGCACCACAGCAGAGGGATGTAATGGAAGAGAGGATCGAGAAGTCCGAATTGACCAGTCAGTCAATGGATATGCCATAGCGCCCAAGTGGCTAGAGCGGGACGACGATTTACGGTACCGCGCGCTCAAGGCTGCGAATCCTTCACCTGACCAGTCAGCCTCCTTCACGCTCACAAAGCTGCGACGAATCATAGGACCAACTGAACTCGTATAGCGCCCAGGTGCAGCGAGTTACAATGTCATTGAAAACAATCCGCACCGAGGAACAGGGACGGCCAGGTGGCCAGCGGCTTGCCAGCATGATAGATAAATGCGATGGCATGCACAAGAAGAGTGAACAGACTCTAGGACAATCACAACACAAGAATCGTTCCATTTCGGTGGCCTCATCCTGGCGACTCGTACCATTGCGCCTTTGGCCTAGGACCGGCTGCTTAGGGCGCGTTGACAGCTTGCACAAGATCAGAGCAGGTCTCTTCTCGGGCAACGTCGAGTTCAAGCCCTAGCAACACCGAGCTGCACTCAGCTGTACAACCAATCCACCTATCACAGCACCGCTGAAAGAGCCGACCGCAACGCCGGCCAGGCAGGAAAAACAAACAAAGCATTCTCAGCACAGCACGAGCGCGCAAAGGGAGCAACCACAATCGAAATCCAGTCTGCCGCCTGCAGTCTCGCTCGCAAGTCACAGGTACAGGCCCGACGAGCGAATCAAGATACGGATCCAGGTCCCAGCGGCGAAGCGGCAGTGGTGAAAGCAGCTCCGCCACAGCCAATCAAGCGTACGTCAAGCTCAGCCTTCGTCGGCTCCACCAGGCTCCTTCTCCACTTTAGCCGCCAGGCGGCAAGAACGAACGACAAGGGTCAGCTGGGGTTGCCCTCACATCGCCCTCACCTTGCCTTCATCTCGCCGTTTTAAGGCCCTCCTGGTGTCCCAACTTTTCCCTCCACCACTGACAACATCCCATCTGATTCCTCTCTGCCTCTCACTTGCACACGTATCGTTGGCCAGTCTTTGGCCCCAGTTGTCAGGCGCCTCAAACCGTCCACTCTCCTTACGGCACCTCAGCCGTTCCCCGCTGGTCGGTCTCTCTCACGGATACTTCTTTTTGTTACGCGCCAACGGGATCTTTAGTCGAAGATCCCTTGCTCCCACCCGGCCTACGACAATACTACTGCACCTGGCACACGCTTCGGTGACAGAGCAGGTCTCATCCTGGTCAAGTTTGACTGTCCCAGTGCCAGAGGAGCTGCAGCTGCTGTGCACGCTGCTCTCCCAGAAATAGATCGACTCTTTTCTCCCGCTATCTGCTCGACCTGTCCCTTCCACCTCTCTTCCCTCTTCACGGCACGATCCTCTTCCCTACGCTTGTGTCCGTCAGGCCTCTATCACCAGAGCTCCTCCTTCGCTCACTCAGCATCAACCTCCACGGCTTGGACGATTCGACTCTCTCGTTGTCGACATCACCATGCCTGCAATCACTCGACCGGTCCTCCCACCTCTTCAAACCCCCAAGTCCGCCTCTTTCCCATCCGAGATCGTTGGTACGCCAGTCTCTGCGGTGATTAAGCAAGAAAATGCGAGCCTGAAGACACCCATCACGCCGCCGGTGGCCTACACGGACTTTCTCAAAGCCTTGACCCCGTCACTGGCCAGCCCTCCCTCAAGCGCACTCCAAAGATCAATGTCGGACGAGTCGACATGCACAAGATATTCTATGATCTCGAATGCGTCTACGTCTTCGAGCCTGTCGTCGAGCCGAAGCGAGAGCCACAAGTCTCCTTCCAGCTCCGTCCCACCAACTCCATACAGCCGCAAAACGCCTACGGCGCTGAGACGGCTTCGCATACCACATTCTCCGGCATTTTCGCCCACCACATGTGGACCGTCTCCGCGGACAGCCGTGAGCGGCATGAGTACTGGTGGCATTTATTCACCCTTCTCTCCGGCTGACTGGAATTGCGAGAGCGCGACGCGTCGGTTCTTCGAGGCTCCCCGAAGCGCATGTACCAAGCCCGTCAGTGTCCGATCTGTAGTCACGAGAACGGTGACATACAAACGATCACCACCCCTTGACCCTGCCCCAAAAGGCAAAAAACGCAAAATTGAAGACGCGGAAATGCCCCCTCCACCCATCACCTCGAAAGATACAACTGTCATCAAAGCGTCCGATTTCCCGTCGACGTTAGTCGATTCACCCCCAACGATCTCAACGTCACCCACGACGTTGACGTTGGCACAACCCGCAGCAATGACCAATCCTCCGACTGCTGTCGCTTGAGACACACCTGACCTTTCATAGGCGGGCCTTTGAATTCAGACTTTTACGCATGCCGACAGGGACAGAACACTGAGGCTCGTCCCACTAGTCGGGACGATTATGGGATTTATGACGGAATCAGCTATCATTTTTGTTATACATGATACCACTACATCTTTCCGCGATGGCGCTTGGCGTTCAGACACTGTGAGGCACCAGCTCTGAGCGGAAGGAGTTCATCTGGCACGAAAGACTATGCCTCAACCTTACGACCTTGCGTGGGGCTCAGCAGGACGGACTGTACTGGGATTCTTGCGATCCGCTTGGAGATTTGGAAGCGGGTACGGGTGGAATTGTGAAAAGCACTTTTTTTTAGTGACGGATAAGGAAGGTCTCCGCAGCCGGATTCCCCGATCAGAGCAGGCCAAAGACTCGGGATCCGTGATATTTGGAGGCAATGGTGATGGCTCATTTCCCTCTCCACAAGGATGAAGAAAAAGCCAGAAACAACCAATGACTTAAGATACTTCTCCCGAACCACGGATCGCCTATCCCACCTCGCGCTATACCTCATAGTTTTGACCTTAGTAACCTGAGCGCGTCCTCCTTCCCGGCCAAAACACCTTTGGCTACGAGGACGCAGAAGGTTCGCAGAAAACGTGGCAGCCGGATCTTCAGCCGCTTCTAATCACAGGACTCTAGGGATGTTATTGGGCCACGACTACTATTCGATCACCGATCCACTGCAGCGGCTACCAGGACGGAACCCATTCGATTCGCTACAGCCGATTGCAGGATTACGTAGAATAGCGCCAGAAGCTTTGGAGAGGCTGCACACCGAGTATACTATGTATAACATCAGCGAATCGAGCTGAAGAGTAAGAAAGGTTCAGCAGGGCGTCATTGGTTGGATACCCGCGTGCATCGTATTGCGGTCAGCGTGGCACGCTCATGGAGAGGCTCTCAGTACCAGTACACAGTGCTTCTGCCTGAAGACTCCTTCCCACGTCCAGAGTTACGGATGTCGAAGTCGTTCAGGGGCAGAGAACAAGTGCCGAAGCGCATTTGCAACCTGGCTGTGAGTTGGCGATTCTACCTTGGGTCATGGCCCAACGCAGGGGCTGTTGACAGGAGTACCTTAGCCGCAGAGATCACAGCGAGAGGTACATTAGTTGAAGCAGGGCGAGTGCCGGTCCAGTTTGCAATGTTCTCCTGAAATGGAGCCCGGCACGAGTTTTGGCGGGGGATAAAGCAGCAACCCCTTCTGGCATGACATCACCCGCCCCCCTTGTCGCGTTGCCAGCGCAGAAAGGCTAAAACCCAATTTCCGAGGGCTTCTGCGACCAAAAACCCCTCCTCAAGGTGTTCTAGTGTGCTTCGAGTTGACGTCCATTGGATGGTGCGGCGGCGGGAGGGACATCGGAGGCCCCGCTGTACCGCAGCGCTGGAACTGCACTACTCAACAAACCCCTTTAACTGGCCTGTGGGCACGCATCCGGCTGCCCCTGGTGTGTGGGTCCGGCGCTTCCTCGAACACGCGCAACCACTTGTTTGAGATGACAGTCTGGCCATGCCTGAGATCTCCAGACCGGTTAAGCCCACATTTGAACCAAACGCAGAGGAGCTGGAGGGCGCTCCGTTATTTTTAGACGGCCGGACCGTCGTCCAATCAGATGAGTCTTCAGTTCTGACTACCTGATCCTCTGCTGCGTGCGAGTACGAGTACGAGGTACACTGTCGAGACTGTACATGCTCTGTGGTCGTCGGCAGAGCGCATACTGAGAGGACGTCCAGCGGTTGTCAATGCTTCGATGGGCATCGTGGCGGACTGCATACGAGTACTCGTGCACAGCAAGCATGGCGATCGATTGATACCTCGTAGTCCACGCGATGCATGCACTGCGACCGAAGGAGCCGCGTATTAATTGGGGACCCGTATATTTAGAAATCGACAGACCCGAGCAAGCGCATCACAGTACGAGGTGGGCGGTCACGACAATGGGCAGACAGGTAGGATGCTGGGTGTGGGTATTCATTGACCACTATTGAAGCTTGTGCGCCCTTCTGTTGAGAGCTACATATGTAGCGACAGCACGGAGCTTACTGTAGCAGCTGACTTGCCTCGTTCTGTCCGTCCTTGTACCCAGCTAACAATGACGTGAATCGCTGCGGTTTTCACCAGCTCACCTCAGGCACCCGAGGTACTCTAAATACGTGAGCTTCTCTGAAAATCAAGTCAAACAGTAATTTTGTTATCGATCATGGTACGAGTTATTCGCATCCTCCATATCACTAACTAGTATGTAGGCGGCGGCCAGTCGGCCAGTCGGCGGGTCGATTGGTCGATTTGCCTCATTTACCAGTTGACCGATCCCGGGGGTCTTCACGATTATATTGCCTTCTTTGATTTGACCTGCGAGTATGTGATACATACAGCGTACCGCGTGCATGTACAGGCTTACGTAATGATGCATCAATCGCTACCCTACCTAGGCAGGTACAATACGGAGTACAATTTGGCAATGTTGGCATCCCCTGTTGCAGTATTGCGGTACACAACTACCTTACGGATGCCAACCCCTACAACTCGCTAACGAACGCTGTAAACAATCACCCCATATCAACAACTACAACTCACTTACTCATTTTACGCCTTCGTAGTATTAAAGACATAGCCCTCAAACACAGCCGTGACCTTGACACTATCGTAAAAGCCCGTGACCTCGACGATCTTGCGCGTGGCATCATCTTCCTCGTCGACCTCGGTCCTCATCAACCACGCATACTGCATGTCGTAGTTGGCGCCATTCTTGCCGTACACGCCCTCGCTCCGCCAGTTGACGACCGCCCAGTCACCGTCCGCGAAGATATGCTCCACAATCGGCACGGGCAGCGTCACCAGCACGTCGCGCAGCGGGGTCAGCACCCCGTCCACGTACGTCTGCTTGCCCTCGTACGTGCCCGCGATCGGACTGCTCCCCGTGACGGTCCAGACCAGGTCGTCCGACAGGGCTTCCGCGAAGGAGGCGCCGAAGTTATCGAGCGCCACGGCCGTAAAGAGCGACTCGACGAAGGAGCGCGTTGATTCCGTCGCAGAGTTGGTGCATTTGTGTGATGGTGAAGGGTGCGCTTCGGCCATCATCCTCGTCATGACTCTTGGACGTGGTGGTGCGCCGAGCTGGTACTGAAGGTGAGTGCTGAGGCCAGGGTGATAAGAGTTGTGATGACTGTCGCTGAAGACTGAAGACCAGCACGACAGGCCAATGAGTGCGAGGCAAATGGTTGCAAAGTGGCGGAGCGGGGACAGCGTCGGTATCTGCATGGTTTTGTGACAAAGTAATGTGTGCTGTGTGTTGTGTGCTGTGCACTGTGCACTGTGCAAAGATGGTATACTGTTCGGTCAGTCGGTTGGCTGGAGTATGTTGGCAGCAGTATCCGGTACTAGATGATCACAGCAGCAAAGTACAGATACATACTGTAGGATGTAGTCCCTTTCCGATGATGTGGAAAAGCTCCAGCCCATCACCACTTATATATCCTTGCCTTTCTGCTTCTTCCGCTGCGTCTCCTGCTGGTATCTCCCCATATTTGCTTGATGGTTTTTTTTCATGGAGCTCACCTTCACGTTTAAACTTCTGCCACGTGTTATCTTGGAAAGCGAAGGATCCTCGACGACTTACCGAAGGCTCCTGCGTGCATTAGGCGCAGCGCTACTGCGCTGAGATGAAAGTGGTCATGAAAACTTAGCCCTCGGCAGTGGAGAAGCGAATACACAGTACACACACATGTAGGCTGAGGGAATGCACAGAGTTGAGGTGAGAAGACAGGAAGACTACAGACGATCGTTACCTTGAACCTGGACACATGACGACGACGACACCACAAGCTGGATGCTGTGGTGAAGTACATGTACATCTCAGGTGGGCGGGTGAGGAGGAAGTGAAGAGGTAAGCGATGGAGATAACCGATAACGAAGATGGGGAGAATTGGTCTCGGCCCTTTTCACCACCCTAAACGACTCCTTCCGAGGCATTCGCCTTCTTCTGTTATCTGCGTCGGTGCTATATCGCTAAACATCTGGCTAGTCGAGCGTTTGCTCAAGATGCTCGGGAGCGATAATGGCGGACAGAAATCGGCAAACCTGACGGTGCCTTGCGAGACGGTCAAGTATTTCTGTTGCTATCCTGCTGTGCACGCTCAGTTACCGTCCGCAAAACCGCAACGGTGCGAGGAGACACCAGCTAGATTGTGATGGCCCTCATCAGCCCAAAGCCTGTGAAGGATGTCGAGCACAATGTGGGGTTCTTCGCTGGTGAAGGTCTAGACTGAAGTGGTTATGGTCACAAGGCCCTGGCAACATTCTCATCCTGATTGTCGAGCAGTATTCAGTGATAGCTGATGCGGGACGAAGGCGAAGAAGGTCAAGTCGCTCCTGTATGGGTTCAGCTAGAAATATCACATCTTGCATGACAGTCGACGATGAAGTCGTCTCCTTGCGCGCAACTAAATGTTCAGATACGTACAGTAGTCAGGGGTCGAGGATGGACATCTCCGACAGGGGAATATCCCTCGAGCAACGAGCGTGTTGGACTGATGGTGGAGGAGCACGGCACGGTGGCCGGAAAGCAATCTCGGGTTCGGATGAATATTGTTCCCGTCTTGGCAGCCCTATCGCTATCGGTTGTCAGCCCAAAGCAAGTGTAACGTCAAGCCGCAGCTCGTTCGCATTCGCTCGCTCCCACGAGGCACATGTGTGCCTGCATCCTACAGTAGAGCCGGCCACGCCGCAACCTACACTTTGAGGTTTCTGTTCCTTCGTTCCTGTGACAAAAGATTACCTTTTGCGTGGAAACTCCTTCTGTCGATAATTTCCTTCCCGCGGACGAAATCATCGTGCCCCGCGCCCAGCTTGTTGGTGTATTCTGTGCGCCGTTGCGTTCAATATAGTCAAGTTCGACAAGCGAGCAACCGAAACCGTCTGTCCTGGGTGTCATCCTGTTCGGCTGGCCTACGAAGTATACCACAGCGCTGTGTACTTAATCGGGTCTCCGTTGGGTTCTTGAGTTCCAACCTCTGCTTGGATCATTCCCGAACGCGCGACCACCTATTACGAGCTTCAACATTCGAGATCAAGATGCCTTCCGTCTCTTTTGCAACCTTTCTTATTATCTGCCGTAAGTACTCTACGCCTCTGTGAGCGACATGTTGTGCGAGGAAACCGGACTGAGAGATTCATCCTACAGCCACCTCATTCTTCCTGGGCATCCTCTTCTCCCTCTTCCCTTACGACTACCCGCTATTGTGGTCCTCGCTGCCTACGGCGGCGTCGCACTTTGACGCCATCGAAACGCACTTGAAACTGCTGCACAATGCGCCGAATCTAATCGTGCGCATCCTGCACATCATGCTGGGCATGGGCCTCCTCGGCCTGATCATCAAGCTCTACAAGCCGAGCGAGTCCAACATGCTCTTCGACGGCGGCAGTCTGGTGCTCTACATGGTCGCGGTGATCGTGTACATTGCGAACATTGTCAAAGGGCTGAGGATCGTCAGTGAGGGCAGCTATGGCCTGGGCTCGGAACAGTTGACGCAGGATCAGCTAGACGATGTGAATGCCCGGGGCTATGACCCAAATGCAGGGGATAGTGTGCTTGGCCGGGAGGACAACCTGAAGGTCCTGGCCGCGAGTAATACGATCTTGGCGCTGGTGTTGGTTGGCGTACTTGTCCTTCAGGTCGGCCAGTGGTACGCAGACAGGACGGACGAGAACGCGCTGAAGGCCTTCCAGGAGAAGGAGAAGGCAGAGCAGGAGAAGAAGGAGCTGGAGGGGTCGAGTCCCCTGGTCAAGAGGTCGAGTAGTGGGAAAGAGGGGAAGAAGACAAAATGAGAGTTCGTACAGGGGTTTTATTCTAGCACTCTATGGATTGAGATATGCGATAACTCTGTGAATGAAAACCGAGCTCGCCGCTGGTACCTCATTACCCGGGTGAAGGAAGGCGTGCTTTCGTGCGCCCTCGCCATCTCTCCGGGTCTGGCTTTGCGAGGCTCCCGCGTCGAGATCTGATGCGCATATGGAAGATTCTAGTCTCATCACTTGGGCCTCGATGCTTTTGAAAGGACGTGTCGCATCTTCATTGAAAGGCGCTCTCAGGTTGTCGCCTTTGTGGCGTGTCGAAGCATGCGCTGTCCTATAGCCTGACTTGCAAGTCGCAACATGAGCAGTGACGTGGGAATTATTCCCATCTAAGCCGACGTGATTGGCTACTGTAGGATGCAGCGTCGGCTTTGACTGCGGCCGGGCTGCATCATCTTTCCTGCAACCAGATATCAAATATCTATCAGATCTCAGTGAACGTCTAGCACACGTTACAATTGTATTGATTGTCGCCGATAGATCGCGATGCCCTCCATGGCCGGCTCCAAACCCGTGGTGGAAATACCAAGGTTTCTACTCCCTCGTTTGACCTGGCAACCGGTGTCGCACGCATGGCCTCCCGTTCAGACACTTACGCCACGACTTCCCATCTACAAGACGGGCACGGCGCCCTCTTTCACGAATGCTTCCAAGCCGCGCTCGATACATACCAGTAACCAGGCGTCCCAGAGCCCCCATGCCAGAGCACTTGCCGCGCGCTCAAGAAGACCTCAAGCCCTAGGCCAACCACTCCCTGCAGACTCGTCCCCCATCCGCTACAATGGAGTTTACGTCGCCGCGTACAAGCCTGCTCGGAAAGCATTCTCGACGACGGCGGTGCAGCGCAAAGCGCACCACTTTGACACCTTGAAGTTCGTGCAGAGACTCAAGGATGAGGGGTTCACGGAAGACCAGGCCGTGGCCATGATGCGCGTTCTGAACGATGTGATAGAAGAGTCCATCCAGAACCTCACGCGGACCATGGTCTTGAAGGAAGACGCCGAGCGAAGCACATATACCCAGAAAGTTGATTTTGCGAAACTGCGCAGCGAACTGTCCAACGCCGATAGTACAGAAGCGCAGTTGACCCGGTCGAGCCACGATCGGTTGACCAGCGATTTGGCGAAGCTGAATTCGAGGCTGCGGGACGAGATCAGCCGCACGCAGGCCAGCGTTCGGCTGGACTTGAATCTGGAGAAGGGCAGGATTCGCGAAGAAGCCAACGGGCAGGAGATGCGGATCAAGGAGACGGAAGCGCGGATCGAGCAAGAGGTGGCCTCGCTCAGAGAACGAGTCGAGGCCGTCAAGTTCTCGACCCTGCAGTGGCTGATGTGAGTACATATCCGTTTGACTGCAGTCGTCTCGGCACCACAAATCCACAAGCATACTAACGCATTTCGCAGGGGTGTCTGCACCGGCACGGCGGCTCTTATCCTGGGTGCCTGGCGTTTACTGATGTAGATCGACAACTATACCCTCTCAGCAGGATTCGACTATCCGATGAATGGCAGTCGGTGGAACGTCCTGTCCCTTCAATGCGGTCTCACGAACATGTCCACCGTTGAGTTAAACTCCTTGAACGGGCGAGCCAGTAACTGGAGACGCATGTGCAGAGCAGCCTCTGAATTTGCCACAATCCGTTTGGGGGAATCGATATACGCCGTCTTGTCCAATCGAACATGGAGTTTGAGATTAGCAACACCCCTGCACGACTTCCACCCCAAGTATATTCTACCGAAGTCTGCTCCGCTCCAAGATTAGCCACACAGCGCACGTCGTGCTTGCAGGCATGTCAATTGATGAACTGAACTGGACTGGACCCAACTCTTTGCGTCGAATACCAAAACGAAGGCACAATTGCCAGACTATGCTTGCTGCACTCTAGGAGAAATTCGCGCGACTCTGGCGATTCTGACACCCGCAACATGTTGGTGTTAAAATGACTCACGCAAGCGCGTGCGTATGCCTCTCTACTTTCCTTCGACTTTTCCACGCCCTCTTCGCAGCGGAGGCTGCGTACATGTGGACAACACCACTCTGCATTGGACTATAAGACCTGACCTCGGACGCCTTGAAAGCTGGGCCTGAGGCTCAGAAAGGGCAAGTTAATGGCAGAAGCTCCTTTTACCAGCGGTCTCATCAGCCCCGTCTTCGCGACCTTGGTGAGTTTCTGTGGCATGTGGTTGGGGTAACCTCAAAAGGCACCTGAGTAGCGGACGACGAAGTACTGCACGGGGAAAGAGCCGGCTTCTGAAATGGTGCGCCATGTCCCCGCGTGTAACTGGGAAGGTTATCCGAAGGGTCGGCCAGACAGTACCAAGAGGTGTACTGGGCCATACCCCTATTGTACGATACCGTATTGTTTACATAGGCCTTCGTAACTATATAGCTGGGTCTCCCCCCAGACCCCTCTGAAATTCATCATGTCCTCCAATTGAGTCACACGCGTGAACACTTGTAATCACGTGATATACGGAGTACTCCGGATCAACTTCGGGGATCGTAGACAGGACACGCGGGACTAAGATTCGAACATGTGCTACACATTGTGGTACACATGATCCCAGTCACGCCTGCTTGAAGACACAGCAAACGCATTGCCTGCCGGACGTACGGTCTCCCGGGATATTGCAGTATGCGTCGCGTAAGACGTGAAAGTCAGAGCGCTCGTCCCTTCGCACTGTACATTATATGAACGTGTCCCGTCGCGACGATGAAGAAGTCGTTCATTGAACGAATATTCCCACACTCGCCTGGAAGTCCAGGATCTCTGCCGCAATACCGTGATGACTATTCAGTCTCATCTCCGCGCCCCGCGGCGTCTGCTCCACGCATTTTCCTGCAAGACTCAAGTAGAGCGTCGTCCTCCTCCGACCCCCACCGCAATGCACCCCTTTCTCCCTCTCAACATCATGCAAAGCTGAGCTCGTCCCTAGTGCGCCACGATGACCCGTTCCTCCAGGTCGAACGAGCGTCTAAGGACCTTGAAAGAACTTTCCAAAGTCTTCTCGATGCGCAGTCAAAAGGTCTTAGTGCGGGTGGTATTGGGTCGGAAGAGGCAGACGAGCTGTCGTCAGTCGGAAGTCCTACACCCACACCGTCCGTTGCAACGACACCTCTGAGCTCCGGGCCGGGGGCAAGACCCAAGACGGTACCGATACGACAACCAAAGCCCAAGAAGATCACTCTACGAGGAGCACGGCGAGCGCTGGAGAAATCCATGTGCGAGTTTGCAGCCTTGAAGCAGCATGAGTTGTCCCTCATCGACCAAGAAGTTGTGGCCAGGGACAATGCGACGAAACAAGCCTCAGACTTGAGAGACCGAAGACAACTGCTAGAAAATGACATACACAGAATCAAATCCGCTGAAGAACCTGTCAATTTAAGGACCCAGGTCGAGGGAGTGGAGCAGGAAATTCAGCACCTCGAAGCAACACTGCTCGAGCTGAGGTCTAAGCACAGAGTACTTGTGAACCAGCTTCGCGAAGTCGAAAGCTCCAGGGACTCCGAATTGAGCTCTTACACCGCATCCCTCGCTCTCAATGAGAGTCAGGTCAAGTCATTCCTGAAACGACCGCCAGTTCTGCAAAGCCTGAATGCGGCTCAAGAACCCGGAATGTACGCCCTCAGGCCGGAGAGGCGAACGCTGCAAATGGCCCAGGAACAATGGTCAAACGAGGTCGAGGCACTGGCTCGGAGAAAGGCCAATGTTGAGACTGAGAAGAGCGCACTAGAGGAAGGTTCCAAGTTGTGGCGCGATGCGACGCAGAGAATCAGGGAGTTCGAAAAGGACCTGAAAACCCATACGCGGGATCTGGCAGCTCAATCTCAGTCACAAATTCACCAATCGAGTCTCGATAATGGGGCGTCCCAGTCAAAAACTTCTACAGACCTATCCATGACAGTCGTGCTTGACAAGCTCTCTGCGCTGATATCGTCACTGGAAAGTGATCTCCAGCACGCCGAAGCCAACAATTGGAATCTTCTCATTTGTGCCATTGGCGCTGAACTAGCAGCATTCGAGCAAGCGCGCGATCTGCTTCAGGAAACTGCAGGTATGCGGCCGGCAAACTCTGGATCGATGGAGGAACCCGCTCCGCAAGACGAACGTCGTCCTGTAGACAACGAGTTGCACGATGACGAGCCCAGCCCCGACCTCTTGACCGGCCAGCTTGAAGACATGCTCGAGCGCAACGGGACCAGAAGTCCTGGTGAAACCAGTAACCACAGCCTCGAAGACACACTTCGCGACTTCAGCAATCCTCAGGACAAAGGAAAGCAGAGGACAACCGACGATCCTGTCGGAGGGCTGGAGCACAATGCCACATCAGAATCTGGGCACCAATGGCCCCGACCATTTCCCCAGCACGGTATACTTGAGAGCGACGTGGACGCGCGCCTGAGTCATGTATCAGCACCTTCCAACATTCGACCGAAACCTCCAGATCGAAGAATGACATCTGAAAGCGAGGATGATGAACCCGGGCCGGAGTTTCTACTATCGCATTCTTGATATCATTGACTTGAGCCTGGGAAGCGAGCCACCACGTTCCGATTATTAGACACTGTACTGTTTCCCCATAGCATTTCACCGCGATTCTCACGAGCGCAGCTAAGGAGTCCTGCCATTATTCTTGCGTCGGTTTTAGCGATAAGTGGCACTTTGAACCTTTTACTTTATTTGAAGACATATATCTCAAGCCGAAGTGAAATTTCCGACCAGCTGAAATCACGTTGATCCTTATTTCTCCAGTTCACCTTGATCCGTATTTTCCTAACGCGGCGTAACTTCCTCCGCCGCGGCGGGTGACGCCCCTCTTGATCTTTCCCATCCAATCCACTCTCCCCCTCTCACCCAGAAACACCGCGTAAGTCGCTGAGAAATGGGAGCGAGCATCGAAAATCGAGAACCGAGAAACCGGAAATCGAGCCGCAACGCGATGTGTTTCCTGCGCCGGAAGTTTAAGGTCCAGAGCCGAGGAATGCAACCTCGGAAGGCTGAAAAGAAAGGGGGACTGTACAGTAAGAGGTCCACAGCCCTTGGGGATCGCCTAAAAAGACTAAGAATCATGGCAATTCATGCCTACCCCTTAGCTTATATGCTGTCATGAACCGCGATGCCCTCCCCCCGTCATGCGCGCAGTCTCTTGTCGCTGTCGATTGGTCCGTGCCAGCTATGTTAGTGGAGAATGCTTTCCGCTAATGGACCCCCTTGTCAATGCTTTTCCGCGTTCTTATCCACCATATTTCCGTGTCCGCATTGTTGGGAAGAAGTAGGATTCACCTTCGACCCTCTGCATTTACTTGTACTTATGCTGTCCCTGGTGACCGCTCTCTTCTCTCGCCACATCCTTCAATCTTGGACGACCCTGGACTTCGCTAAAGTAAAAAGTATCATCAGTGTTCGTAGTGCATCTTCTGCTGTACTAAGTAATTATTGCACCCTATCCTTCCACTCTCACCATTATTGACATATAGGAAGGCCCCACTAAAATGGCACCCGATATCATCCTAAAAGATTCCGCAATACTCGGCGACAAGGCAGTTGCGGCCCACGAAGAACAGATGCATGCTGCCACATTGACGCCGGCGGAAAAAGGGATCGAGAAGAAGTTGCGTCTGAAAATCGACTTGCTGATCATGCCCATGGTCATTCTAGTCTATTTGATGAACTACATTGACAGGTAATTCGCGAGAATTCGTGGTCCAGAATGCATTATTGCTAATGGGATCTGCGTCACTAGGAACAACTATGCGGCCGCACGGCTGCAAGGCCTCGAAGAAGATCTGAACCTGACTGGTGACGAGTATCAGGTCGGCCTGAGTATACTCTTCGTGGCTTATGTGGGCATCTTCCTGCGCATCTGCTCCTTGAGATAGACTACTGACGCGTTTGCTGCAGGTCCTAATGCAAGTGCCTTCGAACTTGCTGCTGAACTACAGTGGCCGACCGTCACTGTACCTCGGTGGATGTACCGTCGCATGGGGGTTAATCTCGGCTGTGACCAGCCAGGTCCAAAGTTACGGTGGGATCGTTGCATGCCGATTTGTTCTCGGTCTCGTAGGTGGGTGTAGCATTGACCCCCTACCTTTTTGTCTTCGTTGCCTTTCCCTTATTCAAGGCGTCCCCCTCTTGTGGAATCTCAATCTGACATTTTCTCATTTAGAGGCGCCCTTCTTCGCCGGAGTCGTGTTCTACCTGAGCAAATGGTATACCAAGGAAGAGCTGTCCCTGCGCATGTCCATCTTCTACTGCGGCTCGCTTATCTCGGGTGCCTCGGCAGCCTGATCGCCGCGGGCATTCTTTCAGGGCTCGCAGGCGCTCGGGGTATGAGCGCGTGGCAGTGGCTGTATATCCTGGAGGGTTCCATCACCGTTCTGCTTGGCCTCATCGTCTGCGTCGCCCTGCCGGACTTTCCGGGCACCTGGAAGGGCCTCAGCCCAGAAATGCAGCGTGTGGCTAACCGCCGACTAGCCATTGACGCTGCCGAGATTGACGTGGACGAGGCGGGCGCCATGAGCCAACTGTACGGGATGAAGCTCGCCTTTTTGGACCCAAAAACGTACATTTTGGCAGTCGCCTACCACGCCATCAATGGCGCCGCCGGCTTTCAGAACTTCTTCCCGACCTTGACGGCGACCCTAGGCTACTCACATACTGTGTCGCTACTGTTAGTCGCGCCACCCTATATCTTCATTGTCGTCTGGTCTCTCGGTCATAGCTACCTATCGGACCGCCTGGCCAACAGATTCTGGTTCTTTGTCTACCCGGTACCCCTAACGATCGTCGGCTTCGTTATCTTTATGACTACCGACTCTTTCGGTCCACGCTACTTCAGCTTTTTCTTAATGAACATGATCTTCGCTATGGTCGGTACTTGCTACGCCTGGATCAGCAGCGCGATTCCCCGTCCGCCCGCTAAGCGCGCCGCCACCCTGGCCTTCATCAACTCGTTCGGCAGCGCCGCCGGCACCTGGACCCCGTTCACGTACTACAAGTCGCAGGGCAACCACTATCCCGTGGCCCTGGGAATCTGCATCGCTATGCAGGTGCTGGCCGGGATCTGCGGCCTTCTGCTCCGGCTCATCCTCGCCCGCGACAATCGGCGGCTCGCCCGCCTCGAAAACGAGGATGTGCAACTCAACGAACGCGAGCTGGCCCGGCTCCACAAGACGGCCGAGGTCGAGGGTATCGACCTTGCCGCGGCGCGCCGGCTGCAGAAGGGATACCGATATATGCTTTGAGAGGGAAGAATGGAAAAGGCTCTCTCTCTCTCTCTCTGTGTGTGTGGAGCCCCGCGTGCGAATGTCCGTCGGCGCCGGTGATATCAGCAAAACCTCGCAGATAGCAAAAGTAGAAAAAATGGGAGGCTTGGGCCTCATGCTTCTCTTCCTACGTGCTTTTCGAGCATTTTCTCATCCAGCTTCAGGTTCCCGCTGTCTGGATTTTGCCACGTCTGCGGGAGAACCCGGACACTGAAGCGTTAACAGACCTCCGGCCAGACAGGACGTGACAGAAGATGGCCGTCCCTGTATTCGTGGTTCAATCCAACCAGCGAAAATGTTATCGTAAATGAATAAACGCGACATTTGCCCAACAGTCAAGTCTTCTCGCGACGTTGGCCCGATTAGCCATGGAGAATCTGGCAGATTTTGCTCGGCCATGCGGCGGAGCTCTCGACCGCAAGTCTCGCCGCACCTTGAATAGTGTCGGTGGTTGTACAAAGGTCCGTCTTTCCCTCTCCGTGTCCATCCGCCAGGCGCCAATGCTGGTCTGGTCTAGGACGCCCGAACCCGCTGTGAAAGAAAGCAGGAAATCCACAAAGTCCATGGACATGGACGGGCATGAGGCAAAACTCCTCTTGGAAACCAAATGTTGAGCGGCTATGGCGATGGCTATGGCGGTGTGCCACTCAAGTCAGCAGATGTCGCTACCGTATAATTCAGAACAGAACATTCCTTGCTCTACTTCTTCAGTCGGAGAGGGGTCTCTCTATTCGGACCCATCGTCACTGTCGCGCTGTCACGCCACGCCAGGCCTTAGTTGCGGTCGCTACACGTAGATACCTAGTAATTATTGTCCCGGAATGTGTCGACATGCTGAGGGGGCTCACTTGATTGCCGCTACGAGGACAACACCACCTCGTTTACTCGTGATTGCGGTGACCCATCCATCTCAGCCATTCCAGGATTGCAACAAGCAGATTGCGACAAACGCAGCGATCAGTGATCAATCTAGGTTGACCGCTAGATAGACGATTGGTCCCAAGACCCGGTTTAGTTTCCCATCATGCAGACGAAGACTCCGATACGAAAGCTCGGTGGTCGCCATCAGTTCGGGCCCAACTTCGACCGCCTGGTCGTTTTAACGAGGACCTGTCCCAATAACAAGGCAATGATCGGGCATCTCTCGTCCATTACCAACGGATTCAAAAGCCCCCTTCAAACCGAACTAACTCATCGTTGCCGACATCTGCGCCGGCTTTGTCCGACCACGCGGTGCACCAGGTATGCTCCAGTTCCCATTCGGAGGGCTCTCGCCACCACCCGTCCTCGTACCAATGTTGCTATTGACAACGCCACCTGCCTTGGAAGATGTTGCAGCAGTATTGACGCCGCTGTCCCTTGATCGGATCAATGCCAATGCTGATTCAGGCCACAAATCCGTCTTCGGGTCCATCACCCAGCGATGCGTCTTCGACGAATGGATTTGCAGTTCCCATCCCTTGCGCAGGAAAAAAGGACACATGCCGGTGTAGGGTGAGCTCTTGTACATTGAGCTGGATGGTGAAATCGTGTTAGCCATTGTGATGAGGATCTGGAATCCAGGCCAACGCGGTATTATTGAGATCATTGCCATTACCATCTCAAGTTTGCGACCATCCAACCGTAGGCTGCTGTGGAAATCGCATCGCCGATGGTCCACATACCGCGCCGGCTCCCCGGATAAGTGGAAATCTCAATGACCTGAACCTCCAGCGTCAGGGCAATGCTATGCCCTCTTGATCATCGGCCATGCATTCTCAAATCCATTCTCAACCCTTCGATATCGAGGTGTTTGTGTAGTTGATCTGCACCATCGTTTGAGAATTTGCGTCGTACGCGTTTGGAGCCTCGAGTGAGCTTGAAGAACTGCGGAAGCGGCTGCATTTCCATTTCGATCTTGCCAAACCGGTGTCAGCTGCCATTGAAAAGTTGCTGGATGCCATAGGCCTTCATGCTGGTCCCGCTTCACGTCGTCAGAGAGTAGTTCTCGACCCCTTTGCCTCTCTGCTTGTCGGCAGTCGTGGCGTCACACCGAAGCAGCGCCTTGGACATGAGCAGCCCCTGCTCTGCATTGAGCGACAAAGAACGGCAACCCTCCTGCATTTACAGGTTGGATTGGAAGTGAGCCCAGCCGTTGGCATCGTAAGGACCGCTGGGTAAGTCCGAGAAAGCTCGATCAAGCTTCCGGCGAAATGTCGAAAAACATATTATTTCGAGCGGCGGGGATGTCATGTCCGAAAAAGGGTCCGGCCGCGGATCTTGACCATACTTTCCTAGGGCAATTTGCCTGGATATGGGATGGCTTCTTTCATCCAAGCAACGTCGAAATGATATCTACAAGCTTCGCCTGCAAGCGGTAGGTGTCAACCAAGGAGGGATTTCGCCCCTGGGTGCCTGATCAGAGATTTCCCGGGGCGAAACATTGTCGCCTGTCAAGGCATGAGGCCATCCCTCGAGAGTAAAGTTTCGAGGCCGCCGAAGTCTGGTGTGACCTAATCGAACCTGAATTAGTATCCCTGGTATCCGCTGCAGGGTTCCTTGCAAGATAGCTTACCATCGCATCGAATGGAGCCCAGTCGGTGACATCGCCAAGTGAGCTTCCTGGTGTCAAATGGAATTGAGCAAAGTGATCCCCCGAAGAAAAGTTGTTCCCATTTCCATAAAACACTGCTCCATCGCTGGCAATAACAGCACCATCGTCGGAGACCGGTATCGCGTGTGCTCGCTCGATCTGCCTACATGCCTCCTTACGCAACTCTTCGAGAACTAAACAGTATCGTGCGGCAAGAGACCCCTTCTCCGCGATTTTGGAGATCTGGTTTTGGCAATGCGTTGCGGCGTTGAGGTAGGGGAGATAGGTTTCTACAGGTGCCAGACGCTCTTGAATCGTGTAGACGTAGAGCACAACCACCGACGAGAAGGCAAAGTAGCTGGTGAACTGCAATGGCCAGTCAGACGGGCCGGGACGGGACGGCTGGCATGAATCCACTCACCCAGTATGCTTGAAACATCTGCCCAGAACGCACAAGGCTATCCACTGTGTGTGTGATATTCATGGCCGCCTGAAGACACTCGCGAATGCTGTTGTCAATCTGGCTTTGATGGGACGAGGCGTGCGGCGCCAAGCGCTTGTGCTGAAGTTGGGCAAACTTGCTTAGGAGAAAGGGCCGATGCGTCAGGACGACCGTGTGCCAGTAGGCGAGATTGAGAACGTTTCGCTGACGATGGAAAATGGGTAGGAGCAGAGCTGGGCTGATATCCGGATTAAGGAAGCTAGACATTTCGGTTCGCCATGCCTTTAACTTTTCGGAATACCCAGCAACGAACGCATATCGATCGGCAGATGAGCATGGGCGGATCGAGTGCAGATCTCGTAGTATGCCGCTCACAATTCGCGAAAGTCTGCCAGAAAACAGATTTCAGCAAGGATCTCCCAATCTCTGGTCTACACTGTACCTGAAATACGCCACCGGCGCGTACATGAGAGTCTGCTCCGGACTCGTACTGGGCGTGCTACGATCGCGATAGATGTCTCGATCGTCCACGCAGGAGGGCAGTTCTTGATCGATGTCATCATCGTGAAACGTTCTGGGTCGTCCGAGTGCGGTGCTGAGATAACTCCCCAGGCAATACCCTGCCCAGAAGGTCCTACACTGACACTCAATCTCAACGTAGTTGACGCCAGCCGCTGGGTCTGCGTGTCTGTTTCGGTTGAGCCCTATCGCGAGGGCAAGATGAGCCGTTGTGCCAAAGAGGCTCCAACAATGATTGATGCGAGATCGTGAGAGCAACCAGAGGCATTGACAGAGGCGCGCCTGCACGCTCACGAGACGGACGACTCCCCGTTCCCTGGAAAGCTGGTGGTCGGCTGCAAGAAAGTACTGGATGCTAGCTTCCATTAGTATGTTTTATCTACCCGATGAGGCCACAAACCTCATATCCGTCGTCTCGCTGTTGGGCTGAGGGTCCAGGAGGTCTTGCGCCAAGGCAAAGATCATGAACAAAAGCGCTGTCCGGGCCGGTGCTTCCTCTTGGTTGTTTCTGAACGAACCCGCCGTATCGTAAAACTCGTCAAGCCACTCCTCGACTGTCCGTCGGTGAAGAAATCGGTCAACCGGTACACTGAAGTCGAAGTACCTCCGGAGCAGCCTCGAGGTCTCCTCCTTGGATGGCATGAAACAGACGGGTTCGAACTCAGGAAGTGGGACGTCGCCGAAGGTAAAGATGGTGGACGCGGCATGACCGAACTCGATGCTCTGGTGCAATCTTTTCTGCACTCTCGGCAGGAAGGAGACGCCAGATGCCGGACCGACATAGTGGCCTTGACGGTCCGTCTGAGATGGCTCCGGAGACGTCCTGGACCCGGGCTGCGTGAGGCCTAATTTGGCTGCCTCCGTATCCCCTTGGAAGGGCAATGTGGAGGGCAGACTTGTGGACGCCGCGACATCTGACGCATTGGACGACCTCTTGGGCGCGATTTCGGCGGGGAAGATCGGTGACACGACCGTGGTAGCTTGATCGGAAGGATGTTAACTGCTCAAAAACAGGTCTCGGGAACGGGCTGCCCAGAAGGAAAATTGGGCTTAAGACAATGGCGTCCATCATGGCAAATGCTAACAAGCTAAAACTTGCATTGGACACCGTGTCGGGGAGGTCCTTTGGGGCCTGGCAGATGCTGCCTAGCCCGGAGATATCGAGAACAATTGCACAGACGGGCTACGATTGGATTCTGATAGACTGTGAACGTGGGCGCATTACCGGTACGTTGATGGGCAAGGAGAATACTGGATGAGACCATATGGACGGAGTGCGAAGGGCGCTGACAGCGTCGCCACAGACAACGAAATGCATGATTGTATACATGCCGTAGCATCTGCCGGTGCGAGCCCTATCGTGCGGCCACCAGGGGTGGATGGCTGGTTTATCAAACGCGCGTTCGGATGCCGGTGCTCATGGAGTCCTGCTCCCGCTCCTTCAGACAGCCGAGGATGCTCAAAAGATAGTACAGCACGCAAAATTTCCACCACAGGGTCGGCGAGGATTCGGAAGCCCATTTTCAATGAGCGCATTCAGCAGCACTGGCGATCTAAGTGGCTTAGCCTACCTCGAACACGCCAACGACAATCTCTTGACCATTGTTCAAATCGAAACGCAGGAGGCGCTGGACAACGTGAGAAGAAATTGTACGGTTTCGAGCTTCTTCCCGCGCTGATTCCGTCCTCAGGTTGATGAAATAGCCCAAGTCGAAGGAATCGATGTCTTGTTCCTTGGACCCTTTGACCTGGGCAACAATATAGGTCACACTGTTCGCGGAGCATTTGATCAGCAACTTGAAGATGCCATCTTGAAGATTAAAACCGCGGCAGAACATGCCGGGAAGAAGACTGGAATCTATTGCCCAAATGGTGACGTTGCGCGCAAATACGCCGAAATCGGCTTCCATATGGTCTGTCCATCCTCGTCTCCCTCTACTTCATGCTAACATGTTCGAGATTTCTGTCATCAACGACATGACAGTGCTTCCTGTGGGACTTTCGCAAGCTCTGTCCATTGCAACAGGGGCGAAGCAAGAAGTCAAAGGTGCAGCATATGGTGGCGGGAGTTCATAGGGTCTTGGGGGAGCTGCACCGCACATCGCGAAATGGCAAGAGTTGGACGGCATCGGGCCCTTGGGTGCCCTGTGCAGCCTCTGACAGAAAAAGAGGCGATGTCGCAAACCTCGAATCCTCCCTGCTATGTGGAGGGTCCAAAGGCCAGAAGCAAGGGATCGTTGCAACGGCTATCTCTTTATTGTACATAGTGGGCTGTCTGGTCAGCAGAAGGGAGAGATGCGAAGCGAGAGAGCAACTATGTACCTTTGTAGTGATCTAGCGGGGTGGCATTCTCAATGTCTGTGATTGGGAAGGTTTCCTGATGGTCTGCAAATGACGCCGCCAAGGGCGTCATAAGATAGCGCGTTCTAGACACGCTTGTATATTATCGTAACCATAGGCCTTCGTAACGACATAGTTGGGCATCGCCCCCGACCCCTGTGAATTCACCATGTCCTCCGAATTGAGTGAGAGAGATAATGATGCACCAGGCTCCACTGGACGCGCTCGGACAAGTAGCATCATATGGTAGGCCAACCATATCTCCGCTTATCCGTTCAAACATACTCCGGACCAGTTCTGAAATGTGGAGACAGCGGCGGCTCGGTCGGAAAATAGGTGGAAAAGGCAACAGGGTTCCTCAAGACAGGGCCAATGGCTTAGCTTTCGATCCCTCTTTTCGAATGGACTTTGAGAGCTTCTACGCGGCCTTGATCGTCCAAGCAGAGGGTATTCGATTCTCAGTTTGATCCGTCACATCAGTATTCTTGCACACCTCCTCGCGAAGATGGGTAAGATCGCGGTCCTAGAATACTTTCGAGTGCCCCCTCGTTGGTTATTCGTGAAGGTCGTGGACGAAGCAGGCAATTTCGGATGGGGGGAAGCGTCTTTAGAAGGCCACACCCAAGCAGTTGAAGGCTGTCTAGACGCGTGGTCCGAAAAGTACCGTGGAATGGATGCAGAGTAAGTCATGTCGGATGGCTTATCAACCCGAGAGCACGCTAACCTATCACGCAGCGACATTGAACAAATATGGCAGATGTCATGGCGGGGAGGCTTCTACCGGGGCGGCCCAGTACTGATGAGCGCCTTGTCCGGGATTGATATTGCCCTATGGGATCTGAAGGGTGATTTCTCGGCCATGTGACATGTCTCCTACACCGTACTAACCAGCCGTCTAGCGAGAAAACTCAACATTCCTATATATCAGCTCCTCGGAGGCAGAGTCAGGAACAAGATACAGGTCTATTCATGGGTCGGTGGCGATCGACCCCACGATGTCACCGCCCAAGCGTACGTCTCATCGAAAGCGGACCCGGATCGAAAACTGACTCAGTGGACAGTCAAGCTCGCATTGATCAGGGATTCCACGCTGTCAAGATGAATGCCACCGAAGGCGTTGGCTGGCTCGATTCGCCGTCCATGATCGACAGCGTCGTTGAGCGTCTCAAGGCCGTCAAGGCTCTCGGTATCGATTGCGCCCTTGACTTCCATGGCAGACTTCACAAACCCATGGCAAAACAGTTGGCAAAGGCTCTCGAAGAACACAGGCCGTTGTTTATCGAAGAACCTTTGCTCTCTGAGAATATTTCCGCTATCAAGGAACTCGCGAGCCTCGTGAGCTGTCCCATCGCTCTCGGAGAACGCCTTTACAATCGATGGGACGTAAAGCCTTTTCTTGAAGCTGGGTGTGTGGATATTTTACAGCCTGACATCTGCCACATTGGTGGAATATCTGAGATGAAGCGAATTGCAGCCATGTGTGAGACGTATGATGTTGCCTTGGCACCTCATTGCCCTCTGGGACCAATTGCCTTAGCGGCAAATATACAAATAGACACTGCCTCGCCTTCCTTTACAATCCAGGAGATGAGTCTAGGGATGCACTACAACAATACGGGCCAGGATCTGGCTACCTACATCTCAAACCCAGATGTTTGGGCTGTTAAAGATGGATATATTGATATCTTGACCGGGCCCGGGCTAGGTATCGAGGTTGATGAGGTGCGGGTGAGGGAATTGTCGAAGAACGCCAAAGCGTGGACGATTCCTACCTTTGAAGGACCAGGTGGTGAGCTTCGAGAATGGTAGATAGAGATCGACATTACCAAGTCGGGGTCAAGTGCACGGCGAGGACTATGGCTGCAATACATCCTGACTTAGCCTGAACCTCTGTATAAGTCTACAAATACGCGTAAAGTCTTATCCCTTCTACCGAATCACCCATCGTTCAATAAAGCTGCAAATTACCCTGCCACCATGGTATTAACACCCTTTTTCCGTAAACAGCGTCCTTCCGGGTGAGGAATGAATGGTACACCAGGGAGGCGTAGTGGGACGCGCTACCTAGCATACTGAAGCCCAGAGACGCTGGACTATTCGTCACCCTTCCCTGATCGTTCTCGGGAGAGCACAGGCCGCACTCGCCGTTTGATGGCTATTGCATCCTTGCGAGTCCGTACATACGCACGTTCTTTCTTTCTCCTCCGGCGGTCCCAGTCTATCGCGCCCAAAAGCCGGCACTGGAACCTCCTAGGGGTGAGGCTAGCTTTTCCGTTGCCGCGTTTGCACTTCCCTTGCACGCTTATTTTCCATCGCTTTTCCGTTGGTGGAGCCACGCAAATCAACCGTTCATTTGGCAATTCGCGGACACCGCTCGTTCGAGGAAGGGCACGGCTTCTTCCCGACCCCGCGGTTCTCCATGACTGCGGGTTGTCAAATGAAGGAATGAAGAATGCATAAAGGCACGGCAGCCTTCATCAGATACGCTGATCAGTTTACACCCTCCCTCAGTCTTCTTGACTCCAAATTTAGGTGACTCAAGCAGCATTACTAACCCTCGATGTGGACCATGAAGCTTCCCAAGATCTACAACACCTACATGGTGGCGTTCATTGCCACCATGGGTGGCATGCTCTTTGGTTTTGATATTTCGTCCATGTCGGCCATTATTGGAACGCAGCAATACAACGACTACTTTGACAAACCTGCCGGAGTCGTCCAAGGTGCCATTGGCTCAAGTCTTGCCGCAGGATCTGTGGTGGGCTCAATCGTCGCAGGCCCCCTTTCGAACAAAATCGGCCGCCGAGATTCGATAATGTTCGCCTGCATTTTTTGGCTTATCGGCACGGCTGTCCAGGCAGCGACCACTGGTATTGGCTCGCTCATCGCAGGGCGTATCCTGAACGGCATCACTGTTGGCATCACCAGCTGCCAAGTTCCTGTTTACCTCGCAGAGATCTCTCGGAAGGAGAAACGAGGAGGCGTTATTGTTATTCAACAGCTTGCTATCAGTAAGTAGCACGCTTTCTCAAACATTTCACAGCTCATATTTATAGATTGGGGTATCTTGATCATGTTTTTCATTGGATATGGATGCTCCTTCATCAAAGGCACGGCGTCTTTCCGAACAGCCTGGGCCATTCAATTTGTCCCATGCGTCTTCCTCATTATTGGACTGCCCTTCCTCCCCAGATCTCCGCGTTGGCTTGCAAAGGTAGACCGCCCGGACGAGGCCATCAACATCCTCGCCAAAATTCACGCAAAGGGAAACGCCCAGGACCCTCTTGTTGTTGCGGAATGGGAAGATATTACCGAAACAATCGCGGCCGAAAGATCGGGGGCGCACCGTGGATGGCGACGGTTCGTGGAAAATGGAATGTGGAAACGCACACTGGTCGGCTTCACTATCGGTATGTGGCAACAGAACAGTGGCGCGAACGTCATGACATATGTAAGTCTCTGAACATTCAACCCTCGGCGGGAATACTGACACCTTTCCTAGTACGTAGTCTACATCTTCATGATGGCCGGGCTTACAGGCAACGTTAACCTCATCGCCTCGGGTGTCCAGTATGCACTATTCATCATCTTCACCACCTGCATTTTCTTCTTCGTCGACAAGGTCGGCCGAAGGCCTCTCCTTGTGTATGGAGTCCTCGGAATGGCTGCCTGTCACTTCGTGGTTGGCGGTATTCTCTCCCATGGTGAAAATGTTCCGGGGGGTGTGGGGGCCAATCCGAACGTGTTGATCAAAGTATGTTACCTTCCTGGGCTCTATAGATCCGTCTCTAATGCTGTGCTATAGGTCACTGGAGGGAAGGCTAATGCAGTCATTGCATTTTCATACCTGCTGGTTATCATCTATGCCCTGACACTGGCCCCGGTGGTATGGGTCTATGCTGCAGAAGTATGGAGTCTGGAAACTCGCTCCGTCGGTATGAGTATTATGGGGGTTGGCATTTGGCTGTTCAATTTCGCATTGGGTCTTTATATCCCTCCCGGATTCCAGAATATCAAGTATGGCATGTTTATTGTGTTTGGATGCATGTGTGTAAGTACCCAAGAGCCGCCTGAAGGTTTCCAGGTTCGCAATGGCTAACCTAGTGACTCCAGGTCCTTGCGGCGGTACAATTCTATTTCACCTATCCCGAAACTTGCAACAAGTCACTTGAGGAAATCGAGTTCTTGTTCTCAAAGGAGGGCCCGAAGCCCTGGAACACCAGGCCGGGTGAGTCTAGATTGGACAGACTCATTGACGAAGCTCGTGAGAAGCGGATCACTGTCGAAGAAGTCCAGAATAAGCGGACTTCGACAGACCGTGCTCTGCATGTCGAAGTGACACGTGGTACCCAGCCTATCGAGGTAGGTAATGCCTAGGTTGGGGTGAACAGGGGTGGCGTGTTTTCAGGGTTCCGAGAGCCTTGAAGAAGGCATCCCTTGATGATGTCGAGACTCCTCAGGTGGTAACAGATTGAACGCTCGTTCTTCGGTAATGTTACTGTTTGACTTTCCTCGGCTCCACTGGTATCCGTATCTTGGAAAGCAGGATCGAGTCAGCGAGGTGTTTCTCCTGATGATGCAATTGGGCAGCGCAACATGTTGACGAGGAGACTTGTATGCCATTTATAGCCGTCAAGGCTGATATAGCGAGCTTTACAAAGTCTTTCATTAAACCAGAATTAGATACCCTGGGCCTTGGAGCTCCGCTGCGCAAGAAGCGATCTCGCTGAGAGTCCCGTTCTCAGTATGTATCTCCTTTCCTTACACTTCAGGCAATAATATCTTCCGGCAATCCGCACCGCGCTGGAACTGGCTTCTTTGATGTTCGTCACAAGCACGGGACAGCTTGTGAAAGAGTGGATGCAATGGTTTATCTATAGGACTTGATGAGCACAATTACTGGCAGAGCTCCCCCCATCCGGGACGAGGTCTTGAGGAATGTTTGTTCAAAAGGAAGCACTGGCCCCAACACTCAAGCTCTTTTCATGCGAACGTTGTGGTAGGATATAGAGCCTGAATGTCAAAAAGAACTAGGACCATGCCCCATCGACCGGATAGACTGCACCGCTAACATAAGTGCTCTCAGGTCCAAGTAGGAAGCCGATTACAGCTGCTACTTCTTCAGGTGTTCCTTGACGATTAAAAGCACAAGCCTCATCCATCTCATCAGAAGGTATTCCGGCAGCATCGATCCATCCCTGCATCATCGGCCTGTAGATGGCCCCAGGAGCGACAGCATTAACTCGCACCTCACGCTTTCCGTTCTCCTGAGAGGCGGCCCGACTGAGACCAATCACTCCGTGCTTGCTGGCAGCATACGCTGCGTGGTTTGCGATTCCTAGACTAGTTAGTTTTGTGGAACTCAGCAGAGCAACAGGCTTATTTACCTTTTGTACCGTGGATCGAGGCAATATTGACGATGGAGCCATGAACTGCCACGTGTTTGAGCTCTGCTCTGAGACAATTCATGCGACCGGTTAAGTTCACAGCAATTATTCTCTGCCATTCGCTGTCCTCGAGATCTTGGAGGGGCTGTAGCCCGTGGTTCTTGCCGATGATTCCGGCGACATTCGCCGCTCCGTCGAGACGGCCAAACTTCTCAATTATGCTCTCAATCTATCTGTCGACTTCGTCCCTGTTGGAGACGTCCACTTTGGTTACCATGAACGGTACGGATTGTTGAGAAAAGTAAGATTCTTTTTCGGCCAGCGTGACTGGATTGACATCGGCAATACAAACAGTCCCACCTCGCTCTGAGACGTATCTGGCAGTTGCAAAGCCGATACCGCTGGATCCACCAGTGTTGGCATATACCTTTCCTGACGGCAACATCTTTTGAAAGCAGAAGAGCCCTTTACTGACGAAAGCTTTGTTGACCGGTCGAAAGACGTTGCTGGAGGTTAGTCATGTGGCATGTGTTTCATTAAATTGAGCCAGATAGACAGGTTGCGTGGCAAACTTCTGCGAACTTGTACACTTGCTGAACGCCAATCCATGTCACACGCGAGGTTTTTCAACGCATATGGGGATTTTGGCGGAAAAGCAGGTAGTCGGGGGTCACCGCCACCTACAAGCCCGGCCACTAACTGTGAACAGCATTGTCTTCAATCGAAGCTCTCTCCTGCTAGGTGTAATGTAGCTGATATCCATTGGTCTTTTAAATGTGGATTGCTTTATACGCCGCTGCCTAGATGATAACATACGTACCATTCAACAGCAGAAAGGACTATGTACTGTGGACATTTGGCCTGTAGGGGCCCATGGTTGCGAATAAGCATGCTTTGGCCTCCATCCTGCTTGAGAGGCTCTACCCGTCAATGCAGAGCCCCGTAGGGAGTCGCACGGATAGAAGCAACAAATTCTTCGGAAACAGTTGAGAAAAGTTACTCGCTTCGCATCCGCCGTGCGGCCGTGCTTTCCCGCGTTTCAGCCAGCTTTTCCACTACTAGTGTCCTCTTTTCCGATCCCTTTTTCGTTGCCAGTACGGGGGCATTTAGAGTGGCACGATCTGGGTGAGCCGGCCTGACCCGAATTTGAGCTCTCTAGTAGGTTTTAATTTTCCTTGTTCTGGCTTGCTAGCTGGGTTCCCTCGACGGGGTCGACGCAAAACAGAAGGCAAGCAATGTACAATAGCTGCGGTCTTCGTTTGGGCTGGGCGCGTTCGGCCTACCTCGATTTTTCGATACCCCCTGTCTTCGCGACACGCAAGAGCATGGCGGATGCGAAGCATTACCCAAGCTTCGCTGTGATTGGGAGCACATCTCCTTTGTCGGTTTACATCTCGAGCTTGTTACGATGAAGCGACGGCAAGCGCATCAGAGACCGCGCTCGGAAATACCACATCTTGGTTTCTCGAAACTGCCTCACTCCCTGCGCGCGGGCCATGCATGACCTGGTTCCGTGTGTGCGTGTACGCGTGCACTCTAGTTTCTCATGGTCAATCCGCCTGCATAAAAACCCTATCCAGGAGGACCCCGACAATGTCGTAAGATTGTGGGCGAGGCTGCACGAAGCTAGCCAATCCAGCCAGCCGCATCCGCCAAAGTGCCGTAAGATTGTGTCGCTAAGTTGTTCCACCACTCCCGCCACCACCACGCCATCCTTTTTTGTCGAACCCTTGATGTATCGAGTCGCCTAGGTAAGGCGTATCGATTAGTATATTATATATAATTATGGTAGTGATGGCAGTAGTATTGAACTGGGGCGAGGCTTCATTGCCAGACGGGTATGCCTCTCGTGTGGCGGCTGGCAGGGCCTCTCAAACCATACCACACACTACACCTTGAAGGAGCGGCGTAAAGGTCTCGAGTAGAGTGTCTGTATTGCATATGTTGCTGTCTGGCTTCTTGGTTGTCTGTGTGCTATCCGTAAAGTAAGTAAAAGAAGGAAAAGAAGCGCAGCCTTGCGCTAGAGTGCCAGCCAATCAGAACGCTCGGTTGCTACGCTGGACATTGTCCAGAGAAGTGGCCAGCCTTGCCAACCCCTGACCTCTCTCTCAGCCCCATCATAGTATTATAAAATTAATAGGGTTAACTCTAATTTATAAAGAGCTACGGTAAGTTAGGTGTACTAAGGTGCTATAAGGTTATACTATAGACTTATATCGCTAGGTTATTTCATTACTTTCTTAATAGGGACGGGCTTTACTAGCAGTTAATTAAGAGGTTTATATTAAGAATTACCTCCGCGCAGCGTGTACGAGGACACGTAGGCACACAGGTAACCCTCGGGGTTCTTGATTATCGGAGGTAGAGTAGAGGTTAATGCCGAATAAATCGTCAGACGGGATACAGCACTTATACTGTATCTCCTTAAGCGCAATAATAACTGAAGTTAACTACACCTCCTATAGAGGTGTATCTAGCTGTAACTATATATACAGGTAGTTTTCCTATCTAGGAAAGTCTAGGCGTTATATGGTTGCCTTTATTGCGGCCCCTCGCCTTATAACTGTCAGGAATGGCGGTACTCGAGATGTAAAAAGGGGTGTATAAGCTAATATCTATCTAGCTATCGACGAAGACTCAAAGCATGCGGAACGAGGAGGGTTCGCATGCGAGGAGCAAGCTATATAGGCCTAGAGCGCTAAGCCCATCTAGGCGTTCCTGACAATAACGGTGCAACGCATGCAACGGCTTATTTCCTATTTAGGGTATTACGTGACCCGAGCCAGCCTTGCTATCGAGGCTGTCTTCCTCGCTTGACCTTCCTTTCTGCGCTAGGTCCGGCAGGCCGCATGGAGGTCGGTTCGTTACAGTTTATTACTTATCTATAGGCGTAATGCGACTCGAGGTCTTAGCCTATTTTATTCCTTTAACAGTAGACCCTACCTATAAGTGCTTATGCTTACTCGCGATTATCTGCGAACATCCGCCAATGCCCACGAATGTACACGAGGTTTCACGAGTGATCACGTTATTATTACTAGTCGTTGAATCATTACTGCGCTAGTATTGGTGATATTTTCCTCGCCAAGACGCTAAATGCGGGTAAACTGCGTCTCCGTCATTCACCTCCTTTCCAAAAACCAGCTTCCACCACTGTTCCGGGAGGCGTCTGTGGCGACTTCGAAGGGCACGACATCCCGAGGATAGGAAGTGCGGGAAATCGAAAACGGCGAAAACAGTTAGATTAACGTCCAACCTATCCGGAACGGAACAATGGTTTGCCTAGATGATGATGAAGGTAGACCGAAGCCGCGGCCGCATGACGGCGCCGACCAGCAATCTAGCTCAAGCTCGGAAATCTAATACCGATCTCACTAACTAGGCAGTGTCCGGCAACTTGCTCCCACTGTTGCCGAACATCACCCATGAATGGCAGGATTCAAGCCCACATGTAACGCGGAGCATCACGTCTCGGTTCACAGAGGATTTGATTTTCGTATATAACTGTCCTGGCACACTCGCGACAAAGCCCAAGAAGCCGAGCAAACACATGGATAGTCGGATATGGCAGTCTCAGCCATCGATTCTCGCGTCTTTCGCGACCTGTTCGGCACCGCTGAGATTCGCGACGTATTCTCTGACGATGCTTACGTCCGTCGGATGATAGAGGTCGAGGCAGCCTTAGCGCGAGCCCAATCCCGCGCAGGTGTGATTCCCCCGGATACTGGGGAGAGCATTTCGAAGGCTCTGTCGGATGCAAAGATTGAGTGAGCCTGCTCTACTACCGCTATGTAGCATGTTCTGACCACTGGTCTACCAGTTTCCAACGTCTCTCACGTGAGACAGAAATCGTTGGTTACCCCGTGCTGCCTCTGGTCCGCCAACTAGTTGAACAAACACCAGCACAACACGCCAAGTATATCCATTGGGGTGCCACAACCCAAGATATCATGGATGACGCTTCCGTTTTACAGATGCGACAAGGGATCGAGATCGTCGAAAGGTATCTTGAAGAACTCACCTCCGTCCTGCAGTCGCTTTCACGGACGCATCGGGACACGCCAATGGCCGGCCGTACTCACCTCCAGCACGCCTTGCCCTGTACGTTCGGCTACAAATGTGCCGTGTATCTCTCCAGCGTTGTGCGTCACGCAGAAAGGCTGAGCGAGCTTCGGAAGAGATGCTTCCTCGTCCAATTCGGTGGAGCTGTCGGAACTCTGGCGTCACTTGGCTCAGATGACACTGGTCCTCGCGTACGCGGTCGTCTCGCACAAGAGCTGGGTCTCGCAGATCCACCAATCACATGGCACGTTGCTCGCGACAACGTTGCTGAGATCATCAATTTCTTAGCCTTGGTCGGTGGTACTTTGGGGAAGATTGCCTACGACCTGATTGTGATGTCGTCAAACGAAGTGGCCGAGGTATCTGAGCCTTTCGTACCACACCGTGGTGCCTCATCGACGATGCCGCAAAAGCGCAATCCCATCTCCAGCGAGCTTGTGCTGGCAGCGTCAAAAATACTCCGATCCCATGCTGGGTTGGTTTTGGATGCCATGGTGGTAGACTTCGAACGAGCATCGGGTCCGTGGCATCTGGAATGGGTTGCGATACCCGAGGCTTTCGTACTGGTTGTGGGTGCTCTGCATCAGACCACTTTCGCCTTCCGCGGCCTCGTGGTAAATACGGATGTCATGGGTATTAACCTTGCTTCAACAAGAGGGCTCATTGTCGGCGAGGCGGTGATGATGGGCTTAGCACCGTTCCTAGGTCGCCAGGAGGCTCATGACGTGGTCTATCAAGCTTGTAAAGAGTCTATCGAAAGCCATCAGCCACTGCTCGAGGTCCTTCGTAATCGGAAGAAGGTCACCGAGCACGTAGGCGATGCGCATTTAAGGTTGCTGTGTGATCCGAAGAACTACCTGGGTGCAAGTCAACTGATGGTAGACAAAATGCTAGAGGACATCGAAGCGCGCAAAGCCTCGAGGTAGGGGAAGAATGCTGTTCGATTGAGTCCACATTATAGCGAGCTGTTTAAGTATTGACCTAAGGGTAATGCTCGAGATTTCCAGCACCAAATCCCAATACGGCTTTACAACTGCTTTTTGCCTGTGGATCTGATAGGCAGGGTGAGGCTCAGGTATGTGCAGACGCACCTTCACGGGGGCGCAAACCTGTAAAGCCACCATGGGCCGGTGTTTGTCGCGCCGAACGACAAGAGCCCCGGCATTGCCAATGTAGTTCCACGGTGCAACCCTTCAGGCGGTGGTCTCTACGAAAGAGTGTACTGTACCGGACAGCACGCCAGTATGACTGCCTAAGACAAGCGGCAACTTTCTAACCGTCCCCTAACTCGAAAGCATACATGTCCGAGTCGGGAGAGAGTCTGCGAAGAAGCTCCACTAGCAGTCGTGTCCGTGGTTGTGTAGAGCGAGGCATGAGGAGCTCGCCGTCAAGGTCGTCTTCCCTGTATAGATTAGGCTAGGTGATTTACAGGTCTGGCTAGTCATATATGGCCGACATCTGATTCACGGAGCTGCCAACGAAGATACGATGGCGGGGTTGTGTGTGGACTGACTAATGAGACTGGTTAAGAGGGAATGGACGGGTAGAAGGCAAATTGTCACATGACGCCACTAAGCCTGATATGGCTAGTGGGAGGGTGCCTCCCACCTGCTAAGACGTCTGTGACGCTCTCTCTCTCTCTTCTCTCTCTCTCTCTCTAGCAATTTAGATAGACAACTTAAGGCGCTTGCAGCCCTTGCAGTCATTAAGACTATCGTCTAACCTCTTTATTCTACTTATTAGCATCCGTCCTATTATAGAATAGTAGCAACACTTTTATACTATTTACTATAAATAGATCGACTCTTATATCCTTTATAGTTATTACGCCTATAGAATTACTTTTACCTTACCCTAACCTTTCTTTAAAACGACTTTAAACCTAACCTTTTAGTAAGAACCGTTAAGACGTATTTAGTTTCAACTAATATATTTCTTACTAACGGCTTTAATAATATTCTATAAAGGCTTTCTAATTTTCCTAAGACCCCTCTTACCTCTAAATAAACCTCGGCTAATACGTCGTGTTTCTCGTTAAGAGAGTATACTCCCCCTCGGAGAGAACTGCTAAACGGGCTAGAGCGCTGTTAAATATTTATTACCGGCTACGGTACTTAGGTCTTTATTAATAATATTTCTACCTTTTAATAATAGCTACCTGTTACGAACCGACCTTCATGCGGCCTGCCGGGCCTGGCACAGAAGGGAAGGTCAAGCGAGGAAGTCAGCCTCGTTGGCAAGGCTGACTCGGGTCACGTGATACCCTAAAAAGGAAATAAGCCGTTGCATATGTTGTATCGTTGCAGGGCATGGGGCCGTAACGAAGGCAACCATACAACGCCCAGACTTTCCTAGATAGGAAAACTACCTGTGTATATAGTCACAGCTAGATACACTTCTATAGGAGGTGTAGTCAACTTCAGTTAACATTGCGCTCAAGGAGATACAGTACAAGTGCTGTGTCCCGTCTGACGATCTGTTCGACATTGACCTCTGCTCTACCCCCGATACTCAAGAACCCCGAGGGTTACCTGTATGCTCACGTGTCCTCATACACGCTGCGCGAAGGCAATTCTTAACACTTTAACTACCTCTTAACGGTATCATTAGACAATATCGAAACTCGTTCGATCCCCCTCGCCGACAGGATCCGTCCGATCCTCGGCACCCAACCCAACTCCAGGACCTTCGTCATATAGCATCACTCAGGCAACAGGAGAATAAGGTGATAAGGACTATTGTAAGGTTAATGCGTATTATGGAGACCGTGCTAAGCTAGGTATGTTTATTGCCTAACTCACGGCCTTCTTTAAGCTTTAACGCACTAAGTACTTAACCTATAAGGATAAGGTCTTATACATCGCTCTTAACATAAAGAGACCAGCGTTTCACTGGTTTAAGCCTATTATAATGGACCACCTAACCTCGCTAGACGGATAGAAGGAGGATGAGACTAAGGAGATCTTTAGGAGTTTTCTAATATTCATCGCTAAGCTTAAATAGATCTTTAGTACTCCTAGAGAGGAATAAGCAGTATCCTAAAGGATCTATTAAATTAAATAAATAGGATCCGCAACGTAATACTTCGCCCTCTTTAAGCGGCTTTAAGTAAAGCTAGACTAGGAGGATAATGCGTTCGCGGCAGCGTTCTATAATAAGTTAAAGAACAACATTAAATATAAACTAGGAGTTAAACGACCGACCGACTACTACGAGTTAGTCGACAGAGCCATCGAGATTGATAACTGGTTATTTAAACGACGGCTGGATAAGTAAGGCTATCGAGGAAAAGCCGGGACTATATACTACTCAGGTAGAAGTGGGTATAGAAGATAGTCCACTTATCAGCCGCAAGGGGATCCTATAGACCTGGACATGATGACGACTCGGACCTTACGTTATAAAGGAGGGTTTAAATGTTTAGGAGGATATGGAAGGAATAATAAGAAAGAGAGACGTAGACGCGAAAACCTGTACTATACTTACGGAAAAGCCGGATATCGTGCACGAGATTATAAGTAAACGGCTTACGGACTGTATATAATGATGAGCGACGATATAGCCGGTATAGGAGAAATAAAGGCCGATACTCCTATTAGGGTTATAGTAGTCACCGAGGGCCAGGACTAGATAGTATAGAAGGGCCATTAGAATTCGGATACGCAGGGCGTAAGTGAGCTAGGGAAGAAGGAGTTCTAATAACGAGGAACTGATCCTAACGAGGTAGGTTAAGCCTTAGATAAAGAAGTATATTAACAATAAGAAAAACCGATTAATTACGTAGCTAGATTTAAGTATCTAGACGCTGCGTACGAATATATAAAACTGTCTTAGACTGCTTGCTACAACGACTCTTACACCATTTACCTTTCCGAAAAGGAAGGAGCTGGATGGTTCCCTCAGAGGAAGAAGTCGAAGAATCGAAGGAGCAAGAAGAGTCGGGAATTTCAGGAGATTCTCGCCCAGGATAGGGACTTATATAACGAACCGGGATTCTGGATAATGAATGCCTAGAATGACGATAAACTACAGTTTATAGTTATTAAATATACAGTAGAGAGGATCTAACTTATCACGCTATACTGGAAAAGTAAGGGTTATGATCCTAGCTATTAGGAAGGAACCTAGTGCACCTATATAGTGTTTAACGTAAACTAAGAAAGGGAAAAGACGCTATATATCCTGACGTTCTTAATCTGTCGTAATATAGAATGCAAAGAAATTAGAATGCATTTCCATTAGGGAAGTAATAAACGAATCGAACTTATCGAGATACCCGATACTAGCCTTAGAATGATGGGCACGGAAGAAGCCCTAGAAGAACAGAAACCGGATTAAAGGATCGAGTCCGAGGACGATAATGACGGCATGCCGATGACAGACTAGGACGGCTAAGCAAATCGAACAGCGGTCGTGCTGAGATGGTCGCTGTACTATCTCATAATTATTACTAACCGGTGGTATAAGGAGTTATGCTAATAGGATAATTATAAGGAAGAAACTTAACACTACCACCTTATATTCGATCCCGAAATAGAACTACGAAAGTATATAAAGAAGATCTAGTTTAATTACTATATAAATCCGGACTATAAAGATAAAGAGAACTTTTATATACACTAAAGTGTATAGCTAACTACGGTACGGATTAAGCAACCCCCGGAGCAATTAGAATAGATCCTAAAAAGGCGCTGATAAGGAAATAGCATCAACATAATAGTAGAAACACTAGGCACTATAGAAACTATAGTTAATAAGCGAGGCAACAACGAATATATTGCGGAATATTTTGTATACTGCGACACCATCTATAAGCACTACTACACGGTATATGTACACTTATTTAATATTAACCCGGAATACCTACACACAGCTATACTATTACACACATATAATAAGATGATACAACGAAACCTAATGTGTAAACGATAAGAATGCATATAGAGACGACATCTACACCTCTATTTCTCTAAGCAAGAACTCAACATGGTCACGGGACTATCATATAACCCGGATATAGTTAAAGCCGTTATAGATGAACGATCTACCGCAGACTATATCGCCGAATACTTCACGTGTTGCGATTATAGCTGCGAGTATAGAGAAGAAGCGCACCTTTATATTTATAATGTTGATCTAGATTACAGCGACATCGCGCTGACACCAGATTAATACAGTTTATTACTAGACTACGAGAATAGAGATTATTAATAGGACCTATAGCCCTACCGACACCTACTAAAAAACTTGTAGGCACTGACCTAAAGAGGCCAGATTAGTTGCTAAAGTTACCTCAGATAACCACTGGATTATACCTAATCCTGTTAGATATCCGGAAAGAGCATCTCGTCTTTAAGGCACAGCTCGCTAGAGTCGACATTAGGGTTATGATCGACAGTAGCGCTAATAGTAACTATACTAGCAGAGAAATTACTAAATAACTAGCTAAGTATTAACGAAAGAAACCACTACCCTATACCCTATTAATGGCTGATGGCAGGACGGCTAGGATAGTATAAGAAGAGCTTCGAAATATAGCCTTTATAATCGGACAATATAAAGAGACGATTACCCTCGACATCACTAAGATCCTAACGTATAATATCGTGTTAGGTATAATATGGCTTTATAACTACAACCCCTATATTGATTAGTAAAAAAGGAAAATCATATTTTCGTCATGCAGTACGAATAAGAAAAAGGGAGATCAATTACCTCTAAAGGCCCCTATCGAGGAAAGAGCGATAATAGTACGACCGTAGGGAAGAAATACACTAGCTGGCTCTAGTGTTATAGAGATTCCCCCGGAATACAAAGACTTTAAAGATATCTTTAAAGAGCGCGAGGGATTAGCGGCGCTACCGGAATATAAGCCATAAGATCACGAAATACTAATCTAGGAGGGTAAGGAGCCCCGATACACCGG